AACCCTAACCCAAACCCAAACCCAGTGTCGCAAGGGAGAATGGTTCGATCATCCTCACAACTTGCGTCTTCCAAAGGGCTACGAGGAGTATGCTCGTCCATATCCTGAGGACTCCAAGCTCGTTCCACTGCTGAAGTTCTACTACGTTCCCGATATCTGCAACCTACCTGCTATTGGCGCGTGGCCAGCGTTGCCTAAAGGGCTAGAAGCAGGTGTTGAAGCTGGACTAGTCGACCCGAAAGACGGCATCGCGTTCACTCTGGCAAAGATTGCGGCACGGAAGCATGGCAAGCCGGCGCCCCAGTGGAATCGGTCGTACAAAGGGTGGAGTATCTTTCACAAGCCCCAATCGAATCCTCGTGGCAAGGATAGTCAGAGGCAGAAGGTCGCTGAATCCCACAAGCCGGACCCGAATGATGGCTATCGTGGATTGAAGCACCATCCCTCGCTATCGAACCCGGAGTACTATGAGGATTCTCGACGCAACTGGGCGTGGTTCAAGTCGGACTTTTGGAACCAGATCTCGAAAATTCTCGAATCTTGCGACCTTGATCTGATCAGCGACTATCGGCACAAGCATGCTGTCAGTCTGAAGGCTTGGAAAGGTTGCAGAGACCAGAAGGAACTCGCGGTGAAGGCTACCGAAGAGCTTACGAAGAGCAAAGAATATCTTTCCAAAGCTTGGGATATTCTTGAAATCTACGTGAAGGCGTGGCAGCCTCAGCTGGTGAAACTCCCCCCAGGTGTGCTTCAGCAAATCCAGCAGCGCGAGGCTAAGAGACGTGACGCTGCCGAAGAGCGCAGGCAAGTTCAGCGCAAACCTCAGGGTAATGTCCCACGTCAATTTGCCGAGCAACAAGGATCGTGCGGCTATGACCCAGTTCCAAAGGACCAACAGAAGTGGTCTTCTCTTGAAACTTGGGACGGGAAGCACCCCACAGTGCCTCCTGAGTCAGATGCCGAGGCTGCCGCACAAGTCAAAGACTGGGCCGAACACCAAAGATCGGTCGTGGATCCGTCAATGCATGACGTAGGCTTGGAGCTCCTGAAGCAAAAGTCAAATGCGGCGACAGACTACCTCCTACAACAGCTTGGCGAAGCCGATGCCTTGCGATGCAAGAGGGGAGACATGACAGTGGAAGAGAAGGCGGAGAGACAGCAAAAGTTCGAGGCAATATTGCAGAATTTGCTCGAGAACATCCTGTCTCAAACCGCTGACTTGACCTCTACAATCCGAAACGAGGCAGACGTCGGCCTAGCGAAAGTCGACGTGGCCTACTTCTATCAGTTGGTCAACCGAATGACCAAGAAGCATACTGGTTACGAAGCTGCGGTGCTCGAGGAGATGAAAAGAGCATATGACTCTGATGTTCTCGCTCTGATCACAAAAATGCTGACAGACAACAACGACATGGCGAAAGAGCACGCGCAGGCTCTTCTCGGCGCGTTCCTTCCTCAGAGATGGTGCTCTGAAGACAAGAAGGAGGAGCCAGAAATCCCGCGCCTGGTTTGGTCCATGGCCGTCGAGACTGAGGCTGCTCGGAACTACTTGGCCATCGAGAACTCCAGCTGAAAGCCATCCTAGTAAGGGGAAGGCCAAAGGTGGGAGTGCGTGATGTGATCGGTAGCTTCAATTGCACGTAAAGAATGAAAACAATGAACTGCGATAACTTCTTCTTCCACATCGTGTCTTCAGTACTGCGTAGAAGTATCCGATGCTCTCTCACACCAGGGTCCCGTTTTTGTGGCCCCAAAACTGTTGCAACGTCCGCTACCAAAACTTCCCTTCTTCACATTCCCAACGCCAACCAGACGGTACATGAAGTGCCTTGAAAGGAGCACCACAGCGTAGCTTCCGATACGCCTAAGATGGCTCCTCATCTGCTTCGTGCTGGTCGACGATCAAGGTAGTGACCTAGGGAGGCAAGCTCGGAAACTTTTGTGCTACGACGACTACTCGATACACGGCAGTTGACATGCTCTCGTACAGGAAATATCCCAAAGACCCTCTTCTCCTTCATCCCGCTTTTCCACGCCTTAAGAAAAATTGACCGCCACAAAGGACCACGGTTGCTGGAGGGGAAGAGAACGCATGGGAAAGAGAAGCATACACCTGTGCGACTGCTGCAAAAGCGACAATGAAGCGCTGTTCAAGACAACATGAAGTCAGTCCCGACTCAGAGTGTTGTTACAACGCCGCCTTCTTGGTCATATCTGGCGGGTTGCGGATGAAGTTGGCTTCGATTGTCAATTAGCTCGCGAGCCCATCAGCAGCTGCTCGCGGACAGTCGAGACTTGCTAACAATGCGGCCATCGTCATTCCAGGCGCCGCAGGCAGCGAATACCACCGACACCCGAGGACACTCCTGAACGAGGCCGTCTGCGGCCTGCGCCAGCAACACCACATGCTACGTTTCCTCCCCGATAGACAGGCAACACAAATTTCAGGCTTCTTTGGTGCCATCGAGGTTCCCTTGTCATGCTGTCCGGCGTTCCTGGTGAGTCTAGCCGCTGTCCTGAGCCTAAAATCCTTGGCCGGGAGCGTACAACCGTGTCCAAGGAGGAGCAGCATTGGGTTTGTGGCTGCTTGCGAAGCGGGTGCGGGCGAAGAGCACGGTGAGTTCAGACAGGGTATGACTGGTCCGATAGGTCTGGTTGACTTCAAGAGTCTCCAAGGCGGACTACCACGTTCTCTACACTTTCAAATATATCAGGTTGGTTTGATTCACTTCTGTTGCTGGCATGTGTGGTCCGCTGCGGCAGCAGGCGCCTCTAGGACGGTATCCAGCTCTGTTGTGAGACATGAGGTACGTGCTTAAGTAATAGCATTACTTGATCAGTTGCGAATGTACAATCGGAAGTCCCAGACTCATGCTATGTCTTGTTGCGTACATTGTCAGCTGTCGGTTGCACTCATACTCTTTGCAGTCGACAGGAGCTGTAGCCATGGATGTGAACTGCAGATGAAGGGGTCACCCCCTGAATTCTCCAGAATGCGCAAATCTACAATTGACGATCTTACAGCAGGCGAACGACCAGAAACATGAAATGGGATATGGGATACCATTGCCTCCTGGTAATGCTGTGGTTTATCGGATGCCGCTGACAGCTGCTCCTTCCGGCGACAAACGCTGCGGCCACAGTGACGCACCTGCCCAAATTGAGGACCGCCCATCCAAATTGCAGATTTCATTCACTGATGTCTGAGTGCTCCTCCTCGTGAGGTTCATTCCGTCAGTAGACCTTTGGTGGCAACCGAGCAGCAACGTCTCTGATGGAGTACCTCGAAGATGTGGCAAGATTTGCGATGGCAATTGCCGATGCGGACCTTGAGCTGTCACTCCTGAAGCAAAGAATCGCTGGCTTGCTGGACTCGGAGAAGACGGACACTACTGAGGTCAACGTTGACACAGCATTGTATTCTTCACAGAGCATTCAGGTCCATGCACTCGTTGAAGAGGGAGGAGGCCAGCCGAATCCGACCAAGAAGCCATGCGTGAGCGTCGGCGTCGACGTTGATTTGGCTTCCGAGTCGTCGGAGGGCCGCCAGGTCAGAGACGACTCAGAGTCAGATGCAACCGACGACGGGCTCTCCGAAATTGATCCATTGTGGACTGAGAGGCAACAGCAGATGGACTGGTACTTAGAAGCATTCGGCATCATTGGTCTGGCGCACGTCATCAAGGACATTGCGGAGTATGAGCGGAGGGAGGACATCTCGCTGAAGATTGGCAAGAACAAAGGCAGGAGACGTCGTCGGTATCCCGACCCTGCGGGGAATGGAACCTTTGACGGCGTCGCCCGGCCGATAAAGAAGAGCAAGTCGACCAGCGCTGGCCGAGGAACACGCCCGGGGCGTCGGTACACGGTTCCAGACTTTGAGGATGACTCGGACGTAGATACTTTTGAGCGTGGCAGTGATGAAGATGACGGGCATGAAAGCGATTCTGAATACGTTGGCCACAGCAGTTGGCGCACAATACTTGGAGACTTGGAGAAGGGTCCGCGGTCCAGAGTACTCTTTTACCTGGCCTCGTGGCACCCAGACCTGGTCTTGAGCTTGATACACGGGACTCTTCCCAGTGACTTGCAGAATCCCGATTTCGAGCGCGATATAAGCAGATATATCCAGCTCAAGGGGACTCCAGGATCATACACGCTGTGGACCGCGACCAATCCTATCCGTCGAAATACCCAAGCTGATGACAGGTCCGAAAGGTATGTCGGCTACGGGCTGTCCATCGCGGACCTGGAGAAGGCGTGGTCGGAGATGAGACGGTACATTGATATTGAGCGAACAGACGCCGCGGCCATCCTGAAAGCCAAGAAAATCGATGGTCAGAGAGGTGGCAATGGTAAAGGGATCAACTACAGAAAAGGAGAACGCCTCTTTGGCGGTGGCAAACACCACGACCAGTTTGAACGCCAGAGGTTCTTCCTGAATTATCTCGAGAGTGGTCTACTGCAGTGGGCCAGACAACCCGGTCGTCGGAACAACAAGCGACTGAGGCAACGTCATCTGAAGCGTTGTTTTGTGTATACTGGGTTGTCCTGGAACGTTCTCGGGCGCGCCGTACAGCATTGGCCCACTGGCAAGAAGGACAGCATCGTCTATTGTCTGCTGCAGTCCGTTCTGAGGTCGCTGTTCGGAGACAAGTATGATGTGGTAGAATTCTCTTACCAGACCCTAAAAGCAACGCGGAGAGAGGACCTTGGTTTGGGAGAGATCCTGATGACCATTGTCACCTCCAGCGTTCTGTGGGATGGTGGGCTCAACGTGTACGCCGGCGTGAACTTCGGAAAACGCGACTACTGGGATAACGAGCACTTCCTCGAGATGCTGAAGGATAACGCCAGGAGCATTCGGGGCTCCGGGTTTGTCCTGAAGTCTATCGAGGATACGGCGGCAAAGATCTCAAGGACGGCGCGTGCTCTGGAGCTCCTGGATCGCGAAAAAGTTGTTGACGCCAAGTTGCGGCACTTGCTTCTCAAAATTGGGCTGGAGGACGATACCGAAGAAACGGAGGACCACGTCGATGAGCTGAGGGAGACTCTGGACTTCCTGGATCTCCGAGACGTTGCCGCCGCGTTCGAGGTCGCCATGGCCAGCGCGCCATGCGATGCATATCCGATCGATGCTGCTGGGGTTCTCCCGCAGGTTCGTGCCTGATCGTACGGATCTTCCTTGATCTGCCTGATATACTGTGCTGGCTCTTAATGGCTCGGGTGCCGGCCGCAGACATGTTGAAGACATCAATGGAGAGCTGTGGGATATCTAATTTGTTACGAGTGATGAATAATATGAACTGCCTATGGCAAGATCCCTAGACAATCTCTGAGCCACGCCTCTTTCCTCCTTTGTTTCGAGTTTTGGTTCTTTCTGATGCCTCACCTTGTCCTGCTTTACGTCCCAATCAGCTCTTCGTCAACGACTGCTTGAACCCTGCTTGTGACCTTGAATTTAGACCTAAATCTGCTCAGACCGCGCTCTACAGACAAGAGGATGAGAGCATTCTTTGCTTGGAGGGGTCCAAAGACAGACACAATACCCATGAGATGGAGCACTACGCGCTCCCACGATAGCGAGGACCAGTCTGAGAAGTCTCAGGTGACTCTCCAGTTCCGAGGGACAAGCCGGGTGCGGTGGTTGCAAGCAACGACGTCTCCGTGCTTCCAGTACCCACAAAGCCCTCGGAAGATATATCACAAACATCACAGGCGACAAGATGTGTATGGTTGACAACCCAAGTCACTTCTGTCACCGCCATTGCCACTGGATGAGCAATCAGCTGGCATCATCCTTACGCCCTCGCGGTCTCATGTTTTCGCATTCGACATGAGAGGGAGGATACGCTCTTCAGATTAGGCCTGCTGATCACGTGAGGCATCAGCATGGTGAGACTCTTGGATTGGACTTAGACTGCTGCTAAACTCTTCATGTTGTGGTGCAGTCATGTCTTACGTTCATCTATCGCGAGGATTGTATTCGTCGAATAATCGTGATGTAATGTCGGCTTTCTGCTGAATCACGAATCGCTAGCTGTTCATGACTGGGTGCCTCGGAGAATGACAGAATGTGCAACAAAATCCCGTTGTAACCACCCACAAGTAGTTTCATGTAGAATCGTGGCAGGTCTCGATTGGAGTCGTTAGAGCTGCTAGTTCCGTCTTTGACATGGTTCCTGTCTCCAAGATGAAGACATCAGCAGCATTTTCACAGGCGCGTCCTACCTTGAATGCAGAGTCGAAATTATGCAAGGCCCCTGTTAGAAGCTACAAAGTGGCTTGATAAAGCGGCGTATGCATGACTAGAGCATAAAAAACGGCCGTGCTACTGCCTCAACAGTTTCTCTTTCCGTGTTTCGTTTGTTAGAGCATACCAAGCGGACGCTGGAAGCAGTTTCAGATTCGGCCACTGCTCTTATCCCGAATATTTCACCATGGATCTAGGCTCAGGTCATCGCTTTCAAATCCAGGCGTTCCTACGAAATGATTTGGATCAGGTACGTACACATGAGGCAGACGAGTATTGCACTTACAGATCCAGGATGCCGCTTTTCTGACTGGGGTGCTATCTGATATCCGAAAGGTAATTCAAGATCGTGATGATCTTGCCAGGAAGATCCCATTTTGCATCAAAGAAAAGGGCGAAAAAGACAAGAATCAGCTCAATCAGTTGGTCTCGTACCAGGGCCCTGATGATCAAACTCTGAGAATTCTGAGCGTCCATGAAGAGCTCTGGAAACTACAGCCTTGGAAATTTTGGGAAACGCCGTTGCTGTCCAGCTCAGGCAGACTCGTGAGCCCACAGGCTCAGATAGCGACATACTATCTCCACGGTCAAGACGTCGACGCTTAGTCACGTATGATGAGAAGGTGTGCCTGCATCTTGCTCGTTAAATTTCAGGAACAGTTTCGATGCAGTTGGAACCGCGATTGTACTGAAGTCGTTAGGACTGTCGACAATATGGACAGAAGCCCAGAGGAAATTGAGAGCCAGATCAAATACATGATCAGTTGCGGCGGTCGCTATCTCAATCTTGAGAAGAAGCTCGGACGTGGAGCTTCGTTGCTGCTGGGTCTTGACATCGCAGAGTCCATGTAAGGAAATCCTTCACTTCGGGGAAGCACTGACGTGGCCAGTTGGACCAAAACGTTGCCAAAGTCTGGTGCAGTGCACGACCATATGATCAACCACATAAGGGGAACCAAACTCTTGCCCCTAGTGAATAGGTTTGGGCAGTTGAGGGAACAGGTTGTCGCGTATAAGCTGCAGGAATTCTCAGCAACCAATTCCTCGATGTCCACAATCTCAGCACCCTTTCAAGGGTCGGATACAGCTCCTCGAACCGTGTCGCCGGACGAACATTACTGGCTCAGGAATGATGACGCCGTGTATCATATGGTCACACCAGATGTTTATTGGGATCCCGTCGCAGACGGGCTGGAGATAGAGTTTGACACAGCATAGCATCGTATGAAAGCAGTTAGTTCAGTCATGAGCTAAATTCACACAGGCCCTTTTGGCTCAATGAATGACTCGCTCAGTCGAGACTGGACAGAGGATTCGTGCTTTCCAATCCCGTGGTTGAGTCCGGCGGCCGCCTCGTCAGTGTGGGACTAGATATGATCTGAAAGCGCAGATCCGACTTGACCGTGTTCACAATGTCTTGTAAAACCAGCACCTCATCCGCTGTTGGTACCCCGGAGAACAGCGGCGTTGCCCATTTGATCCAAACATTGCCATGACTTCGGCGCGGCTGTACTCCGACAGGGTGGCTGCGCAAGTACAGGTCGCAGCAGTAACAAGAAGGTTTACTGCAACCTATGTAGCGGTCGTCGGCGATGAAGTCGAGCCTGCGCAGGTGAAAGTGACGCAGTAGGATGACCTCTACATGGAGATCTGTATGGAATCTGCCCCTCTCCATGGTGGAGAGACACCGGAGGATCTGACCAACCATCTTGTCGTTCTGACGAGCATGTAACGCATCTCGGAGTCTGGAGCCATGGAATTCCGGCATCAATTCGCGCAGAATGTCAACAGGCTCATGCCATGGCAGCTGAAAACTGAACGTTCCAATGGAGGTCAGGTCGACCGGCTCCACACGGGCATTCCTGATACGGTCACGGAAGCGCTGGCACGTGAGGACCAGGCGAGTGGCCGCTCTAACCCAGGAGCACAGCCTACCCAACAGATGCCGCACTTCTACCCACAAAGCCTTTTCCTCAGAAGCCTGGATCAAATGGTGGAGGCGCTTGAGAAGTCTTGATCTTTTGAGCTTCAAAGATAGATCGATTAAACGGTCTGGATCTCTCGATAGATTCAGAAATGATTTCAAATGCTGCCTTTCACCCTCATCTGGATCCGTCATGATCAGCATAACTTCGCAAGACCGACCTGAAGGACACGATGTCCTTACCGAGTGCGACAAGGGGCTCTTTTGCATCGACAGCGGCGACGATGGCCTTCAATCTTTGCCCATAATTTCGAACCCGGAGACCAGAAATCTCGATAGAATCACGCGCAATCTGTCGGATAAGGTCCAATGGCGACGATGTGTTCGGTGGGCTCTCATGGGATAAATCAACTAACACTTTTTGAACATGTCGGAGCACTTCTGGGTCGATTGGTGACTGGCTGACAATCCAATAGATTGGCCCAGTGGAGGAGAGACCAACTGCAACAGCCGTGACAGTTTTCCCACCACATTTGTGGTCAGCCAACCAAGCTAGGCTATCCAGAAAGACATGCCATTTATTCCGCTTCGGTACTCGAATGGCGCTCGGCTTGTCTGGTTGGATACTCGATCGGTTCGGAGTCAACAGTCTCAGCAAGACCAGACAACCGTAAAATTCTTGGATCGGTGATGTCTCTGCATCCATTTCTCTTGTTTAGTAAGAGGGAAAATGTGATCAGGACCAGAAGGCGCGCTGCAGGAGCTTTAAGGATCAATATCGTCTCGTGTACTGGTCCATATAGCTTGTTCGGACGACAGTACAAGAACTGCTTATCTATCAATTGCTGGCCCAACGCCCAATATGGTCCTGGACCGAGCATACTGGAGCCATTCTCGCCTGTTTTCTCGATCAGGAGCATGTTGTCCAATCTGTCTCCCTTGTCATCGTCACACCTGTAGCTTGAAAAAGCTACACGCTTGTTTGGCAGCTTCGTGCTGCGCCAACTTGGAACTTGCAGCTTTACCTTCGAACGTACGATCCATGAACGTCATAACCGTCTTGAACAGGTTGGGATCCGCTGACATATGTTCCGAACTGTACAGAGGTTTGGCCCCAATCTTCATCCCATGGTTGTTGACAGCCATGCTGTAGACCCCCGGATTTGTGGGAGCGCTGCGTGCGGTGGGCAATTCTGGTCCACAACTGCCGCTTGCCGATCTCGAGCGCTTTCCATCCCTGCTCTTCCCTCTTTGGTCTTGATGTAGCGTCCTCACTGTCTGCAGCATCTGCTGCTTCGCACGTGCGGATCCTTCGTGAATGATCCATCCCACCAGAATCAGCATTCTTGTGCGGGGATCGGCGGCAACCACCTGAAAACGATTCGGCCGCTCGACTGAATCGATCTCGGCGAGTGACGCGAGACACCTGTCGTACGGGAAATCTCGCATGTGACAAAAAAGACGAGACTGGTCAATTGGTGAGGCACTGAACTGCTAATTCCAGAGGGGAGAGCTTACATCCACCTCAGAGGGGGTGTCGTACGGACTGCAATCTTGCAGCACTTGCTGCGATATGACGCAGTCGAAATATTTCTGACCGAAGCAGTAGCTGACTTCATCACGCATCTCCGTCATTTCTGATGCGAAGGACAGATGCTCCACATCCGAATCCTCGTAGGTCGAAGTTCCATCAGCGTTGGAGAATGGCTTGGCATTCATGTTGTCAGCTGGGTAGAGTTCAAATTGCCGGTCCAATGCTTGAAGAAGGCGGACAATTATAAGTGATCATGACGGCGATAACGACTGTGAAAGACAAGGTCCTTATGTACTTTGGTGGTCACAGGTCGAGAGGCCAATGATGGGTTAGCTGATGGCGCTAAAATGCCGAACGGCAATTTAGCGCGAGTTTTGGATTGCGGCAATTCCTACCAGTGACTGCACTGGTCTACCGTCTATCTGCTGAGGAGGCCTTCTTATCAAGCGAGGAACATCAAGTGTAGCATGGGAAGACAAGCCATACCTCTGTGTCCGGTAGTCTTGCTTGAATCGCATCGACGACGTTGACTAGGATCCGTGGAAATCCTATGCGTAAGAGTTGCCACCACAAATCACCGCTTGCACCGTGGACAGACTCTTGAAGTACTTCCGGAACGGATCCAAGGGTATACAGCCACATGCTCTCAAGAGTCCTATCGACTTTGGACATGTGGACATTGTGGATATGCTCCGAGTCTCGAATGAATGCACCCACGGCACTTCTGTCGTTCGGGTCGATAAAATGGGTTGCGAGCAATCTGCCAACTGTTGGAGGCGAAGCGACAAGATTCTCTGTGAAGGTACTGTGGGTCTGTGTTCGAAGGTCGATAACCCACCAGCGTGCTCCATCGCTTCTGGAATCACGTCGATCGATCTGGAAAGATGGTGGATGTGCACCTAGGTTTATGCAGGGCTGCGGGTCAGGATCTGATGAGTCTTCAAATTGCCAGCATTTGGGGAGATCTGGACACAGATTTCAGGATACTCCATAGTCAAGTCAAACTGTTATCACTCAAATCATCGAGGTGGACTAACTGCGCTGCGTTGCCCAGTGTGCAAATTTCGCCACGACGGCTGCATAGCCAAGGCCAATAGGCCATTCACTCCTCAGAACAACCAGGGAAGATCTCTGTGGGTCGCTAGGAAGTGCAGGGCACGACTGGACACACCGGAAAGCGTGAGATGTATGGCAAATCGCCAAGTGTGTCCGGAACTCATCGCGGATCGTCCAGCGGCTGGCGGAGATCAAATCGTCCACCCGAAAGAGGACAGAAGAGATTCAACCGCGATGAACTCGGGATCAATCCCCAGAATGGGAATGTGTCCTGTTTCGTGAATGCCTGCATGCTGAGATCTGAACAGAAGGCTAGGTCTTCTCGGATGATTGCCAGGCAAAGTACGCAGACAGTTTTCCGACCGGGGTTTCAGACGAGAATGCCCATGCATAATGCCGCACGAATGCAACGATCCTCTCATCCATCGACCTCATCACGCTCTGTGCTGCACCTCCGTCTCGCGCGTTCACGGATGTTTCGAGCTCCACCTCGCCAACAGTATGCCCGAAATCTGTCCGGTCAAGTACGATTTTGAACTCCGAGTCTGCGATCCAGGCGCGGCGACGTGTGCTGAAGCTGGCAAAATGGCTCAGACCAAACAGCCGCTTCGCATCGTAGTCCAGACCAGTCAAGGATTTAATGTGTGTCGAAATGGTCGCCAAATCCGAGACTTCCTCAGAACGTGAATTGATGTAATCACCTCCTCCTCTGATTTTCATTTGCCACTCTCCGTCTCTTCGCCTCAGCCACGTTCCTTTCTTCCAGAGTTGCCCATTGTAGTCATAGTACGTATCGTGAAAATGGCGGTGCCCGAGATCGGTCAGGCTCGAAAATGGAGGAAAACCCGAGTCGACACGTAGAGGGTAGCATTTGAGGGAAGCGAATTTTCTTTCGACCTCCAACAAAACGATAGATGGTGTCCGTCTCATTGTAGGACAGAAGGAGGAAGTCAATCGGGCAACATAGTAGGGGAAAAACGCGTCAGGCGCGATAGACGATCGAAGCTTGTTTCTATGGCAACTGTGCCGAGCAGAAGCCAAGCAGCTCAGACCGTCTTCATGGACTATCTGATGCCAAAAATAGCTGTGATGGCGCAACATCGATGAAGTACGGATCTCATGCATTCAGTGCTGCAGTACGCTGGTCGCAAGACGCAACCTTGCACGTGTTTGATTGCCTCGATATCGCAGCTGCGGGAGGTTCTCGTCTGCATCCGTGTCCTACTGTATGGATCTCTGAGATCACTCGTTTGCGGTGAACTTTCTTCGGTGAAAGATGCCGGTCCCATGGCAATAGATCCCCAGTCGCAATGAAGTGAGTTCACGAGATGGCAACACCTTCACGGGCTCCAAGTGGCATGCTCATCTTGGACCCTGATCATCTCGGATCTGGTAGCATGTTGAAATGTCTATAAGGTGGGAAGACAAACACGATACATAAAACGATAGCTAGGCCGCGAAGTTGCGCTTAAGCTTTATCGTTCTGCCCACTCTGAGCGGTGTTACGACAGTTGGTTTCTCGGTACAACAGCTTCCGCCCAAACCAATCCTGACGGCACAATCGTGCCTGATCTAGCATCGAAGTTCTTAGCAGTGTCGTCCGCTAGGACACATCCCTTCTCATGATGTCGAGTGAAACGCACATCGACTTCAATAATTGTCAGATCGGTCGCATACCCGTCGTTGGTCTTTATGGCATTTCGGGTTCAGGGAAAACATTTGTGCTGGAGGCCCTGAAACGTGCGCTTGGGACCGATCACATCCTCGTGGAAGGCTCGGAGGTAATATCGAAGCTGGTTGATGGTGGCTTGCAAGGTTTCCACGGTCTCGAGGAAAACCAAAAGGAAGCTGTGCGACAACTGGCTCTCCAGACCATCCAAGCAGACTGTCTCAACGACCGCAAAGTCGGTGTGGTGGCGGGACATTTCATGCTCTGGTTGGGTGCAGAGGGCGTGGGATCCTCGGTGTGGACGCAGCAAGACGCCAGCACCTATACTCACATTATCTATCTCAGTCCTCCGGCAGAGACGATACACCATCGCCGTTGCCACGATGCTGCCAAGCCACGACCTGAGGTTACGATCGACAAACTGCGACAATGGCAGTCTGAGGAGGAACGCCAATTGAGGATGACCTGTTATCGAAGTGGCATTATCTACACAAGTGTGAGAGAAGATTCGCCATTGGCCCAGGTCACGTCTCTGCTCGAGCTTTTCCTCCATCGTGGCCAGGAGAGTCACAGGCGGGAAGTAGAGAAACAGCTGGACCACTTCATCGCTCCGGCCGCAAAGAATCTTGTCTCGGCACTCGTCCTGGACGCAGACAAAACATTGTCTCCTGCTGACTCGGGTCACTTGTTCTGGGAACATGTGCACTCCCAAGAACTGTTTGGGACGCAAGGTGACTATTTGAAAGGGATTTTTGGCGGACCACTTGGTTACACCAGTGCCGCCTTCCTTCAAATGGCGTTGCTGTACGAAGAATTGCTGACCTTGAATGTGTTCGACGACGTCTGCACCGATGTTGCGGAGAGAATATCATTGTACCCCGATGTGGCGGCACTCCTGCTAAGATTGCGGAGAGATGGAAAAACTGGGATACTGATTGTTACATGTGGGCTGCGCCGAGTCTGGGAGCGGGTACTGGATCGTCACGGACTCCTCGATAGCGTCAAAGTCATCGGCTCGGGTCCCATACGTGACGCGCATGTCATCACTGGTCGAGTCAAGGCGAACCTGGTGGCTCACCTTCAGCGATATTATCACCTGCATGTCGCGGCTGTGGGAGATGGGGTTTTGGATCTCGAAATGTTCGCTCAGGCCGATCGAGCTGTTGTCATCGTGGGAGATCAAAAGACTCGGAGTCAGCGCATGGAAAAGGAGCTCGCTGCAGCTATCACAGGGGGAAGAGTCTCTGCTAGCCAGGCTCTTCTGTCAGCAGCAAGATCACCTCGTCTTGACACCGGCGTTCTCCCGCTTATCGAATTGAATGCCTCAGAATTTGACGCTCACATCTTGCGCGGGTTACCCTTTCCTTTACTCAACACAATTGACCTCACCGAAACTCGCATCGCACAGATTTTGGCAACTCCAATGCGAGACTCTTCCAACAAAGGGCCTGCATTACGAAATGCACACTGGCAAACCGGCCGGTATTTAGCGCAAACCACTCTACCAAATCTGTTGGGGGTTGAAGAGTACATGATCCGCCACGTTCAGGGCCACAACGTATCAGGACATCGCATTGCGCAACAGAACAAAGCGCTGATAGTAGCCTTGATGCGTGGAGGCGAGCCGATGGCGATGGGGATCAGCGAAGTTCTACCTTCGGCGTCATTCCTGCACGCGAAAAAGCCCGAAGATGTCACGGGAGAGATTTTGGAGGGAACGTCAATTGTTATTCTCGCGGATTCTGTGGTGAATAGTGGTCAAACCGTTGCTGACTTTATCGGCCACCTAACATCCTTGAAGCCGACCATGCGAATTATTGTGATGGCAGGCGTGGTTCAAGTTGAAGCAACAGCCAGGATCGAAGGACTGTGCACGACCAGACAAAGTCGACGTGTGGACTTGGTCACGCTGCGAGTCTCACACAACAAGTTTCCCGGGCGCGGCGGAACAGATACTGGAAATCGCCTCTTTCTCACAGAAACCCTCAAATAGACACGCATCTGGGAGTTTTAACGTGTTCCTTCCGACGGCTTCCGGACACAGGCTTCGAGTTGCTCGTGCTCGACTGTGAGTGTACGTAAGGAAGCAACGTCGTGTCCTTGACGAGATTGAACGCTGTCTCGTTTGATTCCTGTGCACCATGACCCCATTTGTCGATGGCATCGTTGAACCCGCTCGCAACGGGCCAGCCTCTGTCAATAGAATACCTGCTCCATGTGGCGATACCTTCTTTAGAAGTAGTCGAGATGTTGTCGTATGTGCAACAGCTCCTTGGTCTTCTGGGAAGATGCCCTTCGTCACCGCGTATCGAAGGACACTTTTCAGTCGAGACTCGTTCACGCTTAGCTCGTCTGCTCATGCGGAATACGATATGGTGTTTTCTGCTGGAGCACCTTTGGCGACCGAGAACCGGTTGATATACCTCAACTCCGTAGGTTCTATGATCTGTGGCCTGTAAGCTACTGCCTCTCTTGAAGAGCATGTCACTCACCCTAGCTGAGAGGCATTGCGTCGGATAGATCCTGCATTCAGGCGAGGTTAGATCATACTAATTTGTTCCTCTCGATTCCCAAACGTGGGCTGATGTCAATTCAACTGGTCAGAGCGCGAAGATAAGTGCTGTTCATCGTACCGCTCGGGCTAAAGCTGCCAGAGACACCGCGCAAGGCATGCAAGATGGTGGCGAAGCATCGAACTGGCCGACGAAAACTCATCGCTGGAGCCAGAACTGTGGCGAGGCAGCTCATGACTGGTGACGAGAAGTTCCCGTGATCATGGCATCAGGCGTCTGTCCCTCTTTCTTGCCAATGGGGACCAGTTTTGGAGCCATCTGACCGCAACTCTCTGTCTGCTGCAGTCTACTGGTGACGACAATCGAAATATCGGGGGAGCCAGGGAGATGAGGAGTGAATCAGCTCACCTTTGGTCCGGAATTCAAGGAGCGTATCAGCTGGTCTGTGTCAACTTGCATAGGCTAATGAGGCGATGACCCCCAGGATGGTGCACAGAACGATAGAAGGCTTTCCCGATTTCTGACGTGATCGCTTAGACGATCTGGAGACGACGCTTCGTCTTGCGGACGAACAAGAGCAAGCCCGACTCGTCTGAGGCGCTGACTCTGCGGACCAACGACGAAGACCTCGGAATTGTCCAAAATTGTTCAGCCCATGAGCTCACCTCGACATTCGTCTTCTCAGAAGCCAGAAGAGCTAGCTGTTCGGTTTTGCAATAGAGCAGATTTGTTGTAAGACTTGCGAAGCACACACTCAGAAGAAGTTACCAGAGGGTGGCGCCAGAAACGTTCCCAATTCCCATGTGGCGCTTAATAATTCATCTCACCTCTGGTTGACACTGCGGCTTCGTTCCGCTTCGCGAGTATCTCAGCGTTGTTTCCGAGTTTCCAGCAAGCCAGCGAAGTCCCTGGTTGCATTGTGTTCTTGCGGCCAAGCTCTTGGGTGTGGGTAGTTCTTCAATCATGGCTTCAAGTGGTGATCACTCGACTCGACCAAGACACAGCAGCAGCTGCATGGGGCACGGTGAAGAAACGGTCTTGCGTCGATCGCGCGCCTGGCGGCTTCAGATGGACAGGTTAGGATCGAAGATGTGCCAGTTCGCAAGACAATGCATTGAACGGCACGGATCTGAGAGTCGTGCCTGCAGGTCAAGGGACTCCATTTTGTTGGTCGAAGCGTCATGGAGGCGGTTTGCAGCCAGCAGAGAGCGTCTAAGATTCAAAACGGCGTACGCGTAATGCTGGCGTTGATCGCAGGGAGAACAAACAGCGATTGCAAGCTAGATGAAGCAGTGTGTGGAGGAATCGCAATGGCATTGAATGAAATTGAGGACTCGTTAAGAACGCGCAATGTGGAGAAGATCTGCTTTGGAGAAAATCGCCCACTCGCCAGACAGCTCGGCGCAGGCGATTCCTCAAGTTACTCTACGAGAAGTCGGAGTACATCGAGATGTCGTGCGCAACCACACTCGACTTCGACCTTTACTGGATTGCGGTCTATTGTCAGTGGGCGAACACCAGGACCGGGTGCCTGGAGCACAGGGCTCAATTGTCCCTTCGCAAGATCGACCGAACGTTGTGTGATCCACCGACCACGCGTCGGATGCTGAGTACCTCGCCGGCCACGGTAGCGTTGGCCAAACCCGGTCAGTCCTTCTTGATGTCTGTTGTACCAGTGATTGAAGCACTAGCGAGAGTGGCCGTGGTCGAAGAGAGTCGAATACGTCTGCGTGCTTTGTGAATGAGAATATGCCGCCGTCCAGAGGCGAATCCAATGGTCCGATCTGGGCTTCGCTAATTCTGATCTACGCGAGGAACGTGTTAGCGAGGATGACGTTCGATGCTTCAACGATGAGCGCTGGAGGAGCTTCAAGCAGAAAAGGTTGTGGAATTGACTCAAGCTCAACACGAGGTTCAAAATGGTTCCTATATTGGAGCAGCTCGAAAAGCGAATCACCTCTCCCACGGCTCGGGGTATCTCAAGACTCCAGGCGCACGCTCAGGCCCAGAATCAAGAACCCCACAACTGCACTACACTGTTACTGGCTTCGCGTCATGTACCACTTTTGGGAGGGCATAGCCGTCATCACCCTCCCAAGGTTTGCAACATACTTCCAGCTCTGTTTTCTACGGCCTCGGTGTACTACAGCTTGCTCCTGGTAAAATCACTCATGGCCACTCCACGCGTTATATATGTGCGCATCAGCCGCCATCGCCACGCCGACAGATGCGACTTCTTGAAGACTATCATTCACAATGGCAGAAACAATCCCCGGTCCTCGTGGACTCCCGCTCATCGGCAACCTCCTGGACATCTGGGAAGACCGATCCATCCCCCTCCGTGGCCTCGAGCGCCTGGCTTCCATGTACGGTCCCATCTTTCAAGTTACGATCAACGGCCAACGACGTATCGTCTGCAGTTCGGCTTCTCTGCTTGGGGAGCTGATCGACGAGAAACGCTTCGTCAAGATCCCACCTCCCACGCTTGCGGCAATACCAGGTCCCAAAGGTCTCTTCGTTGCCCGGAATGAAGATCCAGACTGGGCTCAAGGTCATCGAATTCTCATGCCCGCATTTGCTCCTCTGTCGGTTCAGGAAATGTTTTCTGACATGAAGGATATTGCCAACCAACTCATTTTGTCCTGGGCGAGGAAAGGACCCGAGAATAGGATTTTGGCTACGGCAGACTTCACCAAACTCACCCTGGACACTATCGCTTTGTGCACCATGAGCTACAGATTCAATTCTTTTTACTCCGACACAATGCACCCCTTCGTGGAGGCCATGGACTTCATCTTCAAGGAGAACACGGCAAAGTCAAGCCGACCAGCCTTTATCCAAAGCCTCATGTTCAGGGCCAACGCGCAATTCGAAGAAGCTCGAAAAGTACTACAAGAAACTGGTAAAAGCATCATTGAAGGCCGCAGGGCCAATCCTACCGACAAGAAAGACGTCTTGAACACTATGATCAATGGCAAAGACCCCAAGACAGGAGAGGTAATGCGGGATGAACTCATTGTTGAGCAGATGATCACGTTCCTGATTGCCGGTAGGTCAGAATCCCTGCCTCAAGAACCGGCTGACTCGACTAGGACACGAAACGACTTCTGGAATGCTCTCCTTTGCTATCATGCAGCTGTTGAAGAACCCTGACGCCTACCTCAAGACGCAGAGGGAGATTGACGAAGTTATTGGTGATAGAGCCATTGAAGCAGCCGACATGCACAAGCTGAAGTATCTCAACGCGGTCCTTCGCGAGACTTCTCGCCTCAATCCCACGGTGCCTGTCCTTCAGAAGCACATAAGCCCTGCCATCAGCCACCGACTCGTCACACTCGACGGCGGAAGATACATGATCAAACCCTCTGACCACGTCGTTTGTCTGGTAGGCAAAACTCAGAGGGATCCAAAGGTTTGGGGGGAGAATGCCGAAGAGTTCGATCCTGATCGTATGCTGGACGAGAACTTCGACAAAATCACTGCAGAACATCCTGGTTGTTGGAAAGTGAGTAGCCCTGCGCTCGCCCTACTTTGGCTAACCCATTCCAGCCGTTCGGTAACGGAAAGAGAGCCTGCATTGGGCGGCCTTTCGCCTGGCAAGAAGCTATGCTCGGCCTCGCAATGATTCTTCAGAACTTCGACGTGAAGTTTGATGATCCCAACTACAAGCCAGTTGTCAAACAAGCACTGACAGTCAAACCGGACAACCTTTACATTCGGGTTACGCCGCGGAAAAGCATGAACGCAACAGCAATGGACAGCCTGATTCACAGCAAATGCGCGAAAGAGAACCTGGCTGAGCGTACATTGAGTTGTAGCAAACCATCAGACGCGACCAAGCCGATGACAATCCTCTATGGCTCGAACACTGGCACTTGTCAGGCCTTCGCCCTCCGGCTTGCTTCGGATGCGGGAGCTCGTGGGTTCAATGCCGGGGCGTATGATCTGGACACGGCAACAAACTCTGTGCCAAAGGATCATCCAGTCATCGTCATTACGTCCTCTTACGAAGGGCAGCCGCCAGACAACGCCGCCAGATTTGTTGAATGGCTCTCCACCTGCGAACCTGGCTCATTAAGTGGCACGCAATACACCGTCTTCGGGTGTGGCCATCGTAAGTACTGCTCTTCTATCTCCAATAGCATGCTCACTGTCTACAGGTGACTGGAGCCAGACTTTTCACCGCATTCCCAAACTTGTGGATACCCTCCTTGAAGGAGCAGGCGCAACACGAATTGCTCCGGTCGGCCTGACGGATGCTTCCAAGGGCAATATTTACGGGGACTTTGAAGACTGGGTTGATTCGTCCTTGTGGGCGACTCTCACAAGTGGAGATAGTCATGGAGTCATTATGGCTACGAGGGTCGAAATCTCCACCAATGCTCGCTCCTCGAACCTGCGGTACGATGTCAGCCTCGCCACCGTCAAGGAGAACCGAGTCCTCACAGCCGAAGGGGAACCGACCAAGTGCCATATGGAGATTGAGCTTCCGCAGGATGCAACATACCAGTGCGGAGACTACCTGGCAATCCTGCCTCTCAACGGCGAGAAGATCGTGAAACAGATTATGGCTCACTTCAGCCTACCAGGTGACGCCGTCATCACAATCAAAGCCACCGGTTCTTCCGCAATCCCGACAAACACTCCTCTATCTGTGTTTGATGTTCTCCGGAGCTACGTCGAGCTGTTACAGCCGGCGACTAAAAAGAACCTCAACACTTTGGCGAACCACTCCGACGATTCATCGGACAAAGCGTTCTTGCAGAGCCTAGCAAACGAAGACGTCCAATTTGAGCACGAAATTACGCAGAAGAGAACGAGCGTATTCCATCTTCTTACCAGATATCCGTCCATCAAGCTACCGTTCGGGGAATTCCTCGGCCTTCTCCCGCCGTTGCAGCTCCGGCAGTACTCGATATCGTCATCATCCCTGGCCAATCCACATGCATGCACGATTACTTACGGAGTGATTGACGCTGCTGCTCTTTCCAATCCTAGCCAGCGCTTCGAAGGCGTGACTGGTACGTACCTCCATGGTCTCGAAGCGGGTGATTCGATCCAGGTCAGTATCCGACCGACGGCCAAGAAGATGTTCCGTCTGCCACCGGATCCACAACAAGTCCCCCTCCTCATGTTTGCTGCCGGGACCGGGATTGCGCCCTTCCGTGGATTCCTCCAGGAACGAGCTCTTCAGATCGAATCCAATCCAGATAGAAAGCTGGCCCCTGCGCTTCTGTTCTTGGGATGTCGCAGTCCGACCAAAGACAGATTATATGCTCAGCAGCTCGACGGCTGGGTCAAAAGTGGTGTCGTGGACATCAGATACGCGTTCAGCCAGGAGAAGGAAGCATCTAAGGGTTGTTCATATGTGCCAGATCGAATGATTCACGACGCGATTGACCTTGTGGAAATCTGGAGGAATGGAGCTCGTGCCTATGTATGTGGCACGCGAAAGTTCGCAGAAGGAGTACGTGGTGCGGCCACCAAGATTGCAGCCATGGCCAGGGATGACCAGCTTCAGCGGACCGAAGTTGAGCTGGAAGAGCTACAAACTCGGTTCCGGGAGGCATTGGAGACCAGAGCTGCCAGTGATGTCTTTGATTGAGTGTTGGTACTGGGAATGTTTAGCTACGGTCGTCAATTATTCTTTTCCCACTTGTATTAGGCGCAGCTTAGACTACTCAAAGTCCAGCACTACTCTGTAACACAAAGAACTCTTTTATCCCTCGACTCCATCAGGCCCAATGTTCCACAAGCACGGGAGGCGATCAGGTTACATTTAACGTATGGGACAATTCACACACGCTAATTATTAAGCCGAAGTCCACCACCACAGAAGTTTGGTAAATATCACTGAAAGAGTCTCTATTCGCGAGATACTACATCTGCGATACTTCTAAGTCGAGAAAGCGAGCGACATTCCAACCCCCAACTTCAAAGAATCACACAGCCGTATTCAAAAGGATGCTTTATGTCGCCTTGAACAGGTTTCCGTGTCCTGAGGGACCCAAACGCCAGCGCAATAGCTCGAAGCAAGTCCACGGGATTCAAAGCATCAGGCAAGGACTTCCCAACAACGTACGTTGGGCCGTCCTTCTCTTGGCCGGTTCGATATTCCCTCACGTTGAAAATGAGGTAATTTCCAACCATGAACATCAATGCTTCAACGCAGATCAGCAACGCCGGTAGTCCAATAGTGATGTCGTCGTAGGTCACTTTGGAACTGCCGGTGACTTTGGACCGGAGGATACTGAAGATGAACTGGCCCGCGGTTAGATTGTTCTAATTGCTGGAGAGCGGACTGAGACTTACCCGCTGAAGGGTGGTGACAACTACAAATAGCTTGAACATCACCAGTTTCACAACAGCCCTCTTACCAGTCATGAACTCTCGAAGTCGGCGCTGGAACCTGACCACTGCGAGAATAGTCCAGATGGTGGTGCCGAGTTCGAGGGCTTGGATCTGCCAACGCTGTTAGAGCACACTACAGTGAGGGACAGCACTCGTACCCAGATGTTTGCAAATCTCGGTTTGGAAGAAGTGCTGCAGTAAGCACCCGTCGCCTTTGTAATTTCTTGGATGATAACGAGAGCTGTGTAGATGACAACGTAGAAGAATACTGTCCTCCAGGTGTTCTGCGGATTCGGTTCAGCAGAGACCAGCAGTAACCAGCGCGACACGTACCCAGAACCAGCGAAGACTCCCGCCTGGCGTGATACTTCCTTTCTTGCTTTTCTTCTCCAAGCTCTGAAAGAAGGCATCTCTTGTCGTGGCGTCTGGAGTGACGTACTGAACATATAGCAAGAAGAGTGACGCTAGCGCAAACCCTTCATAGAGGTTGGACAACGGTTCGAGGTATTCAGCAACATCGTAAGTGTGGGTAGAGATGACAGCAACGATCGTGAAAATCAACGGTGTTGAGACGATTCTGAAAATCTGACGCTGCTCGTTGGGAGCCTTGTACTGGCGCAGGTGAGGGACGATCAGGACGAGCCACAGTATGGCAGAGACAGCAAAGCAAGCCCAGCTGATGATCGAAATGAGATGTTGGAACGTGAGAGATCCTATGAGTGCGGCACCTTTCTCGCCGGCTCCGGCTGGTTTGGCTGGGCACGCCGTCGAGTGTGAATCGAATTCCATATTGACTTTGGCAATCTCGACAGAGGGTGGAGGTGGGAATAATTAGTCACCAGAAGAACAGCCGTCCTGAGGCAGAGTGGGAGTGTGATTGTCCCCAAGATTCGTTATATACACCATGCCAGGAGCCATCTGGTCGGCCAGCGACGACACGATCATGCTGGAGTGGCACGACTGACGTGTTGCAGTGGTTGTAGGGAGCAAAGCAGCATCCAAAGGTCCGGGATTCCACAGAGCTGAGGCTGAGAGTCTTGCGGCGAACATTTCACTCCACGGTCCGGAGCAACTGAACAACCGGAGGCAGTCTTCGTGTTCCACCGAGACGCTCGGCCCTCTGCCATTCGTGGAGCACCAAAGCTTCCACAAGCTGCTCGCCAAGCCTCCTCGTTCGCTTGTCCAAGTCGCGTCCCGTCGCCAGTAGCCCATTGCTGAACTCGGGAGTGGAGGAGGATGGAGCTCACTGCGGCTGGAAGAAAAGAAGAAAAAGGAAAGTTACGCGATGATTCGGCAATCTGAATCTGCTTCTAGCCTCTCGCGAACTGAGGCTGAGGTCTCTTGGCCACCGAACTACGTCCACCAACAACCGTTTCTTTCTTACCTGGCGCTCGTATTTCGTCAAACCTACCTACCCTCCACAAAACCGAAGTCGCATGCGATGCACCAATGGGGTAACCCATGCGAACGGGTTCGAGCTCTTCTCGTTCTCTGTGCACAGCCATGGATGAAGCACTCTGTCGCTGAGTGGTTTTCTTAAAAATGTGCGCTCTCTGCTACGATTCCGCAACGATATGCCGTATCGACTTTGGCGTGCGGGCCCGTCTTGCCTGGACGCTGTCATGTTGCGCCGATGCGATGATGGTCAGTTGTTGGTATTTCCAGAGCATATTTCAAGGTGAGAATCTCGCTCCGCTTGCAACACTCAGTGAAGCAGAAACTGGGGCCATGAGCTCTGGCAATCTGCTAATCATCCGGTGACATATGCTCGTAACCTCGACTCTACATTCGTGTGCCATGGAGTCCCCTATCAGTCACGCCTCGAGTACGGAGGATGACTATCGCGAAATCTACGAAGCAGCGCTCTACGACCGTCTTCGTGACGGTCTCCGGGCGCATGCCCAGGAGCGAAAGGCAAAACATCACCACAAGCTGCTGCCCATCAACAATCGAGACCCGGATCTGACCAGAATCGCAACGAATGCATCCAAAGCAACGAAGGTCATACCAAGGAGACTCGCCGACATCGATCCTCGTCTCGATCCCGAGAAAGACGCGTTCGACTTCCGATTCTGGGCTACAACCTTCATCCAGCTGGTCAAAGAAGACGGGATCAAGCGGGTCAATGTCGGTGTTTCCTTCAGGTCTCTCGCTGTGTCTGGAATGGCATCCAACCTGGGTTTACAGCCTACTGTCACAACCCCGTGGGTTGCTCTTGCTCGCTTGCCGATGTTGCGTAGCAAACGCCAGCGGGAACCCAAAGTGATACTGCACCAACTCGACGGTTCTGTCAAGAGTGGGGAAATGCTGCTCGTGCTGGGCCGCCCTGGGAGTGGCTGCACAACCTTCCTCAAGTCGATTGCTGTTCAGTTGAACGGCTTGACTAAGTCGCAGGCCTCCACTGTCAGCTACGACGGCATCCCTCAAGACGTGTTCATGCGAAAATTCAAGGGAAAGGCGGTCTACAACGACGAGAACGATGAACACTTTCCCCACCTAACAGTGGGACAAACCCTTCACTTCGCTGCATTTGCACAAACACCACATGCTCGGATTAAGGGAGTTGATCGGTTGACGCAAGCCACTCACATGGCTGAAGTCATGATGCGAATCTTCGGCCTGTCGCACGTCCGGGACACAAAAGTTGGCAACGATACAGTCCGTGGTGTTAGCGGTGGGGAGAGAAAGCGCGTGAGCATTGCAGAGATGGCTCTGGCGAGGTCAGTTCTAGCTGTGTGGGACAACTCCACCAAAGGTCTGGACTCAACGACCGCTCTCGAGTTTGTGCGGTCGTTGCGTGCTTTGGCCGACGTAGCTGGTGTTACGCAAGCCGTGGCCCTTTACCAGGCCAGTCAACGCATCTACGAGACGTTCGACAAGGTGCTGGTCCTGTACGAAGGGCGCCAGATTTACTTCGGGCCCATTGACTCTGCTCGTTCATACTTCGAGCGAATGGGATGGTTCTGTCCTCCACGTCAGACCACTCCGGACTTCTTGACCTCGATCACCAACCCGCAGGAAAGACAACCCCAGCTCGAATTTGCAAACAAAGTTCCTAAAACAGCCAGCGCCTTTGAAGATTATTGGCTCAAGTCAGAAGAGTTTCAAGCCTGCATTGCCGAAATCAGCAGCGCCGAAATAGACGCCAAAAACAACGGTCGCCTCCAAGCCTTGCAAGACGCGCACCACGCAGCACAAGCTCACCACACGAGAGCAACTTCTCCTTACTTGCTATCGATCTGGATGCAGGTACGCCTGTGCATACAGAGATGCGCTCAACTCCTGTGGAATGACAGAGCTTCTACTGTTGCTCTGGCAGGAGGACGAGTCATCCTCGCCTTGATCATTGGCAGCGTCTACTTTGGGACCCCCAACACTACTGCGAGCCTTCAGACACGAGGAGCTGTGATATTCCTTGCTACTCTGATGAACGCTCTCATGGCGGTCACTGAGATTGGTGCTCTGTTCGGCAAACGAGGAGTTGTACAGAAGCAGAACACCTTCGCCTTCTACCATCCTTCTGCAGATGCACTCGCCGCTTTCCTCATTGATATACCCGTCAAGTTCGCCATCTCGACGCTGTTCAACGTCGTCTACTACTTCTTGTCGGGACTCAGAGCCGACGCATCAAGCTTCTTCATTTTCCTCTTGTTCAACTTTGTCTGTACGCTGTTAATGTCAGCTATCTTCCGCGGTATTGGGGCAGCATCAAAACAGCTTGCGAAAGCATATGCGGTTGCCGGTATCGGAGTCCTGATGATGGTCATTTACACCGGCTTCACGCTACAGACGTCCTACATGCATCCTTGGTTTCGCTGGATCAATTATATCAACCCTATTGCTTATATCTTCGAAGCGTTGCTCGTCAATGAAGTCCACGGCCGCCGGTTTCCTTGTGCTTCGCAGAGTCTTGTTCCGCCCTATGCCAGTGGGAACGAGAATTTTGCCTGCGCTGTCATTGGCGCGCAACCTGGAGAGCGGACAGTTTCTGGAGATCTCTGGGTCCAGTCAGGGTATCAATACAGCTACAGCCACATTTGGCGGAACCTGGGGATCGCATTGGCGTACATGGTCTGTTTCCTCGTCATCCACCTCGTCGCCGTGGAGTTTATGTCTACCGCAGACGCACAGCCACAGCGGCTTATCTATCGGACTCGCAAAGCAGCACAAGCCTCGAAGAAAGACGTTGAGTCGGATGCACACCAAGAGTTCGCGACTCCTCCGAATGCAGCAACGAACGAGAAGGAAAACCCCGGTGACGGTCGAACCGGCAGGCAAGCGAGCAAAGACCATGCCGACAAGATGACCGAGGCAGCTGGCGTCCTCACTTGGGAAGACGTCACACTAGATATAATGATCCAGGACAAACCCAGACGTCTCCTGGACAGTGTCACTGGGTGGGTCGACAGCGGTAGGCTTACATGCCTGATGGGTGTCTCAGGGGCCGGAAAGACGACGCTCCTTGATACGCTGGCACAGCGCCAGACCACGACCGGGAAACGTTCCGGCAGTATTCTAGTGGACGGAATGCCACTACAACCGTCTTTCCAGCGCAAGACCGGATATGTTCAGCAGCAGGATCTCCACCTTTCAACAAGCACTGTTCGTGAAGCCCTCCGTTTCTCTGCCCTCCTCCGGCAACCTCGGTCAGTAACCGTTGAAGAAAAGTTCGCCTTTGTTGAGCATGTCATCGACATCTTGGGCATGGAGCTATTCAGTGACGCGGTCATCGGTCAAGTAGGCGAAGGACTGAACATCGAGCAGAGAAAGCTCGTCACCATTGGGGTGGAGCTTGCGGCAAAACCTTCAATCCTGTTCCTGGACGAACCCACTTCCGGCCTCGACTCGCAGAGCGCATGGACAATTGTCTCGCTGCTGCGAAAGCTGGCAGACAATGGCCAAGCCGTGCTGGCTACCATCCATCAGCCCTCGGCTATGCTGTTTCAGCAGTTCGACTCCATCTTGCTCCTGGCGAAAGGTGGACGGACCAGCTATTTCGGGCCGCTTGGGGCGGATTGTCGTACATTGACACAATACTTCGAGAGGCATGGCGCTCCGAGCTGTGCTCCAGAGCAAAACCCTGCGGAATATATCCTCAACACCATCGGAAGTCCGACTTCCCACGACTGGACGCAGATCTGGCAGTCGAGTCAAGAGTGTGCCGCAACCAAGGAGACGCTCCGGACGATTGTCGCGAACGCCCAGCTCGCCACGAGAGGCCCCTCCGACCCTGACGGCGAGTTTGCACTTCCTTTCACGGCCCAGCTCCGGCTTGTTCTCCAGCGGTTGTTCCAGAACTACTGGCGCAATCCCACCTACATCTACGCCAAGCTCCAGTTTGCAATGCTCTCCTCCCTCTTCATCGGCTTCACTTTCTACCTGCAAAACTCGTCGGCAACAGGGATGCAAAACGTCGTCTTCGCCATCTACATGTTGAACGCAACGTTCTCCTCCATGGTCAATCAGGTACTGTTTATGCCCGTTCTTCGTCCAACCCCACCTGATTTGGCTACATGTGCTAACGATTCGGACGCAGATCATGTCACGGTTCCTTCCGCAACGCGCGCTTTTCGAAGTCCGCGAAGCCCCTTCCAAACTGTACAGCTGGCTCGCGTTCGTGCTGGCCAACATTCTGGTCGAGATACCCTACCAGATCTTCCTGTCTGTGGTCGTCTGGGCGTGCTGGTACTTCCCCATCTTCGGCATACACCACGATTCAGCCACCCGGGCCATGATGTGGGCATTCTGCATGCAGTTTTTACTCTTTGGAGCGACCTGGGCGCAGATGCTCATCTTCGTCATGCCCAGCACCGAAACCGCCGGCGCGCTCTCCACCATCCTTTTCACGTTGACGCTCCAGTTCAACGGCGTGCTGCAGCCACCCACGGCACTGCCTGGGTTCTGGATCTTCATGTACCGCGTCAGCCCGTTCACATACCTTATCGGCGGATGGGCGGGGACCGGTCTGGCGGACCGACCAGTCGTTTGCGCCAGCAACGAGCTGGCCATCTTCGATCCCCCAGCTGACCAGACCTGCGGCGCGTATCTCTCAGCATATCTCGAGGGTGGCGCACCTGGCTCTCTGCTCAACCCCTCTGCCGTGTCCCAATGCGAGTACTGCCCCTTGCGAAATGCCAACCAATTCCTCGCCGGTTCCTGGATCCATCCCTCCGACAAGTACCAGAACCTGGGTATCCTCTTCGCTTACATTGCTTTCAACATGTTTGCTGCCGTCGTGCTGTATTATGTTTTCCGTGTCAGGCGCTTCTCCATCAAAAGTCTACGGAAATCAAGACCGCACAGCGAGGGTAAGGACAAGCAGGCGGCGGGAAAACATCACAGGAGTAGACTGTTCTATCCCGGATTCTACTACCATTTCACCCTAGCGCTGCTTAGGAACCTTGTTCGGTAGTTAGAGGTCTGGTATGTACTTTTAATCATCTCGAAAAATAAATGATTCAATTCACATTCAGAACCATCCTTGGTTGTATATTTTCTCTTGCGGAAATGTTGTAACAAAACGAGGGCAATTTGCGTAGACGCCTTCACTTCCCATGTTGCGTTTCGTGCAATGCTCTTGTACTCATTCGCCGCTATCCTCGACGGCGCCTTACACCTGGGCCATTTTCTCCTGCTCGAGTGTCTGCAATTGTCAGCGATCAAGCCATCGTTGCACGCTTTGGAAGATGTACCTCCGTGATATCGTCGACGGGGACGACGATATGTCCTATTGGATTTGACGTCCCAAAAAAAGAAATGTCCCTCTCCAACTGCAAGAGCAGTGTCACCGTGTATGGGATTCTTGCCTTCATGGATCGGAGCATGCCCATGAGTAAATCCAGCGACTCTGAGTGTTTGTTGGTATCGACGGGATGTGGCTCGGACAATTCTTGGACAAATACCCGGGCCGCGAGGTACAGACAGAACGGCAACCAGGGCCCAGCCTGAAGAGATCTATCAGCCTTAAACTTCGGGGATGGGGGCTGCCGGTTTATCACCTTGGTCATGAAAGTAGCATCGACAACGCGCAGTATAGTCATCATCGTTTCCGCGGCTCCTAGACACCTCATGCTGCTCTCCACCAAATCAAATCCGTTGCCTGGTGAGCTCTTGGCTTTAGAGATTGCAGCCTGATGTAGACAAATGGTGCTTGCTTGAATGTTGATGTGTAACTGGACCGCTGAGGGGTTGAGAAGGCTCGAGCCAATCTGGAGCTGAGGTGGGAGATATTCAAGGGTTTTAAGCAATACTGTGTCGAGGTAGTCGTGTCGTTTCCGAAACGCACTGTCTGGCTCTTCCAGGCTGCCATCGTCAATCTCTTTCCGGTGTAGATGCGTCAAAGTTCGACCAACGACAGCTGCTATCATGGCTGTCGCCGCAAAAAGATTGAGGTTTTTGATGCCTCGGTCTGTCAGTCTATGCCCTGCTCTGCTCTGCTCTACCCAATCTTCACTCACCATCTGGAGTCATGGCAACTTGTAGGGAAAGTGACGGTCGAGTGGCCTTCCCCGTTACGAATTCTTGTTCACTCGCGGGCAAGTTAGTCGCAATCTGAGTAAGGTCAGCAGCCCGTTTCTCCACAAGAACGGCAGGAGCGTACATCTCGCTCATCTATTACAGACGGCCAGCCTGATGCTAGACTCTGATACCGATCATGCACAAAGACTGCCCAAAATACTCGTCTCCTCTCCTCCAACTCAGCCCAGTCCATTGCCGAGGGCAACATTTCCTTGACGTCAAAGCCAGCGCCGTCCAGCCTGTGGAGATTCATCATATGACACAGTCGAACTGCTCTGCCAACACTCAACCATGCACGGGGGAAATACAGCATCCGGGTCTCGTAAGCAGCCAGGTAGGCTATCGCTTGCATATGCGCAAGAGTAACAACGCCATGGCCTCTACCAGCTATTTCATCAACATCAATGTACTTCCGGGCGCGATGGTAGAAGTGCTCTGTGACGGCGTTGTAATTCGGGCTAACAGATGCAGCGAGGCACCAAATCGCGTAACTAAGACAGACGGGTGGTCGGAGTCGCGATGTGGCTGGCAAACTCATCGCTGCGAGATACCTTCCTTTGTTGATGATGGGCGCTCCGGGATAGATCTTCTCGAAGAACACTTGGTGTCTAGGGGGATTTTAGCGAACTCCATCATGATGCGCTTTGCGCGGGTGCTCACAGCTCGCCGATAGCTTCTTGACTGGGCAAAGGCTCTTGAAGACCAACAGCGCAGAGTTCCCAGGAAGCGGCATTCTTGCCAGACGGTATATCAGCATCCTGCTCTGGGCTCGTCGAATGCTGCATAACATCATCTGTCAAAGATTTCGCCGCTTCTCCGAAAGGCTGGTAATCTGGCATGCAGCTGTCCCACAATGTTCCATTGAGATCATGCTCAATTGCGACGAGTTCATCATCGTCCGTAACAGGTCTGGATTCACCCTGATCGCTGCCAGTAAACTTCTGGTTTTCAAGCAGAGACTCGACCTCAGCTGCGGGAATTAGTGTTTGATACGAAGCAATAAATGCAAATGCATTGAGGACCGACCGAGTCGAGCTTCCAGTGATTTCACGTAACCTCGTCGAGGTCCAGTTTTCCGAAGAGTATCCTCCCAGTCACATTGCCTGCCAGTGGTCTCGCATGTCTTGCAGAGCGGACGGTTGCCGTTGCATCGCAGCTTGCGCTTCCGGCAAGAATTGCAAGCGAGGTGCTTGAACCGATAATTGGTTTTTGAGTTGCCACTGCTTTCACTGTGAGGCATCCTGTGGGCAACGGATGATTTTTGTATCTGAGTATGGACAAGGCAAGTATAACGTGCGAGGTATATGAAGAACTCGATGGAAACGCTGTCTGTATACCTGTGGAGCACCCTTGCTGGACTCGATAGGGACCACCAGCTGTACCCATGGGCACGATCGGGCAAGTGGAAGTGCGCAACTCCAAAGGCACAAGAATCCAAAGCTCCTATGCTCAGCCGCAAAGTTAATGCGGCCACATTGCGGCGTTCTGGTCATTGGCAAGCCGTACCTGGCTTCAGTCGGCCATGGTTGGTCCAAGACCAAAGTTATACGAGAGTCCGGAGGCGAAAGAGGAAGGCCTAGCCTGATTAGATTCGCATGGTTGGCGCGACCAATAGCAAAGACGCTCAAGGCGGGATTGCCCAGTCGCTGTTGGTCCCTTCAGAGTTGATTCTGCGACTACCACAAAATACGATTGCGGCCAAGCTTGCCCAGGGGCTAGAATTCCCAGCGAGCTGTCTGTCTTTGGCGACTGGTCTTTCAAGCCATGCCCAGAGGATAGGGCAAGCAGACAATACAGCTGAGAGGTTTAAGCCGCTAGACCTCTGCGCATCTTTGTCTGATACGGGTCGTCGGAAGGTTCGGGCATATACAGCGTCCATATATGGAGCATATGGCTTCGCAACTGGCAATTGTGGATTCTCCACGATTGTTTGCAATGGACTACGGCATCCACTGGAGACGCGCTCAAGGACGGCATCCCACAGAGGATCCACGCTGGCAAACGTAGAAAGCATCGATGAAAGAGAGTCGTGGACGTCGAATCAGACCCAAACCGCCGAAAAGTTTCTGAAGGTTAATGATGGGATGCATTTCCGATCGAAGGCTGGCCCAAGCTCCGAAAGCATGGTTACGGGCGTCAACGGCGTTGATGCCAGCCGTGTTTCGCGGTCCAGACACTCGAATACAGACGTGAGATTGTCGATCAGCAAGCCGTTGGAGAATGAGCGAACATGACGATCGATTCGTCCCCAGCCTGGTGAATTGTGACTGTCCCAGACATGGTGACCAAGGAGACAGCAGATGAGGCAGTCCGGGATGCCTGCGGCCTCCTATCCTGCATGCTGACATCGCGAGTATTCTCGGATACTCCCCAATGTGGCATTCGTCATCTTCATTTTAACTCCAGATGGGACGATCTCTGCTGACCTTCTTGGATTTATTAAGGCGGCAAGGCTCCCACAAAGGGAACCCTGATCAATGCCTGTGTACTCACCTCTTCCGCGAGTCTTGCGCCGGACCACCGTCGAATCTCAAACATTGCAAGGACGGGAACCCGTGGACCGAAGAGGCAGTCAAAGCAGCTTGTGTTCCCCCAAGTTGAGGGCCTTTGCGCATTGGTTTAGGACAATATGTGGGAGCCTGACAGACTAGAACAAACCGATTTTGGCCTTCAGAGCCAGTGAGCCCCATCCTTCGTGGAGCAGGTGTAGCTGAGAGACGAGTCGTTCCAGCTGTAAAATCTAGCAAGACCCTTTGATAAAACCCATGAAGAGTTTCAGAGATTCATGACATGGTGGAAGGTCTTAATCATGGGCCATGTCAACATCCAGCGATATGATGCCCCTCACAAACCATCCACAGCAAGGATTGAACATGTAACGATGGAGATCCTTCGATCCTCCTTCTGTATGGATGATGTCCGCTCTCAACTAGCAGCGCTGATGTGTCCCTCAGCCATGCGTGAGCCCAACTTGCACTTGCTCAGCCGACTACCTGGATCGGGAGTATCAGACATACTTTGTGTGAGGGCAGGTCTCTCGGGTTGTGAGCATTGCACTCATGAGACTCCGTAATCACCGTTACTCGCAGTAGACACGAAGTACTTTTGGCGAACTAACCCCGGAGCGCGTTGAGATAAGGCAAAAGACAGGGGATTGTGCTATGTAAGGTCACAATAAGTGTCAGCACTGTAATGAGAAACACCCACCGACCTACCTCTCTGCGGCACCCGTGTCGGGTGAATCTGGTAACTCAGGACCGCAACGGGAATGCCGTGTTGGAAGCTGGCCCAGTCGAAATATGGTTACCCCGAGATTTGGCAAATTCAGATCCAGGAGTATGTTCCGCGCTCACGGCCGAAGCAGCTGATTGCCCGCGAGATCGTACAACATTGAGAAGTGTCTCGGGCGTTGGTGAGTGTCGTGGGCGCAGGCTGCCCGTGGGAGGACGCTCAAGCAGCAGACGCTGTTCGGGAGCCAAGGCAGCAAGATGGCAGCAAGATGGAAGGATGGGCCCAATGCTCAATCTGACACAATGTCCATCTTACTGTACTCCGTACAATGATCAGAATGTTGCAACGCAGCTACACCGAAGCTCCAAGGCTCATGCTTTCAACACGCGCCGGGTCGGCTGATGACCTACTCTAACCGTTGCGGACTTCGCGTCCGCCTCCACATGACTTTTCGGGCGATGCTCGCTACCGACTTCCAGCAGCGCCCCGCAGGCTGAACCCAGGCTCAGCAACGCCATGCCCGGGAACTGAGCCAGATGCAGGATAGCCGGAAGCGGCTGGTGCCATTGCGAATCCAATGGCGTGTTTCCACACATAGTGGATGTCTGGGTGATCTCTTGTCCATGCCCCTTGCAGAAAGTGTTCTTTAATTGCTGAGCTGGTCATCTGTAGGGGTCACCGCTCAACAGCCTCCTGCTCACAGAGGTTTCTCAGCCAGCTGTCGAACTTCCTGGACACTCCTACATGTTTCACCAATTTCCGCCTAATGGGAACCTTCACACAGAATTGCTCCCAGAAGCGGCCCAAGGCTGCAGCGGCCGTGCTGATAGTTCGGATGCAACGCGTGAGTTAGCGGTTGATTACAGCAGGGTTACCCGGTCAGCGCGACTGCGGTCTGACGAAAGCTGAGGTATAGCGACTGAATACAGACTGGAATCGGTACGGGGTTCTTCAGGTCTGCAATTATATAAGACTGGAGGATATACTGTCAGGGTATGAGAGTCAAGCAAGAGTCAATGATCATTCCGTCTGGCAAGCCGATCAGCAAGTACATCTAATGTTCACTGCGTACCAGCAATTCACTTCCAATATGTCTCTCCGCAATGCCTTTCAGGATTCGGCTCGGAGCTCCTCTTCCAGCAGTCGCTCATCGTCTTCAAGCAGGAACACAGTACGGAACGATCCGTGCTCGGCGCCGACCAGACTCCATTCCGCGCCAGCATACCAGTTCGTGAACTCCGCATCAACACAACAAGAAGGAACGTCTCCGTCGACCTCGTACCGCGATTTCCTTGAAAGGACACTGGAATGCAATCATGGATGCGAAGAAGCACCACCGCCGTACATGCTGCTCTGCAACGGCGACACAAAGCCCCAGTATTCAGAACGCCTACCAACTACGGCACTCGATGGCAACCTGAGCCGGATGGACGGTGCTCTTTGCCTACGATGCAACGCCAGAAAAGCAAAGGCTTGGTACATGCGACATAAGGAGCGCTCGAGAAGATGAAGGATCACCATGCCCTGTACCACCTTGTATCCATATCGTGTTGAGATTGTACGAGGTATTTTGACTAGCAAGGCGCTGTGAATAGCAATATAACGCGCATCAATGAGATATTTCTCCGTTCTTACTTCTCGCTTTCGTGATGCGAGCCAGTCTTGACCACTGAGCGTCACATCTTTCACCCATGGGATTTCAGCGGAATGGATCGAGGTGATCTTCAAGACATAAAGCACGACCATCGAGCGTGATTCGCGGTTGAGCCTGCATAACTCCCGCCGCTCCGTTATAATAGTCATTCATGGTTTATTGATCGCCCACCTTATCAGAACCCAAGTCCTACCACTCGACATAAGCCTTATCCGCAGCAACAGAGCGTAAGCAGTCCGCCAGGAGGTTGGTATTCCCGCGTTCTCTCCCTTAATAAGCCGCTTGCTCGGTGCTGAAGGATCATTTGCCTGGGTCTCTGCGGAAAGGCGGCCTGTAGCCAGGCCTCATGGTGCCGTACAGCAAGAGGTCAATCCGCCCTGTCGCCGAAGCCAACTTTCAATGGCAGGAGTGTCCTCGAGTCGAGTTTATCGTCCGTACATCATGAAGCCATGGAACAATCCTCAGCTCTCGTGTCATAGCATACGATTTGTGGCCATTTGCGTTGAGCTAGACAACAATGCCAGGTTTGACATATCTTCCAAGCTATAGGGGTTCCTCCCATCAAGCCCGACAGTTTTCTGAGACGAAGTTTTGCACGAGAACAGGTCTTGGGAAGTTTCATGGACAAGGAATCCATTCGAGGCCATAAGATAGCCGAAACTACTGATTGAAGCCGATGGCGCAAAGGAACCCACAGCCTCTTGCTTTCGACTTGAACAGGTTGGATGCGGATGACATAGTGACCATGTCCTAGCAATTGATGCGCCACTCATTACATAAACAGTGGCATGACAATGGAGTGGCATGAGGCTTTTAGGCTCGGGATTTCAATCCCCCCCAGCACCGGTGACTCAAAAAAGAGCTTTTGTGTTGAAGCGTTTGTAATTCCAGATACCCGATTGGTCAATTGGAGAGAGCCGCGGAGATACACGTGGTTAGGGACATGCCGGCCAGGGAAATCCCCCCAGACACACGTTACTGTCGGCGGTCTCAGGTGTCGTGACACCGGAAGACGAACCCACTCGCACGCAAAGAATGATTCCGACTGCAACATTCAGTGTCAGATTCCGATTTATGTGTCTCCGGGAGGTGAGGCAAGCGAGGCGGGTTATGGGCTATCTTTCTGGGACACGGGCACATTGTCGTCTGTATTGTGTCGCTGCCGCGGAAATATATGCTACAATGGCTGAGTCGTGAACAGCCAGGTCGGCACGGTATATAATCCAGCTGGCAATACCGCGGATCCGTGACTGCTCACTGGCCTGACAAGCGGACAACAGCCAACATTGAAGAGCCAGAAACCACCATCACAATGGAGCACATCGACGGAACTGTTATCGACCGAGACCTCTCTGCTCGGATGAGATACATGCAATCCTTCCTGCAATGGGACTCAGACAAAGATGGAAAGCTCATCGAAGCATGCAAACCCGTCCTAGCTCCCATCGCCACCAATGTAGTCGATGCAGTCTATGATCATCTGCTAAAGTACGACATCACCGCCGCAGCGTTCGCACCGAAACAGTCGCAGGAAGGAAAGACCCAGGATGCCAACGTACGAGAACTCCACCGGGATCACCCAAACATCAAGTTCCGCAAGGACTTCTTGAAGGGATACCTTGTCAGACTGGTCTCGAACCACGACTGGACACCCGAGAGCAAATTTTGGGAATACGTCGACATGGTTGGCAAAGTCCACACAGGCGTCACCGACTCTGGCTTGAAGCACAGAAAAAACCGGCCAGCCTTGTTCGTCGAGTATCGTGAAATCAATCTTTTACTGGGTTGGGTCGAGAATGCTGTAACGGATATTGTAATGGGTGTCGAAGGACTCGAACTCCAGACAAAGGTCGACATTCTGAAAGCCCTGAACAAATTCTGGTGGATACAGAACGACTTGTTTGCCAGACATTACCTGCCAGGTCCGAGACCATTCCAGTCAGCGCAGAATGAGCGTCATCTAACCTGGATTGAAAAATTCAAGACTGATCCAGTCTTTCCAGTGGTGTCGGCCGTGGTGCTTATCGCTGCTATCTGGAGCATTCCATTCTGAGCATTCTGGGGAGAGCAGGAAAGGAGCAATGGATGCGGAGCGACCGTTTAGAAACGTGGGATAGATGGTCAGAGAGAAGACTGAAAGGCCTACAATCACACATAAGAGTAGATATACGCGCCCAGTCAAAAGAACCCTTGGGTTTTTGATCAGCGCCAGAACTCAAGCATGACTGCAAAGAAGGTACACGAGGTTCAAGGATCATGAGGACTCCGTACTCGTACTCCGTAGTGAGGGTCGATGTTTGCGTACGGCGCGCGATTGAAGGCCAAGCTTCCAAAAACGGTTTTGGAGAAGTCGATCTTCCGCCTGTGAAGACTCAGCACTGAATAGCAACACGATCCTGCGACGTCGCAACCAAATCAGCATACGGAGTACTCGGTCTATCTTCGTTTCCCATCTACCAAGGGTCATTCATCGGCTGTCCTATCGCGACATGATCTGCTCAAGCTGCCGTCAATCGCTGGTTTCCCGTTTCCGCACGCTCGTCGTCAGCTCCAATCCCTCAGTGTCGCCCTTCTCCAGCCTACGTTATGCCTCTACGGTCCCTGCGACTCCTAATGCTGGCCCAGTTCCAGCCCCGGTATCCATATCGATAGATCATCCGAATGTTTCGCAATCCTCAAATACCTCCGGCATCTCACAACCCCTTTCTGAACCACATACTCCCTCAACATCAAGCGCAAAGACGTCGGGTCCTACATCCACAAAAGATGGAAAGGTTGCCGCGAAGCCGAGGAGCTCGGTACCTGGAGGCAAGGAGCTGAGAGGGCTGGGTTACACAAAAGCAAAACCGAAAGTGCTTGCCATGGAGGATGATGCGTACCCGGAATGGCTCTGGACACTACTTGACGAGAAGAGACCGGGCGCAATGGCCGAAAAGGTAGATCTAGCAGGTACTGTGCCCGTCTGCTGCCATCGATCATCCTCCTTACTTACATGAACAGCTATGACCAAGAAACAACGCCTACGCTACGAAAAGAAACAAGAGCGACTGTTGAAGGACATTCCAAAACAGATCCCCGTACACGAGCAAAGCAAGGATCTGACCACACCTGGAGACGACGCCTTGACGAGTTTACAGCGCCGGCAAGAGATCACGAAGAGCGCAAGAGCGGCACGGAGGAGAGGCATTCGTGAAAGCAACTTCTTGAAGTCCATGTAGGCTCGCGGAAGTGGATATTGCCAATGTACAACATGCTCGGGGCTGTATTTGCACTAAATTTGCACATATTCAGCCTCTATTTTGAGCATTGCGGTATTCATTGTCTATATCTCGCCCAACGCCAGATGCTCTCGGACGCCAGCCCTTCGAGCAGACCGCGATATATCATGCATCGTGTGTTTTATGCAACGTAATTCGCGTCCATTTGTTGAGCCCCAACTGATGTTCAACATTTGTCTCCACCGGGGGTATCATCACATCTCGTTCATCCCTGGCAATAGCCGAATCCGTGCTCCATGAAGTCGTTTCTAGTTCCCTGCCATTTGTGACCAAACGCCGCAAAGCAATGTCTCAGGTGCGAATGCTGCTCGTGGCAGTGCTCCACCTCAACCTCCTCAGTCCACCTGCACTGGATTTCATTGCTTCCTGACCACAGCTCCCACCAGGGAGGCCCATCTCTCCTTCAATCCTGCCCACTTCACGACCCCAAGCATATCCCGCACTGAAGCTGATGGCGGAGAACACCAAAACCACGCCAGCAGAAATCATCCACGAAGCAAGTGTCGGGCTGATTGACTCTTCATTCGCGGTTGCTGTCTTGCCCGTGGCACGGGCTTTCTTCGCGAGCCGATCTTTACTGGCCTCACGAGACTTCCGCTTGGTCTGTTTCGGGGACGAACTTCTCCTTTGCCGGACCGGGTTTTGTAGCTCCGATTCTGGAACGAGCCGTAGCGCGGTTGGCTGTGTCGATGCTCGAGGAGGGGATGGTCTGGTTTCGGCGCCTTTGGGTCGGACAGCGGCAGCACAGGAAAGCAATGTCGTCAGAGACGCACGAAGGGCTGCATCATGATCTGGCTGGTACGATAAGGAAGCAGGGCGATTCCGTGACTGCATGTGACGTTGGTAACTCCGCTCTGTGGTTGTATGATCGGCATGGGAATCGCTAGGAACTGCTGGGAAGTATGAGTCTGGCACTGGTCGCCCGTGACTAGTCGAGGTAGGCGGGTGAGAGAAAGCATTCGGTTGAGGTGTGAAGACCTTTCCCAAACTCCCAACACCTAGCGCCGTGGAGGTATCATCATCGTCGGCTACCTCATTCTGATAGATGTCCTCATTGGAGCTGCTCAAAACTCGATCACTATCGCTTTCACTCTCTTCATATTCGTCTTGGCTACTTCCGGCTGCGCTTGTCGACCGTTGCTGAGGTCGTACTATCTGGGAGGAGGCTCGGAGTTGCCGTGAGAGGCGTTCGTCCCGCGAACGGACTTGGAGTCCGGTAGTGATGATATCGTTGTTTGTGGATGATAGAGAGGCCGATGAGGCTCCCGAGGAAATTTCAATCCAGGAATCTGCGAGAGGTGAGCAACGGATTTTTAGTACACAAGATCGGTCCAAGGACGATGCCTACCTTCGGAGCGCACTCCTCGTACACTGGCATTTGCTGGAAGGGATGGAGTATCTGCGGTCCGCAGAGTCCGTGCTTCTGCTCGCTCACTTCTGTGGGAGCCAAAGAGCTCGGGTTGAGATGGTCGCATTCTGTTGAGGGAGTCTTATCGCCTGTACGCTGATGACAATCGAAGTCGTGATACGTTCTGGTCGTCGCCTACGCCGCGATGTCGTCTCGAACTCCGGCGTAGGATCTGCAATGACTGGTAATTGCAACTTGGAATGATTCAAGCCGCTGAAGGATTGAGATGTAGAGACAGGTCAACGGCACGCGTTGCACCTGCCAGGTCGCAAACGACAGTCCTAGGTTTGGGTCTCACCGCTGATGATGGTGGGGGAATCCGGTGATGTTCGGTGGGATTACGAGAACGCGACTGCGACGATCCGCGCTACAAGGGTCTTCTGTCAGAAGCGGGGTATGGCTGTATGACCTTCACGTTGGCACGAGATTTGACGAAGGTGATGTTCAAGAAAGAAAATGTAAGGGTAAGATGGAGAGAGGAAGACGGCTACAGATTTGTTGAGGGCCCCCGTAATCAATGGAGATAGTATCCAGCTGCCATGTATGCGAGGCCTAGAATGAAGGGGTTCTGCAACAGGAATGCAGGCTTGACTGACTAGTCACCATTCTCCAAGCCACTCAGCTGGTTTTCCTGGCTTTACGGCACCAAAATGGACGGCCGATCTTGATTTGGCGTCCGGATATCAGGTGTCCTGGCTGGATGATGGAGATGCATCACGCGGGCAAGGGCTGGATGGCGCACGATGGCTGCATCAGATGAGGGCAGCAGTCCTTGTGCCAGAACCAGCCACTTACCTCCGAGCCCCGACATCGGCATGGCCTGGCAGTGAGAGAGTCACGGGTTCATCCAGTTCAGTGAGCGGTGTATGATCATTGCCTTCTATTAACTCCAGTTACACAAGGACAGCAAGCATTTTAAACTTTTTTCCGGGTTATGTTGTGCACCCATCACCACGAGGTATCTCGGTGTACATGTACATGAGGATGTTCCCGAAGTACAGTGGTGATCAGACACAGTGAAATCCCCACCAGAACGCCGTATCCAGGTGTTCGCATTGTCCCAGGTTTAGGACGATTGTCACTCCGTTGCATTCATTTAGAAGGTGACCTTAGTGCCGGAGAAGTCTCCAAAGCCGCCACGGTTGGTGGTGCCACCTCGACCACCACGAGGAGCTCCACGACCACGACCGCCGCCTCTACCACCGCGGCCTCCAAAGTCACCACGGCCACCTCCACGGCCACCTCGTCCACCAAATCCTCCACGGCCGCCACGACCGCCGAAGCCACCGCGGGCGGGAGAGTCGCCACCATTTTGCCGGCGGGACGAAGCGTAATCAATTCGGACCGGACGATTCTTGATGAAAGAACCCTGAGCACCCTCCAATGCAGCTTTGGCTTCGTCGACAGATGCGAATGTAACATAGCCGAATCCCTTGACGCTGCCATCTTCAGGGTTCGTGGGAATGCGGACACCGGCGGCAGTGCCGAACGGAGAGAACAGGTTGTACACATCGTCCTCGGTGGCCTCGAAGGACAGATTTCCGAGAAACAATGTGTCGGATGGCTCACTGAGCTGGTCGCCAAACCGCTGGCCACGAGCCTGTTGCTTCTCTCTTGCATCCTTCTTCGCGTTGGCATAGTCGATGTTGAGAGGGCGACCGTCTAGGTCGGTACCCTTCTTTGCATCGTAGGCCTTAGTAGCATCGGCAGCATTGATGAACTCGACGTAGCCATAACTAAATATCGTTAGTCTAGGGACGAAGACCAGTGCAGCAGATACTTACCCTTTGGAACGGCCGTCGTCGCGGTTGGTGATCAAGCGCACACCAGCGATCTCACCAAACTCTTCGAACTCGGACTTGAGCCATTCCTCGTCGACGTTCCAGGAGAGGTTTCCGACAAAGAGGTTCGCGCTCGCCTCCTTTTCCTCAGCGTCGACTCGAGTCTTCTTGGACATTGGTTCATCAGCGTCTTCAGCCTTGCGCTTGGTTGGCTTCACTTCGGCCTCTTCGGCCTCCTCAGAATCGGAAGACGCGTCGCTGTCTTCGTCAGAGTCGGCGTCCTCATCACTGCTTGCCTCAGCTCCGACAGCGGTTTTCGTTTTTGCAGGGGCGTCTTCGTCGCTGTCAGACTCGTCGGAACTACCAGACTCATCATCGTCCTCAGCGGCAATCTTGGCAGCTCCGTTGACAACAGGCTTCTCGTCCTCGGAATCCTCATCACTGCCGGATGCATCACTTTCCTCGTCCTCACTATCCGATGTAGCAACCGCGGCTTTGCCTTTTGGGGCAGAAGCGATCACTTTGGGAGATTCGTCTTCAGAGGAAGAAGAGTCGGTGTCGGACTCGTCGCTAGAATCGTCTGTGGCGGCAACTTTGACACCGTTGGCTCCGTTTGTCTTGACCTCAGCGTCGCTATCTTCGTCAGAAGAGCTTCCGGACTCCTCACTTTCTTCTTCCTCGGACTCGGACTCTGGTTCGGGTGTGGGCTCCTTCACAGGAACTTTCTTGCTCTTCTTATCCTTCTTCTGGGTCTTGGAGGCAACCTCCTTGGCAACTTCCTTGCTCTTCGCTTTGGTGCTCTGAGCAGGTTTCGTCACCGAGGAACCCTTGACCTTCGACAGGACATCTGGCTTGGAGGACTTGACGGTGCCAGGAGCGCCTTTCTTTGACACTTTCGACATGATGTAAGTGCCTGGCAGGAGTTGAAGGTTAGTTCGATGGCATGAAGAGGCGATGAAGGATCATAGACAAACTGTTAATCTGGTTGAAGTTTTTCAGGCAGATGAATTTGAGCCCTCTGAAACAACGGCGAAAACTTTGTGCGACTAAAACCTCAACCCACTGAGTGAATTTTGAGCCCTCAGATCTCACTGGTCACTTGACGGAGCAAGTGAATGGCAGAAATGTGAATTTCTGCTGAATGCGCAACGGAGCGGACTTGAGTAGAACCCGGGAACAGGATGAGACAAGCAAGAACCTGCGACGAGCTTTTGTGCAAACCCTCAGCGGCAACAGACCCACAGAGCCCTCGATGAACCTCAATAATGATGCCCTCGGAGAAAAGCCCACGGTGCAGATATTGCAGGTAAAAGGTACGGGACAAGGGAGACGCAAACTGCAGAAAAGTTGTAGTTAAAAACCATCTGAGATCACCTGGAATTTTTTTCGAGGCGACCACCACTCCATTAGCACCAGCGGGAAAGCTTATCTTATCAAATCCGATGGCTGGGGACCACCAGGACTGAGCCTGCGAGTTTGCTTTCTCCACAGTAGCGGATGCAATTCCATTGGCCAGCACGAATCTGCGTCCTAAAGCACATCTGGACAGCATTGCAGCTAGACTTGCTTCCCGTCCTTGGAAGATTTAATTGTGCACCATGTCTACTCCAAGCTCACACAGACCGCGAAAGAAGCGGAAACAAGGCCCAGGTCTGCTTCGGAGTAACACCATCACCGACATTGTCAGGGTCGCATCTGACGACAGCGATGCCATCACTCCAGAATTTCCGCTGGTGGCCTTCCTGTGGCCAGCTCGAGGAACTACATCTCAATGGATTCTTCTGCCTCTGATCTTGCTGGTGGTCGGTCTGTTCAGATGGAGCGTGGGTCTTTGGGGTCACTCTGGCTATATGTCACCTCCTATGTACGGGGATTTTGAGGCGCAAAGACATTGGATGGAGATCACGACACATTTACCGGTCTCGAAATGGTACTTCTATGATCTCCAGTATTGGGGACTTGACTATCCACCCTTGACGGCATATCATTCATGGCTCTGTGGCAAAATGTGAGTGCTTGCATATTGGAATTAGGCTTCATACTGACGAAGAAAGTGGATCATTGTTCGATACAACTTGGTTTGCGCTTGACACGTCTCGAGGCATGGAGGAGCAGAATCTCAAAGTCTTTATGCGTGGGACCGTCGTCCTATCCGAATATTTGATTTACGTCCCAGCCTTGGTAGTCTTCCTTCGCCATTACAGCCGGACCCACGGCACTGGAACAACGTCCATGTCCGTCGCACTCGTCGCCATACTTATGCAACCTGCGACGATGCTCATCGACCACGGCCATTTCCAATACAATACGGTGATGCTCGGCTTTGTCATTGCGACCCTTTCGAGCATATATGCAGGTCGGCTTCTCTGGTCGTGCATTTTCTTCGTCGCCGCTCTCGGGTTCAAGCAAATGGCGCTCTACTACTCCCCTGTCATCTTCGCCTATCTTCTAGGCTCTTGCTTGACTCCACGGGTTCGCCCGGGGCGACTCATCTCGATCTCGATTATCACCATTCTCGCATTTGCCATATTGTTTGCTCCTCTACTGCTGGGATCGCTTTATGACGGCTATCGACAGATTTCTTTCGATGCCATGCCCACCCCTCCCTTTCTCGTGGAAAGAAGAATATCTCTCAACCCTCGCAATCCCTACGACATGATCTTTCTGCAGATCAGCCAGACCATTCACCGAATCTTCCCCTTCGCTCGCGGTCTGTTTGAGGACAAAGTCGCCAACTTCTGGTGCTTCACCAACACTTTCTACAAGCTACGCAAATTGCAAGCAATCGTCGACCTTCCTCGTCTCTCTGCTATCGCCACGCTCGCCTCCGGCCTACCAACGATGCTTGTGGTCTGCGCCGTTCCAAAGAAGACGTTGCTACCGTACGCATTGGCTACCTCCGCCTGGGGCTTCTTTCTTTTCTCGTTCCAAGTACACGAGAAGTCGGTGCTTCTACCATTATTGCCGATGACGCTTCTCCTTGCTAGTAAGCAGGGCCTCAGCAAGGAGTATCGAGCGTGGATTGGGTGGGCCAATGCAGTGGGTGTTTGGACAATGTACCCACTGTTGAAGAGAGATGGCCTCACGATCCCGTATGCCGTGGTATCGCTTCTCTGGGCATACTTGCTCGGTCTGCCGCCGACAAGCGTCAGTGCATATTACGATGCTGCGCATGAGAACATCATCGGCCGACCAGTCACACCGGACGATCTGTCAACAATGACCAAGATTTTCCACTTCCAGACGTATGTTGTAATGGCGTTCTGGTATGTGCTTGCAGCATTCGCAACTCCGCCTGAGGATAAGCCGGATCTCTGGGTTGTGGTTAACGCGTGCATTGGCGCGGCTTGTTTCGGCGTCTGTTACCTGTGGTGCTTTTGGAAATTGATATTGGAGAGCGGACTGCTAGACGGGTATTTCGAGGATCGAGCAGAAGTTCAAGAGGATGATAGGACCCTGAGAGAGTCCTCGGCTGTGCCAGATAAAAAGAAGAGTAAGTGAATTGTTCATCGCGGACTCGCCGAGCCCATTTACCGTTATCGAGTGCCATTGCTCGAAACACCGACAGCAAAATGTACAAGATGTCGTCTCTCATGCGGATAGCTTGAACCCAAAGTCGCCAGATATGACCCTCTTCCCCGTTCTAGGCGTAGTTGACTACACCCTTCACAGCCCAAATCTCACCATTGCCCACCCTACCAACGACACCATCAACCACCAAATTTCCGGGTTTAACAACCCTCTCTCCATCAGAGTTCCGTTCCCACCACAGTTCTTGGCCGCCCAAAGTCTTGATCTTCTCCCCTTCCCTCCAAGGGCTCACTGGAACAACATGCTCTTCGACGAACCTTTGAAGATTCTCTGCTGCTTTGTCCTCATTGTATTGGGCACTGACGCCCTCGTCTCCCGGTCTATCTTCCCAAGGCTTCCGCGGTAGAGCCTGCATTGCACCGTTCAAAGGAGCAAGGAGCGTCGTGTTATCTGCCGGCTTCGTCGATTCCAGGCGGCCAGTCACGCTGGAGATGTCTCGCGTGAGAGAGGCAAAGATGTTGATTTTTCGAGTTTGGGGCAGTATGTCTGAGATTGACAGGGCGTTATCACCAGCATCGCCGCTGCCACTGGGGCTTTCTGGCTCGGTGCCGCCCTGTACGGGACCTGGGTTCATTGGGCTTTGATATTGTTCTGGGTGGAGGGGCAGCACTTCGGACAGCGAAGAAGGGATGCCGCGGAGGCCCCGCGGCGAGATAGCGGCGGCAAAGGAGATGGACGAGAAGAGAGAGGCTATAAGAATCGTGCGACGCATCTTCGTGCTCTGGTATTGTGTTGATTCCTGCCTGCTGACGGTTCAAGTGTTGAGACTGCCCGTGGTTGCAAATGGGAAACGGGTGACGTCGGTGCCGAGGACGAAGCGACCACAACCTGGTAATGTACGGTCCGACCTTCTGGACCTTGTAATTAGGTCAACTTCGCTCCGACTTCAGTTCTGTACTATATCACTAAGTACTTATCTACGGCAACGTGAAAGAAGAAACTCTCTGCATCTCTGCCACTTGACTCACGCGACGTGATGACTACGCTCTTACTCTCGCGGATGGAATAAAGTCTACATGATGCGAGACGAGCGGCACAGGTGGTGATGGGCATGGACAGAACTTGTGAGGCGGATATGCCTGAGATGATCCATTACATCGATTCCTGGACTACAATTCACTGACATTCGATCTTCAATACTGGTATTCTGACCCACGAGTTCCTCGCCCTTCGCAAATAGCTTCTCCGCGAGTACTTCATCCGCCGGCCAGTCGGCGGCTTCCGGATGCTGACAATCGCTCCATTACACCCCTACAGAGTTGGCCTGCTTCTCCTCCTCTGCGTCGATATCTGTACAGCAGGATTCCGTAGATCTTCATTATAAGTCCGAGTGGAGATGCACGAGCCGGATCTGAAAGGGCCGGAAGGAATCGTTTCTCGTCGGCCACGTGGTGGGGGTTTCAATGTTGCATCTTATATCACGTACATGGTAACCAAAGTCGCTCCTTGCGTCTTGCTTCCGACGAAGTCCGGGTACATCGTTGTGAAATACCATGTTCTACGCTTAGGACTCCATCAATGGTACTGAGGATTCCTGCCCAGGCTGGGTATCCTTGTACATCAGCCCACCGAAAGGACCTCCCTTGAGCCGAATGGCCCGCCTCTCTCGGAACCAAAGCCAGGCAGCAGCTGATATGACCAAAGCTGCCAAACATCCCAATCCAAAGACCACAGTCCAATACCTCGGTCTGACCATGTCCGGCTGCCCAACTGCTTGGGCCACGTACAAGAGCATGATGCCCATCACGGGCTCGAGCGACCCATCCATCAGTGCCATCGGCTCATGCACCGTCGTGTCGTAGTACGCGTTGATAAACCATCCATCTCCGGGAGTCGTCTCTCCGAGCATCGTGCAAGTCTCAATGCTGGAGATGTGCTCCGTAGGGCCAGCGTCGTTGACATTGGCGTACGGATCGTATGCGGCACTGGCCGCGCAACTGAGCTTGCCGTTCTTGATCAGGTTGATGTGCGTACCCCCGTCGTGGAGATGCCCGCCCACGAAGGTGATGGTGCCTTGCTGCGTGCCCAACAGGACGGGACTCGTATAGATGAACGTGGAGTCGCGATACGCAGGCTGGTCGGAGGTTCTGCAACCCCCAACGTCAAGCCAGTAGGGAATGATTGAAGAGAAGCCTTGCGCGTCGCGTGCCTCGACGTACTCGTACGTAATGATGAAGACGATGTCGTCCTGCGGTCGGTCCTGGCGTATGTTCATCAAGTCTACCACGAGGGAGACTTCATCCGCGGCGCCAATATAATAGCCGGCCTTGAACGTGCTGGAGAAGGAGAAGCGGGAGGTCAGCGCATTTTCCAGTACAACCCCGTCTCGTCTCGCTCAAGAGGCAAGAAGGCAGGAGAGAAGTCAGGAGAGAAGAGGAGAGAAGAGACAAAATGGAAGGCAACTGCCACCATCTCCACGACGGACTCGCTTACCCGCCAGCCGAGATTTCGATTGCTGTTCTCTCGTTCCCCGAGGCCGCGAACCTCTGCCCCACGTTCCCACATACGGCGTCCGTCTGGTTACGGTTGACCAACACGCCATGGTGCAGCCACATGCCAGTGTCAGCGTCGGCGGTCCTGCCGTCTGCGTGCTCGAGACCCATGCGAAGATATGTGATGAAACAGTCCTGGCAGGGTAGAGTCGTCGCGCGGTGGAAGAACTGGGCCATGCCGTCGTTGTCGGTCATTGCTGGGACCGTGATGGCACCGTATCTGATGGTGACTCGTCGCGAGTCATGGCCGCGGAAGTATGCGGCCTTGTTGGAAATTCTTGTGGTTTCTAAGCAGGTTGAGGAGACGTGGTTAGTACCAAGAATCGAGATGTACAGGTCTCTTTGGCGGCGAGGTACATAGGTAGCCAGTGCAGTACTGCGTATGTAGGTGGAGAATATACATACCTGCCGGGAATACGTTTCCGCGGCCATGTCCGCCGCTCGCAGCTACAGACACGGATAGAGACAGCACGAGTGACAAGAAAGCCACCAAGAGCGCGAACAGCGCCATTGTTCGCTCCGGGGTCCAGCAATCAGTGCATGAAGATGAGCAGCGACAGTTTAGAGTCGGTATCGCATTTGATGGTCATCGCTGTACACGATACTGGAGGATGCCATGGAAAGAAACCTCAGCATCCATGTTATTATGGCCATGTCCAGGCTGACGGCAAAATGAAACCCTGACGCATTGAACTTGGAGTACGTCCACCAGTTCGGTGCCGCGCTTCGTATCTCTGACCAGATACGAGGCCCAAGAAGTCCCGAGGCCTCGGCTCTTGGCCAATGAGATGCACAGTTTCTGGCGGGCTGCGCTGAGCTAACTGGATAGATACCACAGCTGCGAGCACAACCTAGAGGCCGATGTAATAAGATGCGCTCAACGGGTGAAGTTTGCATTTGGGATGCCGCAACCCAGTGCAGGCGAAGGAAGAACAGAAATACAAGCACTTGGGAAACCAGGCTTCGGGCATCGGCTTATGGCAGCATTGTACGTACTGTAGCAATCGTTGAGTTTCTTCTCGGTGTTTTGCGGCACTAACTGCACTCTTGCGGCATGAGCGACACGACATTGTTAACCATGAATTTATTCTCCTGCGATCAGGTCACCCGCAAGGACACTTAGGGAGTCGTCTAGCAGTCCTTGGGACATTTGCGTCCAGGAACGCCCTCTGATGCACGGGAATCTCCAGCATTTTGGCGACCTGCCAGGGGACAGATCAGGCATCCGCCATTCCTGCTACCCGGTATCGTGAATCATGCAGCACGAGCAAATGTCCCAGTCCTCCGTCCATTCATGCTCCGCATAACTGCCGTCAACTACTGACCAACCGCATGGCTGTGGTTATAGATCAAGGAGAGCTCGGTTACCCGACCACTGGGCGGGAAATGGAGCATGTCGCTCTCCTTCTTCAAACACGCAAGCCTGGTGGCTTGGGAACAGGAGCGTGCAGGAAAAAACGTTTCTGCCTGCCGTTCGTGGATTGAGTGAACGGACCTGTAGAGAGTAGCATACCTTCATATACGAGCTGCGCGGCATCAGGCACTCCTCCTCATCGCCACTCAGTCAGTAATCACATCCCCAAACAATCCAACGCTGCAGCCTACTTCAGCCGGAGCAGCTCAGAAACCAGCGCACCATGTATGACCTAGAGATCAAAGGTTTGCCCGTCTCTCATCACTCATACTCGGGCTGCCCAAGCAATGTAGCTGATGTCGGCTAGGTTGTCCACCATACGAAGGCCTGGCCGCGACAGGCAGCCGTGCTTCGCCAAACATGTCGGTATAGCCCCGTCGCCGCGCATTATAGCTGCTGACCTGTCGCCGAAGGGAATACCAGATTCCCGCTCCGCCAGCAAGGGTTGTGTACAAGACCGAGGTTATCACAGCTGCCCAGCCGCAGCTTTACCCGCATGCAACCCCGATCCATGATCTCGGACACGTTGAAGCCATAATTGACTGCCCATATTGTGGCACAAGAGGCAAGACGAAGACAAACCTGACGAGCGGTAATATGAACCAGTCAGTGAGCGCACTCCGTGACAGTCAAAATGTGATACTGATATTCCTCCAACATAGTGCATGGGCAGGTTGCTTGTTTGTCATCACATTTATATTCGCTTTTGTCCCATACATGTGTAGCAGCCTCAAGAATGTCGAGCATCGATGCAGGAGCTGCGGCAAGAGGCTTGCGATCTGGCATCGTAGTGGACACACACAGCTCAAGTAAATCGTCGCTGCGGAACTTGGGATGCGATGCCCGCCGGACGTGTGCCGCATAGAGAATCCAAACCCCTTGCCTTTCCTGTGTTCACTTAGAGGCACTTCGCGTCGACTCTAGCGTCGTTGGCAGCCGGGACTCAAGACGGACTTCTAATCTTGGTCAACGCTTGCCATGACATCCAGCGAGCCCGGCATTCCGTACCGCTCATCCGGAGTCCGGTCCACGGTGTACTTGAAGTTGTAGAGTCCTTGATAGGCAATGTCGGATATTTCTGCCTCTTGGAGTTTCTTGAAAGCCTCCGCCCAGGTCCGCGCTGACTCAAGTATCTCTCTCCTGTATACGGAAGGTCTGGTGTAGCTGTTCGATCCATCGATATTGGATGGGACGCTGTTCCGTGGAGACGGTCGAGGACATTGTACGACAACGTGTATTTGGTCGCAGCTACCATCTGGTCTCTCAGTTGGCGGTCGTCCATCCGGTCACCAAGCCATTGCTCAGACTCTTTATGTAGTAATTCACCGTGTCAATGAAGTTGCTACCGACAGCATGAAAGTGCGAATAGCATAAAATAACCGCTCAGTCCAAGCTTGCCTACCTAGGTTCTATCGTTCGAGCCGCCCGCATTGTAGAATGACAGTGCGGCCAAAACTGGGCCGCTGGAACCCAACATGCTCGATGCGTCCGTCAATGATATAGCCCGTAATGTGGTTGCCGGGTATCAGCGCAGAAAACTGAGCAGAGGATGCGGACCGCTTCTGCTTCACAACAAGTCCATTGGTGAAAGGATGATGCTGCGATACCGCGGAAGGCCTCAAGCAAAAGCATGGAATGAAGCCGCTACAGCAGTGCAATCTTTCATCGTGACGATGGATGACTAAACACAAATGATTTTTATCATGGTCAGATCGGAGTCATGAAGTAGGAAGAATGTGCTGGCTCAGTGAGTGGTAGGTGAGTGATAGCTGTTTGTAGCATCACAATTTCCAGTATGTCGCTGTGGCTGCGCATCGCTTACGCGGCATGTAGAGCTCTTTCGAAGTGGAGTTACTTCACCACCGTCGTGGGAAAAGATCTCAACGGTTCCTCGTCTCAAAAAAGGTGACAAAAGGTGATTGTGAAATCACTGTTTATCGATAACTACTTCGCTCGCTTGCGGCCCGGAATTGAAGCCACGCTCAGCAAAGTCGGTCTCAGGCGCCAAGCTGAAAACCACATGGCGACGCAGCATGGGGCCCAATTTTGGCTTTGTTTAATTTCCACCTCCCTTCTCTGTGGTCTCGACCTACGCCGCCATCTCGACCCTTCGAAGCTCGGTCAAAGGTGTTCTTCTGCAGCAGACGATTGTGCAATGAGTAGAATAGCTTTCTCGTCCTGAGCCAGCTCGTCAGACGCAGTATGATTGATATCATTGCCCTCTCAATAGTGGCTGATCACTAGGTAAGCGACTCGGTGGACCAATACAAGGTTTGAGACGGCGAATCAGAATGCCACCAGTGTGGCGCGGCCGAACGTGGAAGCGCTGAACGGCTCTCATGTGGATTTTGACAACAGGACGACCCACCGCAAGCCTCGTCCTTGAGATGTCTTGCCGGGTGGAGTTGACGTTCAATAGTCAAACGACAAAGTTTTGCTTGTCAAGGCCATGCAAGATACCGGCAGACGCCAGCGAGACCACAACACGGAGGCGCCGAGAACAAGGTACAGACGCGTTCTTAGGGTGAACGCCCCTCATAAGTAGGTATATTCCCTCTCTATGAAGGTGAGTCACGTCCACTGGCTTCTCATCCGAGTGCGCAGCCACAGTTGCAACAATCATGGACCAAGCAGCAACCTTCTCGAGTGGCACAGGCGCAACCGTCGCTTCAATCTTCCAGCACTGGCAGCAAAGGGCGGCCCGTCAGAGAGGCGCCCAACCTCTACCAGATGAGCGGTCAAAAGACCACAAGGGGATAAACATTCAGGTCTCCGAGCTGCAACCCGCCCACTTGAATGGAAGTACACCCTCTACACCACGGACGCCCAATAAACCATTCTTTGAGCCGCAATTACGAAGGTGGCCTCAAGAGCCTCAACCGATTATCAACGACCCCTTTGTGGAGAGATGCCTTGACGCGGTCGATATCATAATCTGTCTGCTCCCATGCATCCTCATTATGAAGGCTGGGCTTTGCGTCCTTGCACACGAGATCGACAAAACGCATGTTGGGCCGTCGATCGACAAGGCCAGCCAACTCACCCTGCGCCTGATTGAGTTCAATGGCCAACTCACCACCATCTTCACCATCATATTCATCGTGATTGTCTCCACGACTGTGAGGCGGTACGCTCTATGGAAAGCCGAGAAAGGAGCCACGATCGGAGAGATCGAGCAACTGCACGCGTCGATAAGCCTGACGGCGACGCTCAAGGCGATCTGGTCGCTCAGGAGATTCACTCTCACCGGCCTCGCACTGATCTTTGTCTGGTCGTGGTATTACGTCGGGTCGCAGGCCACGACGAGGGAGTATTCCTACCGCGATTCCGACAGCCACACTACCCAGTTAGTTGCGTTCCTCGACTCAAAGGCAACATCTCCATTCGTGGGCGATGAAATCAACAAACAACATACCTCGCCCGTCAAGACTACCGACATGACGGCTCGGTACCATATGTACAGCTCCTTCACTGCGGGGACTCAAAAGACAAACGTTCAGGGCGCAAAGTCCGTCCAAGGCGCCGACATCTACGGAGCAACGCTCACTCCCTGGTACGGGCCTCCCCGCGGCTCTCCAGACGGCTGGAGGAACCTCGACTTCGATGACGACAATTGGCTCGAGATAGCACACATGTCGGACCAACCGGTCATGTCCTCCATCGGGACATCCTTGTACTGGAGGAACCTTTCGGCCTCGAGCCCCGACGTGTGGACGCCGCAAAAGATGGTCGGCTCCTTCTACTATGAAGTGTCCAACTTTCAAGCCAACTGCACGGCGCCCTTGCTGTCAACCAAGGACAAGCCACAAGGTGCTGTGGCCGCATTGTCAACGACCATGAACATGACTGGCACGCCCCCCAACTCCCTTAAGCCTCGCGAACTATCCTTCTGGCACTGGGTCAACGCCACGCACAGCCTGACCTCTACATGCGAGATGACTAACGTGACGCTGCAGATCGACGCGTTGTGCACGGCAGCGACCTGTAAACCGACGCGGGTGAAACACATCTCCACCTCGCCCCGTACGTTGCTCGACTCCGACGTCTTCGCCGCTTCATTCTTCGACTCAATGCTCCTGGCCTGCGGCATGCCCCAGCACGAAGGCGACTTCTCCACCTTCGACAACGACAACGGACTGGTCGACCTGAAGAACCAGCTTGAGGAGAATGAACTGCAAGATCCGACGAGTCTAGCAGCTGCGCAGGCCGACGCCCAGTTCCCACTTTCCATGGCCATCACGAGATTCATGAACACCTATTTCCGATCCTCCCAAATGCTTCGTTACGAGCATGATTTCCAGAACGACCTCTCTGTCAGTGGGTCGATCGAGCTGAACGACAACCCAGACTTCACGTTCTTGGCCATGAACGGCGCCATCTACAACCCGCAGTACTGGCTCTCCTGGCCCTGGCTGGCCATGGACATTGTCTCCAACATCGTCCTCCTCGTGGCGGCCATCTGCGCCTTCTGGTTGCGAAAGCATACCCTCGCGCCGGATATCTTTGGGTTCGTCTCCAGTCTGACGAGGGACAATCCGCACTTGCATCTGCCAGACGGGGGCAGCACCCTCAGCGGTGTTGAACGGAGCAGGGCGATGAACCTGGTGAAAGTGAAGATAGCGGATGTCGGCGAGGACGCCAGGGTGGGCCGAGTCGCACTTACACAGATCGACGGGTCCGAACAGGTCAAAGATCTGGAAAAGGGCAAGACGTACTACTGATAATGAGAAACGTGCCCGTTTGAAACATATTTTCCGTCATACGATGGATTGGATATCACGATACATCAATCAACGGCATGTCAATTCTGGTCTACTCAGAGTCTGTCATCCGCTGCCTACCTGTCTATCTTATCGTGAACCCACCATCAACCCTAACGTCACTCCCGTTGATCATGCCACTCTCGTCCCTGCACAGGAATTCAATCGCCGCAGCGACCTCGTCCGGCACGGCGAAGCGCCCCGTCGGAATCTCACTGAGATGCTTGGCCTTCTTCTCCTCGTCCGCCCACGCCTTGGCCGCCAACGGCGTCCACGTCACCGTCGGAGACACGGTGTTTGAAGTGATGCTCTTGGGCCCCCACTCGCTGGCCTGGCACCTCGTCAGGCCAAGCAGGCCGGCTTTGGAGGCGCAGTACGCGCCGTGCCCGTCCAGCGCGACATGTGCGGCTTGAGACGCGATGGAAACGATGCGCCCCGGGGGTGGTGACACCTCGCCTGTCTGCTTCTTCAGCTCGGCAGCCTTGCGCTGATAGAGGTGGAAAAAGGCGTTACTGCAGTTCAGTGGCCCGAGCAGGTTGGGCAGGAAATTCTTCAATGCTTCCTCCGCGGACGTCTCTTCGAGCGATTGCACGGACACGTAGCCAGCGGCATTGATCAGAATGCTGGGGAAAGCGTCCGTCTTCAAGTCCCCGATGCGCTCGAAGACATCCTTGACCGAGGCCTCGGCCGTGATGTCGGTCTCGAACGTGTAGACCCCCTCCATCGACGCGTTGCCGAATACTCGCTCCACGGTCTCTTGGACGCGGGCTCGCTCAAAGGGGGCGTACAAAAGCACCACCTCCGCGCCGTGAGAGTGCAACCGGCGAGCGGTCGCAGACCCAAGGCCACCTGCTTGCACGTGAGCATGCTGGGTAAAGATGACGTTCTGCTGCAGGTTGAATTGGATGTGCAGCTGGACTCTCTTACCAATGCCGCCGCCTATCACCGCCAGGCGTCCGGAGTATTCATTTGTCATCGTTGCACAGAGACGATGGGAGGTATACCACTCACAGGGGCTCTGTCCCTTTATTGGGGGACTCTTAAAGGTCTTATACACGTTCAGGACCGGCACGTCACTTACTTCCCCGCATATGGTCAATCTGATGGTTGCACCCCGATTCGCACCGGGAATCGACCGTCATGATCCGTTGGCCTTCCAGAAGAGCGGATTGCCGGGTCAGGTAAACCGACAGTTCGGACAGCCTGATAGGGACTTTACACCGAGGATCAAGATTTTGTTTAGGCTCTTGCACAGGAGGCCAGGGCGGATCAATCTTGTGTCATTAATTTGGCGCCAAATATATACCTGATACCCGCAAGCACGCAGCTGAGCTCTCTGTACATTGAGTCTTGTCGCCCTTTCTCCACAAAGCTAAGTACATAGCTCGCTACGATAACACGTAGACAGAAACATGCCGTACCTCGAACCGTTACGACCCATCTGCTCGCCTCCAGCAAGTGGACGAGCACTGGGACGTTTGTAGTGACGATCAAAGACAGGCCTTCCAATGTTGATGCATAGATGAGAATCAGAATCCAAATGGATTCGCAGCAGCTAGGTTCTGTCAGTATCACTTCATCTATTTCCAACCCGGGGAAGCTCAAACTCACATGCATTGGCAAGGTTTGCCCGTCTCCCAGTAGGCTGAGGCACCAATTTCTTTGGCTGGCTACCGAACTTTACGTCAGGAGCAGGACCAGTCTTTTGCGGCTGTAGAGGCGCCAGAGTTGGCAGCTGAGGCATCGGTGGCAGAGGCGGAACAGACGGCACCGGCAATTGCTGAAAGTTCCCAAATCCGTTCTGTTGAGGCGACTGTCCAAAGCCGGTGGCTTGTGGTTGAAGTGGCTGCGATTGGAAAGCTGTCATTTGGGTTTGGAATGGCTGAGGTTGAGGAAAGCCAGTCTGCTGTGACTGAATGCCCTGTCCGAACCCATTTAGCTGCGCTTGAGGAGGTGGCGACCCAAACCCTGTCCTTTGCGGCTGAAGTGCGGGTGGCAGAATCGAATTTATGCCACCCGGTGGTGGGCTTTGCTGAAATCCAGTAGGTTGAGGTTGGAAAGACGGACGAGGATCTGCGAAAGGACTTCCTGCAGCATTTCCATTGAGATAAGGTTGTTGGAACTGGCCGTATTGCTGTGGTTGTTGGAAACCCGTGGGTTGAGGAGGAAGACCGAATTGTCCCACGCCCTGCGCTGGCTGAGCAAAGCCGATGGGTTGTGACTGTAGCTGCATCTGCTGAATTTGTTGCTGTAGTCGTTGTTGAGACAAGTCATTCAGGCTCTGGCCTGGAGGTACCTGCAAAGGTGCTGTGGATGGAAAGCCGGTCAGCTGAGGCTGTAGCGGCCGGAGACCGAACTGGTTCTGGTTCGGATTCTGAGGAGCAGAAGTTGGTCGAGGCGGAGGAGAAAGGAGCGCAAGCCCAGTGGATGTCTGCTGAGGGGGCAGTGGTCGCTGTCTGGGAACACTGAGTGAGGGTTGAGCTTGAAAAGCAGTTACTTGAGGCTGTGGCTGCGGCTGGAAGCCAGTTTGCTGTGGGGGCATTTGCTGTGGAATCTGGGAAAAGAAGGCCGGATTTGCGCCTGTCTGTTGAGCTTGCTGTACGGGTGCGGACAGAGCAGGAGTAGGACCCTGTTGTGGTTGAGGGGCTGGTTGGGACTGCGCTGGTGGCTGCTGGATCGGTGCTGGTGATGGTTGCAGCGGAGCCGGCAACGGTCCATCCAGCAACGCTGTCAAGTCTCTCGCTGCCCCTGTCGGCTGCTTAGGCATCGGAGGCGCGGAAGGAGCACCCGTCGATTGCGATGCTGCGGAAGCCGCTCGAGGGCGGGCTGGTTGAAGCGGAGCCTTGACTGTCCAGGCATCGTCATCAAAGCCGCTCTGGACTGGTTCTCTCGGAGGAGCCTGGGCGAGTGGCGTGGCTTTTGCTTCAGAAGGCGGACCTTTCTTGTCTTCCTTTGCAGCAAATGCATCCGCATCGACAGTATCGCTCGTCGTCCTGGTAGCCTCCGGTCTCCCCCTGCGCGTATTGTTACGAAGCTCTCCGCCCGCCCCTGAGAACAGTCCTCCTTGTGCCTGTTCGCCATTGGTTCCGGTGCCGTTTGTGCTAGGAGCCCTGACTCGACCGAACTTCTGATCCAAAAACTTCATGATCTTCAGGATATCGCCTTCTTTAATGCCTAATGTCCGTAGCGTTTCGGCCGTTATGTCAGGCAGGACGGACTCGTCCATAGAATCTCGAATCATGGCTTGAGAGTACCGCTCGCATTGATGAGGACCGACACCAGCCTTAAGGAAGAAATCAAACCAATCATAATCGGGGCCTTTGGGATGTTCTAGAGCCTTGGGTTGCACGCTGGCTCCGCTTCGAGAGGACTGGGATGCTTCTTGGCTTCGGCGCTTCATCTTGATAAGATCAGCCACTGGAATGTGCTCTTCGATCGATTCGTTCGTTACCTTTTCAATGTACTCAAGGTCTTCTGGTGACATTTTCGTTACAGGAACGGCGATCTTGACGCCATTGACCTTGTGTAGGTGAATCTTCCCGTCCGCAACCGCCAAAAACTGAGCTTCAACTTTGAATGTGCCAGAATGGTCCGTCCAGGTCCTGACCTTAGCAGTATCTGGCTTAGACCGGCTTTTCTTGCGATCATCCCTGTCTCTCCGATCCCTCCGGTGTTGAGGTTGGTCGTCGGCGAGACTGCTCCCTCGTTTAGGGATTTCATTGCGGGTTCTGGCGGCTTCTGCTTCTTGTCGAGCTCTGTCAGCCCTCGCTGCCTCTTTTGCCAGCCTTTCTTCCTCGAGACGATTCTGTTCAACCACAGACAAGCCTGCGTTCAGCCCTGAACGCGAAGGCGGCTCGATTGTCGTAAATCCTGTAACCTCGATGTAGCTGCTGGGCACAACGCCTTCTTTACCGTTCTTGAGGCGTCGTACATTCCACCACTCCTCGGATTTCGTATCGTCCAGAACGATGACCTCATCTCCCACAGCGACTGTGACCTCGTCATCGCCTTGAGCCATGAAGTCGTAGAGCACCTGTCCCTTTTTGTGACTTCCGCCACCGCTAGCAGCGGTAATTACCTCTCTGAGACCTTCTGATCGCTGGACACCGGCAATTTCACCCAATGCCGAAACAATCTCTTGCGCAGTATCCTTCGCGCCGGCATGTAGATCTAAACTCTTGCTCGGCCTGACCAGTTCGATGAAGACGTGCTTGCCTTCGATTGAATAGTGGGTCATTTTGTCTGCGGTCCATTCCTGCTGAGGCCCATCCCTCGACTTTTCGGGAGCGAGCATGATTGTGCCCGTGGCAATATTGATACCCAGAGTCGTCGGCATCTTCTTCCTCCTCCCCATAGCCGAGACCATTTCGCTAATGTTGTACAGGTGGAACCCGCCAGGCGATCGTAGTTGGCTTGCTTCATCTTCTAGCGGCGGTACAGCTCTGTTGTACGGCGGAGAAGGAAGAGGCCCTTGTGAATGCTCTTGCGATATAGGTCTGCGCGGAAGCGCCGGGGCAGGCTCATCCTCTTCCGATGCTTCTGGAGTGAACTGTTGCCGAGAAGCCGGTGGTGGGGAGGAAACTGTTCGAGCGTCGATAGGTGAGGTGGGGGCTCCTCCGCCCAGAACGCGGGCCAGGTTGGCGGCAGGACTGTGAATCGATCTTGCCGGAGATGCCGGACTGGCAGGAGCATCAGGTGCAGCCTCTGTCGGGTTCGAGTACCCCCGCGATCGAACAGAAGGGGAGCGCGGAGGGAGGCCTGGGGCAGTTGGAGCAGCGCTGGAGAGCTCGATGTAGTTCGCTGGTACGAAACCATAGTCGTCGCCCACTCCGACCAAGGTCCAGTCCGGGTCGGAGACATCGTATACCTTCAATTCGGCGTCCTCAGTGAAAGAGACTTCCTCATCGGTCTGCCGAGAGTAGTCGTAGAGAGCTTTGGCGGTATTTATGGGCTTCGCGTCTTCGACATAGTTGTTCGGGATCAGACCTTCGGGCTCGTCATCATCATCGGCGGCAGCTTTCTTCTTGGCCTTCCACCAGTCATCTTCGGTGCTCTTTTCGAGAATGTAGAGTAGTTCTCCCTCCTTTATTTCTAGCTCGCCTGCACTCTGTGGCTGGTAATCATAGACGGCGGTGCATATTGCGACGAAGCCCATAGTGGGTGTGAGGGAACCGGCAGAGGCCAAGGGCAGACGCAGTTACGACAGGCAAATCGAGGAATATGCCATCAAAGTGAGGTGCGTTAATTCGGAGTGAATGGAGAGGAAGAGGTCGCTGGCTCGCGGGTTTCACCTCCACGGCTAAGCGAAGGGTAAGATGGCTGCTAGCGGGTGCTGAGAAGGGGGAAGTGAGAGGCGACAGACGAGAGGTGACGCAGTCCGTCAAGATGACTATAGCTGTGCCTTTTCACTAACGTTCGATGTGTAAAATCAGGACAGGAGCATCCAAATGGAGAATACATATGGTGATTTGACACGGAGGAGTCGAAGTGTTCACGATGCTCGATTCAGATTCAAGGAACCTGCAACCTGCCCGGGGCCGGTGCAGCTGGGTGCCAAGCCAATCCAGTTGGCTGCTCTCTTCGAGATGCTCGTGCTCCCTGTAATTAGTGTCACCCACCCATCACCGCCAGCTCCAGACACGAATGCTTACATCAACGTGCATGAAACACAGTTGCTCGTTCTCCTGTTAGCTTCATGTGCTTCGGCCACCCCCTGCCTACACGACTCCAAGTACAGATGTACTTGGTCTCAGGGACAGGATACTCGATGTTCATTCAAAAGCCCTCAGCGTATTCCTCTTGACTACCTGTAGCATCGTTATCTTCGTCAGGACCATCTTTGTCGCCCGCGTCTTGATGCGCACCGTTCTCGTCTCCATCGTCGTCGTTAGACACAACCCCTCTGAGCTGGATATGCCCGTCCACGTCATCCAGGCGTTCAATTTTCCAATCCTTGCCTGCAGCGAGTTTCTGGAGCTCCTTTTGAAAGGCATCAATGTCCTCTTGGCTCAGATCTAGTTTTTTGAGCTGCGCCTTGGACATGCCCGAGATCTGGCCGTTCTTCTGCATGATGACCGTCTCAGCTTTTTCATCTTGTGTCAGAACGATACGCCCTCTTTCCAGTCTCTTGCCTTCGCGGCCGACCAGCTTCATACCGCCGACCTCTATCCCTCCGAGTACGATCTGCTGGGACTGGCCCTGGTCGATCCTCTGCTGAATGATATCCTCGGCATTCCGACGTGCTTGCCAATCACCTACTTCGTTTTCGGGGACGATCTCGCGGCATGTGATAGGATGAGCGCGGCTCTCTTTAGGCGGCTGGAATGCGACATCGTTGCACAATCGCGGGGTGTAGATGATCATCATATAGGCACAAGTGGCGGTCTCCTTTATCCAGCCAATTCGGTCCGTAAGTTGTGGATTGCAGTGAAATTGCACCTCGATCTTGCGTTCATTTCCGGTCAGATCGCAGGGTGTGCCTCCCGTCAGACGCTGTACAAGGTAGTTTGTTTCTGCTTTTGACTTGACTTCCGTGGAGAGAGCACTGTCCGAGTTCGGCTTTGTCTTCTCGTTCGAGGGTTTGGGCGTTTCGAACTTCCCCAAGATGTAGCTGGGTGTCGTTGGATCTTCCTGCGGAGGCCACACCCTTCCATTTGTACCCGGAGGAAGCGCATGAAATTGTGTCACTTGAGAGTTGTAGCAGAACGAGTATGTCCACCAGCCGGTCGAGTAGTATAGGCATTGGTTTGAAGCCATCCCTTGCAGCAATTGAGAAGCTCTGTCTACCGCTTGACTCAACTCCTTCTCGTAATCTTCCGCAGATGGCTCAAAGGTGGTGCCATTCGCAACAGCCGGTTTGGCTTCGGGAATGAAGCACAGATGTGGGTAGCCACGTAGGAGGAGTCGCTCGTATGATCCTGATTGATCAGGGTCTTCTCCTACAAGGCCATCATGGGTATCTGGGTTGATGCTCGCGGAGACATCGTTGCGAAGCGGCTGCGGTGATTCTGACCCGTCGCTTGCCTTGGATTTTAGGAGTGATATCGCATCCGCTTCAGGGATATAGAGGTCGGTGAATTCTATGTTATACTGCGACAGTCAGTGGATCTCCCTACCTGGTGAGAGCACGATGCCTGCGTACCTGGGGGAAAGCAAATAGATCATCGTTGACGCTGAAGACGGTCTCGCTAGAACGGCAAAGTGCAGTAAGTAGCAGCACCACACCCCCAAGGACGCGCAGACTCCCCATCCCTTCGAGGCCGATCAATCACATTATCGTGACTGGCAAGCAGAGAATATTCAGAAGAAAACGTGGGAGGAGTGACAGTCCGTCTTCGCCGCGAGGTGCCTTCGGTGTAACTTCGGGCACCTTTACAGCTATCGAGAGGAAATACTCCGGATCTGATCTAGCGCTGTCATATACCCTGTACTTTCCTTTCATTATACAATGATTCTTTTTCCTATCACACATGGATCGAGGCAGACTAATCCCAGCAAATTTGGAGGCGTCAGTGTCAATTATACGCGCGACAAGCAGAGTTGCGTTGCACAATTGGCACCTCATAAGGGGTCCAAAGATTTTGAAGTCCTAGGGAGCTAGAGAACAAGACTAGGTCGGCGTTGCCTTACCGCCGCTCGAAAGAAAACAGGGAATCCCCGCTTACAGCTGGAAGCGAACTCCTCTTCAAAGCGAACCACGGTTTCTGGACGCGCATCCCATCGGATCTTGGAAACTCGGGGATCGTCTGGGGCCGCCACACAGGCTCTCATCATTGTTTCTTGGTAATCGTCATTCAGCACATCAAAGTACACATTGCCCATTGGGATATATCCATCTCAGAGTGCGGCGATGCCTCCTTGAGCACGGGAAATGCCTAGAGACTCCCTGGGCTTCATTGGCCCGAGTCATCCCGCAAGTCATCATGTCAGCGATCAAACACCTGACTGTGGGAAGGACGATGCTGTGATCTTGACAAGCCCACCAATTCGTCCGGGCGGCTCATTAGAACATAACTCTTTTAAGCGTCGTCCTGCCACAAGGGTGATCATACACAGCAGCGATTGACGGAGATGCAGTTGCAGCTACAGCCGGCATGACGTGCCTCTGAGCAATGTTGGCAGTAAGTCAAGAGCTTGGCCATTGTTCTTGCCGTAGCAAAGAGGCCGGCTGTCTTGATGGCTTGGAAAGGAGCAACGAGGACCGTTCCGCGCTGTTCCTTGGGAATGGTAGTCCTGCATGTCTCGAAGTCGTTATTAGGAAGCACCGAGTCGTCATAGGCGTTGGTGTAACTTAGTCTCGGAAAAATGCGGTGGCACCAATGCTCACAAAAATAGGGTACGGACCCTATCACCGAAGACAATTTGTATAGATCCAGTGAACACATTTCATCTGTTCACTTACCTATTAACCACTTGTCGCTGCCCGTGCTGCTATTTCATGCACTTGCTGCTGTGGGTTTAGAACGCGTTTCCAATTTCGGTGGCTTCTTTCGAGTGGTGGGTTGGCTAGACTGTGAAGTGGTTCCTCTTGATCTGGTCTCTAGCTTCTTCGGCTTCTTCCTCGGAGCATTTTCATCTGCCTTCGGTGTAGATTGCGATTTAAATTTCTGGCTGGGTGCTTCTGGAGGAGCAGCTTGAGGCTTTGCAGCCGCCTCAGGCTTTGTTGAGGCTTTCTGTTGATGGTTCTGATTTGATGCTGTGGCGGTCTTTGACTTATTTCCACCTGGAGTAGGGTTGGTCCCTTTAGATTGCCCTCCTAGTCCTGGTATCGACGGCACTGAAGGCATTGAGGGCATTTTCGGCATGGATGGCATACTGGGAATGTAGCTGGTCAGATCCTTGACCCATTGCTGCTGATCCCCCTGACCTCGACCTCCGTCATCAGCTCGCATCTCCTCCAATTCTTCCTGGGACGGAGCCTTTGTCTGCTGCGCCCCCATCACCATCTTTTCCAACGCCTTCTTCTGACTTGACGTGGATTCCCAGTTCGGAAAATCTCCCACAATACTCCTTACGCCCTGACTTGCCATCTGGCCCAAGTCCCAGAATGGACCACTGATGGCACCATATGCAGATCCGATACCTCCCCCCAGTAAAGCGCCCGCCGAAGACACGACACCGCCGACCAGCGCGCCCGTCAATTTTCCAAGAGTAACGCCAGGCTGGACGCCGAGGCCAGCACCAGCCGCAAGGCCCTGAAACGCGCCCGAGCGTGTGTATTTCGCGGCCTTGCCAAAAGATTCGGCCTCGACTTCCTTGTTGATGGCTTTGGCCAGGATTTCTTCGCGGGCATTTGGATCGCCAGCACCATACGCTGCTTGACGGAGTTCGTAAGCTTTCTTGGCGGCTTCCAGGGCGAGCTGCGCGCTCACGGACGAGTTTTGTTTCACTTCATGCTCTGGGATGGCCGGATCGACGGTAGGACTTGAAGATGTATTCTTGCCTTTGGGTGGAGGAGCACTCTGTGGTTGATGCTTTTTTTGTGGCGCCTGTGTTTGCGGCTTCTCCGGTGTTGTCTGGGCTTGCGGCTGCTTCTGCGCCGTCCGCGGTGGCAACTTCTTGGGTGGCATCGTAACAGACGATCTGGGTAAATCCTGCTGCTGCGAAAGTTAATTATATCGTTGTACGAACGCGCAACTATGACAAAGTTCTATGTGAAGCCTTTTCATACCAGACGAGGCAGATCACGTTGGAGAAAATCCGCGTGACGAGCGCCGGCTACCCATACGTCATTGTTACTCGTGATCGCCGCATGGGTGCCAGGCGTTTGCTGTAACTCGTACTTGTACCACGCTGGTTGCTTAGCACGAAGGTGATCGCAACGGTGGGGAGAAAGGTGAGTGGATATAGCGGCGGCACGGGCCGGGCTGTGTTGCCACATTGTGCATGCATTCGGAGAAGGACTTACTATCTTCCGCTGCCAAGCCTGCCCCTCGAGGCAGGGATGCCGCATCTTTGTTTTCGTTTCTCCCCTCGCAGACCAAAGGCACCGTGACACCTGAAGGTTGGCTTTCTAGCGCAGCAGCTAACTCGCAGACACTTTGCAAACCTTACACTCAATCATTCCTATCCCGCGATCATGGCTAATAGCTCATCCACCTTCTCGCTGGCTGGCAGGGGCCTCAAGATCGACACTAAAGAAGACCTCGAAAAGCACATTGAGCCACTCACATCTTCCTCCACAAAGACCACCCACATCGATCTCTCGGGAAACACATTAGGGGTCTCGGCCTGTGCAGCTCTTGCGCCTATACTTTCCTCACAGTCTTCCCTAGAGTCCGCCGACCTGCATGACATCTTCACATCCCGCCTCCTCGAAGAAATCCCTCCGGCACTAGGCTCACTGCTCACGGCACTTCTTGACTGTCCGAACCTGCACACGATAGACCTCAGCGACAATGCGTTCGGACTCAACACGAAAGATCCCCTCGTGGACTTCCTCTCGAAACATACTCCGCTCAAACACCTCATCCTGAATAACAATGGCATGGGTCCCATCGCGGGCACGGCGATTGCTGAGGCACTATGCAAACTGGCAGAGAGGAAGGAGGCTGCACGAAAAGAGGGAAAGGATGTTCCCCACCTGGAGAGTATTGTCTGCGGGAGGAATCGACTGGAGAACGGAAGCATGGCTGCATGGGCCAAGGCTTACGAGGCGCACAAGGCCGGCATGAAGAACGTGAAGATGACGCAGAACGGCATTCGGCCTGAGGGTATCTCACATTTGATTACTTCCGGTCTATCGAAATGCGAAAACCTCGAGATCTTCGATCTGCAGGACAACACATTCACCATCAAGGGTGCCCAAGCATTGGCAAGAGCAGTCCAAGGATGGTCGAGTCTCAAAGAACTTGGTGTCGGGGATGACCTTCTCGGCGCTCGAGGTTCCATCAAGGTCTTCGAAGCCCTGGCAAGTGGGAACAACAAAGATGTCGAGGTTCTGCGGTTGGCATTTAACGACATCACCCCAGCTGGTGTCAAGGCGTTGCTCCAAGCTGCCAAGGATGGTCTTCCCAAACTTCGGCGTATCGAATTGAACGGCAACAGATTTGAGGAGGACGACGAAAGCGTCGGAGAGCTGGCGGCACTTCTGAGCGGAAGGAAGGACGAGAACGCCAAGGACGACGACCCGGGCGACCATTGGGGCCTGGACGAACTCGACGAGCTTGAAGGCGAGGATGAAGACGAGGAGGAAGACGAAGCTGAAGCTGAAGAGGAGGACGAGGAAGAAGAGGAAGTCCGAGAAAGTGTGTTGAAAGACGCGGACCAGGCAGAAAATGCTACCGTGAGCCAGAAGAAGGACGCCGATGTCGATGACTTAGCTTCTGCTCTTAAGAAGACGCATGTATGATGGTAGGCAAAGGGACGTGGAGCGACGGCGGGTGTTGGTTAGGATAACCTGTTGATTCGTTGACTTGCGTGATAGCATAGCAGAGCCACGGAAAGGCGATACCCATGTAGACCAGTGTCACATTATCAGAGCAGGCAATTCACTGCAAAACGTATGATGCTGTATATTCTTCTCAGTCACCTCGCAGTCCTTTAGCGACTACTCGTTGGCTATGCAGAGATGCCTTGATGATTCGCCTTTCACCTACGAACCCGGTGCCCGCATGCTCGAAAACCTGTCGACCCAGAATACCCCTAGTCGGTAACCTTGCAGGCTTACAACGCCGAAACAGGTTGACCAGATGCGGACATCTGAGCACCACCTCTTGCTCGGAGTCAATCTCTTAGAGATTTGTTCCTAAAGTACGGCCTGCAGACGGATGTCGAGGCCGTGTCGGTCGACGGCTGCGCCCAGTATGGGTTTCGGCCCGAATACGGAGTGCACAATTTGGTCTTCCTCACGGACGCAGCCATCTGAATCGCAACTCGCCGGGTCGAGCCAAGAAATCGTCCGGCATCAGCCCATGGTGAGTAATGTCTACTGCCATCTTCCTTCGTCTCGAAAATCTAGCTGCCATAGATTTGTAGTAATCGATCTTCGGCGCCGTCGAGGATGCTCCAGTGGTCAACAACCTCCAGATTCTCCGCCTCAGCCTGGAACATCTTGTGCGGCTCCTGCCCCGGGCCGAAAGGATTGGCGTTCGCTCCTGGATTCATCTGCGCCATCTGCTGGGCCATCTGACTGGCGGCATTCTCATTTCCGAGGATGAAAATAAAGACGCTCTGCAGACCGAACAGACACAAGAAGTACCACGACAGACTCGACACCCACCTCACGTCCAGATCCCGCGTCATGACACCAGACTGGAGCATGGATTTGAAGCGGATCGTGAGCGGAAAGGGCAGCTTGAGAATGACGAAGCCAGCGAAGAAGGCGTTGATCCAGGACATGATCAGCGTCTGCGGGATCATCATTGCCATGTTGCCCTTCATCATCCCCATCATGCCTTCCATTGCTGCGGGGTCGGACATGGGGTTCGCTGCCCCCTGATCTTTTGATTCAGGGCCTCCTTTAAGAAATACCCCTTTGTGGAAGCCATCGACCAGGTATTCCTTTCTGCGATTGAATGACGACGTCGTTATGGCCGCTGGGGAGTTGTTGCGCAGGTTGATGCCGCGCAGAAGCGTCTGCCGTTCGCGAGATTCGGGCAAGCTGTTCGGCGGCTTCGGCGGAGATTGTAGCAGGACGGATGCATAGTGTCTGAGCACTCCGGTCAATATCATCACAATCGTGATTGGGAGCAGGATCCAGTAGCTACGCAGGATGTCAGTGTTCATTCCTGTGCGGTGTGCCGAGAGCCGTACAATAACGCAGGATCCCGATGGATTATCTGCTCCGTGCCTTGCACCGCCATTTTCCTGGCAAGGGGTTGATCGCAAGATGAGATCGGCCCAGCTGTTCCAAGATTGCGGTACGTTTGCCGTTAACCGCCGTTCGAGGCTTCATCCATTAGATTTCAGGTTGTCGTTGATACAGTTCGGCAATTATGCCAAATACGGAAATGCGGCTGCGGGCAATTTTGCACTGGGCGGACTTTCGTTCTTTTCTACGGAGGACTCGAACTCGTGCATGCAACGAAAAGTGGCCAGGGGCCACGAGAAAATGTATAGCGCTTGGATTTGTTCAGGGTATAAGAAGTGGCAATCTAGATGCATCGGTCAGAACGAACACCGCACCCACGAGCAACCATGAGCACCACGAAACAACTAGATCATCTCGCAAGTTTGATGCTGTACTCTATGTCGGGGAGAGTTACATGGCGGCAGCGTAATGTCACGAGCTTCCTTTGACATCAGGTCGAACATACTGCGTATGACTCAGTGCAAAAACGCTGTGCACGCTGCGTAACAAGAATTGCAAAGGGGAGAAACAGTCGGCCCAGGTGGATGACATGCTGTTGGTATCCGCGTATCCAGCCTTTGCCTTGAGAGTTCAGCCCCTTGTTCCCCCTCCATGACCGAATGCTATCAATGCCTCAACGTCTGCCTCCGTGACGATTGCCCATCTAGGACATAGGAGAGCAGCCTTCAGAGGCTAGCATTTCTCCCCAGAATACCCACAACCACCTGCGCGCGTAGACGTAGCTCATTGCCATCAGCAGATCAGCAGATCAGCTAGCTATGGCCGAACCGTCGGCGTGTCAACATGTGCATCTCTGTGCTCAATTGCAATAAAACCGAAGTGGTTGATGATCGCCCAATCCTCATTTGCATCCTCCTCCACCACCACATCCCATGACGGATCTCTAGCTGCCAGCATTTGGGCATCCTCAATAGGTTCCGGTCGGGGACTTGAGCTGACTTCGTCAAATGCGCCAAGTGGGTCAGCGACTGCTAGAAGTCGTTGGAGGCTACGCAACTTGGTCGTCATCTTTTCAGCCATGCACTCCATCTCCTGTCCTTGGTGGTCTCTCTTATTTGCGTTGTCTGATGCAGAGGCAGTTCTCGCCTGCAGTTCTGCTTGCTCGTTCGCAACCATGACACGCTTGGGAGGAGTCGAGGTACACAGACAGCGAACTTTCCAACAGAGGGCGCATGCCTGGGGATCTTGCGGGAGGAGCACCGCCGGAACCGTTTGCCGCCCTCTAGACTTCTGGTACGCCTCGACAAGGCCATGGTCGACCAGGGAATTATCATCCTGCTTGGGGAAGCCGCCCTGACCTCTGGCTTTAGGATCAGCTTCATTATAAATTAATTTGATTAAGTCCTCTTCGTCCTCCTTTCCATTGGCATTATTCGGCTCTTCTTGCTCCTGCTTTGCCTTGTATTGCTCGTATTGTTTGTTCCGCTCTTCGTCTACCTCCCTAATCGTCATTTGGCAAGGTGCACAGAGCTTGGCAACTGCAAAGGCTTTGTAGGTGCACAAAGGCACCGACCCGGACACAAATTTTCTCCGTGGGCGCGGTGTCCACTGGACGGCCCAAGCAGCGTCACAGTTCTTGTTGCAACAACAGTAGTATTCGATGCCGTCTGAGTAATAACCGCTCACATCTGACGGCGGGTAGTCGAGACAGAGAACATTCAGCCGCTTGGAATCAATGAAAACAGGCTCCCCATCCATGTTTGCAGGCGGGATACCCATAGGCGGAGGCCTCGGAGGTAGACAGGGCGTTGAGGGAAATCGATCCATAATGAGTGCCGCGGTTGAGTTGTCGCGATGGTGGGCTGGACAGGGCAGGCGAAGACGCCTTGGGTGGATGTGAAGATGTTTGTGAAAGGGCAGGCTTTATTGATGGACATAAAGAGCCATCGAACGCGACGCGAAGAGACTCTCAGGTCAATGAAGGGACGCCGTCAGTCCACAAATATGAAGACTGTACAATCACCAGGCTGATCAACCAGGGAAGACCGAACGTGAAATAGGAAACGAGTTTCTTATTATGACATCGCAGTATCCAGAAAATTGTGCTGCTGTTGACGGTTGCTCTGGGGTTCCAGTTATCGACGGATTGTTTGCGAGTGTCGATGACTGGGTATCCGTCCGTAGATGTATCCGACTGTCATCTCAACCACATCAAAATAAAGTTTGGTCAAACAGAGAACCAACACAAGATCAGGCAAGAACCACGATAGCGTGCAACAAACACCCAAGCCAAAAGGTCCTCAGTCATCCAAGACTTGCCACAAAGGGGCCATAAGAGCAGATGATTATTGCCAATATTGTTATAAGCTGTGCTTGTCTTGCCGGAGGAAGTCGCCCCTCGACGCTGAGTCTTTTTAATGAGCCCGGACGGTCAACCATCATGTGCTTGGACACCCACTATTCTAGAATTTCTGCCGGAAGAGGCTTTGCCGAGTGCTTTGCCGAGTGCTTCGCTCAACCTCTGGTGTCAGCACTGGCACTTGAGACAGTCTCCGTCGTGTATAATTGCCAACACGACACGACCGAGGACGTGTGAAGCGTGGACCAATGTGCAATAACCTGATGGCTGTTATCGAGCACTGAAATCGCAAGACACGGCTCAATATCTCATGCTCAATGCTTGTTTGTCGACCAGGTTGGGTGTATAGTCGCCAGCCATTGGGTTACATCAATGAACGGAATTCCGCCAGGAGGTGGAGCAAGTCATTCCGCGAGTGAGGTTGCCGCAATGACGCGTGCTACGGATCACCGAGCGACGGCCTCTGGCACATAGGGTGTCTCATCGTTGGGATTGCATTCTGCCTTCCGAACACAGCGCATCATGGTTTTGTGATTGTCGAGACAAGTTCTTTGTGACCAGAGTGGTGCCGGTTGCCAGTGGAAAGTCATCCTCACCAGTCCAAGCGCGTGATCCTCAAATGTGCTCCAATAGATGAGCGGATAATTGTATGGTCGTGACTATCGGCCAGTGCTAACTCGTGGAAGGGGTATAAGGGCCCGTGGTGATGTCGCTCAGCGTAGAGCTGTGAGATACGCGTAACAACATAGGCAGCGAATCAACAATCTCCGGTGCGGAATCGATTCGTTCTCAGCGCCAGAGCCGTTCGCTCCGATCTGTAGCAGCCTGGCCAGGTCACGGATAGCTCCGTTGGCTCGCATGTGGAAGGTCTCGACTCATCTTTTCGAGGCTCCAGGAGACCAGGCCTCGGGCGTCCACGTCGATCCAGGATTTGTAGCCGTCTCTTTTGCTTTTCTCATTTGGTTTTCATTGCTTTCGATGTGATTCTTCATCTTCTCTCCCTGCGGAGACTGCGTAGGATCATTTTGCGCGTCAATCCTGTCCAATAACGGATCGCCAGCAAGTGCGACGGTCGCCGCTGGCTTTGGCTTTTCAATGTATTTGGCCCTTGCAGCCCATCTCTCATCGGCTAGCCTTGCCCCAATCTTGAGCTGGGCCTGTCTCTGGACATCCGCTGCCTGCTCTTGCATTGTGGGAGCGTCATAGCGAGTGTAGCGGAGCCACTGGTGCCACTGAGGCGAGATCTGAACGTCTGAGAGTGAAGAAAGAGTAGCCCGACGGCTGCCCTTGACCATCCGCCGCCATCGACCGGGATTGATTTGATCTCGGAACTCCCAGAATGTGTTGCCGTAGAGGTCTTGCCCTGTCGGAATGTCAGTTGGCATACAATTCTCAATATCCATCCGGTTCGAGTGCACGTACCGACTAAGAATCTCTTTCTCCAGGGCAAACGAAGCATCTTCCATCTCAGCCATAGATCTCGAATTGCCCCCATCTTGTTGAACGCTTCGCGAGCCGCAGGATTGGAAGGTTGGTGTAGGTCCAGTCACAAAATCATCATTGCACAAGCACGAAGGCTGCATAATTCTTGGGGTCGACGTCAACCTGCATGCGAGGCCCCGGTCACACATCACATCCGTCTCATCCCCACCACAATCTACACGGCCATCGTCTTCGCGCATTACTGCATACACGCGGTGGTCGGCTTGTTCGCTACTGACGGCAGTCATTGACTGAATCTCTACGGCGCTTCCCATTGACGTCGCTAGAGCTCACACTATTTACGTTTGCGACATCAGCAGCAGCAACGATGGCTTCCGTGACGAGTCTGGACCAGGACATGCGCAAACTGCGCTTGGAGCGCTACACTCCAGGCGCCGCTAATGAGGTGCGGAATTGGATCGAAAGCACGCTCGGAGAACGGCTGGCTCCGGGTGACTTGATGGAAGCGCTGAAAGACGGTGTGGCTCTTTGCAAGTAAGTGATGCGCATGAACATGGTAGTGAGGTGCTGACTGTATCTTCCTTACAGACTCGTCAACTTGGCCGTTGCACCGAACATATCGGGTGTCAGGTACAAGCAATCCAACATGCCTTTCGTACAAATGGAGAACATCTCGCACTTCCTGACTGCTTGCGAGAAGCCGCCCTTGAACCTTCTATCCCACGATCGATTTCTTACCGTCGACCTCTACGACTCCAAAGACCCTGCCCAGGTCCTGCAATGCATCGCCGCGTTCGGCCGGCGAGCAAACCAACTGAACCCGTCAAGCTTCCCCACCACCTTGGGAGCAAAGAGCAAATCTGCCATGAGCCCCCAAGGAACAGGCTCCAGTGGCCCAAGATCTCCAGCCTATACCACCACAGCAAGCTCGAGACCACGAGGTACAAGCAACGCGGCCCCTGATAGCCCATCTATCACCTTTAACCCTCTCAACAAAGCCGCCTACTCCGGCCGTGTAAGCCCGTCCAAGAATACCCTCAGCCGAGGGGGTCTGGCGTACGGCGGTCCGGTCAGCAGCTGGAGTTCCAGGGACGATGAAGGCAAAACAGCTCCAGCATGGAACATCCATCAATACGGCTATATGGGTGGCGCAAGCCAGGGCAACCAGGGCGTTGCGTTCGGTGCCAGACGGCAAATCACGTCCGCTGCGCCCAACGTCCCCAGTCTTGCCGAGAAAGAGAAACGTCTCAGAGTAGAGGCGGAGCGCAAGCGGCAAGAACAGGAGGAACAGGAGGAACAGGAAAGGCGACAGCGTGCGCAGCGCGAGGCAGAAGAACAACAGGCCAAGTTAGAAGAGGAGCACAGATGGGAAACGCAACGGGCAAGAGAGCAAGAAGCCGCTGAACAACGAGCTGCGGAATGGCAGCGTCTTCAGGCGGAAGAACGAGTGCGACGTGAAGAACAGCGTAGGAAGGAACTGCAGTATGAACGTGAGCGCGACCGTGAAGCTCAAGATGCGGCTGAGCGCGAGGCCCGCATGGCGCAAGCCAGAGGCCGGCAACGGACTGATAGCGATGCCCGTCTCAATGGGCAGTTCCTCAGCCAGTATCAAACCGACCGGACCAGGACTACTGCAGATGCACCCCCACTCACCAAACCCATCGTGCAGCAGCAGACGGCTGAGACCCAGCGCATTGCAGAACTAGAGCGCCAGCTGGAAGAGATGAGGGCGCAACAAAGACAATCTCAATCGACTCGGCCAGGACCACCTCAGCCTTCAGACTCCGAGTTAGATCCTCCTGCTCCTGCATCACCAAGCAGACCTCAACCCGGACAGACCAGTCATCAAGACGACTGGTCGGCTTCTGAGCGAGACTACTTGAAGCGGGAATGGCAGAAGAACCAAGATCAAGCCCCACCGAAGCCACCACGGCCCGACGCTCCTCCATCGTCTCGTCCTCTGCCCGACCCAGCAGCATATCAAGCCGGCACGAATCGAACAGATCGGTACCTCGCGACGAACGCTGCTCCGTCTGCACCCAACGTCAGCTCTCACCGCCCACAAGACTTCTCTACCACGACTGAAATCGACCTCGAAGACCGGCGCCGGATACAGTCTCAGCAACGCACCAAAGCTGGCGGTTGGGCCTCCAAATCGCTTCTTGAAAGAGAAATGGAACGCGAGCGAGAGCGGCAGCGAGAGTGGGAAGAGTCACAGCAGGATACGGCCTCGCGCGCACGGGACGTCCGAGAAGGAAGTGCGCCGGGTCAGACTTGGGATGTTCATCAGTACGGGTATCTGGGTGGAGATAGTCAGAATCGAGGCGGTCCAGGGCTCGGGGTTGGAGGTGCCAGACGACAGATCATCGGACCGCGGCCTCCGCCTTAGATTTTCGTGTCCCGGAGGCGTGCCTGCGTGGGCGAGGATCTATGTGCGATTGATTCTGGAAGGCTTCAGGAAACATGATATCCCGAGCAAGCGTTGAATGGAGGCATCAGTGAGCGCGATGTCTATCGGAAGGACGGGACGCAGCGAGCTATTCGACTTGGTTGTCCGTTACAAGCCGTCAGCCTGGCTTCCAACAGGACATCTATAAAACATAATGAACGCTTTGAAAGATCTACTGAGTGCCACGGTCATGCAAGGCTTCCACAGAACGAGCGAGCAAGCGTTCGTTACCGACTGACGTGTATCGTGTGTTCATGTTCATCTAATGCCTCTGCTGTTTTAGAGACAGCGCCCTTGACCCTCCTCGTGTCTGCCTGCCCATCCAAGCCGTCCACGATCTTCGATATCCTCTCACCACTCTCTACAAGCCACTCCCATGCCAAAGCCTCTTCGCTTTGTCTCTTCCCCTTCTCCGTCTTGACCCCTTTCTTTCCCACTCGAACAGCAACGTTATTCACCCTCCGCTCTACTCCCTCGGCCACAACGGCCAATAAGAGAGGGGTCTTCTTCAACGCACCCACACCTGCGAGCGTGCGAGCCAGTGACTCCAGCAAGATGGAAACCCGTGCGTTCGCGTCGGCGCTGTTCTTGCTCGCCGCAAAGCGGAGATACTCTTCCTCGAGTTTGCTTTGGGAGAGGAGCACCATGCTCCGTCTGCTCGGGGCGGAATGTTCCAACATGCGCTGGAGGATGGACTCGCACAAGCTCGTCAACGTCGTGGCATCGAAGGGATTCGACGGGGAGGGGAGGACTATTTGGGCGAAGACTGGCAAGGACAAAGGCCGTATGAATTCCACGAAGAGGATAAATAGTTCTTCCAGGTCCGGGAAAGTGGTCGGGGATGTGGATGTTAGCGTATCGTGCGCGGAAACCCACGTCAGGAGACGCAACAGGCGGAGACGGAGGGAAATGGAGGATGAGTCACCAAGAGTTGGTGCTGAGGGAGTAGATGTATCTCCTTCGGCATCGGTGTAGGAACTTCTCAGGCTGCCGTTGCTGCTTCGTGGCGTTAGTCTCTTTGCTGAAGGTGTCCTCGGTCTTGTTCCTGTCCTTAGCCGCTTCGAACGTCGTCCGCCCCCCACGCTTATAGCATCACCATCATTTGCAGCCCCGTCGGAGACATCATCATCCTCTTGACCAAGGTAGTCGCCGTAGAAATCTTGATCGATATTGACATGTTCCTGCTTTTCAAGCTTCTTGGCCGTGCCGTCTTCCTGCTTTGGCTCTTTCAGCTCGTGGGCGAATATCTCTCGGAACTCGGCGAGTGAGCGTGCACTTCCGTCGGCGAATATTGCGCGGATGATTCTTCTCTGCCGTGCGTGTCCGCTTGACGCCAGTTCAATGTACTGCCATAGCAAGGACTCATCCGGCGAGGGATTCTCTCCGATAGTCCGGATACGCCAGTCCGTCTCAATCATGCTGACCAGAAACTCAAGTAGAAGACGGTAGTGAGTCCATCGTGAGCCATACATCCCTGGTAAACACGCACAATTGAATGCCCAGCCTACCAGTCGCCAGAAATCCTCGGCCCGGGTCCAGAGGCTGTGCGAGCGGGCATAAGTCGTGTTTAGATTGTCATCACGAAAAGCATCCTCACTTTCACCTTCCTCGTCATCGTCGCTCGCTCGATTATCAGTCCGTCGCGAAAACCGAAGGTCAAATTTGTGAAAGGTGAATGCCGCGGCGAAGTTGGCATTAACGGGCCCGACAAGGGAGTGAATTAGTTTGAGCAATCGTAGAGCAGCGTTTGCTTGGTTCCACTTTTCCCGATCGTTTGTCCTTGTTGTCGTGCTTGGATGGACTGTAAGCGTGGCCGCCAACGCGAGGTGCGAGACGGGCGGGATTGTCACGGGCGCCGAAGCACTAACGGAGAATGCGTTATTGCCCGTGACTGAGAGTAACGTATCGAATGCTTGGGTAAAGAGTCCTTCTTCGAGATACGTCTGAACATGCTGGGCGACTTCAAATGGAAGTTCTCTGGTTGGTCGAAATTGCTTTCCCTCTTGCGAGGCTGAAGCTTCTCTGGTGGCGGATTGGGTCAGTGGAGGCGAGGACAACGGGGATGAGCGCGCTGAATTGCCATCGCACAGAGGGGGTGGGCAATTAGTGGCCCGCCGCATCACTTTAGACAAAGATAAAGGATCGCACGGTTGGCTTCCTGCTGTTGATGGGAAAGAAAGAGGAAGTTCAGCCTCGCGTGCCTCCCGTGAGCCTCGCGGGGCATTCAGGCAGCACAGCCGCAAGGAAAGTCTGCCGAGCCCCTTTTCCAGATGAACTGTACTCCGTATTTTCTTAATCTTCCTCCCATTTTTTACCACTCAAGCTTTCCCAATTCCGACAAAACTCTTCCCTTGCCCGTCATGCAAACACTCGGGGATCTTTGCCACCAGCCCCGTCTCGTGGTTCGACGAAAGCGGTTGCGATAGTAGCTAAGGGTTCGCTTGCAGCGGTAGCCACGGTGAGAACGACGACCAAGCACCTTTGCTGGGATTTTGCAAAGGTCGTATTCGCATTTCAGAGAGCTAGCTCTAGCTCGCTTCGATTGATGCTCCGCACGGAGAACCACGTTCAGGATCGATGGGTTAGGCGAAGGCGAAAGACTTGTCCAAGAGCCCATGTTGTCTGCCGAGCCGGCGCGCTGTTATTTTTAGCAACGCCTTGCCATATAGTCATGTGTGACGCGGGGTGGCTTTGATCGGGTCGCAGTCGACCCATTACAGAGGATGGTATATACAGGCACCAGGTGAGGCCCCATCTCTCAGCTTTAATCTCTGGAGCACTTTGTGGAAAGGATAAGCTTTCATCATCTCGGCGTCGACTGAACTCTCAATCTCCCCGCAACGACAATTGCAAGTGCCTCGCTTCAGGCCCGACACAAACATGGGCTTCCTCGGCGATAAATACAAAGCATTCAAGAACTTCAAAAACGGCCGCAATCCTGACGGCTCCTCCAAGATCACCGACGAGGACATCAAGAAATATACAGGCAAAGACAGGGTCGAGTTCGACAAATTCGCAGCCAATACACCAGGGGTTGCGGGCAATCAGCTCGCTGGATCAATTACTGCGGGAGGCAATTGCGGGTTGGGCAACGGCGGCTATACAACATTCGATGCTCATAAGATCCCGGGCAAGAAATAGGTCGTCATGAAGTCGTGGCAGACAAGCCTGGAGCCATGTGGATCTGTGACGTTGTTCAAGGTCGACTAAGCACGACCAAAGACTGAAGTCTGTCAGACAGCCTCATCCAATAGCCAAACCATCATCGCTTCAGCCTACTTGCAAGGTCTTTTATGGCTTCCCTGCACCATTTTTCTACATCCACCTCGGCGATTTGGCCGTTTCTCTCATTGATCTCCCTCTCGATTTTCTCAAAGTCCTTGCCTATGCCTTCGGCACGCCACTCATAGCAGTCACCGATCCACCTGCTGCTCTGCACAAGCCACTGCCCGCGCTCCTTTCGTCGGTCATTGAACGTTGCGAATACAGCTTCGAGATCCGAGGGTGATTGGACCTGCTTGTAGGCGAGGAGTGAGGCAAGAACAGCCGAATCCTCAATGCAGAACCCGGCTCCTGCGCCATGGTGCGGAGAAGTCGCGTGCGCTGCATCTCCACATATACATATCCGCCCTGTATGGAAGGTAGGAACCGGATTGTCGCCCATGTCGAAAATTGCCCACTTCGTGGTTGATCAGCAATTGTCTGCATTCATGTGAAACTTCTCAAGGTGACTTACCACGTCCAGATCCGGCTTCGTTAGGTTCAGCAGTTTCATCACATTTGAGCCGTACCCTGCAAAGTCCCTCAATGCATCTTCTCGTTTTGCTGGCCTGGTCAGCCGACTGAAGTCTGGCCAGTCTTCGGGACTAGTTCTGAAGGCCACAATATTCAGCGTCTTGCCGTGGTTGACAGGAAAGGTCAGGACATGGCCATCCGGGCCCATCTGTGTGTTGCGGCATGTCAGCAAGTGCCGAACGTCACCTTACTCCCAGCCACAGCAGCTGGAAAGACTTACGTGCATGCAAGAGTTGACTGCCAGCTCTTCGCCGACAGCCCTGATCGCTTCTTCCATCGGCGCAAGCCCTCGGTAAGCATACTTGTGCGTATAACTGGGTTTGGCACTAGGATGGTCCTTTCCAACGATGATCTGTCTAACTTTTGACTTGATACCATCGCATCCGATCACCGCATCCGCTTCAGCCGTGGTGCCATCTTCGAACTTCATCGACAGCCTCCCGCTGTCCTTTTTCTCCTCAATATCAACAAGTTTCTTGCCGAACCGCGCAATCTCGCGCGGCAGCAGCTTGACGATCTCGTCCAAATATGCCGCACGATGCACTCCATTCTGTCCCAAGGAGTTTCGAATCGTGAATGCAATGTCCTGCCTCTCTTGACCAGGCTTCGGCCCCACATACCCGTCGAGGTAATCGAACCACACCTTCTGCTTCTCGGGCCAGACGTTGCGGGTGCAGACTTTCTCAAACGCCTCGTAGACACCCTGGTGGCAGACCTTCATGGCCTGCACGGCGTTGGGGGAGAACGAAACGCCCGCGCCGATCTCGCCGAACTGAGGCGCCTGTTCGTAGACTTTCAGCGCGATGCCGCGGTGGTATAATGCGATGGCGAGGGTCAGGCCAGCAATCCCACCACCAATGATGGCTACTTCGAAGTTTCTGGGCACATCGGTCGACGCGTGCCGTGAAGCTGCTGCTGCCGTTGAATCTTGCGCCATCGAGACGCTCTCACCCTTCGATTCTGCAGACATGGTACTCCACCAAGATTTGGTCTTCACGAGAGTTGCGATGCCTGCAACTTAGGTGACAACAAAAGGACCTACATACAGAAGAGACAACATAGAAATAGATTCGAGCAAGCCGAAAAGCTTCCGCGAGGCTGTCAGGCTCTAGCGAGACAGATATCCGAATAGAATGGAGCAGAATCTAACTCGCGAACGTCGCGGTTGGGTTTGTACATCATTGCACCGAAGCATCTGCCATCGCCTGTTCTCCACTTCGCGTCCTCTTCCGAGGGGGCCTTTCGGATGTGCCCCGGGACGACTCGCGGCGCATTTTGGAAGCGGAAGCAACTGCCTCCGTTTGCCCGCTGCCGCCTAGTTCCGCTGGTGGCAATATTTCGCCTCTATCGCGGCAGTAGGGGAGCGAAGGAGTCACCAAGAGAGTTGACCAACGCTGCCCATTTCGCCAACTTGCTGCGCCGTATCTGCTTGGGCTGAGTATTGTGTAAAATGGTGCCGTTTTCTTCCTTCAGGATCTACTCCGTACAAGTCCATCCTTCGTTGTCTCGGCAATCAGTGCTCATACTGTAACCAATGCGATTCCGTAGACTGATTCACATGTTACTCTGTGCCCTTGTCGACAGGAAGAGTCCTACACCCCACCCTAGGGAGGGGTATGTGGTCGTTTCAGGCCGCTTGCGTGGGTGAAGTTCGCATCGCTACCACTGATGATTTGCTTGCAACTCCTTCTCTGCATTTCCGCTACTGCTGTGTGACCTTGGCGGTCTTTCCGCTTCAGTGACCAGAACAAAGGACATGAAGCTATGCTAAAAATTCCGCGGCATGCGGGGATATTTAGCAGGAGATGTATCCCCGAAATCTGTTCCGAAGACTCGTGCGAACCGCCTACCGATACACAATGCTGCCGTCAAAGGACGTCGTCGAAGTTACAGATCCCGATCCCCGTGCTGATGGTCTCAGCGAGAGAGAAGATACCACCCACGCTGGTAGCATATGGAGTCGAGATAAGTTAGTTAGATTCTCCGGTCCCGTGCGTCAAGGAATTCTATGAGCTCATTTTCGTTCTCAGGTTCTCCGGCGCTGTCGCGTACAATTTTGTCGGTTTTGTCCTTCCCGCGTTGTACGGCACTCTCTCCAAGCTATGGGTTGCCAACATCGACGCTTCCATGGTCGCTACCGTGGACTCATACACGTACATTGGCGTCGTGGCTGAAGTCATCAACGAAGGCCTCCCTCGAGCCGCGTGGGTGATCATTGGGGACAAGGCGTCGCGCTCGCTATCGTCCCGGATCAGCCTTACGCAGACGTTGATCGTCTTCCAGAGCATAATGGGTCTGCTGGTCAGTGTCATCATTCTAGGCGCAGCCAAACAGTTCGCCGCCGGTTTCGTACCCGAGCAAGTCCGCGCCGCAAGCTTGACCTACGTCCGCATCAGTTCGTTTTCTGTCTTTAGCGCCGCGTTAGAGACTGCCGTCAGCAATGCCACCAGAGCCCTGGACCATCCGGACGTGCCCTTTCTCATCGCGGCGACACGCTTCGCCATCAACATAATCCTGGACTTGCTGATCATTTCAAAGTTCCACGTGGGATCATTCACGCCCTCGGTGAACACCCAGGCAGGCATCCGCCTCGGATGTGACTTCGCAGCCGCCTTTGCCGGGTTGGCGTACTTCATCTTGATAGTTTGGAGACTCCAGAGCAAGCATGGCCTCATTGAGAAAATGCCGCGTCCCAGCCTTAGGGCGTTTGGGGTGCTTCTCAGACCAGGCTTCCTTACATTCGCAGAGTCGGCCGTCCGGAATACCTTCTACCTCTGGCTCGTCAGCAACATTGTGTCTATGGGCTCTGACTATGCAACGGCATGGGGAGTTTTCAACACAATCCGGTGGGGCCTCGTAATGGTCCCGGTCCAGACGCTGGAGGCTACTTCAAATGCCTTTACCGGGCACAGATGGGGTGAATGGCGGAAGGCAGTCGGCGTCGACTTACAAAAGGCCAAAGCCGGCTGGAAGCAGATCAGAGGTACGAGGCTTTCAGTGTATATTTTGGTTGGGCTTGACTGACACCTCGTTTGTAGGCATGGCAACCCCTGCTCTGATCTCCGCGGTCGTCGTGCTCACGATCGAGGTTCCTCTGTGTATCTTCCTCTCAATTTTCGGCTGCAAACCGTTCGCACATTACCTCTCGGGCTCAGACACTGTGGCATCGATCACCGCCTATATGTGGCGCACTATAGATTGGTGCTACATTTTCTATGCACTGAGTACCGAGCTTGCGACAGTCCTGTTGCCGACGGTGCCAAGGTGGTATCTGTATCAGTCACTGGTATCCAACGTCTTGTACGTTCTGCCGTGGGCAATTGTATGCCAGGTGGCAAATCTGAACGCCAGTGATGCCTGGAGCTATCACGCATTCGTCTTCGGGGGCAGCCTTGTATTCAGCTTCTTTAATGTGCTGCTGTTTGTCGGGCTGTGGGCGTGGAAGCTGCGTCGTGGAGCATTGAACTTCGACAAGGTGCGATTGATATGACGGCGGCGTTGGGTGGACCCCAACAGAGCCTTACTGGATGTGTCAGCTGTGAATAGATGGTATTATGGCTGGCAAGCTTGTATCCATGAGCAGTCACAGGTTCGCATTGAGGTCGTTATCCCTGACAATCTACCTGGCCTCCTAGCTTAGCGCCACCACGTAGCGGTAACGTAGGTTGATATCGGGCTTCAGTGCCCTCCCCTATTGCCCTGGCTACTCTTCTCAGGGCCTCCTCCATGTAAGGTCTTGGATGGGTGAACACAATACGAAACAAGCCCGGCGTCTCTGCACCAAAGTATGACCCACTTCCCAGAAACACTTTACTGCTCACGAGCGATTGCATGATCTCGTCGGCCATTGCGTCGGTGACTTCGCTGCCACGTTCGAGGTGCCGGTCAAGATACGCCTTTCCAAGATCAAGCCATATGAAGAACGCAGCATTTGCACCTGGCGCATAGGGTATTTTATGCTTGTTGAGGAAGTCTACCACGAAACTGAACGAATCAGTCAGCCGTTTCTGATTCTCCTGGATGAAGTCGTCAACCCAAGCATCATTTTCGAGCATGTTTGCGGCCACGTGCTCAGCGGCGGACGACGCGTAGGAGTAGATCTCGACTTCCAGAAGCGCCCTGTGAAGCGCTTCGTTATGTTGCGAGATGATATATCCCACCCTCAAGCCGTTGGCCCCAAAGTCCTTGCTCATACCCCAGAGCACGTGGACGAGAGATGGATTGATGATGCCTTCCGTGGCGATTGACAAAACGGAGGTAACCCCAACCGCAGGAGGGGAGGAGTCGTGACGGTTGTGCCAAGTCGTGAAGGCGTATATCTCGTCGCAGACTAGGTGAATCTGATATTTCTCGCACAGCCGCATGTAGGCAATGAGAGCGTCCCGAGAGTAACATCTTCCCAGTGGGTTGTGCGGCGAACATAGCATGAGAGCTTTTGCGTGAACGCCCCGGTATTTGGCAGCAAGGAGCGCCTTTTCGTACTCGGCAACTGCTTCCACACTCATGGGGTCTATGGTTCCGAAGTCGACTGTGAGGACTTCCACGCCAGGACGAAGTGCGATGTCTGGAATGAAGGCGCGGTAGTATGGTCGGCCGAGGAGGTATCCATCCCCAGGGTTACAGAATGCCCAAGATGTATGCTCAATGGAGTGAGAGACGCCATTCGTCACAATGACATGCCGCATCTCTAGAGGCACAACTGGCTGTAACCGACGGTTGAGGAATCTCACAACAGCGTTCCTCAACCTGTTGGAACCCAGTGGCCCATCTCCATACGTGAAGGCTTTCGATGGGATATTAGAGCTGTTCCGAATATAGCACTCCAGCTCGCTGTGCATTAAAGTGTTCTCTGCAACGCCGACATTGATATATCCATTTGGATTGGATTCTGGGTGCCACTGGTCTGCGTAGATGCCCCAGAGAGGGGACTCCGATGGCACAGCGCACTCTTGCGCGCGCTTCGAAAGAGTCGATACAGTGGAGGCAATCGAGGACATTTCGAATGGTCAGAATTCAAGCTAGCATTTGATGGCATTCGTGGGGAAGTTGATGCACTGGGAGAAGGTTACAGTACATATACTTGCGCATGGACTTTCACCTTCAAAATCTGATATGACAAACCCACAACGGATACGCATAGAAGGCCAAGCTCCCACCGTCGGTACTCGCCAGGGTCTGTGATCTGGCGTCATTTCACTTGACCTACTGTGTAGATCGCGCCCGATCACCTTACTGCTTCTTGGGCAGTACACGGCCTAGTCGAAAGGCGCACATGCGTGGATTGGCCACGCTGTTCCCAAAAGCAGTGGCTGGATGGTTTCAGCGTATTTTCAGCATGCATAGTCGAGATCAACGATGTTACCAGGCTGGACGTTGTCAGCAGAACGCATACAGCCTTGTGTCAGAGTAGTTGAAAAAAGGGGATAGGTGCCTGATGATGAACGTCTGACAGCAAGAGAGTGCTGAAAGATATGGCCAGTCTCGCTTGTTAACCGACTGGAAGGGGTTTGACAGTGACTGACGGCGCTCCACGAAGAAGGGCGCGAGGGGGCGCCTCACGCGTCGGGGGGCGTGCCAGTCTCAGCGGGTCCCCGCCAAGACATTAGGGCGTCATTTGTTTACATGGACGAAGCATCATCACCTCGCCATCCACGACTCTCGAACTGGACATCCAGCACTATTCGAGATCAGGTTGGGAAGCCCAGGGCACACTGTCCATCGGTAAACAGTATGGCATCAACCATGACGCGCAAGAGGAAATCGGAGGACATTGAGGAGATTGAAGACCAACCTGCCGGCGCCGTCACGCCAACGGGTAGCCCGCCGCTCAAGAAGATGAGAATCACACTGCAGCAGAAGCAAGCACTGATGGACAACCTCCAGCTTGAGAGTATGACTATGCCCTTCAGAAGTTGCATCACAGCTGACATGTCCCCAGTTACTGAACGAGCACGACAACTTCGAGCAGGATATGCTCTCCAATGCGCCGACCTTAGAGCTCGAATCGAAAGACGCGTCAATCGGATTCCTCTCACTATGCGAAAGATGACCATGAGGGAACTCATGGAACAACACCAACCTGCGCGCCCGGTCAAGGACGCTCCTCGGGCATCGCCGCCTAAGCAAACAATATCAGTCGAGGTCCCTACGCCCAAACGCAAACCGCTGCCTCCTCTCCCGCAGGAACATGCCTCGACCAAGCTACAGTCTTCGGCTCGGCAACAAGCTCAACAAGTTCAACAAGCTCCTACTCGAGGCAAGAAGCGCCCGAGTTCCGAGATCCAAATCGCTTCGGACAAAGAGAACGAAAGACACCCCGACACTCTCCCTGTGGTCAAGAACAATAAGCGTCCCAAAGCAACAACCGCCCAGGCAACCCGCACCACTTCGCGCACAGCCAAACACCCAACCACCTCAGTCCTGTCTCCTCGTTCCCACAACTCCCGCACACTCCCACGCTCACCTATTAAAGACCTCTACCTCCCCACCTCGCCAGCTAAAAGCATGATTGCACGACCAACCACGGCAATGTCTCCAGTGAGGTCAACTTCCCCTTTCAAATCAGCCGCTACTGCCGCGACCTCCGCCATCTCAGCCAGCATGCACGGGATGTACGAACAAGCCAAACGCGGCGGAACAGCCACGGCTGCGAAACTCACGCGAACAGCGTCCAAGGAGAAGAAAGAGACAAGCACAGCAGTGGCGAAGGGCCAAATGCTTCCTCCACCCAAACCAAAGCCAAGCGTTCCAGCATCTCCGCAACGCACGTTCTCACAAGCAAGCACGCACAGCAACTCGACCGATGTTTCTGCTGCATCGAGCGGGACCACCGTCGTGAAGCCTAAGCGTGGTGGCCGCACCGCTACTGCTGTGTCGAAGACTGCCAAGATCGCAGCCGAACCAGTGAGTCCGGCGGAGAAGAAGAAGAAGGGAGGTGTGGCACGGGCGGCATCGGTCGCGAAGACCGCGCTCAAGAGAAATGCAGGCACTACCCGGACAGCAAATAAGAAGGTCGTGGTTGCAGAGCCAGCAGCTGGAAAGAGAGTGCTGAGGAACAGGGCATAGATTCTGACACGTGAAGGAGGATAGCAGTCGTCGTAGATTATCGGTCTGAGTTTCTCTGGATGAACGTTTGACCCTCGAAGCACGTCACGCACTGTTATGTCTATTCGTAGCATGGATAGAGGTACGCCGGCGCTTGGACTTCTCTGACGGGGAATCGGAAACAGCCTGCTACCGTCAAAATGATTGGAACGGACCGACAAGAGTAGCAACTGCACAGCTTCGCGTTTGTACGCGTTGATTTCAATGTTTCGTTCGCATTTTGTTGGCCATTGCCGCGGACTTGAAGCACCTGTTGACTCCATTCCCTTGGTTGGTAATTGCACCAGTTAAAACACAAGTGGATAAAGGTATCTGTTGTAGCAAACCTCCTGAGAAGTTGACGCTGGTCGACGACCGCAGCCACCCATCTCACTCACCTGTGGGAGGAGTTTCTGGTAAGAGATGTCCAGTCTAAGATGTGTAATTCTCCTTTTCTTCCTTCTCCTGCCCAGGGCAAACACATGCCACGTAGCAAAGGCTCACTTCCTTGCCCACCACATAGAGTCTAGTAGTCGAGCTCCGCACCCCCTCCAGCTTGAGCTGCGGCTGCTGCACCAGCACTACTTCCACCGCTAGGCTGAGCATCCAGATCCTCATAGCTCTTGATACTCCGTCCTTGGGTGGCCTCTCTGGGTCCCATGGCGTTCATCCCACCACCGGCACCGTCACCCCACTTCCCACCTCCACCACCACCACCTTGAGCGATGAATCCTGGTGTCATACCAGGCACGAGGCCTCGGATCATCCCGCCCATATTGTTGTACCCACGTTGGCTGCCTCGCTGATTCCGGTCATAGGGTCCAGGTCGATGGCCGTATCTGCCACCGCCACGACGGATAGGTCCGCCAGTGTGGGCACCATTGCCGTTCATACCATCTGGATTAAAGTTGACACCAGCTACGAGAGGTGACATCATAGTGCCCATGTTCATCATAGCATTCTGACCAAAGCTCATGGTGTTCATGCCCATACCCTGAAGGCTGAATCCGCGGGGAGTGCCATTGTTCAAGTGGTGGTTCTGAGGGAGAGGGAAATGGCCATTCGAGTTTGCATCTGATCGTGACGGTGCGATATGAGACGGATCGAGAACATATGTGTTGACGAGTTGCAGCTACGGAGGGTCAGCATCAGTACAGGGCAAGGCTGGTCGGTACTCACATCTTTTTTGAGAGCCATAAACCACTCGTCGTGTCTCTTTTCCACATGCTTCCGCCAGAAGTGATCGGCCTTGAACAATTTGGTACACTCGGGCACCTTGCATCGATACTTGGCTTCATCTTCCTGCTTGACGTACTTGGCAAGCTCTTCATCTAACGCTTCTTCAACTGGCTTGCCTCCAATCTTCTTCAAGTCCACATACTCAGGCTCGAGAATCTGCAGGATCTTCTCTTCGAAAGTCTTGACCCAATTGAACGCTCGAACAAGTTGTTGGTCATTCTTGTTGTACTTTTGAGGTCGCTTCTCCTGGACAGGGCTGAGTGCTTCGTCTTCTGCACCGTTTTCTTTCTTTTTGCCTGGAAATGGTTCACCAAGCGCGCTGGCCCTGGCTGCCGCCTTGGCCGCCGTGCTCAAGCCAGCCCTCGGCCTCCGAAGATGTCCACCAGGACACTTGCGCACCAACTCGTGGACGGAATCCGATTCGAACACGCAGAATAGACAGAAGCTGTAGACGCGGCGGAGATACTCAACCATAAGATCAAGCTTCTTCTTGATGACAAGCAACTCTTCATCATCCTGGTCATCTTCGTCTTCCTCGCCTTCTTCACCTTCCTCTTCGAACTTGATCTCGTCGTCGTTGTCTTCGAAAGTTGGCTTCTTGGGTTTGGGTGGAGGCTGCAGAAGACCCTGGTTTCTCATTTGTTCCACTCGAGCATCGATCTGAGTGAGACCTCCTGACGTCTCGTCATTCCCAAGTTCAGCATCGAGCTTGGTGACCAGTCGCCTCGCGAGTTCGTAGTCCCGCTCGACCCGCTCTGGCGCAGAGAAGAGATCCCAGAGAGCCTTCTTTCGAGGCGCACTAGGCGCATTGTGAATACCGACGTGGCAGGTGAAATCGCCTCTGACGGCATCGGTGATAGTCTTGCCATTTATGAGATCGAGAGCTTTCTGAACAGGACTGATTTTGTCGGTCGAAGGCTCCTCTTTGCCTACTTCACCGTCCTCATCACGGCCATCGCCCCGTTCGACATCTTGCATGGCGTCGCCATCCTCCTCAGGAGCAGGATTCAACATGATCCAGCCAATGCGGTGGAATTTCTTGGCCGGGTTCGGGTCACTAAGCGAAAGACCTTTAAAGCCACCAGCCTCTTCACCAAGGTGTTCTTTACAGAACTCCTCAATGCGATCCCTGCCGACGTTTGGTGCAAGGGTCTTGATAAGCAGGGCAGGTTGTTGGGCGGATTCGTCTCGCAGGTCGCCACCTTTGGCAGGCACAAGGTCAAGAACCCCGAGCACTTCAGCGCCGCCAACGGCTTCGCCCTCTTCTTTCTCCACCATGCCACCAGCACCATCGCTATCATTCTTGTAAATCCCCTCAAGTGTGAATTCGTCGAATACGCCTGCCTCGATGTCTTTGACCCATTGGTCGAAATCGGCTTTTCGGGATTCCATGAGACGCTTTCGAATAGGATCGCGGATTTCCGGAAGGTATCGCTCTTTGAACCATTCCTCGCCCTTGTGCAGCTGGACAAATTGTCTTGCCATCTTCACTTGAAATTCTTGCTTGTACTGGTTGTAAGCCTGCTGGATTTGTGCACGCTCCTTATCACGGTCCTCCTTCGCTTCCCGTTCGCCTTTAACGCGGTCCGACGGTCGTCTTCCACCAAGCTTGGCTCGCTCTTTTTCTTCTTTAACTTGCTGTTCGAACCTCCACCAATCGGCGAAGAAGCTAAAGCCAGCTTGCGTGTCCAAAGCAAGGGGGTTTGCCAGTGGATTAACCTTGACAGCTTGCTTATCCGGCTCTTGGCCTGGAACGTAGCGATCAATGTTGGCGGCGGTAGGAGATGGTGCTCTTCTGCGGTCGTCTCGTTCTCTTGGGTCCCGTATGTCTCTTGCATCCCGTCCGTCTCTGGGATCTCTCGCATCTCTTGTGTCTCTGATATCCCTCGCAGCTGGTCTAGGACCATCGTAGTAGTCATCCCTTGTGGTTCGGTCCCGTTCGCGGTCTCGATCTCGGTCTGGTTGGTATCGGTCGATGGCTACCGGTGAACGGGAGCGATTGCGAGGAGCAGGCCGACGTCTGTCATTGACTAGGTTCCAAAATGTCAGTCATCAGTCACGGTAGCCACATGGCTTTGTGTGGGCTTACCAGGAGATCTCCGTCTGTACGAATCGTTGCGGTCGCGGTCATAGGACTCATCGCGTCCACGGTATCTTGGAGGCGATCTGTCGTTTGTGGGCGACCCATAGGCCTCGTATGGATTCATGTTGAGAGCGCACTCTCAAGAGCCGTCTCGAGATTGATCTTGATGTCTCAAAGCCGCCAAGTGACCGTGTCCACGCCCAATGACGCGTTATGTCATTTGCGGATTTGCGACCTAGCAGGGGGCGAAGTAACCTCAAATTCAGGTGTTATCGCTTTCGGACCGTTGACACGTCGAGGTAGGATAGCTAAGAATAAACATGGCAGAGGTTAGACATGCGTGAAATCGGGATGAACCGAGGGGCAGCTTCGAAGAATAATGAAGATTCATGGTCAAAGACAGAAGAAGTATCGCAGGCATAGATGCCGCCTATTTGAAAGTAGAGTAGAATGCAGCCAACAAATAGTAACAGTGTAGACTGGTCTGACCGGACCGGGGAATGAGAGGTTGAAGTGAGCGCCCGCTGAATGGTGGTGGCAGGATGACGAGGAGCAGAGGTATGGTAGTGAGCTTACAATATTCGAAGCAAGACAGCTGGTTGCACACTGATATCGCAACGGAGCAACAGTGTTGATGGATGGAAATGAGCAGTTGGAGGATTCAGAACCGCGGCGTGAAACCCTCGCGCAACGATGCTGAGGCGCTCGGCGAAGCGCAGCGCATCTTCAGGTAGAGCGCCTGATTGGTGGTTGTGACTGGGCAACTCGGCCGGACAAGGCAGAACTTGGCAGAAACCGTATACTTGGCCGGTATCAGTGTTTACAGAGTCGCGAGAGTACTGTGTGCGGAGTACAGGACAAGTAGTCTGAGTACAGGATAATAACAGAAACAGCAAAATTATCAGGACGAGATCAAGACCATTCGTTGGGACTGGTACATCATGTGAATAGCAATAACAGGCTGGCCGGAGCGCTGAAGTATCCCTCCTACCCTTTTCACTTCCGCCTCATCGCCGAACATGTTGGTCCTTGGGCATGCCCTTATCATTCCACTCCTTGAGCAGCTCCCAATCCCTTTCATCCAAAGCGGGATCATCCGTGCCATACCTCGCGATGAGGAGTCCCGACAGACTACCACTCTTCCTGGCTACCGCCATGCCGGGTCGTTCACCAGGTGCATCGATCCAGCCGTTCTCACCGAGGATTCGGTCGCGGTTTGCAACGGAGATGTCGTCCGTGAAGCGCTTGAGGAAATCCAGATTGGCTTGGTCAAATACACAATCTTCGGTACCGTGTAAGTTGATTACTGAACAGGCGAGTTTGTGGTCCCGAATCTGCTCCGCAGTGTCCCCTAGAATACAGTCAGTCAGTCGCCAGGTTGAAGTAAGCTTGAAGTGACTTGCAGGTCCCCTTTGTGTACGACATTCTGCTCACGTAGATTTGCTTGATCCTAAGGTGTGTGTTCATTGCGGAAGCAGGAATGAGAGCGGGATTGCGACCCTATATGTTCCCAGCTCCCGCCTTGTTTCGTCGTCGCCAAAGACCATCGCTTTGCCAATCATAGGTCTGCAGTCCGCAGCATCTGCAAGTTGTTATGCAGGGCCCAGGCCTTGACATGCAATTGCACCACTGACCACAGGTATCCCTCCACCATTCGAATCTACCAGATTGCATTTACGCTGAGCACTTTGCTGTCCTACCTGCCACGATCCCCCATACCCGTCAGAACGGCAGAGTGGGGGTTATTTCAGATACCCCTGGCCACAGACCTCCAAAACAACGAGCACTTCTGTTATAACTAACATCCGCAAGGCTCACTGCGTCTTTGCCTAAAAGCAGGAGCCCTTCGAAAAGTACAATTTCAAGCTCCAGCAGTCCATGGAGACAAGCTTGTCCTCGTCAATATCTACTCCTCCCAGTCTCACAACCAGGAGTACATTGACAATTACAGCTCTGCAACGACCACTACCAACCACGAGCAGCGTTTCGATGACTACCAGTACCTCGACCACCACGAGCATTACGACCGCAGCCGCAACCTCAACCTGTCCACTATCGACCATCGCGGGACCGGCTTCTGGCGCTTGCGAAGATCAGACGGATCCGTACAGTGCAGAAAGCGGAGATAGGTTCACTCCAAGATTGCGAGAGCTATAATGCTGGCACAGTGTGATATCAAGATGTAGCCAGGATCATTGATTGCACAGCTCGTGCAGAAATATGTTGACAAGACCCGCAGACTATATCTACCTGCTCTGGCACCCGAGGCCCTGGTGTATTCTCGAGAGTGGTCGGTCCCAGTGCAAGCAAGGACAATGTCCCTAGGTGTGATCTATGGTGGCATGCCATCAGACCCGTCGATTCCGGAGTGTCCTCGGAACAACACGACACGATCAACCATGCAGCGACTCATATTGACGAATTTGGTGGCTTCGAGGGCTGCATTTATTGGGTTGCGGTTTTTGGTGATCTTTCCGACGTGGACGAGACCCATTTTCAGCAACGTGGTAGAGGCAAGATGTGGACTAATTCACGCAAAGACGTAATCTTCTTGAGTGCGTGAGGAGGGCCAGAAAGCCATGCCTTATGCTCCATCACTGGAAGCGAATATAGAAGGGAGGATCGTGGCCTACGTAACCGGCTTTGTAAGGCGAAGGTGGTTAAGGGCGCAAATGAAACTGCGTGATGCGCGTTTTAAAGCGCTGCGCCCTGAGGATAGCACATTCTCGAGGACAGTGAGGTTGAGACGTCCGGTTGGCGCTCTAGCAGTATATATCTCAGAGTAATCCCTCCTACATTACTGCATGATGCCAGGGGATGGCCCTGGGGCGTGAGCTAAGTGAATGTTCTCTACGCGCCGGAAAGTCGCCGGCTGGGAAATGATCAAAGTTGAACACCCTCAAAGCAAAACTGGATTTCTCCCTTCTCCTCAAATGCCGTCAGCCATGGAACCAAGCGCACAGCTCAGCAACATGTGTGACGTTTTCTATGTCGGCGGTAAGTACATACAAGATGATCGGGGGACACACATGACCGGCCAAATTTGCGTGCGTCGATATGGCAGGCAGGTGGACAACCGCCCTGCAATCATCTATATCCACGGAGCAGCGCAAACAGGCACTCACTGGGAAGCCACACCTGATGGCCGACCGGGCTTGGCCTTGCTGCAGGCACAAAAGGGGTGGGAATGCTACGTTGTCGACCAGCCCGGCGTTGGCAGATCTCGGTACCATGCCGACGACTTGGGAATACTCACCCACTACACGGTAGAGGAGCTGGAAGAATGCTTCACCTCGCCGCCGCACGAGTCATTTCCCCAGGCAAACCTGCTTACGCAGTGGCCGGGCTCGGGAAAGAAAGGCGATGCCATCTTCGACGCCTTTTATGCAAGCCAAGTCGGACATCTGGCGAAGTACAAGGATGTGGAAAGGGCTTTTCGTCCTCTTGCAAAAGACCTTTTTGCTCGCACAGGGCCAGCCTTCCTGGTCACGCACTCCCAGTCTGGCCCTATTGGCTGGCACATTGCAGATGAATGTCCAGAGATGGTGCGTGGTATCGTGGCCCTGGAGCCAAATGGGCCTCCTTTCACCTACCCCGGCTTACCCCGATTCTACGTCCGAACGCAAGGGACAAAAGCCGGCACTTTCGTGCGCCCGTATGGCATAACTTCAACTCCATTGACCTACGAACCCCCATTGCCGAGCGGTGTGAGCCGACTAGAGTTTACGCAGGGCTCAAACAAGATCGGAGAGGACGGTCTCTTCGATGGTGCGAGGCTAAAGGTGCCAGCACCTAGGCTACCTAACCTAGCTGGTGTGCCTACATTGGTGGTGACCGCAGAAGCCTCATACCATGCGACATACGATCATCTCACAGTGCTGTTCTTGCAGGATGCCGGTGTGCCGGTGGAGCATGTATACCTTGCAGACAAAGGCATTCGCGGCAACGGCCATCTTTTGGCAATCGAGAAGAACAACGAGGAGATTCACCGGTTTGTCGATGACTGGATCACGCAAACAATAGAAAAGATCGGCACATAGGCGATTCTAACGCACCGTGTCTCTTTCAAGGCATCGTTGGTGGTCCACATTCCATTGGCGAGAGTATCAAGCCCGTCAACGTCGGGAAAGATATCCACCTGATTGGATTCATGTTTGTGTCGACCAGAATCCGCAAGCCACCAACTGGCAAGCCCCACAAACAATGTGCAATCCGGAGGGTGTGGTGGTCAATAGCAGAGCGCAATTCGAGGAGCGAGTATGATGATTGAAGGTCGTCAGCTGAGGTCAATTGTCGGCGACTCTATACTTGGGCTCGAGGTACTCAGAGATGGGTGTCAATACCTCGTGAGTGCTTATCCGCGCAGCATGTCTTGTTCTATGCGCTAATCACTGCTAGATCAACAAGAATGTTGGAAGGTCGTCGTTAATTTGGATCTCGTATCTTAACAGTTGACAAGCAAGATTAAAGGGCTTTGATGGACGTTCAGAGCAAGACTGAGAGTGCTGCAATGCACATTCAATTAGTTCAGCGGCTAGTCACACATCTCTGTTCGAAAGATTGCCTTTGCATATAGATATGGCTCACTGACAGTCAGTTCCGGATGAGGCTGTGTGAGTACGTGTAAAGAGCTCGTGAGACGTCTCTATGCTATGGGGGTGGCAGCCAGGCATTCCCAGGAAGATGAGCAAAAGTTCAAAATTCGAGCCAACAAACGGCATACTCCGGAGGCTCGGCACACTGGCTCGGCTCCACGTGGTCCACGCTCATTCAGCACACCCCTGTCAGCGCCGCGACCACTTTCGATTTGTTCCGGATGACTTACGTTTGTTGTGGAAGAGAAGGATGGCCATTCCCATGCCCCGTGTGCTGACTTGACGAGAGTCTTTCGCGCCTTGTTGATGGACAGCTCGTCCATTGAAAAGGCAAAGCGCACGAGTAATGCATCCAGAGTCCCCTGGACTCCCCACTCGAGGTCCGTTGAGATCTGTCTCTACTGTGCCCGCGTATCTTCACCCAGTCCAGCAAACTGATCTGTTATGAACAGATGACCGTGGACTACTCTTAAGCCGATTCCCCTTCGATGTTCTCCAAGCCGAACTCGAGCGACGACAAGATGCTCCGGCGAAGCCAGCATGCGGCACAGAGGGAAAGAATGGCGCCTACAATACAGGAGTTCACGTCTTTGCGCTCTTCCTTATACTTGCGCTGAGCACCTTGGGTACGCCAAATGCGACACTTGAACGAGTCTTTATTGATGGCTTTATAGCTTGCTCCTTTCCCGTCATTGCGCGCCGCTTTCCTGAGCTCCCGATCCCGCATCGCTTTCTCTTCCTCTCTCGACACTTCGGCACTGGGGTGCTGATCGCGACCGCATTCATACATCTGCTCCCCACCGCCTTTATATCCATGACGGACCCATGCCTGCCCGACTTCTGGATACACACATATCCCCAAATGCCGGGGTTGATCGCGATGCTTTCGGTATTCATGGTGGTAGGGATAGAAATGTGGTTCGCGAGCCAAGGTGCCGGCCACAGCCATTCCAATGAGTGGGAAAGAGTACCAGAGACACGACACAGTCGAATAGGGTCCTCAAGTCATACAAACGGGCATGTTCCCCTGAACAGCCTACAGGCCCCGACAACCACTTACAGGGACACGTCCCCCAAACCTCGTAAATCTACCGACAGCGAGTCGGACCTTGACCTCGACGATCTTGATCCTGTGGCCGACGAATCTGCAACCTTGAGCAATCCGCATAGGCGCAAGATCTCCCAGCACGAGAACGACACTCACCACCACTCTTCCGATCGGGATGAGCAGAACCCACGGCGTCTCTTTCTTCAATGCCTCCTCCTGGAAGCCGGGATCATTTTCCACAGTATCTTCATTGGTATGGCCGTCTCCGTTGCGCAGGGTACGCAATTCGTTGTCTTGCTGATTGCAATCTGCTTTCATCAAACCTTTGAGGGTTTTGCATTGGGCTCGCGCATAGCGGCCTTGATTCCTGTGCTTTTCGACGCAGGCTCACCCAAGCCATGGCTGATGTGCCTGGCCTACGGCGTAACCACGCCGGCGGGTCAGGCCTTGGGGATTTTCCTGCACTCGCTGTACGATCCGGCAAGCAAAGTTGGGCTGTTAATGGTCGGCATTACGAATGCAATCAGCAGCGGACTCCTGCTTTTTGCAGGCTTGGTGCAGCTAATTGCCGAAGATTTCCTTAGTGAGAAGAGCTATGAAAGCTTGAAAGGCAGACGTAGACTTGAGGCTTGTATAGCAGTAACACTTGGGGGCCTTTTGATGAGTGCGGTCGGGGCATGGGCATAGGAGACATTGAGCGATAGACCGTCCTGAAACTTCAAGAATATTTCTTCATCATCGAGCTGGGAAAGTGTCTTCAAGACATTTGATATTTCGAGCGCTAGATTCTTAACGTCGTGCAAGAGGATAGAGCACATGAGGCTGAGAAAACGAGGCTGTGCCACGGCCTCGGATGTGCGTCATCCTGCAGCTGCATCCCAGGGACCAAGCGACCGAGATACAGTATCACCTGATGGACATCCGTCTGCGCAGCTCATCTGATCCCGACTGTTCCTGTCTCCCGATAATCTTCCGACAGTTCTGATCGACCTATATAGGCGCATTCCTGTCCTTGAACAGCGAGGCTCTCAGGAGAAGATCGAAAATCCCTCCAGCTTGCGCGATCCACCGACCGGAGTCTGACCAGGTCTCGCGATGGCTTACGTTCCAGGCCTGACGTTGCCTGCTTCCATCTTCTCCAACGCGCCAATCTCCGTTCTCCTTCCTCTCGGACTGGGCCTTGGTTCAGGATTAGTGTCGCAGCCTGGGAAATTCGCGCCAAAGAAACTCTCAGACCCAGCTGCCAAAGAACGAGGGACGTTTAGAAGCACACAAGAGCAATACTTGGCCTTGAAACAACCGCCCTTCAGACCACCACCTTGGGTGTTCGCGCCAGCATGGTCCACTCTCTATCTGTTGATGGGATACGCGGCACATAGAGTCTGGACAATTGGCATGGCAAGCATGAATCCCCAGACCGTCGAGCATACGAGAAGAGGCGCAACACTCTACACGATACAACTAGGGTTGAACCTCGTGTGGATGCCGTTGTTCTTCGGCTTGGGCAGACCTATCGAGGCCATGCTTGATATTGTGACATTGACTGGCGCGGTGGGCTATATGGCTTATGTCTGGAACAAGGTCGATAAGACAGCTGCGTACCTGATGGTGCCATACCTCGCCTGGCTGTCATTTGCCACCTATCTGACGGCTGGCACTGGCCATCTTAATGGTTGGACCATCAAATCACAACCAGAGAGCCAAATCGAGCCCGAACCCAAGGAGTAGGACGAAGCAACAGCGTAGCGTCCGCATCTGCTTCATGCCGATCGGGTGAACCTCCGGGGTGAAACGTCAAGGACAACCCTCAGACGGAGCAATAATTCCAGGGCGGTAGTTTTGGCTAATGCCCCAGCATGGAAGTCGAGCGTCGGCATCAGCGGACATTGTGATGAATTTCCGGCATGGCATGGCAGGGCGACAAGAGCGTAAGAAGTAGTTTGCCGGCTGTTGGTGAACCTGCCTGTATGACACGAGTCGTGGATATACCACCTGGCGTTGCTGACACTGGGTCCAAAGAGGCGATAAAGCATATGGCCGTATCCGGACTTCAGAGGCATGGGCACGAAGCAAGCTAGCCACGATGATAGAAACTTTCGAAGTACTGCGCGCGTATGGTTGAACGTCGACCCAAGAAGGGCACATCCGAGAAGAGCAAGTGGAACAAACCTGGATCGCACAACTATGGTCAAGATCTGGCGTTTGCAGGCTTCTGAGGGGGCAGGTCGCTATCGTGCAAGAGGTTGCAGACCAAATAGATGGGCTTAAGATACTTGACCTGGTTAGAATGAGTCATTTGCAGTTACAGTAACAGATGCAGGATGAAAGCCGCGGGCTTTCGTTGATCCTCAACAGAGATCACTACATCTGAGTCCCCACTGGGATATGATTCAGTTCGAGTCTTCGTCTCGAGACAACCAGAGGCTTTTACTATTCCCAAGCTCGGACTCCCATCGTTTCTCTGCGCTGGCCACCTCTGCGAGTGCCACAGCACATTCCGCTTCCTATAGGTTGCGCCTTGTCGACTGTGTGCAGTGGCTCATTTGGTTGGGACACCCTCGGCCTGCTTGGCCACGTCACCCGCGATCTGCTCCTTCTCGTTGTCGCCGAGCTCCTCTCGCCCCTCCTCAAAGACCTTGTCAAAGTCATACTCGCCCCATCGGATGGTCGGGTTCAGCCCGGCAAACTTCCACTCGCCATCGATCTTCTTGTACCAATGCTGGTTGCTGCTGTGCGCGTGGCCCTTGACCAAGACCTTGCTCCTCGTCTCGTCGGCGTACTTTTGATGCGGCACGCGGAGCTGGTGGTATCCGATGATTTCCGTGTCCGAGACTCTTTCCCACGTCGACGCGCCGCAGAAGTGCTGCGTCATCAGGCGCGGGTCGCCCAGGACCTTCTTGTCCGAGATCATCTCGATGAAGGCGTCCGCGGGCATGGCTTCCCACAGTTTGTTCAGGAATGAGCGGTAGTCGATGCGGACCGTGGGGGCGACGATCTTGCGCAGGCGTTCCCAGTCCTGCTCGCCACGTGTGCCGTGAGTCGAATGTAGGCGACAGGGTCTGTGTGACAACGCACCTTGGAGTCATAGCTCTCAGCCCATTCCCAGTACGCTCTGAGACAACCTTGGTAGTCTGCCCACCGTCAAGAGTGCATGTCAGCTTCAGTGCATCGCGAAATGGACGTCGAAGAAGCAGGCAGGCTGAGGCTAGACCACTGACCTTCCCACGAGATGAGCTTGTCCTTTGACGCCATAATGTCTGTGAAGCAATGGAACACACACCACTACAAACGAGAGAGAAAGATCGCGTGCAGATGTAAAAGAGAGGAGAGAGGGGTAGAGTCAAAGATAAAGGTGCTCGTCCGTGTCTCAAATAAATTGTCGAGTCGCACACCGCCCCTTTCGATATCCTAATTCACGCCCAGTACACATGGCCGAACCTAGCGTGCACACCTCGAGCCTGGAGGAGCCTGCTCGCCCTATCTTCTCACAGCGTCCGCGTCTGTTGCTCAGGAACAGCTGCAAGAGGCGGGCGCTAAAGCGGGCATGTGGTGGGGCAATCACGCCGTGGAGTCAGGCCCCTCGTCGGAGTGGGGGATGGACGGTGTGTGCCAATTTTGGAGGACGCACTTCCGATCGACGGACGAGCAGCTGGCACAATGGGATCACCAGAAGTATGTGTTGAGAGATAGATATTGATTAGGCAGAGTGGATTGATGGAACTTCGACTTTTGTAGTGAGACAAGGCTGCCTTCACGAAATCACACCGCCAAATCGCAGTCCACGTGCCTCATCAGGTGATGTCTCTTGTTGCGTGAGCAGCCTCATCAAGCGGATATCTAGTCGCGACGTCTGCCGGGGTTCGGCAATTCGTTTTGAGCCTCGTCCGCCGATACTCTACCTTCACACAAGGCATCTCACTCTCAAGGTCTTTCCCAGCCCTTCTACAACACGCCTAGAGGCCACTGGCTTTGCGAACCCACAGGCCAGACCGGTCTTCGCAGTTCTCACCAACCCACCACATCGTAGATGTTGGTTCTTGTCCATCGGTAGCCGCAGCGCAGCCACAGCCACACGGCGATAGCTGCCAAAGAACGGATGCGCACGAACATCGTCCTTACGCTGACTCTGACTGACAAGACCGTGGCCAAGAGTGACACAGAGTTGACCTCCAATCTCGACGGCGTGGCCATGGGGAGATGGAAAGGGAGTAAGGAGGATCGAATAGACGCTGCCCTTAGAGGAGACGCTGCGCGTGGCGACTTGACTGGGGAACACCCACTTCTCGTCGTGTTTGATGGGGTGCCATGGCGTGACCAGCAACTCACCGACGCGACATAGTTTCTGCTTCTGGCCGCGGATCCTTGTTCTCAGGATCGCTGCGATGGCTCGCGCACCCACGGGCGTCCACACCAGCATGCCTGGCCGGAGGCATCTGATCGGCTTTGTCTCGCCGTCACTCATCTTGACGAGGCAGTTTCCTTCGAAGCAAGGCGCCGAGCTCGAGTTGTAGCTCGCCATACTCACTTGTTTGTACGCAACAGTTCGACTTCCGCTGACCCTCCCCTTTGCATCGTACGTATACACGACCCTCGGCGCACGGGATGGTTTCGGCGCCGGGAGGCTGTCAAAGGCGGCGTCTAGCTCGGTCCGACACTGGACAAACAGCGGGCTGTCCTTGCCATAGAGCAATGGGCCGGGATCCTTAAAGGTATTGCACATCTGCCGCTGGTGGGCGTGAAGCAAGCTCGGGAGATAATGACGGCCCCATTTCTGCCAGTAGTGCTTGTCCTTCGTCGAGAGAAGGGCTTTGGAGATTTGGCCGTGAGGCTCGTCGCCGACCAAGTCGTCTAGAAGAGAATTGACCGCAAGAGTGGTTCTAAATGGCGACGATTGGATGGCCTTGACAATGCCGTCCAACCGATTGTGGGCATCAGTCAAGGCTTCATTGCCCGATATCGCCATATGCTCGCCGTTCTGCTTCAACGGGAAAAGGGTCGACAAGAACTCGCAAATCTGTGCTCGGTGCATGTGGTAGACGATCAAATTCTGAGGTAGGCCTGTCCTGTCCGAGAACAACGCACGGGCCTGGAAGTCTCGCGCAAAGCCCTCTGCAACTCTGTAATTGAGCATCGCAGTGATCTCGATGTCCTCTTGTGTGGATGGTCGGCAGAGGAAGACCAGATCTCGAGATTGCCCAAATTGGATGTTTCCAAGTTCTACCAGGTAGCCGTGTTCCCCCCGCTCGAGTAACATACCGCCGGTGGACTCCAGAGTGATGTCTCCAGAGAGCTGGATCTCGAGCGACGCCGATATCCCAGCTGTTGTATACAGATTGGCTACCGAATGGACAAACGCAGTGCCAATCATGCCAGCATCCGGGATGAAGGCGTAACTTCCTTTTCCTACCTCGGCAATCGACTGCATCAGATCAGAGCGAATTTGATATCCGAATCCAAACGTATGGATGGTGGGTACGGAGGTTCTCTTGCGAGCCGCCTCTTTAAGCATGGGGCCCAGTTTGTTGACATAACTGATAGTACGCGTGTCAGCAGACGGCAGGCCCAGTTCGGGCACGGCACAGTAATCATACCCTTGTTTTGGACACATGTGGTTTGGCATGCCATCTGTTAGCACGTAAAGACCTTGAACATTGTCGACGAGCGCAGTGGATGAAAACAGCTCTAAGCCACTCCGGATTCCAGCCCAGAGATTTGTGCTCGACTCATCCCGGAGCGATTCGATTCTCTGCCTCGCTCTCTTCTTTTCGCTCGGGGACATGAACGTAAGTTCCTGCACCACCTGTAATCATGCCGCGAGTCAGCTTCCAAAACAAGTCTGTGTTGGAGAGACCCACTGTTGCGTCGTCTGAGAATGTCACGATTCCGAGCCTATCTCTAGGTCCCAGAGTCTCCAAGATAGTCCTTGCAGCATGCTTCACTAGGTCCAGGACACTGAGCCCAGCCGCTTCTTTATCATTGTCGCCCGTGGCTTCGGGTAGGGGTGCGGCGGCGGACATGCTTCCAGAGACGTCAATGACAAGTACGATATCACACGAAGCGCGCTGGAGACCACATTCCGGGACTTTGGGTGGCTGGATCGACACGATAAACGCATCGCTCTCCCGCAAGGGGTGGATCTCGACCGTGGCTTGATCCCCATGTGCTCTCGTTCGTGGTCGCAGTGCAAGTTTGGCAAATCCGTTCAACGAAGCCGTGCTGGTAGTGGCAGTAGACTGGACCGGGTAGGTGAATGGCTTAGCTCTGAGGACCATTTTGAGAGACCGTTAGTGGTGAAGCTGTTCCAAGCAGGGAGGTTGTTTACTGAACTGTCGGGCGCTTTGAAGCAGAGAGTGCAGCACGACCTGGGTTCTGAAGATGAATACCTTAGTTTGCTGCTTGCTGAGAGAACGCAGAAATCCTCAAACGAAGCAGGTCCGTCGCTTTATAGCTGATCAAGTCTTTTGCTGCCTCCTGAGACAGGCGTGAGTATTGAGTGCACTCTTGCACCGCCCGCAAGGCCTCTTCGTGGTGGACATTGCGGTATCCTGCGAAATTTAACCTCGACACGCCGTTGTGAGTCTAACAGAATCTAACCGACTCTTCCTCACAAGTGATCACCCTACAGGCCACTAGCCTTGTCGGTTGTGGAGGCGGTGACATTGTCGATGTCAGGGACTTTGTCAAAGGCAAAAAGCTCATAAGGTTGGCCACAGTGGACGTATGGAGTCCTTTATCGTGCCCGGTCCAAGTGCAGCAGCGACTTGAAGCAGGTTGAAGCAGCTGTCTGAATCAACCGATGCCATTTGAGTCACGTTCTGGACCGTGAGCCTCTTACCAAGCCTCATCAGTCCCCGCACTAGGGCGAGTGGGAACTGTGCATCTGTACCAGCAGTGCACGCCCACTGAGGCTGAAAGTCGCGTGTCCTTTTGATAGAGGAAGAGCAGGTTGAGAGCACAAAAACAATTGTGCCTTGGTTGTGCCTTGCGTTCCGTCAACGCGGCTGTGGCACTAGCTTACAAGCCTTCCAGGCTTCGCGCAAAGCGGACCAATCGCCGGGTGAGACAGGTCGGTGGAACTCAGCCCGAATGTGCAGTGCTAGTGTTACCATGTACGACTATGTGTACGGGTGCCATGACACTAAGATATTGTCTCGCCTTCAGGACCTTTGGAGAAAGTTCCTGAGAAACTCGGTCGGGCTTCCGCGGAGGAGATTCTTTCGAACATGTGAGTCCGTGCAGACTTAGAGGCAGGGGGCGCCCTCGTAGCCGCATACGCCGTGCCTCTCCTCAGTCTCTCTTCGAGACGCCAAGGGAGGCACAAGAACGTTGGCATTGACCGTCCTGAAGAGCGGTCGTCTGCTTGATTCGCAACGGTAGACGTACTGTGCGGACTATCCGAAATCTGTGTTATGTTTGTCCGCTCAATGGTCGATGATGTGCGTAGATAGCGCCGAGGACCAGTGCGGGCTCGCGGCCGCCCGGCTATCTTAGTAATCGCACCAGTCGACCAGTCATCCCAGTGGTGAGACGCATGTGATGTTGGCTAGGGCTGCATCGTATCCTCACCTTGACCTGTTTTGACAGGAGTTGGATGTACTCTATGTCGTCGGTTTCTCTCAGCCAAGAAAATGCAATATTAGTCAAACAAGCGGCCGCCGGCTTGGAAAAGCACAACACGAGGAACTGGAGAGTTACGATAAGACCGTGCACCCACCGTGTGATGCAATCAAGACGATGACCAGAGGCAAGCGGATACGGGAAAGGACGGGAAACATGCCACCTCCGGCAGGGAATTGAGGGCATAAAAGACCGCAACTTCCCAGGGACTTCCTGTAGGAATTTGCCAGAGAAGCACCAAGGCCCCCAGAGTAACATATCACACTTCAAGAGCACCAATCCGTAGCAGATCCCGATCCTCTTTCATCCACGCGGTCTTCCAATATGGGCTCGATTTCTCCGAAAAGCGAGACAATTCTCATCACGGGCATCTCAGGCTTCGTGGCTTCTTGGATTGCACATTCATTTCTGGATGCTGGATACAGTGTCCGCGGGACCGTTCGATCTGAGCGTTCCATCGATCATGTCAAGAAGGCACACGCAAAACATGTTGATCAATTGTCGTTCGTCGACGTTCCAGACATGGCGGCTTCAGACGCCCTGAACGAAGCCGTTAAAGGGGTGGCAGGTGTCATCCACACGGCCAACCCCTTCATCCTTGCTCCCAAAGACAACGAGGAAGAGCTTCTGAAGCCATCAATTTCCGGAGTCTTGAATGTTCTCAAAGCCGCCGCCAATGAGGGTCCAGCGCTGCGCCGTGTTGTTTTGACCGCTTCTTTTGCTTGTATCCTGGATCTTAACAAAGGTGTTCGTCCTGGCTTCACGTACGACGAGTCAAATTGGAACCCTGCAACGTACGAGGAAGCTAAAGCTTCGTCCAACGGGGGTTTCACCTATTGTGCGGCAAAAGCTCTGGCGGAGAAGGCAGCTTGGGACTGGATTGAGACAAACAAGCCGTCTTTCTCGTTCACCTCCATCAATCCACCCTGGATCTTCGGTCCGACTCTTGGCGGAGTCAAATCCCTTGAGCACCTGAATGAATCGACAGAGGCAATTTGGAAGCTCGTGAACGGGTCCGCCAAAGAAGTGCCGCCCGTTGATTTTGCGGGCTTTTGCGATGTGCGGGATGTCGCACTGGCCCACCTCAAGGCGTATGAGCTCGAAGAAGCTGGAGGTCAGCGATTTCTCACCGGGTCCCATTTTGACTACCAAATTGCGGTAGACTCTTTGAGGGCAGACTTCCCACAGATTAGAGACCGCATACCCGAAGGGACGCCGGGACAATCAGATCCAACGTACGAGATCAACCATAGCAGAGCGGAGAAGGTGCTGGGCATCAAGTTCACACCGTTGAACATGACATTGAAAGACACGGTTGAAGACCTTCTCGCGGCGGAAGGCAAGTAGGTGTAACGGGGCCAACGCGTGCAGTCAGGAGACTCACTCACGCCAGCACGCTTCCAAAAGTTACTGTATAGTTCCAGTTTAACAGATGAAACTGTCCGTTTGCTTCTTTTTCCGTAACAAGAAAGCGCCCCTGACTAGGGACCTACCACAACTGTCAGGATACATAAGCCACCTGTCAGCGAAGAAGTTGACAGCCGATAATGCGTTTAGGAGTATGTCTATTCGGCCGAGGATATCAGCGTGGAACTACGCACCCCTGGTGACTCTGTTGATGAGCGGCTCTCTCGACACCATCGAATTGCCTCGTACTATATCCAGATGGTTACAGCCAGGCTTATCAAAATCAAGTTGCAGTTGACGTAAGTCGAAAGGACCGTCGAGAATCCAGCACTAGGACTGAGCGACCTCCACGAAGGATAGAGAGCTCGGTTGATGGCAAGGTTGTCCGATCGTACTTGTCGGTGGCAGACACAACGTTAATTTGTGGGCTTCAAGCCGCATGCCGCCTGTTCTGGACGAGTCCAACAGGGCGTGCTGAAGCCTCTCAAAGCCACAGAACATCCACCGTAGAGTGCTGCTGCTTGAATTTCCTCATGCAAATTACGGACTCTAGCTCGATGTAGTTCGATTTGACGTTATACCAGCACAAGACTAGTCCCTGAGAGAATTTGGTCCATCGTGGTCACGGTTGCGCAAGCATGGCTCGTCCATTCAGCCTGTGGGTTCTGGCACGTCTGGCCATCAATAGTCGCAGAAAGGTGAGGCTCGAAAACGAGTTGGCGTATGGAGATGGCAAAGATCAACAAGCGTGAATGAGGTGACAGAACAGTCACAGATTATTGCAAGAATCGATAGGGCCACCTTGGGTCGGAGAATGCTCGCCGGACTCGAAGCCCGCATGTTATGTACCAGGATGCGAGCCGGCCCTTTAGGGGCAGCAAGAAGGGGGCAGAGGCGTGTAGAGGCCTCGTTGTGTTCGGCGATCAGGCCTCAAAGCAGCATAGCTCCATCAATCTTGAGCCATCGGCTAGCAGGTGGCAACCACCGCGACATGCTTGGCCCGGCCTATCGGATTGGAAGAGATTCTTGCTGGTTCCTGGCGCGGTGATTGACACGGCAATGAATATGAACCAAAGTACTGCGTGCAGGAGGAGGATGAGCTGAAAGGATGGAGGATTGTGTTTTCCCAACGACTTTCTGTTGCACGGAGCGTGGCAAGCCATGAGGCAACAGTCTTCCAAATTGCGCAGCAGGACACGCACCCAACACGCGGTGGCCACGAGTGGACTGGCATGTTCCGACTTCGACGGAACGAGGAAAGGTTTAGGGGAAAGGATTAGCGGATGGTGGACACTCGAACCGCAGTCAGGTTCAGGGAATGGCAGGAAAAGCCTCTCTGATGGGCTGCAGGAGATGGCGCACGCACGTGGCTGAAGCCCATCGCATCTCCGACCCCGGATGCTTGACAACTGCGAAAGAGGGTCCAGGCTCTGCGATGGCGACTCGGGCATGTGTCCGGGGAAGGCTCCAAGTCGCTCTTTGGGAAGTCTGAGCTGCTGGTAGCAAATTGGAATTAATATGGACAGTGAGCAGTTGGGTGTCCTGACAAGCTGGGATTGGGGTGCTGGCGAAGCTGGTGCTTCATCACTGACTGACACGAGATGGGCGGGCGGGGCAAATCGCGGTGGTCGCCCAATGCTCCGCATCCTCGCACATCGCGCACCTCTCGGGTCACAGGCTGCGCTCCTTCCCACGTTTTCACGTTTCTGTGCTCAAACCAGATCTGCAGTTGCCAATGCGAGTCGCGACCATGTGAAACACCAGCTGCCTGTGCCATGTACGAGGACACGGGTCACGGCGGACACTGCAGGAATGGCCTCCTCATGTACAGGATTCGGTAGCCGGCATATGTACACAGTAGATGATGGCGTTTTCGCGCTTTATCCGAAGAGCAGATGCGTCCATGCTGCGTGAAACTGTACGTACTCCTCAAATTAACCGCAGTTGGCGTGCTTGCAGCAGTGGGATAACCTAGGTGCTAGGTAACTTTCATGCCCACAGCAAATCCCCAAGGCAGCTAGTGGAGGCTTGAAAGAGGCATGGAGGGTCCGGGAGGCAACGATGGTGACCGGGATGAGGCATGGGTCCCCCAGCTCATAGCCAATTCCGGTCTCTGCCATGTCGAGTCGACGACTTGTCCACCATCTCCACGTTTGAGCGTCGCTCGGGTGTCTGGGTTGGGCGCTCTCCTCTTGCATCTTGTATCTCTTGTCGTTGATCCTGGATTTTTCTGCATCTTGATTCTGAATTCGCCTCTTGCTTCTTCTGCTTGTTGCATGCTGGAATCACATCCGGCATCTCTTCTTCTTCTCCTCGTTTCTACTGCAGGTCACTGCCATTTGGCACGTTTATCCGTGCACGACACCACTATCTTTCGCCTTCCGATCGTATCTCCGATCTAGCACTCGCACCGGCACCCTTGCTCCTGGGCACAGCTCCCGCGCATTCTTACTACAGTACACTTTAACTGCCTTCTGGATATTTGACAGCTGCAGTACATCCTACCTCCTGCTTTCACTCCTGCAACCGACCTTTCTCAACATTCGACCCGTTTTATTCTGTTGGCCTCTCAGCTTCGGTCGGTTAACTCCAGACGTTATTCTCTGGGGAATCGCAGCAGCCTAAGCCCGGCTTTGCGCTCTACACGGCCTTGCTCAAATTGTTATCCTGCCGTCTACCGACGGCCGACCCTTGTGCAACGATTGCCTCCCGCAATTGCACCCACTCGAGCCACTTTTCCCTCACGTTCATCAATCCCTGGAAAGCCGCATCGCTTCGATCCTGCTCCGCGTCCTCCCACGCCACGTTTTGCCGTTGGACGCACCTCGATCAGCGTGCGTTCTTGGAGAAAGAGAAACCAGTCCGGCGCATACTATCTGACTTGTGTTGGCCTCGTTTCCACCTCGAGACTTCAGCCGCGGCGACGACCGCACAACAGACCGTCCGTGAGAACGAGCGTGCAAGGATACCGTTGAAGACAGAGCGCGGACGTTACCATTCGAGTGGTCTCCAACCTGCAGTAGTTGAGCTGGATCTCAGCATATTTCCTCCACAAGCATTGTACCACTGAAAGCTGCAGTGTCAGCCTCCCTGAATCACCTGTTCGGACGGGTACTCCTCCCATTCCACCTCCCGGAAGCTACGGGCCAATAAGTTGCTCCATCGCCGGACTATTGGGCGACGAGTCTAGGGACTTTCGATCTGCGTTTGAACAGCCATATGCGCGACAGCGCCGTCTTGGTCGCTATCTGAGCTAGTTAAATCGACACATCAACACCGTACCCATGATGGAAACCACGAGCCACCGTCCTTGGGAGTCAAATCCCCCTCCTCACAGCCTCCCGCAAACAAATCAAACGCTGCCCTCGATAGCTTCTTTGACCTCGAAGATGCCTGTCCAACCGCTTGATAGAGCACCTTCAGAGCTTTCCATTCTCCCTCCACAAAGAGATTCAGGAAGCTGGATGACTCCTGGGACACGTTAGTATATCCCACTCTTTTGACATATTGATGAGAAGCTGACCACAATGCGCCTAGTGTCAGGGTCATCCACGAATTCCATGCCTTACCTGAACTCTGCCCACTCCCCGACCGGTCCAGGTCTGTCGCCATTCACCCCAGACAACCCTTCGGCTCCGACAGCGCCTTTCAACGGTGGTATGCACCAAGCCTCGAACGGCCTAACAGCCCCTACATCCGATCCATCTACGCATCCAAACAGGGGAAGTGGCGACTTTAATGATTCACGAAGGAGCAGTGTTGCTTCTAACGGCATCCACGCGGGAATGAATAACCTGGTGCTGGGACCGACCTCTCCGTACACCAGCAACAATGCATCTCAGACCTCGCTAGTCTCTGGCTTACAGAGAGAAAGAGGAATACAGACAAACGGATATCCCGGCGGAACCAGTCGCTACTCCACAATGAGTGGTGGGTCGATCGCATCTTACGGCTCTGGTCGGGGCGGAAGAGGTGGTTTTGCGGCAGGTCGAGTAGCACCGCCCATTTTGGAAAACCCCAAACAAGAGGTCTACAGTGCAGAAGCCCCTACTCGCGGTCAGGCATATGCTTTTCCCGACCCAGATGCGCCTCGACCTGGGGGACGGCCGCCTTCAGAGTTTTCACGCAGGAACAGTTTTGCCGAGTCTTTTACTAGCAGTATTCTGACCGTAGAGTCATCCAGATTGCCACCCGGGCAGCATGGTACGCATTCCGCCAATTAATTGTCGTCACCAAAGCTAACGTTGCTAGAACTTCCCGAGGCTCATCATCACAGCCTGCAGCACAAGCATATCGATAGTCTACGAGGCGACCCTGATTCGCCCAATGGGACCACTCCATACAGTCGCACACCAGAGCTCCGAGTTACTCACAAACTCGCGGAGCGCAAGAGGAGGAGCGAGATGAAGGATTGTTTTGAACAGCTACGGACCCGACTACCGTCAAGTCAGAACAACAAGTCTAGCAAATGGGAAACTCTATCGAGAGGTGAGGATCCACCGCGACAACCATGGGATAGTCACTAATCAGCCACAGCCATCGATTATATCTCTCACCTTGAGACCCAGAACAAGCAGCAGCGCGCCGAGTCTGAAGGTCAGCGTATAAAGATGGCAGAGTTGGAGGCTAAAATGTTAGAGATGAGTCGCCAGATGCAGAGTATACAGCAGACACAAGGCTCCTTCCCTCCGGCACCTAGCGTCATGCCGCAGAGCCCACTGGAATACGGCAATCACTATAACAATCACCTCAACGGTGCAAACGAGCCTGCACGAACACTGCCGCCAATCATGAGCAGCAACTCCATGCAAGGCATACAATATGATGACAGACGATAAAAACATCTTCAGGACTATTGTCCTGATACATTTCGGTGCCTTCCCGGTTGCGCTCCTGCTTTGGCCTTTGACGCCAAGTTTTTGCATTCATCGAATTGCGACTCGTGCTCTGAGCAGAAGCTAGAGCGTTCGGCAGGAGGCCTCATCTTTTCGGGGTCGGTGGGACTGGACTGATTTTATGATACCATGCGCACAGCAATACGCTCGCAAGAATTGAGCAAAACTACGGCACCGGACAGTGCCAGGACTTTGGAGATGCAAGGGTACGATTGCGAAAACTACTATGTGCCATAGCTAGGAACAGCTTCTGGACTGTTAGATAATTTGGCGCTTATCCTGCTGTGGGACTCAGACAGTCTTGTATATGACGAACATTGAAACAAAGCCACATGATGGTCCAAGATGATTGTGTCACAGCCTCGCCAGCCTTGGTGCAGCCTTGCCAGACGCCCAGCGATGATTGGCTGTAGGCTCATCATTTCTCGCCCAGTGACCGCGCGCTTAATCTCACTTTCTTCAAATTTCAACCTCCAGTCACCATCCTCTCCTGCGACCTCTGAATCGTTCTCGCGACCGGGACGCCCGCCGGCCAAACACATGCAAGGCTCGCCGCGTAGAGCTATGTTTGGCACGTCCACGAGGCCCCTAGGGCCGCGAGCTCGAGTCCAAAGAATCGCGTCCCAAGCCAGAGCCTCAAACACCAATGGCTCGGTCTCCACGCAGCCTGCCTCGACTGAGAATAAACACATCAGATCGCGGCTCACTCTTCTTTACAAAACATGTTTCCATGCCCGATCTTAGGTCGCCCCGCGTGATCTCTGTCTGCCGGGCTAGTACCCACTCTTGATTCAAGGCTATTGATCATATCATTCACCTGTCTTTCGCAAGTCTCACATTTCCTATTGTTTTTTCCTATTCACCGGATTTCCCATACAGCAGTCGAATTTCCTTTCATTCGTGCTATTCATACTTCCATACAAGCCAGGGTACATCGCTTGAAACAGTCTCACTCTCTTCGCGAGCACAACAAAAATGCTCCAAATAGACACAAGTCAGTTCAGCTGAATGTCATTGCACAGTCGACCCCCATCATATTAGACGAAGGCATGCAAGCTATTTCACCCCCTCTATCACAGCACGGCGCTATTTTCTCAGCCCTCCAGCTCACCGACAATGGTGGCCAGTTTTGAGCCGCCTAGTGGGCAAACCACAATAGCAAAACACCGGACGCCGGCTCCAGCATTCCCATTATCATCACCTCATCATGATAATCTAACGAGATTCAAGCCTGTCAATGGCGTCGGTACACTGGCCGCAAAAGACGTCTTTTTCTCGCCAAATCCTTTTGCTTCAAGCTCTTCCGAAGACGACAGTGGATCTTCGAGCGGACAAGATGAGTTCCATTTAGAAAGATACAGCCAAGAAACCAACCGGACGACAAAAGCTGCAGGGATGAATCGCAGACAGTCTCGTCGGCGGAATCAGCAGCACCCGGGTCAATCAGCTGCCGACAAAAAGGCTCGTCCGGGGTTGAACATTGTCACCAACTTCTCTACGAAAGCTAAAAGGTCGAACACCGATGGACTGATCCTGGATCAGGTGCAATCCCAAAGACCCCGACTTGGTCCGAGGTACGCCACCTCCATCAAGTCGGCCAAAGCTGAGCACATGAACCACCCGTTAATCGAACCCCTTCCTCGGGCTGGCGTAGATGGTGATTCAGTGGACAAAGAGAGGGTGTCAAAGCGGGCTATCGCTCGACAAGCTGTTTCGAAACTGCAGGAGTCACAGGCGGCAAGAACAAGGGCAGCAGAAGTGTCAAAGACCACGGATCCAAAGTTCGCAGGCGAACAAACCCATCAGGACGACCACAAAGTCCAGCTCCGCAATCCAGTAAGCGCCACCAGTGGATATTCTCCTGGAGCTCGGTCGATCGTTATTGGCATGAGCATACCCGAGCATGAAGTCGATGCGCATCGGTCTGTAGGTGGAGGTAACAATGTCCACTCTGCAGATACCCCCAACACACCTGCAATTGTCATCACTCCAGCGGACGAGGCCGATTTCGGGAACCCAGCCGTTTCTAAGGAGTATTCCAAGGTTTATTCACCTCATGCTCGGACCGGCTTCCAGATGCAACCCAGCGACTTACCATCCGTACCCGGGATACCTGCGCGTTTTGGTAGATATGGTAGCGAAGGTCGACCAGTGGCAGGTGCGAGCATCATCCGCTCCGAGAACGAATCCGACCTCAGCCGTCGAGGACGTTTCGACGAGAGCGAAGAGATCGACCACCACTCATTGGGGGATGAACCCAGAGTTTCGACAGACAGCCAGGAACGTATCCTACCATCAGACCTTGAAAACAACCGTCACCAATCGCAGGGTTGGTGGAACTTGATGCTTTCACCCTTGCTGTCTCGAAAGGGGACGGTAGTCGAAAAGGGAACAGAGAGGAGTCCGGAAACGCCTCCTGTTCCGTCTATCCCGGCTGACATCAGGCTCTCCAAGTCGGACGTGGTATCTCCCTTGACTTCCGAGTCTCCAGAAACGCCACGACGGGCTGGACTTGCCAGTGCGCGAGCCAGCGTGTGGTCCAGGTGGACGACTTGGGAGCGACAAAGGGATGAAGGCAAAAGGATTGATCCGACAGACGATCGCAAGGACGACGTTGGACAGCGCCGTGATTTGATACAGGACTGGGACCAAGTGCCGCCATTTCCACTAGTCGACTACGGCAAAGGGCTTGCTGCGGAGTACTATCATGCCTGTGCTGTCGAGCAGTTAACTGGCAAGGCGTATTTCGAATGTGAAAACCATTCCTGTGCAGAAAGGTTGCCTCAACTACAGTCAGTATTCGACAAAGCGGTGTCCACGGGGACGCCACTGGATGCCTCGAAGACACTGGGCGGAGACGTCGAGGAGGATGCCAAGGGAGCTCCCACAAGCAGTCTAACGTTAGATCGAAAAATCTCTAGTCCACAAGAGCCAGAGGAGCTGTCACCAAATGTCAGACAGGCAAACACAGCCACCGTGGTCCGGGCTCGTGCCGTCGAGACACCCGAACTTACGCAAGAGTCACAAGGCGAACAGACGGAGGCCCCGAACGGCCCAGCAGATGCAGATACAGTGACCGAAACGCTTTCTGCCCCAAATACAAAGACACCTCCTCGTGAACCTCAGTACCCTAATATCGCCACGATCGCATCGTCCAATCTCCAACCACCAATTCTGTCACCTGGCCCTGTATCGCCAGCCATGCAACACACAATGGCGTCCCAGGGTGCCGTTCCCATGGCTGAAATCGATCATCAGCCGAATCAGCCACGTTTGCTTGAGCAATCGACGACATCGACTGACCGACAAGCGTTTGGAGCAACGCAACCACCCGCGGTGACCATACATAATCATGCCTTCTATAGCGACAGGTCCGCGTCTGAAAACAATGCGGCTGTTGAACAGGCAAGAAAAGAAGCCATGGAACGACTCGAGTCCGCTCATGTTGACGGCGAGGTTGACCAAGCCCCCAAAAAAGCAAGAGAGGAACCACCAGTGACGAGAGATCCAGAACCTGAGGAAAAGCAGGAAAGGAAAAGCCTATGGTCGAGATTCAAGAGCCTCCTCCCGAAGAAGAAGGCAGAAGAAACTGTGGCGCCTGACAAAAAGAAGAAGCGCCGTTGGACACTTATCATTTCCGTTGTCTTGTTTCTCATCGTGCTTGCGTGCATTTTGCTTGCTACGCTTCTCACGCGAACAGGTGATGGCACACCTGTTCAGAGTCAGTGGCTGAACCTTACCGGCTATCCTCCCATTCCGACGGGCATATCCACGATAGCGAGACCCGATGTCGTCAAGCAGCAATCCAAATGCGTGGCACCCAATACCATGTGGAGCTGCGCGCTTCCGAAGGAAGACCAGTTCGAAGTGGCGCCTAACTCTCCAGATCAGCCGAATTTCAGATTTCAGATCACCTTTCGAAATGGCACAGTGCCTGCGAATATGTCCGTTCCAGCACCGGATTTGAAGAAAAGGTCAATGGTGACTCTGACGGAGAGGGCGAACGACCCCTTTACGAACGAGCTCTTTACGCCGAACCCGACTCCGCCGAGTCGAGCGGACCAGATCTTCGTGGGCAACACGACGGACAACATCACACAACCTTTCGAGGGAGAGCCGACGCCATTCTTTATCAGCTTCATCCCTGTCTTTCCCATCGATCCTTCAAACACGACTGCTGGGATTTCGGAATCCACTGCTTCGACAGTCCGAAAGCGTCAGTCTAACAACTCTGCCGACGATATTATTCCTGGTCCAGACGTCTTGGACGACGGCAGTGCTGCGCCCGCAAATCTTCTGCCAACCGAGCCCTACCCAACGTCACAACCAATCAAACTGTACAACCGGGGTCAAGCTGACGAGCATTATGGCTTCTACCTGTACTACGACAAATCCATCTTCCTGCATTCTACTGCTCCTCTAAACACGTCCCAATTCGCAGACAACGGTGGGATTGACTCTCTTGATGCTAATGGCGGGTCGACCCGCGATCAGTCTCAGCTGCGTTGCACGTTCAGTCAGACGAGGTTTCTTGTGAGGATGTGGACAAATCCAGCCTTTGGAGCGACTCTTCTTCCTCGGATCGCCGACAATGGCAGCAATGACACAAATGCAGGAGACAACAACTCCGCCACGGATTTCAGCCGCCCCGGCTCGTTCCCGTACCCGACGACGATTAGTATTGACCGGCATGGTGGAAACATCAACAAGAAGGCCGTGTACTGCTACGGAGTCAATCAATTGCAAGTCATACAGAACGATATCAAGACAGTGGTGCCAGAGTTCAGAGGAGTAGAAGGAACGTTGATTAATGCAGCGCCGGCGCTCGTGAACGGCACAGCGGGCGATGATAACGGGTTTGACCAGGGAGCTGGTGGGATCGACGGGGGCACTGGAGGCTGCGAATGCATCTGGCAGAACTGGACCTAAGTATATCAATCATTTGGTACTTCAAAGCGAGGATCTGGAGTGCCCAAAGGTAATGAGCTGGGAGTCTTGTTTGTAGGGCTTCGGAGCATGGAGTTTGGTATACATGCGTGGCGTACAACATTGCCTGTCCTGGAGGGCATGGACTAGCTACCAAAAGCGTGAACAAAAGCACAAACATAGATATAAAATATTAATATTCTGATGCAGGAAGTGCAGGCCACTCAGCATATCCTGCATCTGTGAGGCTGGTGGTTGTTTCCGAGCGACGTTTGAAGTGTCAGAAGGGCAGTCGACACACCGCATTCCGTGGTTGTAGGTTACTGCTGGCCAGCAACATGTTCATTCTGGACTCACCACATAATGAGCCCCACCTGAACAAATATTTCCTGCTGGAGGCGAAATTTTAAGTGAAAGTGAACGAAGCTTGATTGCGGCGTGGTACAAGCGGACAGTGAGTGACGTATGATGATGGGTTGCAGCGACGGAACATAGCGATGATTACGCAAGTGAACGGTCCGGCCGGCTAATCCGAACGAGGCAAACCTGATCGTACCACAGCACGACTGTCTATATGAAAATCGATAATTTCATGACCCATCAAGGAGAGACCAGCACTGAAAAGGAAAGGCCAAGAAAAACGATCACAATGAAGCACGAGAAGAACATCCCAGAGCCACATCACTATCACCGGTATGTACTTACTGTCAAACCTCCAACGAACCCAGACGGACTGACATGTTGAAATCGACAGATTGGGAGAGTGGCTTCCGCACGATCAACGTGCTCACAGGGAATGGCTGGCAGGTGTTATCGACCTTGTCGACCAGAAACCCGAGCGTCTACACCCAGCTCTGGCGGAGTTCCAAGACTTGATCGAAAACAACACCCGCGTCTACCTTCTCATCGCGTCAATGTTTCAGCAGATTCCCAACAAGGAACCGTACACCAATGACCCACAAGGTGAAGGTCACCCACAAATCCGCGACCACATCCATATGCTCCAAGTCCTCAACCACATCTTGACCACCGCACCATCCTGGAATGACAAGTCTGAACGCGTGGGGTTGGTCGGATTGCCATTCCACGCACTGTTTGACTGGCCCATGGGGACCTCCTCTGGGTTTGCCGTCTTCCTGGATCCAGATATCAACAAGGTCTTGAAGAAGGTGCTGGACGCATGGGCGAACTACCTGGAGTCACCAGAGTCTGCATACGTCCTCAAGAAAAACGCAAGAGGCAGCTGGTTCAGTCCGCATGGCGAAGAGGAGCTGACTCACGTGGCAAATGTCGGGAAGACAAGTCACAAGTTTGAAGAGTTGTTCGAGTGCGACCCGAGTGATCCACACATGGGATTTAAGTCTTGGGATCACTTCTTCACCCGTGTTTTCAAAGAAGGAGCTCGGCCCGTTGCCAGCCCAGACGATGACAACGTGATCGCAAATGCATGCGAGTCCAAGGCGTTCAAGGTCGCGCGAGACGTCAAAGCACGAGAGCACTTCTGGTTGAAAGGCCAACCGTACTCTGTGCTCGACATGCTGGCTCAAGATCCTTGGGCTGAGCAGTTCGTCGGAGGCACAGTGTATCAAGCGTTCCTCAGCGCACTGAGCTATCATCGATGGCATGCTCCTGTGTCCGGCAAATTGGTCAAGGCATACGTGGTGGACGGGACGTACTGGTCAGAACCCCCGTTCGCCGAATTCAAGGAGAACCAATCAGCAGATCCGGAAGGCATAGTGACAAGCCAGGGGTATCTGACAGCTACGGCGACAAGAGCCATCATGTTCTTCGAGGCAGACAACCCGGCGATTGGCTTGATGGCGTTTCTGGGAATCGGCATGTGTGAGGTGTCGACGTGCGAAATGACAGTTCAAGTGGGCCAGCACGTCAACAAAGGAGATCAAATTGGCATGTTCCATTTTGGCGGCTCGACTCACTGTTTGATGTTTAGGAAAGGGGTTGAGCTCGAAGGCTTCCCCGAGGCGACCCCTGAGCACAACGTTCCAGTTCGCAGTGCGTTGGCGAGGGTGCAGTCGAGGTAAGAAGGAAGCGAAACAAACCGTGAGAGACCGCGGTACGGGCACATCACGTGCAAGAAACCAAGCGGTCAGCTACGTCATCCGGCAAGTCGCAATTTTTACTCCGCACTGGCACAGCAGACTGCTCGCTGCTTTGGCCTGGAGGAGAGAGCGAGCGTTTTGAGCGGGTTTAGACGTCACCAGCGCTCAACCTGGTGGATGTCGCGCCTTCTCAGGGCTGGCTCACCTGGCTTTCACCCTACCACAGTAGATCCTATCTTTTTGATGGCACTGAAAGAATGATTTTATCCTGCTATTCTTCAACCAAATGATAGACTAAGAGCCACATCCAATAGCGCTCCCGGTGCGTTCCAATTCTTTATTCTCTTCCGGGCCATGGGTAATGTGCACTTGTCTCTTGCTGCCTTGCTCTCCTGTTGTCATTGCACCTCTCGCCTCGTCTCTCCTGGGGCAGACAGCCCCACGAAACGAACCCGCTCATTGGCCGCTTAGCGAGTCTTTCTGGAATTTGCGAAGTTGCGATGACTACAGTTTACTCTTTACAACCAGTCATCCTATTTCTCTCATGTAAGAACTCAATACGTCTCCTCGCCAGCCACCCTGACTTGCCGAGTCTCAACCTTCGAAGAGGTAATGATTCTTCCTACACTCCGAATTAAGCCCAGGCGTCTCGCTCTCGGTGCGCTCTCCACTACTGGAAGCCGTGGAAATGCCTTGCCGGATGGACGACCTCGCACTGCTCATGATGCCATTGTTGTCCATTCCGACCACATCTGGCTTGCAACGGAGGCTTCTGCCCTGTTGCCGCTAGCTCGCCATCGAGTAGCTTTGAAAAACTGACGCGGTAAGTCGAGGATGTTTTGCAGCTGATTACGGACAAATGCGCCGCTTTTCACGCTTCAGTCGCCATTTGATTTTATAGCCTCATGCCTGTGGGATCGTTTACCCGGCTGGCTTAGAGTTCGGCATATTATGTTTGCTTCGATTCTCGAATGTACATGGTAAACCAGTTGATGGCCCGTCACCATTGACCTCGTCATCCAACGCGATCAGACTCACACCACCAGCACAGCTAGCAGCATGTCGCAACAATCCTCACGCAAGCAGGCAACTGGACCTCCGCCGTCAAAACCTCCGACGACACCGTTCGACATCGACAACTACGTCAACCCATTCATTCCGCGAAATCCTCTACGCTTCCTCCCCACCCACATCTCATACTGGTTCGGGTACCGCCAGCATGCCGCAGAAAGACACCCATGTTTCAGCCTCCACTCCTCTTTCGAGGACCTCAGACTGCCAAGGTGGTACTATGTCTGGCATTTGCACACGGCATTCCTGTACTCCTCGATGCTGATCGGTGCCTTTTGTGGTGTTGCCATCATCGAGAACGTCTTCCTCGCGCTGCCCCAGCTTTCGGGCCACACTGTGCCCATTGTCATTGCGTCCTTCGGCGCGGCCGCAATCCTCGAGTACAACACGATAGAGTCGCCGCTCGCGCAGCCCCGCAATCTCATACTAGGCCATTTTCTTTCGGCAGTCGTGGGCGTGGGCATCACAAAACTGTTCCTCCACCTGCCGCCGGACCGGTTCGAGGATCTGCGATGGCTGGCGGGCGCGCTCTCCGTGGGCCTGGCCTCGGTAGTCATGTCGTTTTCCAAGACGATTCACCCGCCCGCTGGCGCGACGGCGCTGCTTGCAGCGACGAACCTTGAGATTCAATATCTGGGATGGTGGCTGCTGCCGCTCGTCCTGCTGGCCAGCATGCTGATGCTGGCGAGTGCGTTGGTGGTCAACAATGGCATGGGTCGCCGATTTCCCGTGTATTGGTGGACGCCTGTCGATCTGCAAGCCCTGAGGGATCAGAGGAGAAAAGATCGAAAGGAAAGAAGACGGCGCAAGGAGGTAGCAGACGTGGAGAAGGCAGTCAACAACCGGGATCCCAGCCTCAGCCAGACGGACACCGAGGCGGCCGGCTCAAACGAAGATCTGCACAAGGAGATCTCGGCAGAGGAGGGCGAGCGAGGCCGACCCGATCGGGACAATCGCGCGGTGTCGTATTCGGCTGCGGATCGTGTTCCTCGACCGGAAAGAGAGATAGGGTCGGAATCCGAAGCCACCGAAGGCGCGGGCAGACAAAGCGCCGCACAGGTCAACGCTGGGGAGAGCATTCTCGTGACGAGCCACAAGATCGTGACGCCCGAGTGGCTCGAGCTGAGCGACTGGGAGGACGAGGTCCTGAGGATCCTGATGGAGAGGATCAAAGAGGGGCAACCTCAAGGGGAGTAGAGGGAGGATTCAGAATGTTTTAGCCAGCTCGATTCGCGTATGTGTACATATACATGTGCTTGCAGGCATAGCGCGGCGTTTTTGGACAACTGAAGCTCGGCGAGTGAGAGAGGGATTTTCGACTCTAGCATGGCAGCATAGCACTGTATAGCATAGCGTGCATGGCACATTTCAAGGCATGTGGACGGACAGGCATCTCGTTACATTATATTGCGAGTGGACGAGCATTGATCGCAAAGCACAGCACAGCACATTACAGCACAGTATAGCATTACCGTTGAAGAGTCAACTTGGTTGGCGGCCTCGACAATATAGCAAAATATAATACGAATCATGGTCTTCCTGCTCTCTACCTGACTTCTACACCCTACCGAAACGACCGAGATAAGATAGAGGGGTTTTTTTTTGGATCCCTACCAAGGACCAGACTGATTGACACACAAGTCGACTTCATCTAATTATTTACGATGATGACCTGTCCCTGCCGCCGACGCAGCTGTGTGTCTTTGATACGGTTGAGCTTCTCGAGCGAATGTATTCCATCTCGTGCATTACTTTCGCCGTGGTTGAGACATCGTGCCTGCCCCTTCCCATGGTCCCATCTGCTCTTATTGTGCTGTGGAGTGTCGGACGGATTGATCCGTTGACGACATAGTGGTCACGAATTCCAAGCTTAGATCCGAGACCCTCGACTCGTACAGTAAGTATTGGTCTCATCGATTCCGTGGAGAAGGGGCTCAGCTGCACAACGGTACCATGATCATGGATGATACGACGGCTTGGAATCTGCAAGGCTGATTATTTGCCTGGAATTGATCTATCTCATCTCATGGGCATTTCTGCCCATCGCAGCCATCCATCTCTGCCGCCTGTCGGGTGAGCGACTTGTGCTTGGGCCTTATTTTGTCCTTTATCGTGCTCTTCGCGTGGCTCATGATGGCATCCAGGAACCAAACCCAGCAGTCCGATAAAAATTCCGTATCCTAGTGGTCAATGGCCTTGTAGAAACCTCGTCCCTCTAGATACCACAAAACGTGCCTTGCTACACCGCTCTATTTGGTCCCGAACAGATCCTTTGCCACCAAGCCGCGACAAATGGGATGGTAAAAGTCCTTGTTCTTCTCAAACGTCTCCACGGCGAGCTGGTAATCCATCTTCATGAGGCCGCGGTAGAGCGGGCGCACGAACTTCATCCGCCCGACCTCGCCCAGCAATTTGACCACAAAGTCCTTGATCGTCCAGTCGTTCGCCTTCATGGCGATCTGGTAGTATCGGGCCGAGATCTCCACGTTGCGCGTCTCCTTGAGACTGTAGATGAAGCCCATGTAATTGACGTGCGGCTGCGGCAGCTTCTCGGCAAACGAGAGCAACTTCTCGAGGAACACGACGATCTGATTGGCCGACCAGCCATCGATATCAAATTTGCTGGGTCCAAAGTCCGGGTTTTGGTTGTGCGTGAATTTCTCCCACTGGGCGGCCAGGGCGTAGCACTGGTCGACCAGACTGGTGTCGAAGTCTGGTTTGGGCGGGAAGCCCGGCGCGTAAAACCACGTGTCCCAATCGATGCTGGCGAGTTTCTCGGAGACAGTATCGTTGTGGCTAAAAAAATCGAGGAGCGTGGCTTTGAAGTCGTAGCTGTCAAGGGATTTGCCCCGCCAGGTCTCAAAGTAATGCGGGATGAACTTGTCGAATTCGTCCTTGGAGATCAGCTTCTCGATGTAATACAGAAAGTTGAAGCCCTTTTCGTAGGGGATGCTGGAGAAGGCGTCGTCGGGATCTTCGCCCTTTAGGTCGATGACCAGTTTCGTGAACTCGTGTTCCTCGCCGAACTGCTCGATGCTGTCGGCCAGAGCTCTCCAACCCACTATTGCGCTAAAGTCGCGCCATTGGTCGCCTCCGTGGACGATGGCCTGGATTCTTCGCTCGAGGTACGTGGTCCAACCTTCGTTCAGCCAGAAATGTTCCCATGAGGCGTTGGAGACGAGGTTTCCGGACCACGAGTGCGACAGCTCGTGAGCAATCACATCGACGTTCTGTCTGTCGCCGGAGATGATCGTCGGTGTGGCGAATGTGTAGATCGGGTTCTCCATGCCGCCGTAGGGAAATGAGGGGGGGAGGACGAGGACGTTGTATTCGCCCCATGCGTAGGGATAGACGAGCGACTCGCCCGCCTTGAGGAATTTCTCGGTGTCTTCCTCGAGTTCCCATTTGCATTCCTTGAGCTCATCCGGGCCTGTTGCGACAATGCTTCGAGGGCCTACTTGTGCCGTCGCGATATCGCCGCTTGCTATGGCAAAGAGGTAGGCTGGGATGGGGACCTTCTGGTGGAATTTGTACACTTGCGACGAACCGTTGTCTTTGGCCCCGATGCCGGACGCAATGGCTGGCAAGGGTGACTTGATGGTGAAGTCAAAGGGGGCTTTGACGTCTGGCGTGTCCTGACAGGGGAAGATCGATCGCGCGTGGATCGCCTGGCATTGTGAGAACATATATGGGTGCTTCTTGTTAGAAGTCTGAGCGGGAGTCAACCATTGCAGAGCCGTGCAGGCAGCTGTTGTTTCGACGTCGATTCGTATGTCGATTTTCTCTTTCAGCTTGAGCTTTCGGTCCAATTTGATCTTCAAGGGATTGCCGTACGGTTCCAGCCGGCTGAGCAGCTCCCATTCTGCTGTCTTGCCGTCGGCCTTGATACTGTGAATTTGGACGTGGTTCGAGTCCAGGAGGATTGCATCGCTCTCTCCGTCAGTGATGGATTCGAAGCTGTGCGTCACACTGCCTTTCAGTTTCTGTTCGTCGAACAAAATGTCGAAGTCGGTGGAGGTGTGCACCGTCCGCCAATTGTTGTAGTTGGATAGTGTGTTCGGATCACGGGGAGTGTTGATGGTCACCATGGTGCGGATGCCGTTCCACACGGTGTCTGCTTGTCTGCTTCTAGAAAGGGCGGCGGATCTCCGGCAGGCTGAGTGAGAGAGAGCTCGAGCTAAATTGCCTGTGAAGCTGAACGATAGCCAGGCTCGACTGTGGACCATGCGGTGAGACGAATATCTCTGCTTGCCGGTTGATGGATGGGACACAACGTACGGAGTACTTCTCTAGTCAATTGAGGCGCATTAGCGAGCGGTTGACACATTCACGCTGTCTGCGAAAGGCAGAAACAGTCGCCGGCGTCCATTGCGGCCGGGGTGAGTTGTGCCTGATTCTTGGCCGCCGGCTGTGGAAGTACGTTCCGCCGACCCATGATTACATAATGTGTGTTATGCCAGAGCCTCGTCAGCACGTGACCAGTTTGTGTGGTCATCGTTTTGCAGAGCCTCAAGTCGTTTGTGTCGATCTACGAGTCCGCAGCGGTCTGTAGCATGACAGGTTTCTCGTGTACGCAGCACGCGTACCCCGTACTCCGTGCTTGTCTCCTCTATTTCGCCTCCGAGCTGTAGACCTGGCTTTGCTTCGTTACCATGGCGTTTAAAAGAGGTTGGGATGCATGCGGCCACATTGAGGCAGCCATATACTCCGTACCGCCCGAGCGGTCCACCAATGTTTTCATCGCGGTGAAGATCGATGCGCCTCGCCGCCGGTGTGTTTCACAGAGCCAACGGTTACATGTCTGGCGGAAGGAGTAGCTAGCGCGATACTTCGTACGGAGATGAAAGCTGTCCATCCTAGCCCGACCCAGGGAGCCAAAGCCAAAGCTAGAGCCAGAGCCTGGAGCTTTCGGACGAGAGGAGATTGGGGATGTCAAAGTTAGTTCGAGACTATTATTTCTCCACCAGCGCTTGCGAACGAAGCCGTACCAGCCCGCCGGCGGTAGTCGCGTGAGTCGCCGGGGGTATGACTTGTTGACTGAGACTCCGAGAAGGCTAAAACTCGTCCAGAGCGTGGTGCGCTGCCGTGGTGGTACAGCACGAACCGCAGCTCTCTGGAACGTCACGAAGTGGCCTGCATATTCCGATCTGTTCTCACCGTCTTTACGCTGTAAGACCAGCACAGCCTTATGGTGCCAGACCTCGGGTGCTCGTCTTTCTTGGAAGAGCCCGCTGCATGGCTATCATTGTTACATGCTTGGCTGTCCAACAAGGCAACTGTCCCAAAGTCTGGAGGAGGATCGCGACTTGTCTTACATTCCATTGATTAAAAGGCATAATTTTTGTACCTCGAAGCGGCTATAGGAACATGTACCCTCCAACCAACTTCGTCGTCGCAATGGTATACTTGACACTGCGGCGGCAGCTCGATGCTGTCCTCTACACATTGCAGTCTCCCTATGCACATATCTTAGTTTTCCTCGCTCATTGCCTTACAAGTCACCCCCCGGCCGTGCTCAGCGACTTCCCTACTCGCTCTTTACTGCGGCTCTTTCACTTGCACCCTTGATGAAGCGGCTGAGGTCGCCCACGGGGAGATTGAGAGGGAAGTCCACCGCGGCAAGCAGTTGCACGACGAAGAGGTACCATCCCAACAGAGAAGTTGCGAAGGTGAGGCCTCCTGCGGCATGTTGCAGTGTCGCATTGACGACTCCATTGCCCATCTGGAAGAAGAATCCGGCCAAACACCCAAAGGCCGCCACGAGCAGTGCAAAGATGAGCACAAAGACGATGTTGGTTCGAAGTGCCACAATCAGGTACACAAAGCAGAGGACGCCCATGTAAACGTGGAAGAAGGCGAATGTAGACGCGAAAACGGGATCCGAGGAAGACGCGGCCGGATCTGACGGCAGGTAGGCAATTGAGGCGTTGTAGTAAGGTGTCAGGGTGGCACCGAACGCGAGCCAGAAGGCGCCGAAGGAGGAGAAGACGACGAATGGAAAGGTGTTGCCGAGGATGAATTCGAGGAACCCACCCAGCACCATGAGTAGACCGCCGAAAAAGTAGTACACACCGCTGCAGGAGAGATCAGCAATGACACCTCCCCAGTGCATCATCTCGCGAACTCACACTTCAGCAGCACCGAGTCCTCCAGAGCCCTGCCATCCCAGCAAGACGTTTGAGAGAGGAGTGAGCGAAAGGATGAAACCGACAATAGCACTGCGCTGGGTCAGCAGGTAGTAATTCATGGATCAGAGGCGACGTACAGTGGAGTTGGGTTGCCAAAGGTAGACCGAATGTTGTTGGACACGCGGTTCTTGGGAGTAAGATAGATCTTCTCGAATAGCTCTGGCGTGATCGAAATGCTTCCGGCAGTCCGAATTCTCCTCAACGCGGAGTCTTCGTCGTGGTGATTGTGGTGAAGGTCATATTTGCCATTGACCGAGTCACTGCCGGCGTGATCCTTCTCAATATCTGGCAGGTTCGACATGGCGACGGTATTAAGTGTTGTAAAGAAGTCTCCAGAGGTATAGCTATGGTAGAGGTACCTGAAGGAAGAAGATACACAGGTGGACTCGAGCAAGATTTAAATATGATGAGCTTGCAGAGCGACAGTATAGGAATACAAGGAAGACGGGTACAAATGTCTCGCCCTGCAGTGGTTGGGAGGACCCAGCTAATATAGGACATCGCTATGGTCGCGTCACAGAGATGCAGGCTGGCTCTCTGGAGCTACTCTGGGTGGAGAGCCCCTAACCCGCTCAGCCGAGTGTTGTCTGTGCTGCCGTTGGTGGAGGCAGCTGTTGTCTCTGAGCTAGTCGCGAGATTGACCAAATGCTTGAGTGACGCCAGGGCATGGATCTGGGCTCTGGATCAGCGAGTTATGGACCGATCCTCGACGCCATCGAACCTGTTCAAGTCCAAGCTCTCCAGCTCAACCTCCATTGCCTTGGATCTGCACCAATGAGACGGCGTGACGGTCCTTCAAGCTCGGGGCTAGTGTGGAAACTACATGCACTGTCCTGGCTGCGGGGAAAATGCTGGGGTAGGAAAAGTCAGGGTGACATGATGTGGTGTTCGCTTCTCGTGGGTACCGTCTGTTTCGGTGAACGACCCAGTAGCGATCGACATCATGCGGATCCTGTCCAACCCGGGGACCTGGCTCACGTTGGTGGAAGCCGAGGGCAAAACGGCCCTCAAGAAGACAGAGGGGGCTATACACCGTACATCGACAAGACTGACTAGAACGCCGCAACTCAGTCACTTGGATGGAGTCGGCGGGGGTTGGCATTTGCAAACGCACTACGGTAGACGTATTTGATGTGGCCTTCTCGGAAGAGCAGAATTTGCGGGGTTGACGCCAATCCAAGTCCTGGAATCGATCTCGGGACTTCAGGTCTGCATCACCCCGTGGCTCTAAAGGGCCATCCGGGCTGGCGATCAAGCCAGTAACAGTGTAGTCTGGCCCGGCTGTGCAGAACGAAGTGAGCGCGTACCACAATGCAGCGCGGCAGTCGTCCGTGAATGGTCGTCCGCCTCTTTCATTGAGCTTTGGATGGCTCTCCGAGGCCGGCTTTTGTCCGGGGGTTGTATCCACCGTCTAAAGAGGGGGTGTTGATCAAGGCCACAAAAGCAGAACTTCGCAACTCGCGGAGACTTGATGGGCAGACGAGAGCGAATGGTGGTGATTGACGTGCGGATCCGAATGCATCGTCATTGCAACAGGACTTTGCACATTACTTGTAAAGCACTAGCTTCGCGCCCGGATTTGCTGGCGCCCGGCCGCCTCGAGGGTCTCCGCCTTTCTCCCTTGGCTCGAGCCTTGGCCTGGGCGTTTGGCATCTTGGAACCAGGTGCAGTCAAGCGGTCCAGCTCAAAGGGGGACGAAGAAGCCTGACAAGGCAACGTGAAGAACGGCACTCGCGACACTCCGCACAGGTGCGGTACTGCATAGTAGTCCATCTAGACGCCGCCGCACAGGGAGAAAATAAAGGTCTAACGGTGATACGAGGAACGAGGTACCGATCGATCGGACAGGTGGGCGGGTCCGTATTTTCGTTCGCTCAACCAACAGGACCGCCTGGAGGAGTCTGTCAAGGGAGGCCTGAGCGGGAGGATCAGGGCGCACTCGGGGATGTTATCACGTGATGGCGCTTGCGAAGATTCCGTGGCCGTTGCCGTTGTACCTCGCACAATTCAGTACACAGTGATTACCGGGATGGAACTGACCGAGCACCGCAATGTTTGACAATGCTAAGAATGCAAAGCATGTTCTGCGGTCACAATGCGGAGTGCTGCTGTATACCCGTAAAGCCCGACCACGACATTCTGACCGGGCACTCATCAGTGGCACAGTCCAGACATGGCTCTTCCCCTCCCTTACGGAGTACATCGGCAGGGCATTTCTGTAGCTGCCCCAACTACGAATCGACAAGCTTGAGATGAAGCTCTTGTTCTTTTGGATTTACAGAGTACAGTCAATGAGTTGCAGGTCTATCTCGTACCAGAACAAGCTTGCTCTGCGAGACAAGATACAGTAGCTTCACTGCTGGACAAAAGGGGAATGCAATGCACCTTAAAGCACGGCTCCTTTCGAAAAAAGCGGACTGTATTTCTGATGCAGCCTTGATACCGCTGGCGGAAGACGGATGAGTTCGCAGGAGGCTGAGCATGAAATGTTGGTGTGTTTCAGTAGAATCAAAGCTGCTATTACGGGCAGATGCATTCTCTCTTCCAAAATCTGCCCTGATGGCGAACTTCATGTCAATGGATCATGATTTTACAGCTGAGGGCACCGCCTGCCACTTCCCAGTATGTACAAGTTGTATGCGAGTCGCCCGTGAATTTCTTGCTTTGCACATGGCAATTCGCCATGGTTGAGACCAAGCCGCACGGGTATCAACTCGATTCGACGCCGTATCTATTCGCCCTGGCAAGGCTTTTTGGACATTTCGCACGGCCTCATTCAGGCTTGTCTTGCATCCGCTGTCAGCGCTGGTTCCTCAGCTCTCAGCCTGGAGCTTCGTAAGATATGCCTCGAGGTCGAAGTTCTTGTCGTTGGGATCCGTTATAACTGCACATCAAGTCAGTCCGAGCTCTCCGAGTCCAGCCCCGGAACATAAAAGGCAGCACGTACCATCACCGCTCGCGGTTTTTGACTGAGGAGGGAGATTCTTCTTTGCCCATTCCGCCTTTGCCTTTGATATTAACTCTGCTTTGTGGTCGTATTCGGCCTTTTGGTGTGCTGCGACGTTGCGCGCGTAAATGGTTCTTTGGTGAGTAAAGCCGTAGAATATACCAGCCGCCAAAGCCGACCACCGAAGGACCTGCAAGAAATCAGAACCGAGCTCATCTATAGGACCGTTGCGTGAATTCGGATATTCCATACATTCACTCCTTGAGACGTCGACATGGCGAACAAAGTGTGTGCAGTCGCGCGAATTCCTCCTCAAAGCGATATCAAGCTCTGGATGCGACACCAAGTTCCGGCTCCGAATCGCCTTCTCCGACTGTAATTGCGTTGGCTGTTGTCTGATGTGATTGCGGGAAGTTGAAGCTGCGAAATGTTTCTCAAAATCGGAGCTTGTCCCTGCCTCCTACATTGCTCCAACCGACTCGGATAACCACGTGATCTCGCGATTGCTGACTCGCGTCTGACACCACGCCGGACACCTACCCTGCCCACGTCGACCACGTCGTCCACGACATACATCAACCCCATGTCACTCCCAACATGTCGTCGCTGAAGGAGGAACTCGCCGCTAAGCGGGCTCGCCTGGCGGAACTGAAGCGGCAGAGGGAGCTGCGCCAGGAACAGTACACGACAAAGCGCCAGAGCATTGGGGAGGTACGCAAATACTACCGGCTTCCCAATCACGGCCGTACTAATGGTTCCTAGGCGCCATCACCGGGGAAGAATACGGAGGAGCGTCGCCAGGAAATAGACAACCTAGTCAACACCCTTATCCAGAACCAACGAGACCGAGACTCGATCCTACCCTCCCCAAGCAGAAAAGGAAGTCGGCCAAGTTCACTACAAGATACAGGAACTGGGCATCTCAGCCCACAACAGGATGGCGAGCCGTCTCCGCGGAGGGAGGTCCGCGAAATTGCAACTCAGACCGAGAGCACAGACACTTCGTACCCCAACTACGTGGATGCGTCTGCCCGCGAGCCGGCACCGCCGAAGAAGGAGTACATCACATACACCAAAGGCGTGCAGACTGAGCCATACCTGGAAGAAGCAATAAAACCGCAGGACCTGTCCGAAGACGAAGACCTGTCGCTACGTCATAGAAAACGACTCAGCCGGCGCGACCTAGAACAAGAGGAACAGATCAGACAAGCCCTGCGGAAGGAGATCGAGGAGGAATTGCGGGCAACCTTGAATCGGGATTCCACCGCATCCACCATCTCCCAGAATCAGCAGCAGCTACGGTTTCCTCTGCGGACTCTGAACAACAACGAACTCAACGCCGTAGTTGCCTCCACGGACTTCGTGTCATTCGTCGAACGATCGTCAAAAGTGATTGAGCGCGCACTGGACATCGACGATGAGTACGATCTGCTAGCCGACTACACGCGCACCTCTACGCTAGACGACGATGACGACGACGACGCTACGCCATATTCACGGACCAGCAGAAAGTCCCACCATCTGTGCGAGGCGTTCCAATTGTTCTCCGACCGTTATACCAGAAGACGAATAGTCTCGGATATCCAGTTTTCACCACATTTTAATGAATTGCTTCTATCTTCATACACCAAGAATCCTTCTGCTCCACATGAGCCAGCTGGCCTGGTTCTGCTTTGGAACTCGCATGCCCCGTCACGGCCCGAGTACACCTTTACAGCATCGTCAGACGTCCTCTCTGCGCGTTTCTCACCATTCCACCCCAACCTCGTCATTGGCGGCTGCTACTCCGGCCAAATATGCTTATGGGACACTAGGACATCTGGCCGGACAGGCCAACCGGTCCAGAAAACTCCACAGTCTGGTTCCCATCTCGGCCACACTCACCCAGTCTACAGCATCAGCGTGGTCGGAACACCCAACGCCCACAACATCCTGACCGCATCGATGGACGGTGTCGTTTGCTCCTGGTCCGTTGATATGCTCACTCAAGCTCAGGAATACCTTGTTCTCAACACTCCTCCGCCTGCACGGACTGACGACCTTGCTCCCACAAGCATGTCTTTTCCCGCTGCAGATCCTACGTTTTTCATCGTCGGGACTGAAGAAGGAACCATTTATCCCTGCCATAGGTACGATCGAGCTGGCGCCCAGGCAGGAGTTGACACTCGCATTGCATACAAAGGTCACACTGCGCCTGTCATGTCGTCGCAATTCCATCCCGCGCGTGGTCCGGTCGACCTGGGAGATCTGCTTCTGAGTTCATCCTCCGACTGGTCTGTCAAGCTCTGGCGCGTGAAGCCAGCCGCAATCTCCAGTGCCACTGCCTCGAGCATGGTGGCTGGGGGGGCGGCCCCGACTGTGGTCAAGCCTGTCCTGAACCTTGGCCGGGAAGATCTCGTGTACGATGCCAAATGGGCGCCACACAAGCCTTCTGTCTTTGCGTGTGCGACTGGCTCGGGCGAGCTGGAAGTGTTCGACCTCAGCTATGACCTTGAAGTGCCGATTGCAAAGGCATCTCCGACAAGAGGGAAGAACGGTATAGTGCCGTTTAAAGGCTTGAATAAGGTGGCCTGGGAAGAGAGGAGGGGCAGCCACCTTGCTGTTGGTGGCTTGGATGGAGTGGTGACCGTATTTGACGTCGGCAGGGGCTTGCAGTGTGGGAATGGTGAGGCGAGCATGGACGAGTGGGTGGGCATGAAGAGGCTGGTATCCAAACTGGAGGGAGGCATGTGATACTCCGTCTGGTGCTGGCTGCCGGGCTCGATCTTGGATAACATGCCGCCCTGGCTTTGAAAAGTTGGACTGGCCGAAGACTTGGTTTCGGCTTGAGCGAAAAGTCTTGCATGGTTCGAATTGGCAAATGATACCCCATTAAGCGTCTCGTGTCGGGGACATATGAATAATGCACCACACAGCACGCCAATGCTGTCCTTGACCTGCCACTTTTCACTCGCACTTTGCCTTCCCTCTTGTCCCGGCGCCTCATCTCATCACAGCTTTGCCGTCCCACTCTTCTCATCCTGCAGACCCAACCCCTTCAGATCCACACGCAGACTATTGCTCCCCAGCAGCACCTCCTGGCAATCATCCTCCGCGACTTTATTCACAAACTGCGTGACGAGAAAGTCCACCCTCTTCTGGCCCAACACGACCATAGGCGCATGCCACGTCCCCGCCGCGTACGTGACCGCCTGATCTCCCCTCGCGACGAACGCACGCAGCCGAGACAAATCGGGCGGCTTAGTCACGACTTTCGATGTTCCATCAGGGAACGTTGCTTTGACGGAGCCGGGCAGCGACGGCGCCACAACGACCAAGAACACACTCCCCTTGTCGCTTTCGCCGGCGGACAGGCCCAAGGGCGCGAACGTCTGCGTCGTATACGGATGGCGTTCCAGAATGTCGGCTTTGAATGCTAACCCTCCGGAGCTGGAGCTGGAGCTGGGGGTCGTGTCGATCCCGATCCCGCTCAGATTCCGCGGGAAACAGGAGAACATGCTCATTTGAGGCGTCGAGCGCGGAGTGGTCGGTGGGCGGACGGGGTAATTGTCGACGAATAGCGAAATCGGGGACGTTTTCAGGGCGGAGTTCTGGTTCGCCAGTACCGCGGTGGGTTGATGCGGTGCGTGGAGAGGAGGAGGAATTGTCTCGGCCGTCCTGGGTGGATGGGTGAGAGTGGGTGGGAAGGGGGAAGATATCGCTGTGCCGAACTCGGCAAAGGACGACGGCGTCAATGGTTCGAGCTTCAGGTGCTCGACATGAGAGTGAGGGTGGGTTGAGGGTGGTGGGAGTGTTGGAGGCGGCATTGCGGGTGAGGTGACGGAAGGCACAGAGGATTGTCTCTTTCCACCTAACGGACTTGTCGGCGCATAAAACCCCGGAAATACTTCCTTGTTACTGCATAAAATTAGATATCGCAGGTTTGAAAGTTGTGGTATGTCCCAGACGAGGCTGATGCTTGTCCTTGCACGAGTTCTGTTGTCCAAGCCGGTGGTGATACGAAAGGTTCGTCTCCTCAGGTCAGGCACAGATTATCTCCAGATGACTTCTCGGCTCTCTTCTTGATCAACAGGTCCTACTTAATTAGGGCAAGGTAAGAGTACTTTTCGGCTTCGCACTGAGTGGTTAACAATCGCTAAAAATACGAGATAATGTACGAGGGTAAAGCCTTGAACCGAACCCGGGGAGTTGAGCGATGGTATTTGACCCAGATGTCAGCCAATCATAGCACGTTCACTGGAGGTGGGTGGCTCGTGAGAAACAAATGTAGCTGAGCGAGATTTAGACGTCGCCCTTTGAAAAGAATAGCGCAGTACTCAGGACTCGGTTAGAATCCAATGCGATTGTGGTCCGGTACTATGAGCCTCACACAATCGTTCGCCATCGCCGAAAGTACGAAAAAACAAAACAAATTAGAAAAAGACAAAAAATGGCGGCACCCAGAGTCGAACTGGGATCGGATCGGAATAGGTCCACCTGGCAGATGTTGAGCCACAACGATACATGCTAACCCTTACACCATGCCACCCTAATGATTGTGACCAATTTTTGCCTTTTACGTATATCAAGACTACATTTAGCCCGAGCCTCGGCTAGGTGCGGCTAATCCCTGAGGCGTGTCACGTGCCGGTGACTCCGTGTGTTTGTGGCTTTGAGTGATGAGAAATGTTACAGAGAAGTAACCTGCCGGATGATGCGCGACTGGGTCTTTTTACATTCAGCGACAGAGAGTGCGCCGGCGAGGCTGTCACGCAAGTCGATGATGGATGTTGTCGCGGAACAAATGGACCGGTCGAGGCACAAGGCGCTGCAAGGCGCGGCACGTCGCGTATCTTACCTGCGAGGAGCTTAACTGGTTCGATGGGTATACTTGCGAGGAGCTTAACTGGGTCTGGATGGGGAGGCAAGCTAATTAATGTAACCCAGGCTTATATGCAGATTCAATAGTTCGAGGTCTGAAAGAGTCTGGAACCAGGTATTTTGTGAAAGTCGCAAGTTCCTCATCTGTTGTTTATGTGCCTTGCTGCAGTACCCTCATGCCACCGCTCACAGCATCGAAGAGCCATGGTCAGCCAGAAGGGCACTATAGTGATTGAGGTTGCAGAACTGCAACAAAGCTCTCTTACCGATGATGAGGAGAACCAACAAGAGCTCTCCAGCAGGAGCAACACTATCCGACAGGGTCGCGATTCGTCCACCTGAGTGCCGGATTGATATTCACCATCTTCCTGTCGGCTTTGGACACGTCCATCATATCGACTGCGATACTTAGAATCACTGACTAGTTCGGGACCGTGAAGGACGTAGGCTGGTATGAGTCTGCCTACAGGATCACCAACGCCGGCATTCCAGTCCACCTGGGGCAAAGCTGTAAGTTGCGGACTCACCTCGATTGTGGCAGGAGAGGAAGACGAGCATAGAGGCTGACCGGCAGTGGTACAGCCAGTACAAGTACTTCCCAATCAAGAGGGTGTTCTTGCTTACGGTAGTCATCTTCAAACTCGGCAACACAATATGCGCCGTCGCTCCTAGCAGCTCCTTCCTGGTTCTGGGTAGGATGGTTGCCGGAATGGGAGGGGGAGGGGCAGGGTCCGTGACAGGAGCATTCATCACCATCGCGATCAGCGTCAGACCCCAATACAGAGCCGCATATATGGGAGTCCTGGGCGTGACGTCCGGAACGGCCAGCGTCGTAGGGCCGCTCCTGGGTGGTGTGCTGAACGATGGCCCGGGGTGGCAGTGGTGCTTTTGGTAGGAAGGGAGCGTGCGACTGCTCCTGATCAAAGACTCATGCTTCAGCAAGATCAGTCTTCCTCTGGGCGCTCTGGCGGCTTCCATCATGGTTATGACTGTCAGGCAACTTCCGTCGCCCGAATCGGACCAAGTGCCTTTGAAGGAGAAGGTTGTTTCGCTAGATCTAGCTGGAAGCCTGCGTGTCCTGGGTAAGTGCCATCTTGCATGGTTTGACGAAGTTTCCCAGAGGTGACTGACCTTCGGTTCTGAGCAGGGTCGATAGCTTGTCTCGTCCTCGCACTGGAGAAGGGAGGGAGGGGTCTCTCCGTCCTGGAGAAACTGCCGCGTCGTTGCCAGCCTCGCATCCTCCACCGTCCTCCCTTGTAATCTTCGTCATGAACGAATGGCTGATGGGTGATCGAGCTATGATTGAGCCCCTATCTCCTCAGGAAGCGCCCTATTGTCATCATCCTAATCTATCAGTTGTTCCTCGCAGGGCTGCTTTTCCCGCTGTCATATGCCCTACCAATCCAGTTTCAGTCGGTCGGCAACCATTCTGCTTCAGAGAGCGGTCTTCGTCTGATACCGCTAGTAGCGGGCGTTTCAGTTTTCACCATGGTCGCCAATGGTGTTCTCACCTTCCGGTGACACTACACCCCTTTCCTAGTTGTCGGCGCCATTGCTGGGACGATTGCTGTCACCATGGTTCACACATCGGGTGCAGATGCGAGTCTAAGTTCCTGGATCGGATTCGAATTTCTGACAGCGACGGGCGCGGGCCTTGCACTCCAAGTTTCATGATCGCTAAACAGGCAGCTGCAGGGGCGGAGGATATGGTTGCGGCGACGGCTTTGACGCTGTTCTCGGAGAACCTCGGCACATCCATCTTCATCGCCGCGACAGAAGCCGCCTTCACCAACAGTTTGATCTCCGGGCTGGGACACAACGTCCCGAAGCTCAAGCCCGAGTTGGTGGTCAACGCTGGTGCAACAGAGATCAGGAAGTTGTTCGCGAAAGACCAGATCCCCGGGATCCTGGAGTCATATCTACAAGGCTGCAAGGATAGCCAGCTGGTGCCTGTCGCATGCGGAGGAGCGGCGACGGCGGTCTCGATGCTTCTGGCTGTTCCTGCGATTGTGCGGTCATGGGACGATTGGAAGCACAAGCCGCATGCTCGGTAATCCAGGACACAGGTACCCGAATTGACATCTATCGTTAACATCTATCGGGAGGCTGGCAGGCGTAGTCCGTACTTCGTAGTTCCGATCACCTTCAACCCATCACCGAGCCATCAAAAGGAAACGACCGACATGGTCCGTGTTGTCGTTGAGTGGCGTCCCGAAGGCGGTCAGCAGACCGTCGAGGTGGCAGCGAGAACGTTCACAGCATGCTTCTTTCTCCAGCTTCTGACCATCGGGAGTATGTCCGTAATTATCTCGTGCAAGAATGGGTCATATGGATGTGCGGCACGCAGAGTCGGTCACCTTGGGCCTGTTGATTGGCTGAGGATGGCGGTGTACAGCTCGAATATGCAAGGGGGCGTCGAAGCCGCTGTGCGATCCTCCACCAAGACGCCATTCAGAGCCCCATGCGGCCCCCATCAAGACTCTGCGCGCACTTGGCCGCTGCCCTCGGCGAACGTGTTACCAATCCATTCTTCACCACGTCTGCACTCTGCTTCTCTAGCTCGTCCACCAGACCGTCGACTCCTCTTATCAAATGTCTGATCATGTGGCACCTCGATATTTTGATAATGTCGGAGATCTGGCGCCGACGGTGTCCACTCAGGCGCCTGGCCTGTGCAGCCGCTTCATCAACCGCCCTTGCAGCCATCGCGCACCGTCGCTTCTCAGCCAATCTCTCGTGCAGACGACCACGTCAAGTGGCGGCAAAGTGCTCGCCTTCGAGGCTTAGCCGTGCAGCAGCGTTCATGAGGAGATGTGCTTTTCCGAAAATGGGCTTGTCTCGCTAACTAGGATATCCAGTCCATCCAGATGGCATTTGCTCGAGCACCGCGCTTCCTTTGCTCCGCAGGATTTGTTTCAACTCTGACTGTGATATTTTAACATCGTGTTTCAAAATGCTTCGAGGGCACAGGGATCGCGGTGGAAAGATTCGACGTGCCATGGGATCCTTCATGCTCTGCGACGCCTAGTCGTCGTTACCCGTGCGCTTCCTCGAGCACTGGTGATGATTGCCTCTCACTGAACCACGATTCAATTCCGCCACCGACCTGTTCCAGTCACTCTGTCTTCGCTCTTTTTGTTTAGCATTTCAAACAGGGCCCAGAGGTGGCAGAGCTTGCCCTTGTTACGACTCCAGGAGACCAGGCCACCCTTCGAACCCCGGTTCGATTGTTTCTTACGTCCACGTTTATGCATGATTATGACGACGATACGAATCATGAGCTACCAGTGTGAAACGAAAACCACGACGGTCGACCGGCGTGACGAATCAGACGCCGAGTCCTTCCACTCGGCCAGGTCAACTGTAACGAAACGAAACTGCAACGGCCTCATCTCCAAACTGAACGAGAATCCCGGGCACACGCATGCCATATTAAACCATGGAAACAACCCAACAAGACTACGGTCAAAGACCCCAGGTTCTCAAAGATCCAGCTCTTCACAAAGGTCGCAATCTAGATCACGCCCAAATTCCTTGCGACAGGATTCCGTCCCGATACCACGCCGGCGAAGCAGCGTGTCAAGGCCCAAGCATCGACATCGCAGAGATTCCGCAACGCTACACCATCAGAGTTGCCAGTTGTTCTCCTCGCTGGACGGGATGCTGGCCATGAGCAGGGACATCACTCCTCTTCCGAGTGTGGCCACTTCGAGAACTACTACCCGACACGCCTCGCTTGTTGACTCAGACAGTATCCAGCGCGTCTGTGAAAGAATCGATGCAAGGCTAGCCACAGCAGCCGATCCCGAGGGCCATCCAATCGGATACCCTTATGCCTACGAATACTCGAACGTCCTGCCAGCAGGCAGTGTCGACAGTTCCCCAACACTACCATGCGGGTTCAACGCGGCTGTGGACGAGCACAGCTCCCTCCTGTCCCGTGCCCAGACAGCCCCAACAATCAAAGCACAGCAGAGACCACAGCTCAACACGGTAATCTCCTGGACATCCAACGCCACCCGGCGCACCGAGTACGAGAAAATCGACCGTGCCCACAGCGGGGTCCGAGGATTGGTGCGCCGTGTATGGCCCCAGTGTTTGCGGAAGAGGAATGGCAGGAGAGGATTCTTTACCGGCGACTGCGATGGCGACAGCGTGCGCCGATTTCGTATGGACGTAAGTGACGATGACGATAGTGACGCGGAGGATGAGACAGAGCGCAATCTTGATCTTGGAATTTTCGACGAGAAGGCCGTACTGGAGATTGTCAATGCCGAACACCCCAGGAGTAATGGGCCTCGCAAGGAGGCGCTGAAGGGGAAGGAGGTGAAAACGAGGAAACCCTGGCTGTCGTGCTTCGACTTATGACAAACAGGCCTGATGACCGTCATGATAAGCTGGAGGGTTTAATGATGGGGAATGTCTATGCTGTCAGATTTTGCATTGCCATGGTTGCAGCCTCCGTGTTCTGGTAACCAAGTGACGTGGATTTTGACCCGACTTCTGCTGGATGGTCTTACAGATGGTCTGATGACATCCTGCCATACAAGTACATATGCCACATAATTCTAGCCGCTTGTGGCTCTCTTTTCGCAAGCGAACCTCTCCTAGCTGTGCAAGTGCTTGTGTCAGAACCTTTAAGGGCGGACACCTAGTTTTATCGATCTGAGGCGGGCATCCTTTGTGGGATTGGGGCCTTCGTCGTCGGCGACATCCCAAAAACCGCTTCAGAGCCAGAGAAGTGGGACTCTTCGAACAGTACAGGTGCTGTGTACGCCTGTCATTTGCTGCGAGATGATTCCAGTCTCATATGGGCCGAGCTGTGGACCCCGCAAGGCATCTGTCGTAACAGCTCCATGAAGGTGTCATGTTTCGAGCCTGGAGCCCGAGCAATGCATGTGTCTCCGGAGGTGAACATCCATCCTGGTCCGACCACCGCAGGTGATCGCAAATGTGCCCTGGATAAGAACATCTCCTCCATTGCAGTCGTCGGAAGAGCCCTCCTTCAGGATGTCCGCAATTCTCTTCATCAGCTGGGCTTCGGTTGCAGTTACCCCTCACTGTCATTTCTGTGGCGGTGTCTTCCAGCAGTCATATTTAGTTCTCATAATGTTGTTTGAGCCTCCTATACACACGTCTCCCGTTGTCGTTTTGTAGGACAGTGTTTCGCTGCAGGAACGCGTCCAGCGGCACCGCTCACAGCAGTTCGAAATCATCCAGCTTCTCTCTGTACTGCAGAACATGCCTCTTGACTTTGCTGCCGTCTACCCATGTGACGAAGTCCTCCATGCCCCTAGAGACTAGAAAGGCCGGATCCGTCACAACTTCGGTTCCCACCCGCACATGGCCCTGCTCCACAAACTTGTGCGCCGTGGCGACATGCTCGACCATTGCGTTCCGCACCATCACAATTCCCAACCGGCGGCGACAGAACGCAGAAACAGTAACATCCTTCTCTATGCTCGATAGGCCGGCGCCTTGGCTGCGATTTTGCTTGAGGATCCCCATCTGGTGCAGTTTCTCCAACATGGTGGCTTCCATCTCGACCCGGTATGGGTCCGTCGGGTCCAGATTGCTCAGCATGTGGGCGAGCTGCCTCAGTCGACCGCACAAGGCGTTGTACTTCGAGTAGTCTAGTTGGTGGTTGAGGTGGTAGCGTCGCCGGACTGCGGCTTCGCGGTGCGAGGGTCCATCGGATTTGTAGGTGAGGAGGTCGACTTTGCGGAGGAGGCGGGACTCGTGGTGTTTGAGTTTGCGCACCATGGTCAGACGGAGTCCAAATGAGAAAGGCGGAGAAGCGCAAGAAGAGCCGAGCGTATATTGAGTGAGGGAGTGCGTGAGTGAGAATGCAAAAGTGCAGAGGATTGAGAAAGATGACTGGTCAGGTCGAGTACAACTCAGATTCTGAAGAAAAGTTCTGAGCAAGGCTGCGCGGGCAAGCACGAGGCTGTGCTAGGCCGATCCTGGCCGATTAGTGCGGGGCAATGTCGTGCGTCTAGCATGGCGGTTATCGCCGGATCTAGATTCCTGTAATTTCAAAAGGTGCTCAATCAAAGTGAATCTTCTTCCAGCAGAATCCGTTTCTTGCTCCACCGATTCTTGCTACGGCCGCAGCGGGGATATTAGCATACTGATTCGGGACACGCGAGGTTCGACTACGTTACAGACATAACATGACTGGCTTTATGCCAATTAGCTGTGCACAAATCGACGGCACCTCACAAGCATCTGTCACAAAAGCCGCCTCTGCATTTACAGTAAAGGCCTTAGGTTATCGTGGAAGCGACTGGCTAAGCTGCTGTTCTCGACGTCGATTGACCGACCAGTCTCTCCAGTCACTTGCTACAGCAGCTTCGACCACGAAAATCCTACGTACTTGTACACCAGTGAATTCGTGTCGGGATCTTGCTGCGACCTGGTTTATACACAGGACTAACAGTTATGCTTGTACGAGCGTACAGTGGAGTCTGTAACCGTGGGTGCTGCAAGAACGTCACCAGTACTCACTTTATCAGCGAAGGCCTCTTGACGTATTGTCCCGAGGTTCGTCCAGGGCCGTTGATTTTAAATCAAAAGTGTTCGAGGATCTCCAATCGACGCCCGCGGGCTTGGGTAAGTGGAACCAGAGTCCGCCCTTGAACACTTATCACTCTGCGGTCCCCCATCTTTCGCGCAAGTCTGTCCCATGCCAGAGCATACATACCATCTCTCATCCTTTAGACGACAGACCAGACAAGATCCTCAATATGAAGGCCATAGTAATGGATGGAGAGCCTGGCAAGGCATCTCTGGTCACTGACCGGCCTTATCCTAAGCCGAGACCGGGTTATATTCTTGCCGACGTGAAGGCCGTCGCACTGAATCCCACAGACTGGAAGCACATTGACAAAATCAACACGAAAGGCTGCCTGGCAGGATGTGACTGGGCCGGCGTGGTTGCAGAAACAGGCACCGGATATGAGACACCTTGGAAAGTTGGAGATCGGATTGCCGGGTTCGCGCACGGCGGCAACTCGCTGCAGCCCGAGGACGGGGCGTTTGCAGAGAGAATCGCGGTCAAGGCCGACCTTCAACTGCATCCGCCAGCGAACATGTCGTTCGAAGACGCCGCAACGCTAGGCGTGGGTGTGGTCACCTGCGGACAGGGACTGTTTCAGAAGATCGGGTTGAACTGGCCGACTGACCCGTCGACAAAGGGAGAGTTCGTGTTCATCTATGGTGGAAGCTCGGCGACTGGTACTCTAGGCATCCAGTTCGCGAAGCTGTAAGTCAAATCCAGCACGGCTGCACTCGAGAAATACTCACCTCTGCAGGGCGGGGTATCGAGTCATCACCACTTGTTCGCCACGAAACTTCGATCTGGTCAAGTCCCTGGGAGCTGAGGCTGCCTTCGACTACAATGACCCCGAAGTCACAACCAAGATCAACGAATATACCAAAGGGGAACTCAACTACGTGTGGGACACGATCGCTCTGCCGAAGACTGCAAAGATTTGTTCGGAGGTGATTTCGTCTGGTGGCAGATACGGCTCTATCTTGAAGGTCGACTTCCCACGCAAAGACGTCACGACAACAATGACCATGGGATATACGGCGACTGGGGAGCCTACAGATAAACCAATGTTCAAAAGCTCGGCTAACGAGGGTGATTTCGAGTTCATGAAGAAGTGGGTCAGGGCTGTCGAACCTCTTCTTGCGGAAGGCAAGTTAAAGGTTCACCCGCCCAAGGTGGGCAAAGGTTTAGAAGGAGTCCTGGAAGGTCTCGATCTGCTGAGAAAGGACAAAGTCAGCGGGCAGAAGCTGGTGTACACTCTGTAAGGAGAAAATGGGGCCTGGAGGCTTGCTATGCGGGGCTTCTGAAAGTCGAGGTGCGGTCCTCCGAGGTCTTTCAGGGTCGCACCTTGTGAGGAATGCGGACGTGTAAACTCCCTGTGAACGATGTACAAAAGGTAGTCAAACTGTGCGAGGCAGGCTGAATACGGAGTACAAAGGATCGATATCCATGGACTCACAATCCGACAAGCCTCAAGAGCCACCTCACTTGGCCATATCGAGTCATACGGCGCGACCACCTGCCCTGCCAAGTGCGAGCCTGTTCCTGCCGCGGCCCCCCCATGACGCAGTCATCCTGCAACCTCGATGGCCGCCGCCAAAAAGTTGAAACGCACTGGATGCTCAGCCATGAGAGCAACAACAGTGGCTGTGACACCGGGTTGACGATCCAGTCATGCATGTCGTCTCGTAGTCCTCGGTCAACTAGACTAGCTTCTTCAAAGCCACGAGCGATGATGATCACCTGTCAACAGACAAGCTTTACCCCATGACATGGAAGTGAGCCTCCGGACGCAGCTGCTGCTCGTCACTCCAAGCCAGGCCACGTAACAGAGCGGACTTTTGATTTTTCCAACTTTTGTGAGAATATATGCTGCAGGGTGAGCCCGTCCGTTTGGCTGAGGACGACACCTTCGTATTCCGTCTATCCGCTGTGCCCTCCCTCTCCTAGCGCAAACATCATGTCAACCTACGATGCGGTCACAAATGGCGGCTCGAAGGCCGACGTCGCTGCTGTTCCCACAGCGAATGGAGACGTGAAAGCACCCCAGATCAAGGTTGATGCTCCTAGCAATGCTCCGGCTCCATCGACAGGCTCAACACCGGCGCCGGGACAGTTGCTGACGGGCAAGCAAGAGCACTATCTCAAGCGAGAACTCATCTCTCGCCAGGTCTCGGATGAGATCGCGGAACTCAGTACTCCCACTGCCCTTCAACGATTTGGGGCTCCCTTCCGTTCCCAGTATGGCGAAGTCTCGCCCATGGACTCGGAGCTGCCCATCCTACGGTACATTTTTGTTAACCATGTCCGCAAATTTCCCTTCCTCAACCAAGCGAAAGAGAAGGAGTTTTGGCAGGACAAACTACAGACCTTCCTCGAGTCCTTCGCCAGCAAATACATATCCTCTTCAGAAGACAGGTTGGAAGAGACCAAGAGGAGGAAGCTGGCGAAAAAGTCCGCGAAGCTGGTCGAGCTGATGATGGTGTCTGGGCTGCCAACCGCCTCGGGCTATGAAGAGAGGATACGTTTTGCCGAGATGGAGGTGGTTGACCGCGGTGCCAATGAGCAAGGCCTGGTCGTGAATATACCCGAGGGTAATTATATCAATGAGTGGGACGTCAACGTCGCAGGCGTCAGAATCACGTCGGTTAAGCGAACGGTCCGGTACCACCAGCATGCAGAATTTCTGCTACGAGTCAAAAGACCCAATCAGCCAGAAATCTTCATCGGTAGACGGTACGGGGAGTTTGTGAGGCTACACAAAAGGCTACGCACTGAGATGCCTGGCAAGGTCCTTCCTCCTTTGCCCAGAAAGAACAAGTCCTCCACCTTCGCCTCGGTCATGCCGTCTGGGGACAACGATGCAGAGTCAGTATCCTCTGCATCTACAGAAGCGAGCCTGGAAGAGCCTGGAAGGAATTTCCTACCCCTCCACCGACGCCTAAAGTCGGGCAATTCCCTCAGCCCTAACCCGGGAGGTGGCTCACCCAAATCATCGTCCTCGCCCCGTATGAGTTTGTCAAGAGAAAGGAGTCCCAGTCCAGGTCCACAAGCCGTGCGGTTGCATCGTGAAGATCAGAGAGTATCATTGAGAGCCTTCTTACGAACTCTCTTGCAGAATCCGAACATCGCACAGTCACGATCTATGACTGATTTTCTGACCCTTCAGCCGATACAGTTGAATGAGGAAGAACAAGAGGATATCGCACGGCGGAAGGAAATGGATGCTCGACGCCTCGAAGAGCAGAGAAAATTCTACGATATCGCCAGAAAGCGGGCGGCGGAGCTTGACACGTACATGGAGACGTTCCGCAGGAACATTGTGGAGGCTAATGGACTTACCAAGCTCTTTGCCGAGATACGCGAGAAGGAAAAAATCGAGGATCTGAGCCCAGAGTATCAGAAATTCGCAGAATGGTTGAGGATAGAGGTGGCAGCAACAATCTACCACTTATTCTTGGCCGAGGACAATTCTCCTGAATTGTTTGCGCAAGCGAAACGGATCCATTCTCTGGTGCCATATACAGTACTGAAGAATGCGATACGGATAGCAAATCCTGCTGCAGTCATGTCGGCCGTTCTGGATCTGTTCCTTGCTCAGCCGTTCGGTACGAGGTCGTTACTGCAAAGAATATTCTCGCAGACCCTCAATGATGGGATACGGCAATTCCAGAAGCCCATTGACGATATGATTGCCAAAGTGGGAGACCACGTCCTGACGAACAAGATCAAGGCTTTCGTTGACAGTCCCGAGGAGACGAAAACTGCCGTCCGCACCGAGGCGCAGAAGGAGGAGGTCGACGTTGTTGTTGCCATTCTTCGATCGGAGCAGTTCCAACCAGAACTCACGGCGCCACAGATCCAGCGCGTCTACAATGCTTGGGTTGCTTGGAACAGCGCAGTAGAGAATGACGACGAAGAACTCCAGCAAGGCGCTGAAATGTTCTCCCATCTCAAACAGCTTCTCAAGTTAATGACACGCCAACGGGACAAGGCTATGATGGCTGCCATGATCGAGGAGCCGAACACTTTACAGCTATTCCGTGACCTCTTCACGATATTCTACGAGCCTCTCGTCCGAGTTTATAAATCGGCCAACGTCTACGGCAGCATTACAGACTTTGCAGTATTTGCCGATGACACCATTAAGACGGTTGAGATTGCCCAGAGACAAGACGTCTCCGCAGATCCAAACCAAACAGTACAGTCATTCATCGATCTCTGTGCTCGACATCAGCACAACTTGTACAAATTCATCCACGAAGTTCATACGCACGATAACGGCCTCTTCACTGCATTGATGGCCTGGATTGAGGGTATCCTCGAGTTCCTCCGCAAGGGACCGAAGTCTGGTGGTAAGCTGGATATGAACGCCATTCTCCAGGGAGCGCTAGATATGGGCACCGTGAATCGGGAGATTGTGATTCGGGAGGTTGACGAGCTGATCGCGTGGCAAACGGCGAGGAAAAAGTGGCACAGCGACAAAACGAGGCAGAAGATGGCGGCGGAGGGGACGAGTCTGTCAGAGGATTCAACCGGGATGCCTGGAGGTAACTTTAAGAGCAGTGACTTCGGGCTACATGAGGTGAGCAGCAGCCTACTTTTCGTTGCTTCAGAACCTATCTTCCAGATATCGACGCTGTACACTGACATATTCCCAGGGTGATCTGATGGACCTCCGCATCTCGGATGAAGAAGATGAGTTCGACTCCGAAGAAGAATCCGCAGAAGATGATCTCGACCCAATTTCCGCCGAACGCCGCCGACGAAAGAAGGCTCAAGACAAGCTCAGAAGGAGCGCTGGTGAGCCTGTCAAGCCCGAGGTCAGCGAGATTCTGAAATTGAGGGAGCCGTTCTTGGCCATGTTGAGAGCTGTGCTGAGCGACTAAGCACGACTTCCTCGAAAGGACGACTGTTTGATGTTTGGTATTAGTCAAAAGGGACGCCCTATCTTTATCGCACGCAGAAACATAGAACAGCACGAGAATACGACACGGCCAGATCACGCGAAGGCGCACTTGTCTCGGTCAGAAACTTACGACCACATGCATATACGCACTAAACACAGGCTGAATGCTTCACAAGCGATGGGATTGGTTCGGAGATGTGCATTCGAGCATGTGAATTGAGACCAGGCTCAACGTCCTCGGCAGGGGACTGGAACCTCTCATTCCGACCTGCGCTTCGTCTCAGCTGTCACATGAATCCGGCGGAGCCAAAGCTCTAGAAACAGCGTCCTGCTTGATGCAAGTGGTCTCCTGATGCTTAGGTAGAGTGAAGAAACATGCTGAATTTCGGTTCTGAGAGCGAATCAAAACCCTTGCTAGACAAAAAGAGGCGGTTGGTGGTTTTGATTGGCAAGACAAAGAAAGCAGGCCGCAGGAAGCTACGAGAATACGACTGATCGAATGCCTAATTGGTGGAATAGAGATATTCCACGAACCGAGAGGAGCTGATTGGGACTCCACGAATTCCTTAAGGCAGACTGGGCGCGACTAGTATGGTCTCAGCAGGCTTCGAGCATCATGAGGAAGCGCGACCGTCTACTCCGTACAGAGCACCTGCTAGTAACGACCCACGGCTGAGCATACTCCGTACTCGGTACGTACCTGGGTATATAGCGGTCAGGATAACCGGATTGGGCGAGGAGCGGAGACGGCGTCGATACGGCCTTCCGGCACGTCATACTGGCGTGTTAAGCGACGCAAAGCATGCGACGCTGTTGCTGACACATGAGACGCGGGAGGGAGTGCGTTGAGTGCTCTGATGCGAGGCGTCCTGTTGCTTCACGAGGGTGGCTGGCACGGCTGGTTCTGGTCGGGTCAAGGAAGCGTCTCTGACCAGGAACGGGCAAAGGATCGGGACGGTCACATGACGTAGCATTCCTACTATTGATTTGACTGCGCGCCCGGCAGCACAACAACTTCTGGTATGATTTCTTACCGCTAGAGATCATCTTCACACTCCCCTCGGCCAGGTCCATCGTACTGTGCACACTACCGTGTAGAAGGTAAATCGAATTCTCGTGCGTTCGTCGGCAGTAATACCCAATTCTGCGCTACTCAAAATTGCATGTGCGGTCCAAGGCCCAGAGAGGTATAGTGATCAAGTGGATCGGCATGGTCACGAGATGAAATGGTGGTTGGCTCCTGCCTCAACCAGACATTGCAAGCGAAAGAAAAGCGGGGCTGGGCGGCACTAGCGAACAGAGTTTTTGCAGGTCGCCGATGCCGACGAGTGCCGGGCTGGGCAGATCAGCAGCGTGAGCGGTCTCCCACTTTCCGCCCTCCAGCCAATATTCTCTCACTCTTCTTCCTCCCTCTTTGTCGCCCAATAGCCCTCGTTTCACCTCCAGGCTGCACCCAATCAAACCCAGTTCGCAGTCGTCCTTCGTCCACTCATCACTTCAAAAAAATACCGTTTCTCGCTACGGCAGCACGCAACACGCAAGACATCAGGCCGGTCTTTTCACGTGGGTCCCGGTCCCAGGGCTGGCGTGTCACAAGAGAGCGCGACAAGTGATCAGAGAAAAGACCGAACCAACCCCAGGCCAGGCGGCTCTGAGCCTACACTCGTCGCCGGTCGTTACTGGTTCACCGCATCACATTTTGATTCGACTGCCCTCTCCACGATCCACGTTCCTGGTAAATAACAACCACCTATCATCATTCAGCGTCGAGTATAGCTGTAGAGCCTTGCGCGCATCAGGCATATCAAACAGATCAAACAGTGCTGAGCAGAACCTCGCGACACTGAGGGTTGTGCGTCCTGCCGCGCTGTGATCTCATCAGCCCGAAGCAAAGCGAGCAAGCAAGCCACCCATCAGCCCGACAGCCATCACCCCAGTCACTTCAGCCAGCTCTGCAATCTGCAAGCCCGCCCACTCTTGCGAACTACGCTACTACTACTGCTGCTACCTCGCCCATTACTCACCGTGGGAACGACCCGCCCTCACCGCTGGCACTCTTCCATCACACTGCAACACAAACCACAACGCGCCTGACGTCCGTCACCGATCGTTGACGGACCGACCGCCATTCTGTTCCCCAAAATCCAAACTCCATCATTTCCCCGGCCTCCCTCAGCAGTGCACTGCCGAGCGGTTATCACCAGCACAAGCGCTTGCAGCACAAACAGCATTTTTTGACCTTGTCGCCGTCGGCAACAACGCGTCAAGTGCTGCCTAGAACATCATCGTCGTCGACGTCGCGCACGAATAGTTGCGCCCGGCGCCATCAGATTTGAAGAACCTGACAGCTTCATTGTGGGCAGCAACCCCAACTCCCGCGGCTGTCGCATCACGTTTTGGGCAGCAACCACGGCTGATCCAGGAAAAGAACAAATCGCAAACTCCTCCACGATCGAGACCGGGAATTTCATCATTCATACAGGAATAGAACCCCCAGCTGCCCAGCATCGGGAGTGCCTTGACTGTGGGACACGGAGACTAAGAGGTGAGCTGCATGGACTTGCCAACACATCACTGCAGGCGCACTCTCCAATCGATTGCTACATAACCATGCCCACCCAGCCCCGTCCTCCAATAATCGACGCTGCGCTCTACCAGAGCCAATACTGACCCATTGTGTGCGCAGTACGTAGTCTATCAATCTAGCAATCGAATCGCCGCTCACCTTCCTTCCGCGCGCCCCTCGAATCATTCCTCGCAGTCGCCGCGATTCCAACAATCCAATCCAGGCTGCGCGGCGCGTCATATCCAAGCTTCTGGAAAGCTGGAGCACTGCCAGAACGCGTCGACGACAACAACAACAGTGATCGCGGCCGCGGGAGTGAGGCAAGAGCTGGAATCCACGGCGACAGTGTGACGTCTGGGCCACGCATCGTCATCCATCCCGCGCCACACTCGTCCTGCCTCGAGCAGAAGTGACAACTCATCAAAGCGCTAGACCCCAGCTTTCCTGCACCGAAGCCCAATTCGAGGCGAACTCAGCCGGCCATCCTGGACTTGACCCGCCTCATTTGTTGACCGTGTCTTCCGTCAATATAGTGAGTGGACCGCTGGGTTCAGACCACTTTTGACACCTCGAGAGCAAGTCACCATCACCTGCGTTGCCAACAATTAGGTCAGTGATCCAGTGACTGGCAGGAGCTGCGCTAGCAACTAACGCAAGGGACCAGGCTCCAACCTGCCGCTGCTAGGCCCTCCTATCAGAGAGTCGAGCTGCCTTCACGGCAAAATCTCAAGGCACAGCGGCCCCAGAGCGCGTCTCAGCTATCCAGCTATCACCGTTACGCCTCTCCGGACCTGTTGACTGCCCAGCTTAGCCTTCGGGAGCCTGCGTCTTTCCGTACGCGCGACAGCTGAGGCGACCCTCAAGTCACCTTACACGGGCCGAGAACCTCTCTTCTTTAGCCCTGCACTGAAGTATCATAGCGAGCCATTCAAGCATCATCTCTGATCCGTATTCATCATGGAGTACCCGCCGCAGTATCAGCAGCATACTCAACATCCTCATCTGCAGGGAGGCTATCAGACGTCGCCACAGAGCGCCGGCCCCGGCTCTCTCCAGTCACCATCGGGTCCTCAATCGCATATGCAACAACACAATCCGAATCAAGCATCTCCTATCCTTCCTTCTCAGACCCAGAACCATTATCAGCCTCAACCGGCTGCCGGGGTCCATCAACCAATGGGCTATCCTCAATATGGTGTCAATGCAGGAATGTCACAAGGCTATGGCATATCGCCCACTCAGGCTGCGGCCATGGCCACAGCAGCGGCATCAGGTCAGTAGACGCCGCCATCTGCGCCACTTGGGAAAAATTCATCGACTGACTCTAACCCTGTAGGACAAATGCCGCCTCTCCCGTCGACTGTAAGCATGCCTCAGGCGGGACAGATGAATGCGCAAAGGCGCATGAGCCAGCATATCACGAGCCCTCATGGACAGGTGTCTCAGCCCGCCATGAATCATGCCTTGCCTCGACAGTCTGTTCCACCCGCCATGCCTCCCCCACAGCAGCCTGTTCAGGCACAAGAGGAGATATCAGGTGGAGGGGCTGAGGAGTCTCCCCTCTATGTCAATGCGAAGCAGTTTCATCGCATCCTGAAACGGCGCGTTGCCCGACAGAAGCTAGAGGAGCAGCTCCGCCTTACCTCCAAGGGCCGGAAACCTTATCTGCACGAGTCGAGACACAATCATGCTATGCGCAGACCTCGTGGTCCCGGTGGTCGATTTCTGACCGCAGACGAAGTAGCCGCACTGGAGAAAGGCGAAGGGGGTGAGAACGGTACCCCGGTCATCAATAAGCCCGACAAGGCGACGTCGGGTACGAAGAGAAAGGCTGGGACCAGCAACAACGAGACACCCAGCAAGAGGTCGAAGGTCGCCAGCGAAAGCGCAGAAGACGATGATGACGATGATGGCGAGGAGGATACCGGCTAAGCCTGGACCTCCATTTCGCATCGACGTTCTTTTGCCTGTCTTTCCTTTGTCTCTGCATACCGAGGGTCTGCCAGTTTAGCAAGCGTTGTCTTTGGCCTGATGATGGGGAAGGGGTCATGGTCGAGTCGGGAAGGGGGATCTTTTCCATTTCACTCAGGCTTGCTGGTCTTGCTGGAATAGTCATCTGGTTATCCTCACTTTTCTTTTGTCCTTCAATCTTGAACATTACAGAGAGACGGGCTCACGCCAGGACACGCCAACTACCGTCGCATGCTGCCGACTACTGCTTCTTCTAGCCACACAATCGTCTCTACAGGGCGGCTTTCCCTCTCCACCTTCATGTCTGCCAGTCTGCTACAGGGAAGGGGAGTTCATTCGAGATACCAGAGCCATTATCGATCACGACTGTCGTTTCCGATTGCCTCTTGTCCCGGTTACGGGGCGCGACTACGCGTCTCTTATTCAGCCTCTGGGAAGATTCTGAAGTTGGTTTTTGCTCAGGACGCCACCACTCGGCGCATTCCCAAGAAAGCTGGCCGGAATCTGCTTGGCCTTGCGGCATCATTTCACCGCTTACACTGGCCATGCTTCCCAGAACGCACTCTACCAACCACCTCTCAGATCTTAGAGTCAATGGTTCACCTCACAGTGGAAAGGAACATTGGAAAGCGCAAGCAATAGCAACCACAGCACGGGTTTCCAGGGAGGATATTTGATACTTAGCACAGGGGGAACACTGAGGACGCACATTCGGCAAACGAGAACGACCCACGTGCACGCGCACAACATCACGGACGGCATATTTTCACTTCTGGTTCATCGGCTGAACCTTACATCTTTGAAGGTCATCAATCGTTTAACTTTCCCACTCACTTTCTCCTTGACGACAATCGTTGAACGAACCACTCTGACGAATCTCCTTATGCATATCTGCATTTCTGCTTTTCAAGTCGTGTTTTGAACAAATTGTGTTATGCATTGCGCGGACAGGAAGCAAAGGATGTGAGGAAGGGATTGGCCGGCGGGTTGAGAGGATGCAGCAGGGCTGGATGACCTGGGCAGAATGAAGCGAGTGCGCACTGAAGGACTGGGCTGGCCTGGGTTTGATGAGCAAGCAAGGCTTTCCCGATGCAGTGCCATGGGCCTGTGCCTCTACTTTGTCCCCTGACGACTAATCCCGCCGCCGACGCGAGCAGGGTCTCCTGAGGAGTCATCTCACCGCGGCGGGCACAAGGAGTCATAAGGGTTCCATGGTGGAGTACAGTGCTGCGTGTCCAGGCTGAACAGATCATGCCGGCCAGCTAAGTAATTGTACAGATCAGACAGGGGCTGAATGCTCGAGATGGTGTCTTTTCCTTTCTAGCTGAGCTATGAGACTTTTCAATCCGATATGCTCTTTAATAACCATGCCAGACTTTGAAAGCGCCTATTCGAGTCCAACATAGCTTGAGTAAGAAGCCCGCGTACACAACTGCATGGTGAGAGGACATAGGCTGATCAAGGGGAATCAGTGAAAGGTTGAGATGTGGCTATCTTGCCTCTGTCGAAAAAGTTACAAAGGACTCAGCGAACGATATTCCGGACTTCGTAGACTGAGATAGAAAGGCATGAAATGTGACTACGCTGAACGATAAATGAATGCTCATTCTGTGCGATGTGCGAGGTAGTTCTAGCTCTAGATCTCTAGCTCTTGCAACTAAGTACGGAGTATGTATGCTGCTGATATGGATGCGCAACGCTACCTATGCCATCCCATGCCACCCACGCCTCTTTGCGATGCTGGATGAGAGACAGACAGTGCGGTGCACTGTCTGGTCGAGCTTTTCAAAAGTCTCCAAAAACAACGATAGTGATTTGAATCAGAGGGGAGCGAACGAGGGGTGTTCGATTCAGAGGAGTCACCCCAAGTCTCGGAGTGATGGTCGTTCGAGTCTGACTATTGTGCCGCGTGAAGTCGTCTCGTCAATGGTCATATGCATATGGCAGTTGAAAGTCGTTGGACAAGTCTATGTGGCTTGTTGCGTTGGTAGATTTGCAGATCTCCTGTAAAGACCGGGGTGTTTGTGTGGTTGCATCGAGCTTCGGGCTGAACTTCGAGTAAGGAATGCCATTGCCTTACGGGGCGCCCATGGTCGGCCTAGAAAGTCCAATTCTCGTCGACGGATTTGAGGGCCCACTCGAACTTTTCCCGCAAGGTCTTCGAAAAGAACTTCTCGATGGGCACGTTGAACTTCTTGCTGAAGACGACCGTCAATCTCGGATCAATATAGTTCTGAGTGGTAAACAGTCAGTAGATGGTCTCAACGAATCACAAGCTCGTGTGACACTTACAATCTTCGAAGTGCCCAATGCCACCTCTTTATTGTTCTCCTTGTCCTCTGCCTGGATCGCCATGGTAGCAATCCTGGTGTCCAGCTTCTTGATCTGCTCCTCGTACTTCTCGACTGACGGAGACTTGCCCTCGGCTTCGACCTTCTTCGTTTTGTTTTCCTTCTTGAACTTCTTCTCCAGCTCTGTCGCAGCCTTGAGACGTTCCTCAAGGTCCTTGTGTTTCATCTCTTTCTCGCCTTCAGCTTTGAGCTTCTCGTTATCTTTCTCGAATTTCTTGGTGATCTTGGTCTTCTCTTGCTCAACCAGGAATGCTTGGTGTTCCAGGATCCATGCTTCATCAATGTCGTCAGGCAGTTCGAAGTATTCAGTACCCTTCTTCTTCTTGATCTTAGGGTCCACATCGATCATCATCTGCTTCATGCGCCATTGCTGGTACTTGAGACCTTTGATTCGTTCGCCCAACTTCTCCATCTGACCTGCATGTCCGGCCCCCACAGTACGTTTGTGATTGCAGAGAATGGCGACCCTTCGGTTGGCATCGTTGTAGTCCTTGACTCTTTCGGCCAGAGAGCCTTCCGACTTCATTTCCGAAAGCAATTGAGACATGGTGTACGAGGCGTTGTACGTACGAAAGACCTTGGCGGTCAGGCCGTCCATATAGCTCTTGAGATGTTTGTTGAGCGCGCTGGTGGTCAGGCGGTCGAAAAGATCATCGCCTTCGTGCTTGGGCGGCCTCTTGAAAATCTTCAGGTTCTTGAAAACTTGCGGATCTACCTCGAATTCTTCGTGGAAGCGAATGCTGTCCTTGCCCAAAAAGTCAAAGATGACAACGTTGGGTGGGCGTAGGGTAACGTTCTCGTACTTCAACGAACAACAACCGACGGTGTCAGCCTCATCGTCTCCTTTCTCGTTGCCCGCTCTTAGCGCAAATCGATCGATCAGGTACATAGCAGTGGCCCTCTGGCGATCGACGGTCGGCTCTGCCTTCAGATCTTTCTGGTAGTCCTTGCGGATGCGGTCGATGTGCTTTTTCAGCTCGCGGGCCTTTTCAAACTTCTTGTAGTCACTTTGACCCTTGATGTCCGAATTTGCAGCCAGCATGACATACTTGTAGTTGCCGTTGATGTTTTCTTGCCACATAGCTAGCCAAGTGCCTTGTTTATCGTGCTTGATCTCCTTCCATTTGTGTCCTTCGGGCGGGACTGGCACTGTGGCCTCCTTACCAATGTTGATGGTGATCTGTTCAGGCATGACTCTGGTCTTGACGTGGCCAGTTTTGGGATGGTCGCCGCGGCCGCGAAACAGGCCAGGAGGTTCGACTCGAAAGTTCCCCACCTTTTGCTTCTTACCGTCCCATATGCAGTACATGTACGGTGCCTCAGCTTCGTCCTTTTCTTGTTTGAGAGCCTTCTTCTCCTCTTTAGAAAGTGCCTTCTTGGCTGCCCTCTCGGCCTCGTAGTGCTCGAAGATTGGCTTGAAGTCGCATTTGGAAAACTCCTTAATCTCCACCTTCTCGCCGTTTCTGTTCTTGGCACCGCCAGTCTTCTTGAGAATCTCTTTGAAATCATGGAAGAAGTTCTTCTGGAAGGTTGGGTTCTCGACGTTGTGAGTGGAGTTGAGCATACTGCCGAAGAAACCGGCAACTTCTTCGGCATCCGGGTGAAGTGTCAGGGGCTCCCCGTCGTACTTCATCTTGACGTTCTTAGGCAGCTGCTTGTAAGGTGGAGGAAAGACAACACCGCTATGTTGCAGAGTCTCCCACTTGTTTGTGCCGTCACCCTTTGTCGGATCCTCCCACCAATTGACAGCTTCTTCGTCATCCTCTTCGTCTTCAGGATCGGCACTCTCTTCCTTCTTGACGGATTTGGATGCGGCGGCTGTCTTTTTGGTGGTTGAGGCAGGTTGCGACTTGACCTTTTTGGCGGGTCCAGTGGCTTCGGCTTTAGCCTTCTTGATGGGTGCACGCTTCGACAGAGGCTTTTCATCATCGCTGGACTCTTCCTTCTTCACTCTTTTCGCCGGTACAGCTTTCTTGGGAGCCTTTGCGCTCTCCTGTTTCTCCTCCTTTCGGATTTGCTTAGCCTCCTTCTCGGCAGCCTTCTCAATTTTCTGTTTCTGCTTGGCGAGTTTTTGGCCCAGAGGGACGTCCGAGTCCGAATCTTCACCAATCTGATGGGCGGAGAGTCGCGGAGGCATTTTCACGACTTTGCCATTCGCTTTTGCCTTGGCCATGAGCGGGGCATCGTCTGAATCGGACTCAACAGCTGTCGACGTCCTTCTTTTTTTGCTCTGTATGCATATCAGCCTATGTGATCTTTCGCAAAGACAGGTCCAGCTTGACAGGGTCGCATACGAGTGGTAGATCATCATCACTGCTTTCTGCGTCGGCATAAGCGGGTCGTGTGGCACTCTCCCTGGACTTCCTCTTTCCCGTTCCAGCGCCGTTGACAAGGTCACTCTTGTCGTCTGCAGGTGATCCGTTTTCCACCTTGACCTCGCCATGTGCTAGCGAGATACCTGGCATTACATTGCCGTTGGAAGGAATTTGGCGATCCAAGGTAGCATCGACGGAGGAGGGGATCTTGTCCGCAGACAAACGCGGTGCGACTATTTGCATTGTCAGATGTACGATGCGATGAGATAGGGATGGCTCAAGCGTCAGGCAGAGCAAGAGACGCAGCTGCCTGGAGAACATGAGAAGTGTGTGTAAAAGGAGAGCATACCTCCGTTTGTGCCATTTGACTTTCTATTGCCGGCGAGCGGTATGTCATCGTCCGAAGAAGACATGATTCGCGTGAGGTTCGAAATGTACCGCGGTGATTTGGTGCCCGTAGGCCTTAGGTGTTGGCAGGACCTTAGTATAGCAGGAGAGGAACGGTAGTAAGAGGCAAAGGATCGAAAAGACCTCCAGAACGCGCCTCGGATAGTCGGAATGATGGGCCGAACTAAATGGTAGCAGCAATCCCTGAGGTGAGCTGGGCGAATGGAGGTGATGGCGGAATGTCGGGAGTGCGAGTTGAAGTACAGAGTAGAGAGCGGACAGTGACGAGAAGTGGTAGAAGAGAGAGGGAGATGTGAAGAATGGACGAAGCCGAGAGGAAGACGAGGAAGAGCAGAAGCCAGCCAGCCAGTCGTGTCCGTTTCGTGAGGCTAAAGCGAGCCTGAGTTCCACTCACTGAACTCTCAGACTCCAAAATGGCCCTCGCAGGGAGTCGCCCTCAAATTCCACAATTCCACCACGGTTGAAAACACACTAACTGAGAGCGGCCTAGCGCGACTCAATCCGCCAGCTCTCATCGGAACCTCAGTTTTGGACGGTTTGATGCACCGCAAGCGAATCTCCTCTCTTCATTGCATCCCTCGTAACCGCCCATTGACAGCTTCGCGGCCAGCAATCCTCATCATGATGCTGTCCAGAGCTGCACGACCTGCCCTTGCGGCAGGCACCGCTGCCGTCGCAAGGTGAGCTCATCGCATTGACTCGGCCTTGCAGGAGCTTGCCCTGGTGCTAACCGGTTTACAGGACGGCCGCCCCCCAAGTCGCCGGATATGCCACTCTACGCGAGATCGAGGGTACGATGGGCAGAACGCATGGTAGCTCCGATATCTAATCGCTTGCAGGCCGCTTGAAGTCGATTCGCAATATTGAAAAAATCACAAAGACCATGAAGATCGTGGCCTCGACCAAGCTCACCCGCGCTCAGAAGGCTATGACCGACTCTCGACGTTATGGCCAAACGTCGAACCAGGTCTTTGAAGAGGCCGAGACCAAGCCTTTGGAAGAGAAGAAGACCCTGCTGGTGATTGCCAGCTCGGACAAAGGTCTCTGTGGTGGTATCCATTCCGGTCTCTCACGCGCCACTCGCCGCATGCTCGAAAACGACTCTGGCCTCGACCTTGCCATTGTCGGCGAGAAGTGCAAGGCTCAGCTTGGTCGCTCCAATGGCAGGAATGTCGTGCTCAGCTTCGCTGGCATTGGCAAAGACGTTCCCAGCTTTGCCGATGCGCAGGCTATTGCCGACCAACTTGTCTTGCTCCCGGAAGAATATGCCAGCATCAAGATCCTTTACAACAAATTCGTCAATGCTCAGAGCTACGAGCCAACGATCATCGAGGCCTATTCAGAGGAGGCCATCACCCAATCTCCCAATTTCGCCGCATTCGAAATCGATGACGAGATGCTTCCCAACTTGAGGGAATATTCTTTGGCCAACTCTCTTTACTGGGCTCTTGCGGAAGGACATGCTTGTGAACAATCTGCCAGACGGAATGCTATGGATGTGAGTAGACATGCTATTCCCGCTGTGTTGGTAATACTGACGTTGACCTTCCAGAACGCCTCCAAGAACGCCGGAGACATGATCGGCAAGTTCACCATCCTGTACAACAGAACCCGACAGGCGGTCATTACCGGAGAACTGGTCGAAATTATCACAGGTGCCACTGCGTCTGAAGATATGTAGGCTTCGTTTCAGACGAGAGAAAGTTGTACATACCACCCGACTTCAGTGTTCCTGGCGCAATCAAGGCTTTTGAAGTTTCAAAGTCACGTCCTGCATGATTCAATTTCTTTGTAATGCTTACATGGCAGCTGTGAAGTCGTCGCCTGCTCGCTGTCCCGCAGTACTGTTCTTCCGCACGAGAAAGAGTCATCACTGCGTGGGTACAGGTGCTTAATTGAACAGCTCATTGACTGCCACTGCCCGAGTCAGCCTCACTACCATATCTTGTGCTTTATCTAATCCGCCGCATTCTCTTGATTTCTCGAAACACCAACGATTGCAAACACGCTCTCGGCCCTCGATCATGTCGGCTTTCCCAAATTGGAACCAACTGGAATCCCGAGTTTTAGCTCGAGTCAAGGATGAGGGACCATCGGCAAAGAAGGTCTTCGAAACCAGAGGTAATGTCTGAAGCCAATATCGTGTTTCTCATGTGAGATCAGCAGTACTGACAGTGTTGTTGGATACAGAACTCAGAACCCAGAAGTCGCTTGGAGCACCAGCAGCAAACGCCGAAGTCCCACGACTGATACTCATGCTGACTGCCGCCGGTGTTTCGACATGCATGATGATGGCTCTGGAGCAACGTCAGTTCCTTGACTGTGTTCTTGTCACGCTCATCATTGTGCCCTACCCACCATTCCTCCGCAAATTCAAATGGCTCCTTCTTACTGCGCTACTCTCGACGGAGGTCTGGTGGAAAGTGAAATGTGCGATAGTGTTCGCTTTCTTCCATGCCATGGTGGCGATTGATTGGGACTACGCGATGGAGACGGTCAAGAACGCCAAAGGGATCGTGCTATGAGGGTTAGCCGTGTCGGCGAACGCGCAGCACCGAGATGTGTCTAGGTTCAGGATGTTGACAGAGCTTCCGAGCACAGGATCGAAACAAAGTTGCCAGGAATGCGGATGATGTTAGGCAAAAGGCCGAACGTCAGAAAGCCAGTTGAGCAAGCCAATGAGCGCTCCTGTGGAAGGCCAACAATTCTCGCATTGAGGATCTTGCCTCGCTAAGCCAATTCCATGTCTTTGCTATCATATCGGTAGACTCTTGGAGAACACTCCAGCCTGTCCAGCTCCGGCATCTTGCATCATGCGCATGCAATCCTCCCTCCGGTGATCATGCCCTTTCGAACTCCAAGGAAGGCGGACAACGGTCTCTCTTTCCTGGAGTGTTTGATGTCGGCATCCGCCATGTCTAACATCGCTACATGTTGTATCAATCGTACCTCTACATGACCACCATCTCCCTGGAGGACGCTAAACAACCTTGAACATCCGCAAAGGAGGACCACCATGTAGACTCCAACTGTTGGTTCATCTTTGGTGGTGCCTGACTCCAGCTTAGCTCTTCCAGCTCTCATAAGGCTGGATTAAAGGTAGAAGGAATAAGTGTAGGACAGTCTGTAGTTGTGATCACGTGCATTGCCCCTTTCGCAGCGAGCCTCGCGTGTTTCCTCCCATCTCTACCGTCTGCATCTTTGTCCGCTGGTCGCAGGATGAGACGTCTTTCTATGAACTACTGGCAATGGTTCTGTGCTCAAGAGGTTGAAAATGAGATCTGTCGGCTGTATAGCATTCCATTAGTCCTTTGTCTGAACCTTGTCGTATCTCGTTTGGTCTGTAATTACTCAACGAAGTTCTTCGGGCGTGGGCCGCCGCCCCTTCAGGTCTTCTGAGTCTATAACCAGACATTCTATAGACCTATTCATGATCTTGAATGGTTCGCGTCTGCAATGCCTGATGCATGGGCCGATTAAGGATGCCATAGAGGGTTGAATATGCTGGAAGTCCATAGTACGCTCACTGTTGACCTTTTGTCCTCAGCACATTGTAGCTCCTGTACAATATACACCACTCCCACGGCTTTTCTGCCGTGATAGCTTGCTAACCAGACGTCTAACTGAGTCGTGTAATGCGTGCCACCATTGTCATCATCTGAGCTTCTTTATTTCAGCTCGGAGACAAGAACAATTAGACAGCAAACACTGATCTCCATGGGCATTATCTCTGGTTAAATCCTAGAATCCAGCTTTCCTCCTGCCTTCGCCTCGCAACTTTCAGCTTACAGCATTCCCTCAAGCAGTTTCTTCGGCCGAAAATGCTTTCGGTACAACTGTCGGTCATGGCTGACGCGAGTTCTGAGGCTGCTGCTGGCAGATACGTCATTCCACCTCGTCGCGACCACGAGTCCTCTGGTATTGATTCAGTGCTTACCTCGTCTCCTTGCGATTCTAACAGTTTATTATAGCCGATCCACCGACAACTCCCACACCGACTGGTCGAAACGGATCTACCAATGGGAAGGACTCCGTCGGTACAATCACAAATACTTCGAGCGTCGTCCCCGTTACCCGCTATGCCATACCAGACGCCCTGAAGCCGCGTAGTCCGAACTCTCAGTTCAAGGAAGAGTTGCACCACAGTCTCCGGAGGCTCGACAGCGACTACTATGTCAAATTCTTCCGGGCAGAGCTAGTAAAGCAGCTTCGCCAGAGGAACACTCACGTCTCGCATAAGCCTTCAGGCAAGCCAGAGTATGTCGCAGATACCAGTGCTTCAATCGCCTTCATCAACGCCCTAGCACACACCATTGAGCGCCACGAGAAGCCGAGTCCAGGGGTTGACAGTGCTATCTGGGATGCTCAAATCGAGAGGCTTTTGGAGTGCTTGGACCAAGACTACGACGCGACGACAGCCAGTGATATCGGACACGGCAGAGCATTAGAAGAGTATCCTGATATTCATACTACAATTCTTTGGGCACTCGAGACTCTTCGCGGACGACTTCACGAGCTGAAAGGTTCTGCTCATGCCAACATCTCCGCTGAGCCTGAACCGCCAGCTCTGGCCCTTGAGAACAGATCAATCACCAAGGGGCTATTCTTCTGGTTCATGTTGACCCTGTTGGCGGCAATGCTTTACTGGGTCTGCCCTGGCTTGTAGTTGGCCATTCGGGTTCGCAAGGTTCTTTTCCGTCTCAGGCATGAGCCTAGGTCCTCCTCCCGAGCTCTAGACTCATGATCATGATTGGATAGAAGGCGCTGCGGTTGTGGAAGCAATGGCATGGTGAGTGAGCAACGTTGGCTGCATTAGGAGGAGAGTTGGTGGTGCTCCTGGTGTCCCATTTCCGGGACACGAGCATGAATGTAAGCAACAGAGCATTGAAGGCCTTGCAGACCTGAACTCATGATAAGCATCGACGGGTATCCGTCCATTAGCACTAGCTACTTCAGACAGATGTCCAAATCAGCTGCTGCTTCCTGCATTTCGACCGTGTACATGCCCAGCTCGTTGCTGTGTACCGGTAGTCGGTCAGGAGCGGGAGGCTTCTGTGATCCGCCCACTGTCCCCGACTGACACAATTGCTTTCCCCTATCTGCTGCCTCGGGTTCGTCTCTGTAGCTGCATGATCGTGAAAGTGTTTGCACACTTGGCGCTCATGCAAGTATCCTCTGGGCAATGGAACGAACGTCAGACGAGCGAGTTGCAGCAAGACCCTTGGCCACTTCTCCAGCAATGGGATAGCAAACCTTGCGCGCAATACAGCAAACTTAGAAACCGGTAAATGCCTGTTGCTTTTCAAGCTCAGCAAGCTTGAGCGTCAAGCATAGCAAAGACAGGTTGCTGTCCAGTTGCTTCTTTTTCAAACATGAACGAGATATCGGGCATATATTAGACCTCTACTCCTGGGCTCGTACGGTCATCATCACTGTGATCGTCAATACACTCAACCTTCCAACGATCTCTTGATAAAGATCCTGACACTCCAGATTGCACCCTCAGCACTACCAAACCACCTTACTACAGCTCTGCCCTTGCAATGGCTAGCCAGTGCGGCAGGGACTCCAACCAAACGGTCGACACCGTGCCGGCAAGTGTCCATCATCACATATCCTACCAGTTGCAGGCCAGACTGCGCAACGACTTCTCGTCCGTCCAGAGTCCCCTCGAAAAGTTCAAGAATGCCACATACAGAGACGTCACCATCCTTCTTGCAGAGCCATTGATACGGGTTACACCGCTCGACAAGCATATCCGGGATGTGCTCGGTCTGTCACTACTCAATTTCCAGTACGAATCCGAGGGCAACCCAGCCATTCTCACCTTTCTGCATCCATGGCCTGAGTTGTCTGAAAAATGTCCATCCCCACCCCATACCGAGGACGGCATTGCACAAGATGAGGACGCCGCCATCATGCCGGAGAGCCTTTCCCGCAAATACGTCAACGTCGTACTCAAAATCTGGGAGTCGCGCTGCGGACTCGACGCGTTTAGAAGCCAGAAGATCGACCAGGGACTCATGACCATGCTCGGCAAAATTATCAGCCCGTGCGGACTCACATACAAGCCTGATGGTCTGTACCTCCGGATCCAGGATGTCGAACGATCGGACAAGCGACTTTCGTGCGTCAAGGTTGCCACCAAAAAGGGGGACATTCTCAAATATCTCGGCTTGGAGATTAGAGGTATCGAGACATTCCGTACCTGATCACCTACTTCATCAAGACCTATCTACCTCACCATGCCGCCGATGCTCGTCGCGCAGACGCCGTCCTGAGCCGCAAGCAGGTCCGCTGCGACGTCAAGGATTTTTTCGGCACAGACTTCGCTCAGGAGTTCGAGCGGCTGAGGGCTCAGGCTGTGTTCACGGTCGATTGCGCTAGATTGTTCAGCAGACTCCGGAAGGAGCTGCCCCGGTACGTTAAGGGGCCTGAGCTGACATATGCTATCAAAGGTGTGAAGAGAGTGGTCGGCCTCTACCGATCGGACTACAAGGATGTCACTCTCGACGCTCCCGGGACCAGGAAGTGGGACTACATGAGAGAGGCTTTTGAACAGCGCAGATATCAAGTCTTTCGCAACGAAGCAAAGAAGCACTGGATCTATATCGGCGCGTACCAGAAGTGGCTCGACGCCAAACGGAGTGCGCAGAACTACAAGGCCTACAAGACGCGGCAAGAAGCGAGACTTCAGGAGAGAGGAAAGGCGGAAGCGGGGAGCGGCTGATGATGCGCACGAAACGAGAGATCGTCAAGCGGGCCATACCTTCGCTCGGGTGTTCCCAAGTGCTGACGCTTCGTGGAAATGATAAGAAAGGATTGCTTTCTATCGAGGGCTGCATTGGTCTGGTCGTTGGCGTTTGCGTGTGGGTTCTTTCCTTTCCTTTCATTTCTTCCCTTATTTGTCGTTCCCTCGACGGGCAGGCAGAATGCCCCGTGTCTCTAATCAAGGGATTCCGGCGAAATTCGAGGCTTTGTATTCCTTGAAATGCTGAACTGTCTTTGCTTAGGTGAAGGGGATTGCTTACGGGCTGTCTTGCTTCTAGATAGAATACCGCGTAATGCTTTGATAGTGCTGATAGAAGAATGATGATGGTTATTTCGACCAGCTGGCTCTACACCATGGCCATGTCCAGCAGATAATCGATCTTCCTTTCCGTCCAGTCCCTTCCACTTCCAGCAGCACCCGTCTGACTCGTTTAAGAAGCACATAGGAGGGCACCCTTCGCCAGCTCATATAGAAGCTTTTTACCTCATATGCTGCCTGCGTGGTGACGCAAATTCACAACTGTCGGACTGTAGCTTCATATCTCATCCTTCACACCACACGCGTTGCTGGCAGTGCTCGTCGCGAGGCAGTCAGGATTCACCCGTCGTGTTGAAACTTCCCTCTTCACGACTCGTTACCACGGTAGCCCGGTTACTTGTAAAGCAGTTGTCGCGTCAGTACTGTTTACCTCCTAGATAGCACTTCCTCGTCTTTCTGCCCTTCCCCTTTTCTTTCTCCCCCTCCAACCTGGAAACGCTCCAAGAATACCAGCTGGTTACTGAATTCATGCTACTTTCCACATCACATATCCCCAACTCATTCGAGATGACGACGGCCAATATGGCAGGCTTCGACGTTATCTGCTTCATCCAGTTGATGTGCGCACAGACACTACAGGAGCTCGCAAAGCTGAGTGACCAGCCTTTGAACCTCCCGGAAATGCCCAGCATCGTGACGGTATGGGTCCCTCCTTCCTTCGTCGCTCCTTCGTCACTCCACCGTATCTGTTCCGTTGTTTGGCGTTCGCCTCACGCTTGGTTGAAGCTAATCTAATACTTCGCAGACTGGCGAGCGCCTGTACGAGACCAACCTTCGCGGCATACTAAGATATCTCAAGCAAGTCCACAAGGCGTGCAAGAGGCAAGGACTTGTCAACGCCGCCGTCGAGGTCCTCGCACACCGAGCGACGGTCAAGCAATTCCACGATGTCAACGACTGGGTTGTCGACCTCCTCATGACCCTGGAGGTGCCGGTAGGCGTGAAAGGGCTCGTCGGCGGAGACATTACTGCTCAAGACCTTCGTGACTACCTGAACGGTGTCCGTCCTCAAATCCTTCACGACTCTAGCCGTGCAGATATATCTACTCCCAGTCCGCTCTCGACTACGGAGGATCCACTCACAGATGCAAAAGTCGTTGCTCGAAGTCCAGACGTACGTGAAATCTATCTTCTCCCTGGAATTGAATAGGTGCTGATTGCTATACGGAGACACAGGTTCCTGACAAAGAGAGCACGATCTTCGAGTTCCAGGGGAACAACCAAGACGACAGTCCCAAGTTGCCTCCACTGACCAAATTACGAAACTTTGGCTTCAGACACACTTCTCTTCCCCTGCTCCCGGCCTTGGAGCAAACCACTAGGCTTGACTCTTCCTGCACAAGAAGTGTGTCTCTACCCATCTTCGCCAAAGGGGATGCATCGCCTTCCTTCTTGGAGCTGTCTGGTGAGACTCTAGAGGAATTTATTCGCGCCGTGGAGGTTTCTCCAGACAAGCTTGATAACAAGAACAGGTGGCCCGAACTGATTCAAATGCCAGGGGCTATCGCTTTCTTGGGCCGGTCACCGACGACTCAAAAATTGAAACAGTTCATGGCACTGCATGGGCTAGAATGGGTTGTCCGAGTCCGAGGCAAGTAGCCTTATCAGTCGAATGCACAGACACTGGAAGATAGACCTCATTTACCAGCTATGCCCGCCCGAGAGTCTGTGATGATCGAGGTGATTCCCTGTGATCGGGCATCTACGGAAGAGCCCAGCATCGAAGTTGCCTTCAACGCCACGCCCACCGGCCACGCGTCTAGCAAGGCACAGAGTCCCGAATCAACCACTCTTTACGGTACGTCAATCAGTAAAGAGCCATCCATGAATGAACATAATATCTTTGACGTCTCCTCGCATGCTGATGGTGCTGCGGGGAAACATGCTGCGAAACTCGAATCAATGTCACCTCCGAAGAAGCTTGCTACTGGAGTGGTGTCTACCGAGCAGCAAATCTCCAAGCTGGCTCATGTCTTTCCTTGGTTGAGGAGTGACGCTGAGGAAGAGGCTACATCAGAGCCGGCTGTCGTTGCACCGGTCGAAGATGAGCTGGCTTCCTCCTTTAGCGACGATAGTCACAGCCTGACACATGTTTTTGTTTGGCTGAGACCCAGCTACACAAGCTCACAGGGCGAGACGGACGTGCTTGAACCTGTTACTGATCCAGACTACGATGTCTTCGTCACTGACAAGCCATCCGACGACCCTGGACAGGCTATTACCCCTAGCGGAAACCTTTCGCTTCTTGAGGAACAGCCCGCGTTCGACAATGCGGCTCACGATCTTACTGTCGACCGTGCCTGCGCTCCATACTCCATCGCACATATCAGCGAAAGCTCTGTCGCACACTTGAATGAGCTACCATTTATCAATCGGCCGGTCATCCAAGAGCCGTCCAATGAGACGCTACCCGTCGAGCAGCCCAACTTTGCGACATCGACCACACCCCCTCCCTCCCACGATTGCGCGCGGCCCCAGTCCGCGGAAGAGCCAGACCCAATCACGACTGCCTCGAAAGATGTTGCCGTCTACGAATCACCGTACGGAACCTTGGACCACGTCTTCGTCTTCCAAAAGTCCGTCCTTACCACGGTCCACACTGGTTCCAGAGGTATTTCTGTCTACGAATCACCGTTCATGACCTTGGATCACATCTTCGTCTTTCGGAACTCTTTGGCCACCAACTCTAGCGCGTCGGCTGAGTATGACCGCCATGTCGGGGAGATAGTTACAGTTAATGACTCAGAGGCTCCTGGTGATGTACATGTTACGATCCAAGAGCAGGCCGTCAACGCCACCCGCGAAGACGATCCCACTCCCAATGATGGTGCTTGGGACAAGAACGAACTCGATTACATGGCGGCAGACGCTGTTGTCGTTGACCAGGACCCCGGCAAGAATAGCCTCACTGAAGAAGATGCCGTTCAGCCAGAATGCAACCACCACAAAACTGAACACAGCACTAAACCAGAGCTTGATACGGATACGACATCATCTCTCGCCCCTTCAACACCGAGCTACGCTGAGACGGTCGTAACCGGCAAGGCTGTCAGTCCTTCACCTCACCCTTTCCACGACGTGCCACCCGTTCTCACCCCATGGTCATTCACTCCTATCATCGTAGGCGCGACCGCGTCCGCCATCCTTGTCTCGGCCCTCTCCCCAGCCCTCTCGGCCACGATGCTCTGGGCGAGCGTCATCTACACCAAGAACAAGCTGCGCTGTTGAAGGACGAGCTCGGCGATAATTCGTGTTTGCTCTTCATTCTGGCTAGGACTTCATGGCGCCGGGAGTTAGATCATCCGAAGTGTTCATAACCCCGTAGAGCTGGGGTTCGGGACTCGGCAAGAAAGCCTTGCGACTAGTAAAGCATGTGGGTTGGTTGACTCCGACAAAGCTTCGATCCCAGTGTGGATGGTATTCTCGGTATCATAGGGGCAACGATCAAGAAAAGCTCCCTCGCTTGGTCGTGACTCGTTCATCGTGAACCGTTCTTCAACAAAACTGAAGCTTGGACTCCTTTCTAATGTAATGCAGTTTACCAGCACAGAACCCTCTCGACCACTCCGCTCTGATGAAAGGCATCAGACCCGGTCGCGAAACAAAGCTCAGACCATGCATGGTCCTTAGAAGCCCAGTCGGGCTCTCCTCGAACCTCTGGGCCGCTCCGCGTCACCACCGTCGACACCCTGCATCATGGAGCACGAGTTGGTGGTCGTTACCCCTAGTCGCCCTCTTGTACACCCACCGTCCACTCCGTCTTCGTCTCCTTCATCATCACCGGACTCGCCACCACCCTGTCGCGAGCCTCCAGCACCTCTTCGTCCACCACGGCCTGATCCTCCCGTTCCACTGAAGGGATCTTCACCCCAAGCTCCGGATCCGCCACGCCCTCCAAAGTCGTCCGAATAGTCCGAATCCGAGTCTTCCAGATCGAGGTCGTCGAACATGTCTAGGAACTCGTCTTCCCCGTCCGAACCGAGGAAACCAAACCCGCCGCCAAGCATACGGCCCATCCCACCACGGGATCTTCCGCTATGGCAACCATGTCTGCGGCATCGATGATGATGTCTCCCTCCGAAGCCCCCGGGGCCGCCAGAGCCCCCGAAGTGGCCTCCACCAAGATTGATTTCCACTCCACCAGTGACTCGGATCCGGCGACCACCACCCATCCCAGGGTGTCGCGAACTGGCGACCAAGTGACCGTTGTTCCAGACTTCGTATGAGGATGAGCCATCATTCGCGGTCGCCCGTGCACTTGTGTGACCCCCTCCGTAGGTGATATTCTCATTGCTACTTCGTCCCCCAGCGCGATTGCCTCCTCGAGGTCCGCGGGTGCGGCTCCTGGGCGTAAAATCATGGTTATGGCCCCTGTTGACCCGCCTCGTGTAAGGGTCCGGGTAGAATTCCGGACCAGGCATCTCGCCTAGATCTCCATGGCCGAAGTAGCCCGAGTCGCAGCCAGGGACGAGCGCGCCGATCTCGGGGTCCCAGTGGTCGTCTTCTCCGTGGCGGGTGCCTCGTGGGCGACGATGACGACGAGGGCGACGAGGGCCGAACATGACGGCGGGTGAAGCTGATGTCCGACCCTAGTATATAGTGGTCTCTAGAGTCTGGAGTCTGGACTTGAGTGGTGAGATCCTAGGTGCGAAAACCGGAACTGTTTGCTGCGTGTTTCGAAGGAGGGGATGCGTATGGCCTCTTTTTCTCGAGCAATGCGGATGCTCCGGGAAAGGCGACATATATATGCATGTCCTATGCTTGACCTTGTCACTGGGTGTGCGTTTACACAGTGTGAGCACTGCAGTCATGCGGTAAGGGACAGCGTTAGCAGCTAGAAGTTGGCCAAGCGAACAAGCTGTAATTGACGGTGGTGAGGGACAAACTATCGTTACTCACTTGGTCACTCGCCGGATTCTGGATCAGAGCACTGGAGATATATTGCGTGTGGGGTGACAGGAAGGGAGGGATGCACATTACGATCTGTTTGGCCCCCTTTACAACGCCTGTGAATGCCAGCTGAGCCAGAGAGTAGGACGCAAGACTTTCGACGTATCCATCAGGCATGGTCACAATGCAGTTGAAACTATTCAGCTGGTTTGTAACCCACCAACCCCATCACTTTGCTTAGCTAGCAGACGGAAGCTCTTACAGAGACGGTACATGAACCCCTTCCTGTCTTCGAGATGGTACAAGAACCCTTTCCTGTCTTCAAGTCGGTGCAGCTACTCATCGATCGAGACCAGCTCCATGTCATGACGGCCCGTCGAGGATCCCATGATCATACCATTCGTGCAGCACCCGTACTCCCAGTCAAACGTGCATGACCATCCCGTTCCTTGATCTCCCCTGATTGCGTGTCGTCGCTTGATCCTCAGCGCTCGCCACTCGCGGATCTGTCATGCACCTTCTGTGTCAAACCAGCGTCATCAACTCTCTACCTCTGAAGTGCTAGCCGGTTTGGCGGAGGCAGAGGCAGAGGGAGAGGTTCGTGAGACTATTCCAACACCTCTCCGTGCATACCGAGCATCGACCAGTAAAGGTCACGGGGTTCAACATCGTCAAACTGGCCCCTCAGTGTCTCTTCCGCAATAAAGGCTCGCAGCTCGTAGACGGCGTCGTTGCCACCGTTGTGCTTGTGGGTGGTGGCGAATCCAAGATAATCCAACACTCTCTGAGCGCTGACTCGGACCCGCCCCCGACGCTGAGCGAGCATCATGGCGAGGTCAAGGCATTGGATATCGTAGGTGTCGGAGTTGGGAAATTCTCGCTTTAAATCGATACCCAGGCCTTCCAGCCAGGTGACATCGTTGGTGGTGTCGAAGAAGAGAAATACGACAGGTCGTTGGTTGTGGTATGGAGCAGTAGCACTGGCCTTGCCATCTCCAAGGACGGTTCGAATCTTTCTGACGACGGCATTCTTGATCGCGGACTTCCAGACCCATTGCGTGTCGCCGAAGTCAAAGGCGACCGCATCTCCTGTCAGACACCAGGACGGGTGTTTCTTCGTGATGACGTGCTTGTGCTCTTTGATCGCGAGGTTGCAAGCTTTGATGTGGCGCCAGGTATTCACGCCTCGGTCGCCCGCTTGGCCGCGAGGGAGTCGTCGAGGGTCAAAGGAGGCGATGCCGATCTCTGTGACGCGCCGCTCAGTATTTCTGATGCCTTGCTGGAATTCCTTGTAGGATTGGTTTCGACAATGGCACTCCACGTCGAGACAGGCCACGACTGCGTCCCCTTCCGGCCAGCCATTGTTAGGTTTTTGAGTGCCAGACATGATGGATGTGATGTAGACCGTACAGCGATTCGATAGCTGAGCGTTTTGAGGCGAGTCCGACACACAAAGCTCAAGAAACACAAGAAGGGACCAAAAGTACTTCAAACGAAGCCGCCATTGCAAGGCAGTGGCATAGCAAGGCAGTGGCATAGCAGTGCAGCCTCAGTGAAGTTGACTAGAGGGAACGCATGGCACGAAGACATTTCCGAGCAGAGTGGTTGACGAGGGGTCACTGCCAAAACAATGGACAGTCACCCAGTCGACAGACACAAAGACATCAGGGCTGCAGAGCAAACAGAGCATGCTCGAGGGGAGACAGAAGCTCGGAGCACCAGTGTGGCGCATATATATATTCCAAGTGATAACCAAAACACACGGCACAGTACCTCACACCCGCTCAACCTGCACAACCCCGTCCTTACCCTCCACGTGCTCCGCATTGTACGCCTCGGCAGCACGCTGTTCGGCGACAGTGACATAGTGCCTGAACTGGCGTGCGGGGACGTGCTCGCGGAACAGCTCGTCCATCTCTTCGTAGGTGCGTCTGCGCGTCTCGGGGACCCACAGATACGCCATGACGGCCCAAATGATCATGAAAGCGCCAAAGACGAACCCGATCTTGGCCTTGAGATTGCCGTAGCCGGGGTTGAACATGTATGGCGCCACGAATGACCACATGGTGTTCGCGGCAGAAGAGACCGAGATGGAGATGGCGAGCGATTTCGCGCGCAGGATCGAGGTCGGGATCTCGCCGGCGAGCGAGTACACGGTCGAGCCGACGCCGACATTGTAGAAGAAGTTGTACATGGTGTAGAAGCCCACGGAAGCGGTGACCGCGGCGGAGTTGTTGATGGAGCCCGAGATGCCCATGCAGATTAGCAGACCGGCGAGGCCAATGCAGCCGCCCAGGTACATGGGACGACGGCCATACAGATCGGAGATGATGAAGGCGATGGTGGCGCCAGAGATGGACAGGATCTGTGCGCCGATCTGGATCCGGAATGACTCTGCGTCGCCGATACCGAGGTACTGATACATCAGGGAGCCGTAGTTGGACACGAAGCCGAGCCCGGCCATGGCTTCGGATGCAAAGACCATGATCCCGATGAGGGTCCGGCGGAGGTTGGTGCCTCTGAAGCACTCAGCATACGACGACAGGCGCTGAGTTTCGGCCTGCTCCAGCGTCAGCTGGATCCGCTTCAAATGTCCCTCGGCGTCACGAGGGTCAGTGTAGAGCCGTTCCAGGACGGCCTGGGCGGCGCTCATCTTCCCCTTAGACACAAGGAAGACTGGCGATTCGGGCATGAAAATTTGTCCAACAAGGGCGACGGCCGCGAAACCCCATTGGGCGCAGATGAGAGACTTCCAGGACCAGTCATTGTCCCACTGGGAGGTGAAGTTGGACATGATGGCCGAGACGAACGGACCAATGCATTGAGACAGGTTGCAGAACCCAATGACGGAGGCGCGGATGGCCAATGGAGAAATGTCCGCTACGTAGGCCGTGCAGACATTGAGGAACGCGCCGATGGCCACAAAGTTCATCATCTTGCCGCCAAAGTACATGGCGATGGATGTCGAGGCAAATTCCACGCCGATGGCAGCGATGTTGATGGCTGCCGCTGCCAGCACGACAGGCTTGGTACCGATCATGTCGGCAAAGTAAGACGCTGCGCATGCGCCAAAGATGGCCGCCGCGTTGGCACCACCGCTCAACGCTGACTGCCACTGGGTCGAGATAAAGTACGCGCCGGTCGCGTCGGGCTCGCCAAATCGCCTCTTGAAGTACGGGATGCTGAGGACGGAGCCCGTGGACTGATTTTCGAAGCCTCGCATGATTAGCGTCCATAGCATGACCCCGATCCAGAACAGCAGTTTTGGATCGGTTCGAAGAGCCTGCAAGTAGGTCCGGTTGTGTTCCTGCTGTTGGATGGCATGTCCATGGAGTTTGTCATCGTGCGGAATGTTCGTGGGCTGGGTCGCGGACTCCTCGTGCCCGACGCGTTCATCTGACTCTGCTTTCGCCATGCTGAAATCGGTGGAGGCTTTTGAACTCAGGGCACTTCTGAAGTACCAAGATGATTCGCGTCTCGTCGCAGAACAGGTGAGAGAGTGGTTGTTGGAGCACGAGCTCAGGAGTCCAAAGCGGCGACGCACATGAGCTTCATATAGTGTTCTGCCCCGTCAACTTCTCCCCCAGGCGTCTCTTCTCCAGCACATTTCCCACATTCTAGATTCCGGAGCTTCGCCTGTGGGGCACGACTCTAGCAAGTCCGACTGAGTTCGTCTTGCGTGTCGTCGGAATGCATTGGACCGAGAGGGGCTCATATTCGCTCGTTCTGGGCACGCCAGAGCTACCTTCGGATAAGCCGAGGGGCAGTTGCAAACTTAGACCATATCAACTGCCCGAATGGTGCATCCGGTCGTTCGGTCATTTGGCGGGCGAGTCAGCGCCAAGGATACGGCGAGTTCCCAGGGGCCTGCTTCCTGTGAACAAAGCCGCCATGGCCACTTATTGAGTTCCGCGTCTCGCTCCTGGGCACGACGCCTCGCTGCCGAATATCCCGGCATGCCGTATGATTGTTGTCCCGAGTGAAGGGGCAAACAGCCTTTTCATCTCCTCTTGGCGGCGAGATGGAGAGATACGTTCGGCAACTTTTGACTCCCCTGGGTCAACCTGGTCGCTGGTCAAGGCATAGCAGTAAGAAACACGATGGCGTTGGCTTCGAGACCATTCGCTGTCACCAATGTTCGGTTTGAGCACTATCTGCCCGAGTATGCTCTCGGCTTGCACGAGTCACAGCCTCGCATCTCATGGCGATTCCAGAACGCGCCTGAAGGGTTCCAACAACATGGATACGAGTTGGAGCTTGTCGACATTCCCTCCTTGTCGCAAGAGGCGCGCAACCCGGCTACGTTCAAGGTCGATTCCGGTGCATCGGTCCTGGTCCCCTGGCCGCATCACGATCGTCTTCGCTCTCGACAGAGAGTGGGTGTCCGAGTCAGGGTCTGGGATGCAGTTGGTTTCAGTTCCGACTGGAGTGAGCAGAGTGCTCTAGAGGTCGGGCTGTTGAGTCGGCAGGACTGGAAGTGCCAGCGCATCACGACGTCGTGGCCAGTCGATCCGTCGAGACCTGGACCCGAACACCTCTTTCGCAAGCAATTCTCGACACGATCTGAGGTGGCACATGCGCGGCTGTACATCACCGCACAAGGCCTCTACGAGGCCAACATCAACGGCTCCAGGATTGGCGATCAGCTCTTGACGCCGGGTTGGACAGATTACTCGAAACGACTCCAGTACCAGACATACGACGTAACTCACCTCATCTCCTCCGGACCCAGCAAAAATTGCGTCGGAGTGCGACTCGCCGAAGGGTGGTTCTGTGGCCGCATCGGATTCGAGGGCGGGAGACGAAATATATGGGGATCTCAGATGACCTTGCTCGCGCAGTTGGAGATACAATATGCAGACGGCGCTCACGAAATCATCAGTACTGATGACACATGGCAGACCACACCAGGGCCGACCCGATTAGCCGAGATCTATGACGGGGAGAAATATGATGCCAATCTCGAGATCCCGGCCTGGTCAACTGGGGACAGCGCGAATTCTGGAGTCTGGCGGAACGCAACGGCCCTTGAGAGCCTCCCAGAAACGACGAAGTTGGTCGCAGGCACAGGAGAACCTGTGCGGGCAGTCGAGGTTCTCAAGCCTGTTGACCTTATTCACACACCCAGCGGAAAATCCATCCTCGATTTCGGCCAAAACTTCACAGGCTATACACGGATCAAAAGAGTCAGGGGAGCAAAAGGACAGACCCTTACTCTCTGGCATGCTGAGGTCCTCGAGCATGGAGAGCTGGGAAGACGACCCCTACGCCAGGCGGCCGCCTGTGATCAATATACCTTCTGTGGTGCAGCTGAGGGTGAGTCTTGGGAGCCGAGATTCACGTTCCATGGATTCCGATATGTGCAGGTGGACGGGTGGCCGGCTCCAAAGGGGGAAAGAGCCATGATGGATTCCTTCGAGGCAGTGGTGATTCATTCCGCCATGGAGCCCGTTGGGGCCTTTTCATGTTCCGACCCTCGATTGGAAAAGCTGCACTCGAACGTGAAGTGGAGCATGCGCAGCAACTTTGTTTCCATCCCAACCGATTGCCCGCAACGGGACGAGAGGCTGGGATGGACTGGTGACCTTGCCCTGTTCGCTCCGGCCGCGACATTATTGTACAACTGCTATGGCCTCGTGTCAAACTGGTTGGTTGACGTCAGAGGAGATCAGGATGATTTAGATGGGGTCCCGCCAGTGGTGAGCCCCAATGTGGTCAAAGAGGACAAGGTCTGGGGGCAAGTAACCCCGTTCGCCATCTGGCACGATTGCACCATCCTCGGGCCATGGGCTTTGTACCAGGCAACAGGCGATTCGACCATACTTGCCTCTTCGTACGAGAGCATGACTACCTGGCTGGACCGGATTCCGCGAAATAAAGCGAGGGACAACATCCTGTGGGATCCTAGCTTTTTCCAACTTGGGGATTGGCTGGATCCCACGGCCTCGCCTCACGATGCTGCGCGTGGACAGACCGACAGTGTGTTGGTAGCTGATGCCTTCTTGATCCACTCCCTCGAGACCATGGCGAGCGTATGCACAATACTGGAGGCCGACAGCACCCAAGCAGAAACTTATGGCGCCGCGGCTGAACGGTACAGATTTGAGACACAACGAGCAAAGTCAGCGTTCCTCAACGAGTACATTTCGGCGAGTGGGAGAGTGGTCTCAGACTCGCAGGCCGCGTATGCCTTGACCATAACTTTTGACCTCTTCGAAACACGCGAGCAAAAGATGCGCGCCGGAGAACGCATAGCGGAGATAGTGCGCAGGAACGATTTCAAAGTCGGCACCGGTTTCGCGGGGACACCGTTCGTGTGCGAGGCGCTCGCGCTGGCGGAGCAGACCCCTGTGGCATATGCGATGTTGCTCAACGAGCAGTGTCCGTCGTGGCTCTACCCAGTGACGATGGGTGCCACCACCGTGTGGGAACGCTGGGACAGCATGCTACCTGACGGCACAATCAACCCCGGCTCCATGACAAGCTTCAACCACTACGCGTTCGGCGCGGTCATCACCTTCTTCTACGAACGCATTGTCGGGATTAGACGGCTCGAGCCCGGCTGGAAGAGGGCCAGCTTTACACCCGCCCCTGGGGGAGGCCTGACGCACTCACAAGCGTCTGTCCTGACTCCGTACGGCCAGCTCTCATGTTCCTGGAGCCTGGATCGCAAGCCTAGCCGGCAGGTCAATGGCGGGCAACACTGCAATCTCCACCTCGCCGTCGTGGTCCCCGCAAATGTGGTTGTGGAACTGGTTCTCCCGTCAAGTTCGTCAAGTTCGTTGGACTCTGAACGAAAGCAAAGCGTCAAGGAGCTCTCGTGCGGCAATTGGTCGTTCTCCGTTCCATGGGTTGAGCCTTCTGATGCCGAATGGCCTGTCAAGCCCATTCACATGAAACTCTTCGGCTGATAGGCTATTCTGGAGGAGTGCTCTCAGGGCTTTCCCAGGTGGCTGAGTTTGACTGAGATTCGTCCTGGACCCATAGACGTGTAGCAGTGTCAAGGATAGCACGGTCTGAATGAAAGCACACGAGTGCTGGTAAAGACCACCCCGCCGTCGTGATCTAGTAGCAGCGCATTTTGGCTGGTAGACACTCATTATCCTGTAGAGTGCAGCGAGAATAGTAGTCAATCACGTTGTCTAATCATTGTTTGACCTGTGACTCAATTGGAGGAGGACATGATGAATTTCAGAGGGGTCTGGGGAGAGACCTAGCTATATAGTTACGAAGGCCTATGTAAACAATACGGTATCGTACAACAGGGGGTATGGCCCAGTACACCTCTTGGCACTGTCTGGCCAACCCTTCGGATAACCCTCCCAGTCACAGACCATGGAGAGAAGACGCGTGAGTGGCGCGAGTGACGAGTGGTGCGCGTTCCTTCTCTACAGCTACAGTAGCCGCGCTTGGCGGGATTGGCTTGGCCTTTTTGTCGGCTTTGCCCTTTGGCCACTTCGTCCACTGTGTAGTCTGTTTCGCCTCACTTGGCTTTGTTCTCCGTACAGTAGAGCCAACAACTGGCAGCATAGGATCGGGCCCAAAAGTCACCGACGACGCGTGGCCTTCAGGCCGCTAACCTGGAAAGAAACACGGCGCTCTGCCATGGCCATAGTCAAGCTTGGAGTCGACCCTGTGCGTACTGCTCGTGAACTGAATACAACATGAGCTTGACTATGCGTCAAGTCCACCGCCAACTCACGAATGGCAATCTTTTTATTAAGAAACTTCCAAGGCACCTCAAGCCACTGGAGCTCTCCGGCGGCTGCCCTACCTGCGTCAAGACCGTACTCTGATCCACTAACGCTGGGTCGATCGCCATTATCCATGTGGATTGCCCATCTGGTTCTCCTGGGGGAAAACATGCCATGGAATTGCTGCACTAGAACTACCTTGATTTGGGCTCACCGTCGCTACATGGCGGCAAAGGCGCGATGCGGCCTGAACATGTGCTGCTGACAGATCATAAAGAGATCATCAGAATACGAAGAAGTTGACTGTGCCGCAAACGTACTCGGCTCTTAATCTTCCGCTGCGCTTCCACCACCTATCCCGGAGCGAGCGCCTACACAGGAAGCGGGAACCTGCTCTACAATTCTCCAACAATATGCTTTCACCTTGCTGTCATCGGCCGTTCGATTCTGTCTGTTTACTGCCTTGAATCTTCGGACAGATTGACGCAGACCAGGAGGCGACTTGTCATTTGTGGCGGACCGAAGTCGACCAGGAGTTCTTCGGAGAGACTCTGGAGGTTCTGATCAAGAACGTCGACAAACAATTGCCGCCAAGGTAAGTGCATCTTGACCCTCAAGAATATGCGGTTGGTGAAATACGAGTCTATTATTTGGAACGAAGAGACACAAATGGCGCAGGCCCTTGCTAAGAGGTCTTGTTCCTATTTGTCGATCGTCTTGTGAATACAGTAGCCAGCCTCAACGGCCTGAACCGCGACAGTCTCTATCCGCCTCTTGTCAGGGTCCAGTGGTCCTCGTGTTGGGTCGGCATCACGAGCCCAAGCCCCTACCAATACGAGAAGCCCTGGGCTAGACTTTGCACGAACTAAGACAATGTGGGTTTAGCGAATTCACAGTATATCAGCGAGCTGAACTCCCTGCCTGACCAACATGTCCGGCCGTTTAACTGTCCGCATGGGGTCCTCTCGTGCAGTACTTGGTCTTTACTGGCGTCGACATTTGGGCCCATCATGATGGGTTCTACCTTCTCCAACGTGCTTCGATCTTTGCAGGATCAACTCGCCCCTTCCGGTGCACCTGCCCAGAACCAGTATCCGCACAGCAGCACCTCCTCTCCAGCAGCCGGTTATGTTCCACCTCAGAACTTTCAAGCTCCACGATCGAACAGTTCTCTTGGTCCGCTCCAGGGGCCGGCGTACGGAGCTTCTCCTGCCCAGAACCAGTATGGGATCAGCAACACTTCCTCTCCAGCACCCGGTTGTGTTCCACCTCAGAACTTTCAAGCTTCCCAGCCGAACAGTTTTCTCGATGCCCTCCAGGCGCCTGTGTACGGAGCCTCTCCTGCTCAGACGGGGTATCCACCTTATCAGTATCCGAATCCGTCTTCAGCCAGCCAATTTCTCCAACCATTAATACAACCTGCTGCTTCCTGGACCTCGCCGTGGCTCCAATACCCGCTTCGACCTGTATCTGGGCCCCCAGTGAAGCCAATCTCGCCAAAACTAAACCCTCCTCAACCGCATATTCCAGAGAGGCCATCGAGCAGTAATCGAGGATGCGTGACTGACCCGCTGATAGAAGGTTTTAATAAGCTGGCCGTTAACTTGCAGCCCTCAGGCTACGCAAGAGGCAAAAATGGCCACGATGCCGATGCCGAGCCACGGTATCATTCTTTCCGCCTTACACGGCTGCCGCCCGCAGGTGACTCTTTCCGGCTCATCGAGTTCGGTCCAGTTCCGACACCGCAGAGCCCGATATCATGTAAATTGCACACAGTCAGTCTACGGAACCACCCAGAGTACATTGCTCTGTCATATCCGGTCAGTGTAAGCAAGATCTCGGGACGTTTCCGCCGGCTGGAGCAGGTCGCATGCGATGACGGCTATATCGAACTTCATGGTGGCATGCTAGACATTCTACATTCGGTGCTCAATCGATACGACCCCATGTACATGTGGATTGACTGCTGCTGCATGTCGCAACATGACCCTGACGAGAAAGCCGAACAGATAGCGATGATGAAGCACATCTATCGGAAAGCGAAGGAGACAGTCATTTGGCTGGAAGAGCCTTCCGACAACGCCCTTCTGGTCCGTCAGGCCTTCGAAACCCTCAAAATCGGGTACACGCATTTCAACAACATCCAGACCCGACAAGCGTTCGCAAGCAAGTGGGCATCGACGTTCGCATTTGTCAACACTTTTGCCTTGAATCAACTACTCCAAAAGGTCTACTTCTCACGCAACTGGATGTTGCAAGAAGCTGCTCTCTCTTCGCAAGCTGTCATCCACTGCTGCACATATCGCATCAAATGGGCCGACTTTTGCGAGCAACTGGCCTGCCTGATGCGGATAGGTTACATCGAAATGGTGATGATCAGCTACGCCTCGGCCCTGACTGCGAGCGAGGTTTTGCTCTGGTTAGGGAGACACAAAGCGTTCGTCACTCTGTGGCAAGAACTGGAGAAGCAGAGACGACAGCGAGTCGCACCAACGGAACCTCTTCCCCTCAAGCTGAAGCAATTGATGCGTCTTACACGAGGTATGAATGCTTCCGATCTCCGAGATCGAGTCTACGCCCTGCTGGGGCTCTGTTCTGATGGTGGCGCGATCCGAGTCGACGCCAGACCGCAATATACTGTGGCGATGCTATACCACCAATTAGCCCTGTACTTCACCAAGTCGCAGTCTTCGCGCTGTGACTGCGACGGTTCCGCTTGTCCAGACAACGAACTGAGTTTCATTGGTGATGCAGGGACTCGCAGCTGGACCCACGGATTTTTCAGGGCCTTTGAAGAAAGGCACAGGGCCAGTCTCGATGCCCTTCCCTCATGGGTGCCCGTATGGGAGTATCGTCTCCTCCGATCAATGTGGACCGAGGCTCACAGCGCAGGGTACAAAGCTGGCGGCGGAACTAAGCCTTCTGTCTGGTACGACCCGGACGCTGTGCTGCCCTCCAGCCTGTTTGCTGCCGGCATCATCACCTCTCGAATCCAGTACATCACGCCCCCTTGCCCGACGTTCGACGATCATCTTGAGGTGCTCGAACTCAACGCTACTTCGAAGTTACTCAAAAGCGTGCGAATCATGGGCGAGTGGTTCCAAGAGGCGTTCAATCTACTCCAGCAACGAATCCCTCCACACCATTCTCGCACAGAGGACTTCTGCCGCACACTGTGCGGCAACATCTCGCACATGGAAGCTGATTCTCTGCCGCTGGAGGCGCCGCGTGTCCCCATCTCGAACCCCCGAGAACTGGCGCGGTTTTTCAGCGATTCCATGGAGGTGTACCAGTTCCTCGAGTCCCACAAGCACGATCACGATGAGTACACGGTCAGGCAAGCCGCAGCGCTCAACAACCACGGTGAAGGTGCGACTAAGTGGTGGGAACTGACCAGTTTTACTTTACCGTATTCTTCGTTCTTCTCGTCCAACGACGGCAGGATGGGCTTGGGGCCAAGTCTCGCACGGGTCGGTGATCGGATAGCAGTGTTCAACGGCACGCCCATGCCCGCGGTGCTGCGGTCTGTGGATCACGGAACGGGGCAGCAGTACCAGCTAGTGGGGCCCGCCTATGTGCATGGCTTGATGGACGGAGAGGCCTTCCAACTCTTTCCTGACAAGGAGGTGCTGATCTGTCTGGTTTGAACGTACCATATCAGCGCTGACGTTGGAGACCAGATTTACGCGGGACGGTGCGGGGCCTCCTGGCCCAGGAACACGTACACAGCACCGTGTTCTGGATGACTTGGTTGTCAGAATGTGATGATGACATTTGACAAATTGGCAGCCGACGCTGACGGACTCGAGTCCGTCGTTATGGCGCATGGCATGGTATGGGTTTCCCTGATAAGGTTGAGAGGATTTCCAGCCTTTGCGACTTATGCAGGGGCGTTGGCGTTTCGTGTTCACGCTAGGCTTTAGGCGGGATGCTATGTACGCAGAAACGTCGCAGCAGAAGTTGTCGTCCGGCCAGGGATATTGAAGACAAAAGCCCAAGACGAGGAGCAAGCCAGACATGGACTTCTCACGTGCGATATGGGTATAAGTCTCGACAGGATCATAACCGTTCCACGTCATGATGTGTGCCTCCCATAAACACCGAGGAGCGTTGCTCGTCACCAGTCTCGCAAGGTTTCGACTTATCCCAGGGCTCCGGTCCATCGAATTAAGCTTACCGGATGCCGCTTAAACGGTCTGCCACATGGTGTGTGCATGGTCTTCTCCAGCTTTCGCAGGGGTATTGACTTTGGTGGCCTCAACTCGAAGCATGTCCCGGCTGGTCGGCATTATCCTTGCGAACCGGCAGCCAGTAGTGGCTCTTGTCCTTCGGCACCTTATCCCAAAGAAAAAACTGATGGGGAGCTTATCCGGTCTAGATGTCCTCCGTATGCTGCAGAACTGCTTTTGTTGCGAGATTGTTGCCAGCACCGATTGCTATATCGCACACATCCCCCGCCAGAGGAAATTCATGAGACCCTTGGACCCGGGGACTATCGTCAGGAGGCCGCACACTGGTGCTAGGATCTTGACTTTGACCACCATCACCTGTAATCTTCCTTGTCCTCTTCTCTTCGAAGCTTATATGCATAGCGTCTGTTCATCCACCAACGGACGCGTATGTCTGGCTGCTAGGTTCCGCCTTACAAGGGCCCGAGGCTGCTTTCCCGGACCATCTCTCTGTGGCTGACTCGCCTACTGCAGTTAGCCAAATAGCTCTGGAACACTCTTGCCTCTCTCCTCGGCATGATGAATCTTCAGCGATTGAGGGTCGGCGGATTCTTTATCCCTGCGAGGTATAAGCATATGCTCCGTCGCCAAATTGGATGGGTGTCACGCGTTCTAGAATGGCTGGAATGGATGAATATGCAACTTGGACGAAATCCTTCTCGTCGACGACCGTTCCATATCCTCGCTTCCCGTGCAACCGACATTTGATATGGCGCTCAAGAGCTTCATTGCTATCCTGGCCATCGTCCTCTGCGGACAGCTTGCCTATAGTGAGACGCTGACACTGTCTGACTGCGCTGTAAGTCTGCCTTTGGAGGTCTCTCCAGACCCAACTACCCAATCTGACGCGTTTGTAACCCAGGCCAACTGCACCTCCGACATCACCAGTCGATTTTCAGCCTGCAAGTTCGGTATCCAATGCTTCTGCACAGACCCTCAGCTCTACGACGTGGGAAAGCAGTGTTGGGAGTCCAACTGTACCGTCCGCGAAGCATTGAGTACGTCTCTGTCCTGTGGTCGCGGTCCTCTCTCGCATGTGCATGACTAACGCATCTCAGCCGCTGAAAATGTCACCTCCATCAGCTGCAACTTCCCTGACAGGGACCGAGGACCGACGAGCAGCGCAGTTACCTTCACGTCGATGGCCGTTGCGCTGTGTTTGGTCGCCACGCGCATCATCGCCATGTCTCCGGACTTCAGGGTGCTATGGGGATGGGATGATGTGTTGGTCGGCCTCGCGACCGTAAGAAGAGCAAGAAGAACTGTTCTAGCATGCGCCCAGCTGATGTTTGAGCAGCTCTTGATGATTGGAAATGCGGTCTGCAATCCTATTTGTACGTCTCGGTCGCATTACCCATGCGCATGCATACCATGCCATGGCTAATTGTGGTGCTAGCAAGACACTATGGCTACGGCCGCGACACTTGGCGTCTGCCCTTTGACGACACGAAGGCTGTCTACATGGTACGCTACGGTCCGCTCGAACTGGAGGGGTGTCCGTCCCTGTTCGTGCCGATGCTGATGCTGGTTCCCGCGACAGATATTCTACACCGGTGGCATCCTCTATGCTGTCGGCGTCGCGAGCACGAAAGTCGCATTCCTCGTCTTCTACATCAAGCTCTTTCCCTCGGGGATATTTCGCTGGGTGGCATTGCCTCTGTTGGTAGCCACTGTTCTTCACGGCCTCACCTTCACCTTCCTCTTCATCTTCCAATGCAGCCCGATATCCTACGCTTGGACACAGTGGGACGGCACAGGGCAGGGCAAGTGTCTCAACTTCGACCTCGGCGCCGTCATGCATGCCATCACCAACATCCTACTCGACCTGCTGATCTTCGCGCTGCCCATCTGGCAGCTGTGGAGTCTGAGCCTATCCAAGAGGAAGAAGGTCCAAGTTCTATCCATGTTCTGCGTGGGGTTCTTCGTCACTCTGGTCAGCATTCTACGACTCTGGAGCATGACCTCGCTAGGTGACACCTGGAACCCCACCTGTATGTGGCATCTAATCTCGGCATATCAGAAGCACGGAAAAGATGGCTAACGGGTGTGCACGCAGGGGATTTCGTGCCCTTCGGATACTGGTCCGACCTCGAATTCAACGTCGGCATCGCCTGCATCTGCATGCCTTCGCTGCGCGTCGTCCTGCGCCGATATTTCCCGCGCTGCGGCTTGACAAGCACGCACCGCGACGGATCTGTATCCGGGCCCGACATGGCTGCAGCTCGACCTGTACCAGTGACGCTCACGCAATCCAGCACGGGCAAGGTGAATGGCAAGTCGTTCAGAACGTCGAATAGACCTGTCAAAGGCGACGGTGCTTCCGACCAGGTCGAATTGTGTGACTATACTGCCGTTGCCGAGCCGAAATGAAAGCGGGCATATTGTGTAAGGTATATCTCCCTGCAGCTTGCGGCGAGGGCTGAACCGGCTCTGTCCGACTCGATTTGATCCTGTCACCTCTGTGGTTTCGAGAGTGTACCGGATCAACGACACCCGTCGACACGACACGACACGACAGACAGCCTACTTCAGTCGGTCATGGTCGAAGCTTGCCTCGGCGACACACCTACCCTCGCAGGTGTTTTAGCTAGAGCTGCTGCCGCCGTGGCACGCCTTGTCTACGCGCCACACCTGCCACCCAGCGCCTGGGTGGCGCTTAAATGCTCTACTTCCGCCTCTCAAAGACGGCGGAGCACTTTGCACGACATGCACTGCGATGTTATCCATGATGGGTTGGGTTGGGCAGATGGACCAGCTTGCCGGTCTCTGACCGGTGAGTAAACAAGTAAGGAAGCCAGCAAGCGAGCATGGATGCATGCATGTACGTACTTCCTATCCATTGATCATGCTTACCACCGCGACAGTGTGTTAACAAGCTTTCACAGGACCTATCTCTGCGTCCCTGGCGCATAGCCTCGAAAGACGGTGAACACATCGAGTTCCGTACTTGATTCTTTTTGTTCGTTTCCTCATAGTCGTTAGGAAGCTGGGTAGCGGGGGCTTGTACGAGTCGTGTCCCCACGGGGTGAGACTTTCCCAATGGCTAGAGAGATCATGGGTCTTCAGGTCCCATAGGACAAGTCAGGCCAGATGATCTACCACGAGACGAAGGGTGTGCGCTGATGCGAGAATTCGTTGATACCTGCGTCGAACACTGTGGCTGTGTCGATGTTGGCCCTGGGGTATTCACCCAACGAAGCCATGGCGACGATGGGGATCAGAGTCTCAAGAGTGGTCCGGTTGGTCGGCAAGAAGAGGCCATATAACCAGACCAGAGCAGACGAGCTACCGCATACCGCATACTGTCCATCGAAGGGTGTGCCGCGGCGGGTAGGACAACACATTGAGCAGAAACAGGGGGGTGAACTGTTCAAGAAGTTCGCCATTCCGGACCGTTGTATTCGTACCATATACATATATACAGACCTATACTATCATGTTCGATGCCGGCCACCTTTACCGCTCCGCAAGGGGCACATCATCCGGCGTGACGGGTCCTCTCCGGCCCAGAGCTATCCTATTCTATGACAGCCACCCTCATCGCTCCGCAAGATGCACATCATCCGGCGTGACGGGCCTCTCTGGCCAAATGGGCCTAAAGACCGAGAGCCAATGATTCTGCGGACTAAGCCGCTCCCAGTCGACAGCCAGGATATACTCGGCCTCGGCCTCGACGACAGGTAACAACAGTTTCTTCAGCTCGGCCGAGTCCGGGTCGATAGGCACACCCTCGCGGTGCAGATCGTCCAAGTACTCCGTCAGCGTGCGCAGGCCGTATTTCAGGCTCCACTCAAAGACCTCGCGCGGCGACAGCCTCGCAAACCCGCCCTCCCGCCGGACCAGGATCGTGTCGCAGAGGACTTCGTCGCAGTGCCGCCGCAGTCGCGGGCGCGAGTAGACTCTATGCCACCACCGGCCCAGCACCGGAAGGGGGTATGAGAACGGATTTACATGCAGGCGGTAGGCCTGGACGAACTCCTGCTTCCACTGTATGTTTGAGCCATTTGGGTTTTGCACGCCACCGACGCCGCTTTGGGACTGTTGGGATTCTTCCGTGGCCGCGCCGAGGATCCTGTCCACCTGTGCCGCGTACTTGGGCCGGATCTTGACGGGACGCAGGAAATCGCCCTGCTCTTGCTTGGGGATGCGGCACGTGTAGGGCACGGCGGCGGATCCGATGGCCAGGATGACGAGGGGAGTAAACTCGCCGCAGATGGCGAAGACGATGGAGAAGGGCACCAGTTTGCCGACGTCGTGCCGTGTCCGGAGAGCGAGTTGGTAGTCCTTGCGCGTGAGGACCGGGACCGATCCTGAGGCCGCGCCGCTGCCACTGGTACCGTATTTGACCACATCCTCGAGCGTGCGGTTTCCCACCTTCGCGCGAATCTTCCTCAGTTCCTTGTAATTGTGCCACACGTTCTTGAACCCCGTCTTGTAAAAGGCCAGATATGACTTGCCTAGACTGAAGAACCATCTCGCCCGGTCGCCGACGGGAATCTGGCCATCATTGTAATTTTCCTGCTTCAAGGGCGTCGGCGTCTCCAGCTTCGCGGGTCTCGTGCTCGCGAGATCTCGCTCCGAGATGGGTGTCGTGGGCACGAAGCCCTCCAGCGGTATGGACGGGTACGCGGGCTTTTCCTCGTAGCATGAAGTCGCCGGGTTCGACGTCGTGCGTTCAAGGTACGAGGACTTTGTCCGATCCTGCGCCTGGGACTGAGCCGAACTGGCTCGGCAGGGCACAAGCCATGTCCGTATCGCGGGCTCAAGAAATGGGGTGTGAGAGGTAGTCGTCCGCGGACTCAGCCTATGGCCACGTGCGCTGAGCAGTCGCGCGTCGAAACCTCTCATCGAAGACTGCAGGTGAGGGCGCGGTACTGATGATTAGAGCGACACGCAAAGAAGAGATAGCATGCGTCCATTACAGAATACGGCAATTCGCATTCCAAACTTTTCTGTGGGGACGGAACGCGGTTGAAGCGCGTCATCAGATCTCGTCATTCTCCAAGCTCTCACCTTGGCTTCATTTGGAGCTCATTTGAACATGAAGGGAGTCTCAACCCGCCTTTTCTGGACGGAGATGTCGCTCATAAGACTGTGGCATACTTGCTACGGCCTTGATACGGGAGTCGCTTTGCCGCCCAGTGTATGTACTCCGTACCTCGCTATTTATGGGGTGATCACCGTCGCGGAGATCACGCGTACTCCACGATCGCCAAACACGCTATGCAATTCCCAGATTATGCGCATTGTCCCGCTTAGCTATGCAACGGCCCTAACTCTGATGGCTCGCAAGGGTGAGGACGGAAGGATATTGCGTGATGCCAGAACAGCATGCGCCCTTCAGTCGAGAAGAACCAAGACATATGATGTCCAATACGCAGTGAAGTCGCAATAGGAAACAATATCGGCTCGCCGCTAATCACTACTACACATTACACATATATTACATGTCCATCTACACAAATTCTCACACTTGGCTCCATCCTATGACGAGGCTGGAGCCACAGGTCCATTCTTCTCATACTCCTCGACTTCTTCCTTGTTCAGTTTCGCCCGGATCGCCGCCCCGAAGAAGTAGAATCCAAAAGGAATGAAGAACATCCCGACGCCAATAAAGGCCAACAGCCAGCTGGCCCACTGCAGTCCCAACGTATGATACATCTGGGTGGTAAACAGCGGGAAAGCTGCACCGCCACCGCTTCTGAGGAACACCTTCGCAGCCAGAGCGCTGGCCGCATACTTCTGGTAAGAGTCGATGATGTAGTTGTTGACCGAATAGTAGCAGAGAACCATGCCGAAGCCGAACGCGAGCCCTGAGCTGGCCGGTCCGACCCAGATGATGTGTTTGTAGGATGTTGCTCCCAGGATGAAGAGGGAGATTGGGATGAAAGGCGCCCCGACCATGGCGCCAAGGAGGCGATCCTCGGCGGTGGGAGCCCTCTGCGCACACGTGCGTTTGAACTGCTTCTCGAATTGAGGGGTCGCGACTACGGCAAAGGCCGCACCGATAATGATGGGGATGAACATGAGACCGATGAGCCCGTCATTGTAGCCGTAGAGTTCGCCAAAGATGACCGGGTAGGCGAAGAAGAAGGCGTACAACATGGCGTAGATGAGCACAACGTACATGCACATCAGATCCAAAACAGGCTCGGTCAAGATCATCGTGATCGGCCTGATAAGACTGGTTTTGACAATCTCGTTGAAGGTGAGTTTGGTCTTTTCCTGTTCCGTGATGATGTTCAGGTCGCCTGTTTCCTTTCGCAGACGGGCGGCACGGCGCTTCAGAATGACTGGGGCGTACGTCTCCGGAATGAGAGCCATGAGCACAAGCATCAGTCCCGCGAACGCAAGGTTCACCCAGAAGATCAGCGACAGGCGGTGCGTGCCGACGTTGATCCACCCACCGACGATGGGGCCGATGACGGGACCTGCGTACGGAGCGGCCGCAAAGTATGCTATAGCCATGCCACGCTCTTCGATGTTCCAGATATCCGCAATGGTGCCGCCAGCAAGGGACAGGCCTGAGCTGGAAAAGACACCGCAGAGAAAGCGAGCTGTGAGAAGGCCGCCGATATTGGGAGACAATGCGCAAGGGATGTTGAAGATGGTGTAAAGTGCCAGTGAGATGATATAGACAGGGCGTCGACCAATGATTTCCGACAGTGGTGACCACAGTAATGGGCCCACGGCGAAGCCCAGGACCATGATCGAGCAGGTGAGAATGGCGACTTCCAATGAGACATTGTATTTCTCCTCAACCAGGCCAAGCCCGCCCGTGATGACTGAAGAGCCGAATGCGATGCAGACGACCAGGCCGGACGCTACCAGTGTGATGTACCATCGAAATCGGCGGTTCCAGTTGTGCGGGTTCTCTGTGTCTCCAATTGTGAAGGTGACGAATTCAACGGGTTCTTCAACGCCTCGTTTTTCGAGATCAGGACTGACACTAGAACTTGTGCGTCTTCGAGTGGCGACTGTCGAGGCTCTGGTACGGATCTGCTCGAGCGTAGCTTGCGGGACGAGACCCGTTGCGGTCTCGAGAGTATACTCCTCCGGAAAGATGGGACTCTGAGGCCGGTTGAGTACTGGGTAGTTGGGGTCTATCTGGGGAGATGATTCTGAGACGCCTAGTTCCTGTAACGTGGCTCTGGTCTCTGTTCGGTGCAGTCGGAGGTTGAGTGTTGGATGTTGTGCCAGGTCACGATCGGGGCTTCGGGTGTCCCGTGGGCTCTGAGGTCTAGGTGAAGCCATTTGGGTGTTATGTGCGCCAGGTGACGGTGGGCTGCGAGACGATGTTGTGTTTGATATCTGCAATACAGATTAGTATCCGTGCGGAAAGCACCAACCTGACTAGGGGCGAGGATCCTTCGATCATATATACATCACGTTCCTGTGGCCTTGTTATTAGGCGAGGCTGTGAGGTCAGGGCTTGCTTGGCTTCTGCACCGAACAATGTCCGCCGACGTATCGCCGTGCGCGAATTGTTTCGCTTGCCAGCCAATGAGGCGAGTTCCACGTAATTCATGCCAGGCGGAGGTTCTAAAACAGCCAGCACCACATGCTGTTCGAGCTCTGCTCGTCTCGCACATTCTCCCGGATAAGACTTCGCAAAGGAAACATTTGGCCGGACCACCGGCGTTCATTGCCAGCCTTATCTTGGTATCAGTCGACTGGCGGAAAGTGGAGCTTTCATGAGAGAGAAATCTTCTCATCAAGATCCTTCTCCCCGGCGTTATATGGCACGACGACAAAGGTTGAGGTTAGCAGTCAAGCTAGCCATTGCAGTGGCTTCTTCGAGACACGAGATGAGCCCTGAGTGCACGGGTCGGGAATGAGCACCGCGGGTAGGCACAGATGGGTGCGCTGCCTGTGTCGTACTGTGTAGGTCTCGTGGCAGGAAGATGCCGGCTCCTAGGGAGATGAAAGGTGCAAAATAAGGCATCGAGGGAACAAATAAGGTGTCTGCCTTTCTCACACGCTACTCACCTGGCTGCTGTACCATAACATCAGGAACGCGTTATCGTTGTCAGCAGCGGCGAAATCTTGCAGACAGTCGCAGACAGATCTTCAGGCATATGACGTCACCTGACCGTTAAACTCTGCCGCGCTTCGACGGCGACGCTTACTGTGATTGGCAAAGCGGGATGAATACCGAGCATGCATGTACGGAGTATCCCGTGCTTTTTGGAACAAACCCTGACTTCGGCCTTGGGTATATGCGCCGCGATAGAAAACGTAGGAAGCCTCAGAGGCCAGCACTTCAGACAAGACATCAACGCACCCACCTGATGCTACGCACAGCCAGATCCGCCACAGAGACTGCACGAGGAAAGGAACGACGACGAACACTCGCAACAAGGGCAACAAGGCCGTGAATCGAGTGTGCCGTTAGGGGCACAACAATATTGTGGACACCAATACATCTCGCAGTTGGGTTTCCCAGTCGGTTCCCATGGGATCCAAGGGCGATAAGACCATCCTATTTCGCGGTCTCAAATTCATGGGTGAAAGTCACAACCTCCTTGCGCCACTGGCGTTTAAAGACAGCTTCCAGCGCCTCGTTAATATCGAAATCCCCAAGTAGAGGCTGGCATCGCGTCTCTTCTGCTGTCCTAGCGGCGAGTATCGTACAAAGTACAAGAAGAGGGCAGGAAGAAGCTTGGTGAGACTGAGCAAGTGCCGATCTGCCTTCAAAAGGCACGGCGTTTTCATCTTTACCTGGCCATACGAAAGTGGTGGGTGATTTTCAACAAAGCCCATTTGAGATATCCATCGAATTCACCATCACTCTCAGCTCAAGCTCGCTGATAGCTTGTTGCACTTTCCATTCGCCGGTATTACCGTGATATTTCTCTCCATTGCCATCCGCTATGCTTTTGGAAAATTGTCAGCAGTCATACCTCCCCCAGCACATCCGGACACTCCGGTCTGGCCCTTCTATTAGATGCAGGTCGTAATGTCAAGCAAAGGTCTTTTGTCTTCATGATATTAACGCGATGCAAATGCAGGCATATGCCTCCCTCCAATGCAGATGCATGGCTGATCCTCCAGCCAATGAATGCGTGAACGTAAGTCCCAAGATACGCCGTGAACGCTGCATGTTCGTTTGCTCGGGTCTAGAAGATCCCAAATTTCTTCTTCTTCTCGCCTTGAGCTACAATCACAGTTAGTGCTGCTAGTACTTCGGTCGCAAACGTGGCGGAATGCGCGAGCTCACCCTGAGGTCCAATATTACCGGCACTGTTGCTCGTGGTCAATGCTCCCTTCTTTCCTGTCGACGCTGCCGTGAGGGGATCTGCTCCCGCCCCTGCAGCTCTGATCGCGGCGATGCGGTGCTTGGCTCTTTCTTCACCTTGATCTGCTGCCCTGACGTACCAGACGTTGGCCTCTAGCGGATCACGACGACATCCAATCCCCATCTCGGTGAAGTAGCCAACGGTGTACTGAGCTTTCGCAAGGCCCTGCTCCGCTGCTTTCTTGGCCCATTCGTATGCTTCTGCTTCGTCTTTGTCCAGGACATTGGGAACACCCACCATGTACCATGCACATAGAGCCATTTGTGACAATGCGTGGCCACGTTCAGCGGCGCCAGTGTAGAAATGAATGCTCAGGGCAGGATCCTTGGGACATCCTAGTTGGCCATATTCGTACGCTTCGCCGAGTCGGTAGTTAGCTTCGACATGACCCAGGTCAGCTGCTTTGGTGTAAAGTTGAGCGGCGTAGGTTTCGTCTTTGAAGACATCGGGTCCGAAACCGGTCTCATGCAGGCAGCCCAGATCGAAAGGAGCTTGGTTGTACTGGAAGTCAGCAGATTCTGCAGCGCGCTTGAGCCATCGCACACCCTCCCGGTATCTCTTGGTCAAGCCCATGTCACCAGTTAGGCAAGCTCGTCCTAGTCGGAGCATGGCGCCAGGATGATTTTTGCTCGCAGCGTGCTGATAAAACTGCACGGCCTTCGCTGCATCCACCCGTGAGCCCCAGCCAAACTCGTAACACAATGCAGTCCGGTACCCCGCCTCGGCATGGCCATGTTTTGACGCGGCCAAAAATAGAGGAAACGCGTGTTCCCAATCTTCTTTGCCTTTGTTGAACAGCCCCGAAGCGTACCCATCTGCCAGGTAGTACTGAGCGAACGGATATGATCGATCCGACAGTCTCTGCAGAATGTGCTTGGCCTCCTTCAAAAGGTCTTCCCTGACTGACGTATGTGATTTCTCAGAGACCGCAGCATCGGATACCGCGTCGGACTCCAGACCCTCCTCTTGCGCCGCACTGATCATGAAGACTGCAAATTCATACTGTACAGCTGGATCTTGTGTTTTCTTGACATTTGCCCGGTACATTTCCAAGGTTTTGCGCGTGGACAATAAGTTGGCGTTATTTCCGACAACTGTCCGCAGACCTGAATTGACCAAATGTTCTGCTCCACTCGGCGCAGGTTGCGGGTATGGGACGTTCAAGAGGTCGACATAAGACAAGGGCCTGGTGTCAGGAGATCTTGAACCTCTCGACACGGGCCGTCCGACGTGAGAGACACGAGGGGAGTTTGTCCGGCCTCGAAAATCTGAAGTGCTTGAGAAACCCGAATCAGGTCGGCAGGTGTTTAGCCCATAGGTGCTGTTCCGAGCACTGTCACCAGACCCGGTAGTTCCAACGGTGAGTTTCGAGGCTCGCTTGTCCAGAGCGGCGACTTCAGCCTCCTCGACCAACTGATGGTGATAGCGCAAGGGTTCGAATGACTCGTTCGGGGTTTCCGGGGCGATGTCTGAGGTCGAGGCGTGGCGCACGGATCTCTTCGGCAGGGGAGACAACGCAACTGGGCTCTGAGAAAAGTTCTCCGACGACACTCTTCGGTGGTCACCACCCGCAAGCTCGTAACCACCAAATCTCTTCCGCATGGCATGGGGCGTCGGTGACAGTCTGCTCGGGTCGAACTGCAAAGAAGGTTGAGGAGTCAGGGTTCTGTTGGACGCCGCTGGATTAATAGTTCTTGACGCAGCAGTTTCGGGAGGGTGTATTTGTACTTCAGCAGCTGCATCTGCAAGGGCATAGACGTCGTCTGTAGGCCTGGCCTCCGTTGCAAAGAAGGATGTTGAAGAAGAGCTCAGTTTGCGTTGGTCATTCTGTGGTCTGCCATTTCCTCGCTCTTCCCGGGGTTCGATGATTCGAGGACTGTCTGATCGCAAGGGAGGAGAGTAGATGGCAGGAGGAGGAGTGGGAGGAAGCGGGTGATCCGCTACTTGAGCCATTTCGAGGACCAGTATTTGGATAATTTAGGGTGCAGACATTGGAGCGGTCACAAGGTTGGTATGTGAGGTTGGGGTGATTTGCAGTCCGGACAACTGAACAGGCTGTCGCCACGTGAATAAAGCTATGCTGGAATGTGTGGATTCCCTGGTTCAAGGGCAAAACGAAGGTAGGCTCGGAAGATTCCCTTGAGGGCCCGCGCTGAGGTTGTCTTGGAGGGAATGCTGTGGCGTCGTTTGAAACGGAATGACGAATTGACGCGACGTAAAAAGAAAGGTCGTCGTCAGCGGCGGCAGGGCATGCGAAATGACAGAGATCGACGACAAGTCCAGAGTAATATCTACAGCTCGAGCGGATGGAAAAAGGAGGGTGGTGTCAAGTGGTCGCAGTGAGGTGAGTGTGACTACGACTAAGAATTTCAGTGGCCAGGGCTGTTCTGTGCAGGGAGGCTAGAAGAGGCATGGAAGCAGTATCTGGGCGGGTTGTCCCCGCATCAAAATCCTCTTTGGACTGATGCCTGCTGAACTATTGACCCTCTTTGTTCTGGCATCCAGAAAAGGAGAGAGGCTTGTCACCTAGACAAAGAATCCCTTGGAGCAAACGACAAGAATAGGTGTCATGCTTTGTACCTCCGCTGATGTGCAAGTTGTGTAGCCAACTGTGCGACTAACTGGATGCAGTACGAGTCCTCCATATGGTGGGCAGATCTCCCAGACCATGCGTCAGCCTTTCCAAGGCAAGGAGGCGTTGGTTAAAGTACGGGCGTGCCCGAAGTTTAGGCAGCAGATGTGAACTCTAGGCGCGGAAGGGAGCCACGAACAAATCTTGTGGCGCCGGGAGCGGGCAAACTGGCTCCACTGGAGGCAGGGCTCCGGAAGGACGCGGCAAGCCAGATGCTGTCAAACTCCCTATCGCTGGGTAAAGATGGCGCTATGCTTTCTGGTGCAGAGCATGTTTCACCCAATGCAGAAGGGGGCAAACAGCTGGTCAAAGCCAACCAGCACCCGCCATCAGCCTGGTGACATACACAGTCGTGACAGTTCTCCGACAGGAGCCAGAACCAGCCTTTCACAGTACAGAGTACCAGGTAGCCAAATCTTTCCTATTTGTGTGAGATGACTGCAGTTCGTATTTAGTTGATAGTATGAGGAACAGAGTAAGACCGTCCTTGCAGACTTGCGCACTTGTACTGCTCTCGGTGGGGTGAGACATGGCCACATTCACCCCTCCTTGACGAAATGGGTAGTGTGTGCACAGTATCCGTCTTCGCTTGTAGCCACCATGTACACACACCATATACACAGTAGCGTGCGTTGAGAATTACAGATCCGTTGTACGAGGTGGCGAGCATATCCTAACGATCTGCTTGTGCAAAGCTCTCGTAGCAGCATGTTCAAGATCTCATACCCTTCTCGTCTCTGCAGTAGCTTCCACGGGAGACAACCCATAATAGGTCGATTCGTTGGATGACGCGCGTCGGATGTCAGGGCAACCGTCGATTGTGCCCGAACGTGTAAAAATAAGATTCTCAGCCACAACCGAGCCTCTCTTGTGCCTTGCTGACTGCCACAGATCTTACCAAACCATACTCATCACCATAGTCGGCCTGGCTGCAGGATATTCGTAAAGCCCTGCCATTGCCTCAGACGTATCTCTCCAGCGTCAGAAGCCATGGTGGGGAGATGGTGCACGGCGGAAGATCAAACAGGAGCCGGCTCAGGAGAAGAAGAATTGCATGTCGGAGAATACTTTTCGCCTCTGCTGGATCTCTGTTTCTCCTGCATATGTCCACTGAGTGAGGCTTAGCCAATCCAGAACCTGGGTATACAGTCGATCGGATGACCAGCGAATCGCCTGTAGTCGCCGCCAGTAATAGTTCTCCATCCGGACAGGGCCATCACCATTGCCCAGGACTCCGTACACAACATGGCTGCACACCTTCGTCTTGTCCTGATCCAGTCTTGGTTTTGCCTTGTCGTTGTTGCTCACTCGCTGTCAGACCTTTCCGTACACGTACACTCGTTCACCACCTGTAGTTGGGCCACTATCTTTTGAGTTCCAGCAAAACAACAATCTTCCCTTAGGCAGGTCGAAAGTGCCACTTTGCATTGAAACAAATCCCCGTCGTCTGGTTTTCACCAGGTCAACCGACTGTACAGTTCCCATTATCGACACTACCGACGGCAGCAGAGTGCTTCATCAGCACAACCCGGCGTTTACATACCTGTCAAGAGAGATTCCACTGTAAAACTGCCCACTCCGCACCAGAGACAGCGCAGGCGCCGTTCTCAACACCACTCTTTGCAAACTGAACAACACAGGTTGAGGAGACAATTTAAGTCGCAGTATGTTGCCACGATGATATTGTGACTGGCTGTGACCCACTAACATTCTTTCTCCTCGCAGAACATGTCAGAGCCACCGCATAGGCCACGGCCTGCCACGTCCCCGACCCGCGACAAATCCCATTCCCCGTATAGAGACTCTCCTTCACGACGACTACGAGATCTCGAAACCGGTTCGAACAATTATCGCGGCGCTCCGTATCCCTCCCAGCACTTTGCTGCCGACCCGTACCCTGAATCGCCCAGTTCCAAAGCAGCCGACTGGGAACCCATCATGTCGAATCAAATAAATCAGACCGAACTAGGTCGCAAGAAGTCCCTCATCAGACCAGAACGCAACCGAATAGACCGAGATCATCCTAATTACCACTATCGCAAGCATGCGCAGAACATGGAGGTCTTCCCATCGACCACAGGCAATGACCCAGTGGTGGAAGAACTAGTGGAAGCACGAACCGTCAGCTCAGAAAGCACCAATGTCAACACGCACACCGACGATGACATCGCGCCACAGACCCAGCAACAAGCACGCGTGCCCGGCAAATTGGAACCTGTGGGCAAGAAGAGACATCCGCGAAAGCTGGTGAGGAAGGACACACGGGACATCACCACACAAGAGAAGAGCCGGATCAAGGACACCGAAAAGCTCAAGCCGCCGAGCGCTTGGAACGTATACTGTTCAGTGGTCACCTTTTGGGCTCCCGATTTTCTGCTATCATGCTGTGGCATGCCGAACCGAGCCCAGAAGAGAGCCTGGAGGGAGAAAGTTGGGTTGATCAGCATAATCCTCCTTATCGCCACTTTCGTTGGTTTCCTCACCTTCGGCTTCACCCGAGCAGTCTGCCCTGCTCCCGGATTGCGTCTCAAGATCAACCACGTTGACCGTGGATACATGATCTTCCATGGAGATGCCTACAACCTGGATGGGTCTATGCATCCTGCGGCCTTGGGGGTTCCACTAGACAGCAACGTCCTCTATGATTTGCCGCACAAGTACGGTGGCCAGGATGGAAGTTTCATGTTCCAGAAGGTCAACGGACAGTGCAAAGATCTGATCACTTTGGCTCCTGGCTCTGATGTTCCCACAAATGCCGACGGGGATCTAGCGTGGTATTTTCCATGCAACGCATTTAACCAGGATGGTTCGTCGCCTGTGAACACCACCAACCCGTACTACCTCGGATATGCTTGTCATACGACGGGCAAAGCAAGGACGACGTTTTTCCATGACCTCAAAAAAGCCGGTGAGGTCTTCTTCACCTGGGATGATGTCAAAAACTCCAGCCGAAATTTGGTGGTCTATTCAGGATCAGTCATCGATCTGGATTTGCTGAGATGGTTCAACGAAAGCCAAGTGGTCTGGCCCAAACAATTTGACGATATGCGAGAGAGCGATCTGATCCGTGGGACCGATATTACTCACCTGCTGCAATCTGGCCTCGACAGGAAAGTCGGCAAATGCCTGACCGAAATCGCCAAAGTTGGCTCAGTCGACACCGAGACCATTGGATGTATCGCCTCCAAGGTCGTTCTTTACGTTTCCTTGGTCTTCATTCTTGCTATCGTCCTGGTTAAGTTCTTCCTCGCCCTGGCCTTCCAGTGGTTCTTGGCTCGAAAGTTCGCAGCCGCGAAGACCTCGCAGACGGCAGATCCCAAGAAAAGAGCTCAGCAGATTGAGGACTGGGCAGATGATATTTATAGGCCCGCGCCGAAAATCACAGATCCTGCTAGCACGGTTTCTGGATCTGATGGACGAACCAGCAAACGCGGAAGCCAGTTGTTCCCTCAGACATCCCGATTTACCAGTCCCTATGCCGTGGAACGAGTTACGAAGACAAATCGACTCCCACCTACCACTATGACCAGTCAAGCCTCAAATGCAAGAATGGTCCAGCCTGGAAGTGGAATCTACAAGACCGGTTATAATAGCAGTCAAAACACCTTGGATCTCCCTTCGCGGATGAGCGTTGGTGCTAGCAGATCCAGTCTGCTCCTTTCGGGTCATGAAACCCGTTACTCGGTTGTAATGGACTCGCTTGGCGAAGCAGGTGCCCCCGTGGGCTTCATCCATGAAAATGTCGTGCCTCAGCCGCCTCCGGAGTGGCAACCTTTCGGCTATCCCCTTGCTCACTGCATCTGCCTGGTCACAGCGTATTCTGAGGATGCAGCAGGAATCCGCACTACTCTCGACTCCATCGCGACAACCGACTACCCGAACAGCCACAAGGCCATCTTGGTCATTTGTGACGGCCTGATCAAGGGCGCAGGCAATGACATCACAACGCCTGAGATCGTACTTTCAATGATGGGTGACTGGGTGGTTATGCCTGAGGACGTCCAAGCCTTCTCCTACGTGGCTGTCTCAAGCGGCTCGAAGCGACACAACATGGCCAAGGTCTATGCTGGATTCTACGACTACGGCCAGGACTCCAAGATCGATCCCAGCAAGCAGCAACGTGTGCCCATGATGGTAGTAGTCAAATGTGGAACGCCCGAGGAAGCTCTGGCTAGCAAACCCGGCAATCGAGGCAAGCGTGATAGTCAGATTATCCTGATGTCCTTTCTGCAAAAGGTTATGTTCGACGAAAGAATGACCGAACTCGAATACGAAATGTTCAACGGACTCTGGAAAGTAACCGGCATGTCACCGGACTTCTACGAGACGGTGCTCATGGTCGACGCCGACACCAAAGTGTATCCGGACAGTCTTACGCACATGATCTCAGCCATGGTGAAAGATCCTGAAATCATGGGCCTTTGCGGCGAAACCAAGATCGCGAACAAGAGCGAGTCGTGGGTGTCCAAGATACAGGTGTTTGAGTACTTCATCTCACACCATCTGTCAAAGTCCTTCGAGTCTGTCTTCGGTGGTGTCACCTGCCTGCCAGGATGTTTCTGCATGTACCGAATCAAAGCACCTAAAGGCGGACAAAACTACTGGGTCCCTATCCTGGCCAACCCGGATATCGTGGAACACTACTCGGAGAACGTCGTTGACACATTGCATAAGAAGAACCTTTTGCTGCTGGGCGAAGACAGATACCTGTCGACTCTCATGCTGAAGACCTTCCCGAAGCGCAAACAGGTATTCGTCCCTCAAGCGGTTTGCAAAACGACCGTCCCGAACCAGTTTAAAGTCCTGCTCTCACAGCGTCGTCGATGGATCAACTCCACGGTGCACAATCTCATGGAACTGGTGCTTGTACGGGATTTGTGCGGCACATTCTGCTTCAGCATGCAGTTTGTCGTATTTATCGAGCTGATTGGTACCCTTGTCCTCCCGGCGGCTATCACGTTCACGTTCTACCTGGTCATCATTTCCATTGTCGCCAAACCGGTTCCGGTCATTCCGCTCATTTTACTCGGTCTCATCCTCGGTCTTCCCGCCATCCTCATCGTCCTGACAGCCCACAGCTGGTCCTACGTCGCCTGGATGGGTATCTACCTTCTTTCTCTACCGATCTGGAACTTCGTCCTCCCAGCTTACGCCTACTGGAAGTTTGATGATTTCAGTTGGGGAGAGACCAGGAAAACAGCCGGAGAAACGAAGAAGAGCGGCGGTCATGGCGAAGCGGAAGGAGAATTCGATAGCTCCAAAATCACCATGAGGAGGTGGGGCGACTTTGAGAAAGGTGCGTTTTTGGTCATGCGGGCTCGTTATAGAGCTCAGCCCTCTCTTTCGTCCGTGATTTGTTCTGATAAGTATACTAACTTGAGATCTAGAGCGACGAGCACAAGCGAGCGGAGCTGGATGGGCACAGCACCCTCTTGCGCCTCCATCAAGGGGTGGCGGTGGGATGACGAGCGACTATGCTTCCAGTCAAAGCGGATTCGAACCATACCACGACTATTGAAAACTTCCAACTGCATCTGACAACCCTCTAGAACCAAGCTAGGGGTTGATGGATCAGGCATGTTTTGATGTGTGATGACTAAGACATAAGGGCTGTGACAAAAGGACAGGGGCTTGCATTAGGCGTTCTGCGGACTACTAGCATTGTCAGCACGCCCACTGAAGGAGCTTGCTGAGGTCAAAATTTGTGCTGGAATCAAATCTGCGAGACGCAGATGTAATGGCTGGTGATTTGACAGGGGCATAGCGTGGTGGTTGTCATCGTCATGGGATTTCTCTACGTCATGGAGAAAGGATGGAACAAATTGCGGTACTATGGTCTACGGGTCCGCCATATTAGATCTACATTAATTGGACTGTTCAACTCCCCTGACCATCCAGATCCTACAAAGTCTGCACATGGAGCATGGTCAAAAAGTGCGTCGAGGTAGGAAGATGGGCTGGAATTCAGCCCGGCACATGGTCTTCTTCGTCGGAAGCATCGTTCCCGTCTGTGCAATGAAGGTAGGGTAGCTAATGCGTATGAATCAGATGGCTAAGCTGATGTCCAAAGGAACTACATTCTAACTTGACAGCAGCAGGCCGGTTATAGCTATCGCGCATGAACTGATGGGTTAGGATTGGTAAGATAGTCAAAGGACGCCTCCTCCGCGCCCTTGGACGGCACAAGAAAACGCCCCCGTGTTCTTGCAGCAGTTAGTTCATTGTGACCCGAGGTCCCGCTGGGTAGAACGACGTCGACGTGGAAGAGAACGACGTGGAATTTGCTGTACGTTATGTATTATCCACGCCATACGAAGACAGGGGACGGCATAATCATGTACACAGTACTGTGGCTTTTGCAGGGATCTGGCCGCCAGCCGCCAGCCGCGAGATACTCCGACGGTTACACTTGCGCCGTAGACACCTCGTAGACACCTCGTAGACACCTCGTAGCCACCTCGTAGACACCGACGCAGATCGGAGGTGTGGACGTACGTGGACGACACCATCGGCATTCGGCTTGCCAGCATTCCGCCCCTGCTTGGACGTTACATTGCATAATCAGACTTGACCGGCCTTATCCTTTGCTACCTTAACCTTCTACTACAGTACCGCCATGCCACCTCTACCTCTCCTTCTCCCACCCGCCCTTTTCTCTGATCTGCCGCTCCTCGTCCTCCTTGAACCACTTGACGCTCCTTGCGAACCCCTCGTCCAACGGCACGACGGGCACATACCCGGTCCTATCCATCAATTTCCCACAACTATAATACCGATTGATGGTCGCGTATTTGAGCGTCTGCCTGTTAAACTTCCCCTTGCGGCCCGTCATCCAGTTAAACACCTCGGCCGCGGCGCCAATATAGTACGCAAACCACGTGGGGAGGACGGTCATGCGTGACCGGTCCAAGGCCCGCCCGTACCGCGAGTACAGGTAGTGCGACGAGTCCCAGAAGTAGGCGGGCGAGTTGTTCGTGACGTTAAAGGCCTCGCCGTCGACCTTCTCGTGGTTTAGTACACCACCCGCCATGCCCTGTTGGCGGCGTTTGTATGTCTCGAGGAGGGCCGTCGTGGCGCATAGCAGGCCGAAGCACACGTTGTGGACGTACGTGTTGTCGAAGAGGTTGGCGTTGTCGCCCAGCTGGATGTGCAGTTGCCACGAGGGCGCCACGCTCGCTGTGCGCAGAATGCCGCCGGAGAAGCCGCCGCGGTCGCCTTCGCCCACGACCCCCGCGGGTCGGACGGCGCAGGTGAGCATTTTGCCACTGTCCGAAATTTCCTCGTTCGCGTTGGCCTCGAGCACGAGCTTCTCGGCAAAGACTTTGGTCTCGGAATAGTATTCTCGCGGGTTAGGGCAGACGTAGGGATACAGCTCGTTCGCGTTGATGAGGTCCGAGTCGCCGTCGTGGACGACGCTCGCGCTGGACGTGTGGATGAAGGTCTTGACGTGGCCGCCCCAGTCGCCGTGTTTCTTCCCGCCTGCCACTTCGACCAGAATACGCGTCCCCTCGATGTTCACCTTGCGCAGGATGTCTGGAGGGGCCTCCCACGACGGGGAGGCCGTGTTTATGACGACGTCGGGCTTGACTTTTCGGAAGACGTCAAGAATCGCCGCCGGATTGGTGATGTCTGCCGAGTGGTATGTCGCGCCGGGAAAGATATGTTGGGTACATCTTAGATCGAGGACGTGGACTTGTGTGTTTGAGAGGTTGGTGGGTGGATAGCGGGAGCGAAGGGACGGGAATGACGAGGGCAGGAGGTTCGTGGACTGATATTTTTCGGGGTTGGGTGTTGGGATAGGAGCGGAGCGAGATGCGATCGGAGGATAAGGCGGTGCCTTTGCTGCCGCTGATGTAGTAGGAGACGTCTGCTGGCCGTCCTCGGAGGGAAAGTTGAGCAGTTGGTCTACCAGTCGTGACCCGACAAAGCCACAGCCTCCGACGACGAGCACCGTGCCGTACGACCGCGGCATCATGTTGATTTCTCCGGGGTACTTTTTGCGCTCCATGTTGCGGTATAGTCGTTCAGCCTGCAGTGTCAGAGGGCGGTCAGATGTGGCTGGCCAAATATTTCATAAGGTCGATGCAGGGAATTTGGGGAAGCAGAAGGTGGAGTGGCATGGCTAAAGGCGATTGGTTGCACGTAGAGACGGCGTGACTGGTTCCTGAAAAAGCGGAGCACGTCAAATCGGATCATGGTCTTCCTCGTGGCGTGCTGCAGGCTTAGCTGATGCCCGATGTGCTTGGTCACGTAATCCCTTAACTCCATGCTTGTAACCTTGGTGTTGCAACACCGCGTCCTGCCACGCCCCAGTCCGAAGTACCGATATTTGCATATCCCCGAAGCGCTGCTCGTCCAGAAGCTGATCTCATTTGGGTTGAGAGTAGTCCTCCGGCATGAGAGGCTGTGCTACTGCTTACCACACACTTCTCATTTCTCCATCCCATCCTCCGTCGTCCTCTGCGCTGACCTCCTCAGCTGACGATAGTACTTCTTCTTGTCGCCCTCGTTCCCCCACAGCAATTTAGTCGCCTCCGGGTGCACAATCGTCCTCGGATCGTACGGAGGGGACTCCTCCTCCAGCGCCTCAACAATGCTCTCCACGTGATTCCTCAGCATGTCGGATTCCTTCGGGAAATAGCACAGCACACCATCCTTCGACACTCTGTGGTGATATATCGCGGTCTCCACTCGCACGCGAGGCTGCTCGTCGGGAAACCGAGGGCTTATGGAGATTCTGACCTTGAAAATTCCGCCATCCAGATGTGTGCCAGGCCTGCCCAAGTAGGTCAGAATCCAGACGAAAGGGTTGCACTTCTCTAGTTCCACATTGACGTTGTGTAGATTTTTCCGCTGCAAGTAGTCTGCCAGCTGTTCAAACTGTCGTTGGATGGTTGCCGCCTTGGAAGATTCCCTATTCTTCATACCGAGTCCCTCAACGGCCCACTTGTTGGTCTCGTCGCGGATCACTTCCTTTATCCTCACCAGTCGCTTGCCCAGCTCGGCGTACTTGAACTTGCCATCCATGGTGTTGCCACCGCCTTCGAAAGGCATCTTGGTGAAGTCGGTGCCATCCTTGTTCTTGGAACTATATTGCTCGATTGTCGACATGTAATGTTCGAAGTACCACATGAATCTCCGTTTGAAGAGGTCCTTGAAGGGCGCGAATTTCAGCTTCGGTTGCGTCTCAAGAAGACCTGGGCTTTGTTCCTCATCGTCCTCGTCTGAAGACCACCGTAGCGAGGCCGCTGGAAGGGCTACTGAGCCATCAGGCTGAATCCCTAGCGCTTCTTCGAGCTTTTGAATGACCGCGATACGAAGCGTCTCATGACGGATCTACTACCAGTCAACCAGGGCTCCTCAAGTCTTGGCCGACGAGGTGCTTACCTTGGCGCAATATAAATCGTTCATTTTCTTGTCCTCCGTTCCCTTGGCATTCTCATAGCCAGGCTCATTCTCGTATGGATTGTTGGACATCAGACTCTGAATGGACCACAGGATCGACTCTAGCCCTTGTGCGGAAGACCACTCTTCACCCGGCCTCTCGCCGTGCCACGTTCCTAAGATCGACAAGCAGACCTTCCCACCAGCATAGATATTAGGGTTGAACCGCGTGCGACCTCCATTCGTGGTTTTGGCCTCGACTTTGGGAGGTTTACTGGGGTATTCTGAGCCGAAGTTGACGCTGAATTCGAAGAAGCCGTACTCGTACGGTGACCCATGAGGACCGATGATCAGGGCTCTGACATGGCGGACGTCTTTCTCCTGGCATGCGACGGCGATGGCTGCGGGAACAGTCAGTTGCATGGCCTTGGTACTCTGCTGGGGATTGAGCTTACACAAATCACTGCCTTGCTGGATCTGCGTGATCTCCTGTCTCCGTGTTAGCAACCCTCTAGCAGCCTGCCGTCGACTGTCTCTTACTCTCGAAATCCTCAAGATGGTCTGATTGGACATGGTGAGTGGGAGGGTGAGCTGGAACGCAGCAGACGTTGGGTAGATGGGAGTTCTGGCTCATGGACAAGACACGGAACAGAAGTCAATGTCGGCGAAGCGAAGGCAGAAAGAGGCATCGTATGGTAGGCGGTCCCTTTGCGGCTTGCTTTCACTTCAAGATGAGGCTGGGTTTCACAAGGCATGCGGCCTGAAGCCTGGCTGCGATTTGAACAGCAACCGCCCGTTACAGCATGACGCTTCACTACTTGGTCGCTCTTGCAGGGCGCTGGACCACAGATCTGCCTGCAGCTAAGTGATCATGCCGTGGCAGTTGCAGCTAGGCGACAGATTCGCTTGCAACAGCCTAATCAGCAGCCAACAGTCATCCTGTGGACGGAGTAAGGCTGGATTAACTCTTTGTCAGGCAGCAGTGACCGGTCAGTGACTGCGGGCCCCTCCTGCGAACTAGGGCCTGAAGGTGCCTGCGCTAGGTGCGGGCACCCAGTGGGCTTTCTTCGTAGCCTATGACGCACTTGGTTACATAACACTTCATGCACGGTCCGCAGTGCCGCTTTTAGGCCCAGGCTTCACTCCCTCAACTCATCTCCCATGCTTCCCCAGCAATTAGTCGCTCTTGGGCTGAAAGCGTGCTTAAAGTGGATGTCATTATTGTACTCAGCGCATCCTCTGCATCTGTCTTTCCTATTGTTCTCTGTGTTCTGCGAGGCCACTGAGCCTCCAAACTGAATGGTAACCTGGCCCTCGGGGAATCGTGTCGCGTGGGTCATGTATCTACAACGCCGTGGTCCCATCCTCTATACCTGTAATACAAAATTTTGCACGCCTTCGCCATCTATTGTTATCATTGGGACTTCTCAGGCCGGGCTGTACTCGAGCTCCAGTCGCTGACGTGCCGGCTTTCGGGTCCAAGTGCACCAAAGTCGCGACGGTTCCGCGGCGCCTGTTGTTCCAAACTATCAGAACTTTTCCTGCTCCCTGGCGAGCCGGCAGGAACGCGTGTTTTCTCGAGGATCGAAGAGACCAAGGCTTCTGCATCGGCATCGATATGTGCGAGATCGAGGGCAGAGAGGGTGCCCTCTGGCGGCGGGCCAGGTATGTCCGACAGGGGATAAGTAAATCCCTGTGATTCAGGACCGGGTGGAGACGCCCCTGTTGTTGGCACAACACCATCTTGTGCAGCATTGAGTAGTAATACGTTCTCTTCCGTCAACGCCATGGGAGAAGCACCAGGCGTGGATCCCCTCGCTTGGCTAGTGGGCGCCTGGAGATTAGGTGCATAGTTGTTGTCGACTCTCAGTACAGGGGCAGGGCGCGAGTTCCCATGCGCCATATCTGTTGCTGACAGTAACTTTGCGTCTCTCAACGCTCGAGCTTGATCCTCGGCGGCGGCGCGTCTCGCTGCGCGATCGGCCTCTGTCTCGCCACCTGGGATCTCAGACTCGAGGAGGGCCCTGGAAAGACTAGATCTGCGAGCAATTGCTCGCCCCTCAACATCCTGTGACTCTCCTACCGGCAACGGTGCGTTCAGCTCGTCCGCGTCCGCCTGCGTATCGAAGGTGCCATTACGGGCACAAAACTCGGTGGTAATGGCGTCGTTTTGTGCGCAAATTGACGAATGATCGGTGCAAGCTTTTCCCAGATTTGGCTTCTGGACATCGGTGCCATTCATCGATAACTTCCGCCCTTCTTGAATGGTGCGCCCCCGCGACACCCACTTCAGTATTGTCTTCTCCAGAAGGGATCGCTTCACGGGCTTAGCCATGTAGTCGTCCATTCCTGCCTTTTCACATTTCTCACGATCTCCCTGAATTGCTGACGCCGTCATTGCCACGATAGGAATATGTGGGATGGCCTCAATGTCTTTGAACGGAGCATGATGCCGCAACATATGCGTAGCATGATACCCATCTAGGACTGGCATTTGCACATCCATGAGTATGAGCGAAGGCAGTGGATATTCTCTGGCCTGTTCAGGTGTAAGGTCTGGAGAGGTTGCTTTCAGAAGATACTCCAATGCCTCCTTGCCGTTCCACACAGCCCTTACCGAGAACTTTAGAGCTTGGATGAACCTCATTGCAATTTGTTGATTAACGGGATTGTCTGACGAAAGTTAGCACCGTCTCATCCTAGATTCCGTAGTACATATATACCTTCAACGACCAAAACATGGATCTGGTCTCTGGGAAGATCCGGTTCCATGCTTTGCGCTACTGGCTGCGACGGGACGTTCATAGCGCGGACATCATTGGTATTTGTGGCTGCTACCGAATGAAGTGGCGAAGCTCCTCTTTCGAATCTTCGACTGTCGGGTCTTGGGGAATCTGGGATCGACATGGACAGGTCGGATTGGAGGCGGTCAGGCATGCTGCCAACCTCGAGAAATGCTGTCGGAGAACCAACTGGATATTCGGGCATCTTCAAAGGAATTGTGAACGTAGCTCTGGTACCGGCATCGAGTTTGGACTCGAGGCGAATAGTACCGTGCATCAGATCAACGAGGTTTTTGCTTATGGTCAGACCAAGTCCGGTACCACCAAATCGTCTAGCAGTGCTCGAGTCGGCTTGGCTGAAGGGGCGGAACAACCTCTTCTTGACCTCTTCCTCGATCCCAATACCGCTGTCCTCCACGCAGAACTCCACCGTCACGGCGTCAGAGGTTTGACTAAGGATGTCCGCCCTGAGTCTGACGTATCCTTCCGACGTGAATTTGATGCTGTTTGTCAGGAGATTGACCAGGATTTGTCGAATGCGTCCAGGATCGCCGAGCAAGATGAGGTCTTCGGAAGGCCCAAGGCGTATATCGCTACTGAACTGCAGTCCTTTCCGCTGGGCCGCGAACGAGAGCATCTTTGCGACGTCGCGCAGTACAACCCCCAGACTGAATTGCACTTCTTCAATATCCAGCCGGCCGGACTCGATCTTGGAAAAGTCCAGGATGTCGTTGATGACGGTCAGAAGAGAGTTGGCCGACCGCTGAATGTTCTGCGCAAATTCGCTCTGTTCCGAATCGAGGTTCGTGTCCATCAGCAACTCACTCATGCCCAAGACGCCAGCAATCGGTGTCCGGATTTCATGGGACATATTGGCAAGAAAACTACTCTTCATCTTGCTGGCCTCTTTTGCTGCAGCCTCGTTGGCGAGCAGCTTGATATTTTCCTGTTCTTTGCGCCGTAACCCAGTGACGTCGGATACAATGACAATGACTCCAGCGATGTAGTTTTCATCTTCCACGCCCTTAGGGCCCGTCTTGCCTTTCATAGGCACCATTTTGGACCGGAACCATCGGAAATTAGCTTCGTTCTCAAGAATTTCCAGGTCAGACACGCCTGACATGAGCCGGGCGAGGGCATCTTCGAACTTGATGATGTCTTGCGGCGCAAGGTAGTCTCCCACCACGTCGAGGACCTGCGAACCAATGATTCTGTCATGAACAGGATCGCCCATGATGAAGTCTCCTTCATAGAATGTCACCGTCCGTTCTCGATCAATGATCCACATGGTCATCTGCGAGTGTTTCAGCACGTCCAGTAATTGCTGTCGGGCTCTCTGACCGCTGACTTTTGCATCCACGATATCTTGGATATCTGTGCAGGTGCCAAACCACTTGAGGATTTTCCCAGTCTTGTGATCTCGCATGGGCAATGCTCTCCCCAGCATCCACCTCCACTGTCCGTCAACCCTCTTGCAACGGTACTCAGTGGTGTATACCTCGCCGGTCGCCAGAGAATGACGCCACCTACGGGTCGTGTCCGGCATGTCTTCCTCATGGAACGGCAGTTGCCATCCCAGGCCCAAGGAATCCGTTGGCGTGAGGCCAGTATAATCGTACCATCGTTGCGACCAATAGGTGACGAGACCATCGGGTGTTGTAGTGAAGATCATTTGCGGCATCATGTCACAGATCAAGCGAAACTGCTCCTCGTTCTCTGCAGTTTGATGAGCAAGCTGTTCGGTGTATTCGGTGACATCTTTGAATGCGACCATGCCAGCCAAGAAATCTCCCGACCGCTCGTCGTAGATCGGGTGTCCGCTTACCTCGAAGTTGGACCTTTTGCCAGTCGTTTCGTTCAGCAACCCTACCTGCCAATTTGTAAAAGCCTGCTGATTACGACACAGTGCCACGACGGGGTTAGCGTCCTCATTCAGTGGTCTGGAGAAATCCGGAGCCCAAGGCCGAAGTCTGGACATAAAGTCATACGAGTGTTCGGAGACGGGGTCGACGTTGACTTCCAGCAGCCTTCGAGCCGCCGTATTCGGGAATACCACACTCTCGTCCCTCCACATGGCAACCAGTGGGATCTCCACGGCGCGCAGCATGGCATTCTTCATCTTCAAAACCTTCTGAAAATCTGTGAGGGTGGAGGGAGCAGTACATTTCGGAGGAGGAGCAATTGAAGGAAACGAAAGGCTCCCTGCCTGCTCTGTAGGCGCAGGCGAGGTGACTTGGGAGTCCACGGTAGATGATACCGGCCTTTGCGACTGAGATGACTGCGAAGATCTCGTCGAATGGGAGGAGACGTTTCTTAAAGACGAGGAGGAGGATGCAGGGTCAGACGGAGGGCTTGCTGAACTCGTGAAAGTCAACGTAAAGAACCGTTGGTCCTCGAGATCCCATAGGCTGATGATCATCCGGCATGTTGCTTGGATACGTGATGCCGGCTTGTTCTGCCTGCTTCGCCGCAGGCGTGGAGGCAATTGATCGTGGTAGTTAGAGATTACCACGTCGACCACGGTATCGTGGGACTTCTGAGTCCGGTTCCTGAAAGGCCGCCTGCCCCTCTCTGCGTCTCCCATGGCGGTAGGGGTTGTCTCTCCGCTTCGAATACTCGGTAACGGCTGTCCAGCAGCCACCCGGCCGTGACTGTCTGCTAGGTTGTCGAGGAATCTTTCCCAACTGACCCAGATAGGGACGCCTTCCGAAACCATGTCTATCCCCAACTGAGACAGCGTCTGGCCTTTGAGTATGTCCGTGGCGCCGGCACCAACATCCTCCTCATCGACGCCTAATAACCTGCTCACTGCCGCATTGGCCAGGAGGACGGTCTTCGAAGAGGAGAGTACGAGTATCGGTGTCGGAAGGGTCACCAAAGCGGCCAGGGCGATATCGGCCGCCTCGGGGAGGAAAGAGGCGGGAGCGTGGTAGCCATCGGTGGGCGGCGGTTTGACATGCTGTTGACCTCCGTGACTGACGGGAAGCGACGAGGTTCTCGGCTGCGCTGGACGAACCGGACGCACAATCCCGTTTGCATTCAGTGGTCTATGAGCAGCTTCCGCATCGCCGACAACCATTTCCTGAGGACCCACCGCTGCGTTAGCTACAAGGCGGTAAGAGGCACTGGTGCGCTGTGGTGGTCATTCACAAATGGATGTCTTTGTCGGTTAGTAACAAATGCACGCGACGGCTGTGGTGGGCGTGTGGTGCGCGAGCGGCGGGTGGTGACGTCGCCGACGGTCCAGACCCTTGAGATCGACGAAACGCTCGTGTTGTGGTCCGCCAGATCACTCGGATTCCTGGCTTGATTGGGCTAGGTTCGAAGAGGAACAGAACGAGTAGAAATAGAGATAGGCGTAAACAAAGAACAGGCGGAGGGATGGGAACGGATGGTGCTCTCAGCGATGAGAGACAGATTCAAGGCCCAGTTAGCTGGACGACGGTGGAAGAATTGCACGACGGCAAGCACAGTGGAATTCGAAAATGAATTTGAGCTTTGAACAGACTGTCATCGATGCCCCCTTTCAGTGTGGCTAACGGCCTCAAAACGAACTTACCTTTCATCTAATTAGAATGCAGTCACTCTCGTTTGCTTGGTGACAGCGCAATGGCAATGGCGGGATTTGTCGCGGCAGGGAGGCGTCACATGCGTCCCATACCAGAGCATCTGATGACCAAGAGCTCAGTGTCCGATTGTACCTGCAGAAGCGGTGTATATGCCAGGTCCCAGTCACCGTCACGCCACGCAGCCAATCACTTGAGTCTGCCCGTCACCCTGAGACATCTACAGCAGTCTACACACCTGTACTCCGTAAGCTGTTGGAATGAGGGCACATAAGGTCTCACAGGACTCATTATGTACACACCTCACTCAAAATCAACCTCCTCGGAGACGCTGCAAGGGTCTTTTCGCTCCATGCTGCCAATGAGTTAGCACCCCCGAGTCATTTGGCTCCAAGGTTCGTGACCTCGGCCTTAAGCCATGTCACCGCAGGTCTTGGTCCTGGGCATCTCGAGGCGCACGGCAAGTCGGCAGTCGATACCTGGGCATCCCATCCGGTCGCCCGCATTGCTGACCCCAAGCAGCAAGACTGACTGTTCTCAAGCAGAGGGACTGACCATCCCCAGGCCGTGGCTATGTGTTACTATCAGGTCGCCTGAACGGGCAGATCGACTTTCTTTGGAGCTCTGTTCGCAACACTCACTGTAACGGTGTTGGTGTCGGTGGCCTGAACCCATCGCATCCCCAGCACGGAGTATAGAAATACATAATATCCTCCGGCCGAGGTGCGGTCCAAACCCTCTATCGTCTTCAACACCACACCCTGTACATCATCAGACGCTTCACTGGAGGACTGTGGACGGTCGCAAAGATGGTTCGATCAATTGAACAACCGCCCCCTGAAACGCTGCCCCTCGACTTGTCCAAGTATCCCAAATTATCTGCCGCCCAGGTTGGCCACCTCCGGCACTTCCACAACCTCGCATATCAACCCGATGGAGAGTGGAGCAAGATGGGCGCCCAAGAGCCTCTCCAGGAGTTCCTCGACGCCTACCGGTATCAGCTGGCCACGATGGCCTATGCCACGGGGGTCGCTCACTACCACCGCTTACCCACCGCGCGCTCCATATTCAAGCCCCTGCTACGGCAGCTGATCCACAAGATGCTCCGACGAGAGGTCTGGGCGTACTGGTTCACGACTTCTCTCGGCGGCGTCCGCACCGATCCCAGTCTGCAGAAGCTGCGAGAGCCGTGGGCCGACCCCGTCGTGAGGGAGAACATCATGTACAGTGGCCATCTGTTGTTGATGACGAGTCTGTACGCCATGCTCTTTGACGACGACGAGTTCGAGAAGCCCGAGTCCATCGTGTTCAAGTGGGAACCCCTCTTCTTCGGCCTGGGCGACGAGACCTTTTCCTACGACAACCGCAGCCTCCAGGCCGCCATCACGAGGGAGATGGCGAGAAATGGCTACGTGGGCGTCTGCTGCGAGCCGAATGTAGTGTTTGTCGTGTGCAATCAATTCCCAGTACGTCTCCCCGGCACGATCCTGGCCGCACCATGAAAGCTGACATCAAGCTAGATCATCGCCATGAGATACAACGACTCTCGAGACGGCACGAACAAAGTCGACGACCTGCTCACCAAGTACAAAGCCGCGTGGGACAAGAAAGGCATGGTATCTCCCGACGGCCTCTTCGTCGACATGTGGATGGTCAAGCAGGATTTCATCGTCCCTCCACAAGACGTGGGCTGGACAGCATGGTGAGCTCGTCTACGGCTTAGCATCATTCATCCTTATTGACACACATTGGGTCCAGGGCCAGCACCTTCATGAACGCCTGGAACCACGACCTCGTGACGAGTCTCTACCCGAAACAAATCACCGGGTTCGTCACGACCGTCGACGGCCGCGTGCGTCTCCAGCCGCCCGTCGTAGCCAACCACTATCGCCGCTTGGCTGCAGAATCGCCATCGCTCCCCGACGCGGAGAAGCTGTCTCGGGCCATTGCGCTCGCGAAGGCCGACATCGCAGCGAGCCCCGCGCCTCCCTTTCCCTACACGAAGCCCTCGTTCGGCTACGTCGCGCAATGGCTCTCGGAATTGGGCCACACAGACCTGCTCGACGGCCTGCTGGCGTACGCCGACGCCGAATTGAACCCAACATGGGACAACGGCGGGCTGTACTACCCGCGCAACGACACGCCCTTTGTCTTTACCAGTGACCACGGCGTCAAGTGGACCCACGTGTCCCCCTTCTGCGGCAACGCCGCCATCGCGTACAGTCGGCTGAACGTCAAGGATGGCCAACGCACAATGTACGCCCACCCGTGGACGCGCGAACATCTGGCGAGCACACCCTACGTGGATGGTCTGGATTTTGCGGCCCTGAGCGTCCTCCGCGCGGTATGGGACGCGGAGCAACAAGCCCTCATCCTCACGGTCAAGGGGTGGGATTTTGAAGGCCGCTTGTGCCCGCAGAACGTGACCTTTGAGGCTGTGGCGAAGCAGCTGCCCACAGGAAGTTGGGCGGTGTATGTCAACGGCAGGCTCACGGACACCGCCGACGTCAATGGCGGGGACAATTTCCCTGTCAAGTCGCAGGTCAAGAAAGGCGAGGAAGTCGATGTCGTCTTCATGAGGGTTGGAGATGTGGTTAATGGTCAGGCCAATGGACATGCAAATTGACGTATCTAGATACATACGTGTACAATGGTGGGAGGTAGACTGGGTTCAACCTGGGTCGAGTCAGAACCATACTCGTAGTCGGAGGTACAGTTGAACGTCATTCGACACTCAGTAACGGTCCCATTCCGGGACATTCTCTCTACTCCGTCTATTCCGCATGTCTACAACAATACGCATAATGCGCTCCAAGCTCCTTATGTATTCTGGAAATTCTACTACCCGTCACAGTTTCGCAGCCCTCCCCTCGGCCTCCTTCTTCTTGCACGGCAACTCCCGCCTCAAAATCTTCCCACTCGGCGTCTTGGGCAGCGGAGTCAGCTCAAACACGCCGCCCCGCAGCTTCTTGTAGCCCGCGACCTGTTGGTCCGCCCACGCCCGGATGTCATCCAGAAGTCGCTGTTTCTGAGATGCGGGCGTCGTAGGCGGGAGCGTCACGTATGCGATCGGGAGCTCGGTGGCTTGTTCGTCCGAGTAGATTGACGTGACGGCCGCGTCGACCACGGAGGGGTGCTTGAGGAGGAGGTCCTCGAGTTCCGAGGGCGGGACCTGGAAGCTACGTGGCACCAGTCAGTAAGTCGCGTCGTTGGTCAAAAAGAAAGATAATAGGTACCCTTTGTATTTGATCAACTGGTGGGTCGAATGCGTTAGCTGGGTTTCTTCAGAGTGGCAGGGTGTGGACATACCTCTTTCAACCGGTCGGTGACCCAGAAGTTGCCGTTCCTATCCACACGCATGATGTCGCCGGTCCGGAGCCAGTCACCGACATATGTTTGTCGGGTGGCCTCTTCGTTCTTGAAGTATCCCCTACGCGGCTATGAGGAACCCGGTACTGTTGAACTGGAACATGGCACTCACATCATGGTCTGCGGGCCTTTCACCCAAAGTTCGCCTTCCTCACCTGGTGCGACGTCTTTGAGCGTCACCGGGTCGACGAGGCGGAGTTCACTAAATACACGAATGAATCAGCAATGGCAGCAGCACTGGGATAGAGAGGCGTAGACCTACGTCCCGGCCACCGGCTTGCCAGCGGTTCCGATGTTGTTCTCATCGTCCATGGGGCTCTGCAGGAGTACCGTCGGGCTGCATTCCGACATGCCGTATCCTGCCACTGTTAGCTGGATACTCTAGTACGGAGCCTATTGCCCAACCTTGTACGATCTTCGTGTCTGATCCAAAACGTGCCTTCAGCTTCATCTGCAGATCTCTCTTTGTTGGGGCCGCGGAAATGAGAATGAGCTTCAACGATGATAGGTCGTACTGGGCGGCTACATTCGAGCTGGCAAGTGCAATTGCGACCGGAGGTACTATGTGGGCCCATGTTGCTTTGTGTTCGGCCATTTTGCGGCAGTAGAGGTCCAAGTCGAATGCGGGTATGGCACAAGTAAATGACCCAAACCACATGCCGCAGAACACCACGACCCCGAGTCCATAGACATGACAGTCTGTGGTAAGTCTTGTTAGCACTGGCGGGATAACGCTATACCAAGCAAGTCCGGCTTACAAGGAGGAAAGAAAACTTCTCGAGAGGCGTGATTTGCTAGAAAGGGCATCGATATGCGCGTTTGTATCATATTTGATACGATGTTGTAATGCGACAACTGGACGCCCTTGATCATTCCGGTCGTCCCAGATGAGAACACAATCATAGCGGTGAGGCTTTTCGTGCTCCGCCCCGCCAGTTCAAAAATCGGGAGCCTGTCTTCGGCCGTTTGGCCCACGAGGTCGTCAGGGAACTGAGTTCGTTAGTTTCAACATTCGGTCGCGATTGGAATCGAGCCTACTAGAGCAAGACCTGCAGATCTTTCAAGCACGGTGAAAACTGTTGGGCGCGTTGTTGCCTCCCAGTCCACCTGCTGTAGTGCTGTGTTGAGAGCCTCCAGCTTGCTGGGATAAATCGCAACATGGCTCGGACGAACGAGTGAGAGCGCGTGAGCAATGTCTTTGGCTAGCGATGCCGGATTGAGAGGTCTGTTTGCGCCACAGAGGCTCATCAGAACTCTTCCCTCCTTGCGACGTTGCGGGCATACCTACGAAAAGACAGCTCCCAGCCAGAGTGTCGCATGAGCAAGAATGACAAAGTCGGTCTGCCAGCACGTATGTCCATGAGCACCGGCCTCCACTGGCCTTAGCAAGCTTACCGAGTTCGGGACGAGGACGAGTAGCCTATCCTGTTCTTTCATGCCCAGTTTATGCTTCAATCCCCACGCACATCTCGCAGATTGTTCACGAAGGCCGCCATATGTGAGGCTCTTGTTCGCAATGGTATCAACATGGACAACTTTGTCTGTCGGCACGCTATCCGGGTTGTACTTGGTCATCAAGATCGGTATCGTAATGCTCTCGTCGGGCCCAAGTGGGCAAAAGGGACTTGTCATGCTTCGAGGATCCATGCTTCACAGTGAACCAAGGACAATGGAGTTTCGGGACACTGGTCGACAATGACATGAACTGAGCATTTTGAAGACGTCCCAGGCGTCCCAGAGGCTGACTCGCGCCAAATAGCCATGCTGCGACAAAAGCCGACATTCGATGCTAGGTCTTTGTCGGCCACCGAGATTGGCCGAGGTTACGAAGACGAGGTTGCTGGCTCAAATGTGCATCTCGCCGCAAGAGGGAGACAGTCGTCTGCTTCGTGGCAGCGCGTAGAAGAGGGCTCCCCCAGCTCTCCGCACTTAAGAAATGGGGAAGACCTCGGTAAGCTGAGCTCGCGAGTCAGGGAGCTCTTGAGGAAAGGAGACATGTTGACTATCATGGGAAGACTGCTCTGATAAATCTCTACTGTCCCCCAGCATCGAAGACGCATCTGGTGGGATCTGGCTAAGGCAAAGACGGCTAAGGAAAAGCTCCAAACTTCCGACCCAACAGCCGTCGCTATGCCCAAAGCTGTGTTGGCAGTCTTTCGTCGTGATGTCCAAGCACAATACATGTTCAAAGGTAAGCAGCGCAGTTAGAAGCACCGAATGTCAGTCGTCAGAATCGCAGGACCAGCTGTTCGCTCGCTGCTGATCTTGTTAGCAGTTGATTGGCGATCACCATAGTCATGGTTCAACAGCAATCAGCATCTTCAGCAGTCAAAGAAGGACCCTGGGCGGCAAAGCAACAAGCTACCTCGGTGGCAGGCTAAGCATGGGGCCAAAATGATCTAACCGATCCCTTTCCGCCCGGATACATGGTATTGATACGGAGTACTACCTCGTAAGTACAAGGTGAATCGAGGGTGAAGTGAAAGAGTGTTAGAGGAGTCAAGGCGGGGTTGAAGCCCAGCCGTTGGGCCTTCCCACACAGCAAGTCACATCGCCCTCCATCACTCCCTAAACTCATCCCGCCCAGATGCTTGTTCGTCTCTATATTTATCTTCGAGTCCGCGGGGTGCCTCGCTACTCCTACGAGCTATGCACATGGATCATCCCCGCATCCCTTCTGATCGTCATCACCTGCTGCTGAATTCCCCGTATTCGGATGTGCTATTTCCAGTGTCATGTTAACAGCATCTCTCTACCGAATGCGGGCACACTGACTTCCAACAGCCTTGACTCTCATCAGTTGCACGGCTAAAGAGGTCTTGAAAACGCGAATCTAACAAGATCCCGTTCTCTGCAGTTGTCTCATCACCTGGTACCTCATCGGAAGCCTCAAATAGAAAGTATTCAGCCAAACTCCATCGCCTTCTGGCCACATACCTTGATCGATCATGTGCTTTTCGAGCAATACAATCGACGACCCAACGCAGCCACCAATGCGCGTCACGGGACTCTTCGGTCAGAGAGTCTCTGATCCCACACAGCAGCCGATCCATATAACAAAATCTGAGGACACTCATTCGAGCCAAGTCCAAGCTTCAGATACCCAGAAGCGGAAGGGGAGCCGGAAAAACAGTGCGGCATTCGTTGACGTGACAGATGAAGAGCCTAAGCCTATAACAAGAAAGAAGTCGGATGCGGACGCAGAAACAGCACATTCTGACCCAAAGAGAAATGCGCAGAAGAACTGGCGCGGTCGAAGCTCCAACCCAGCGACGTTTGGCTTCGGGCTTGGTGCCGACTTCGGAGCCACGCCAGCATGATGCTTCGAAGTGCTTGGGACGCCTACCCCGTGCCAGGATCGGTATCCTGTAGTCAATGGGAGAAAGTCGAAACGCTCTTCGGCTCAGAGTTCGCCCTGACAAGGTGTTTGAGATTAGCGGCTCTTGATACTGTGAGATGCACGCATCTTCTGCTGTGACTGCTCCCCCAGAAAGTTCCACAGTAGATTATCAATCAGAGAATCATTACTCCGTATGCTACTGTAGCTGCCAACCGGGTGCAAAGAAATAGCGGTCCTCGTCGGGCAGAGCCACAGGACGCACTGCATATCGGCGTCACGGGCAGGTCGGGGGAACCATCTTTCCGCTCGCCGTAACGCACTCGCTTCTAACGCACTCGGTTGTTGCGCACTCGCTTCTAACGCACTCTGCTTGTCCTCCGTACTCCGTAACGCACGTTAGGTACCCACGGGTGTCTCTCTCGCTTCCAAACCCACTTTTCAACCTCCCGGCAACAATGTACACAGTATCTCCGCCTGTTTAATGGCTTTGCAACGTCCTCCTGATGAACGAGATTACGAGCACGCTATGGTTCGCGATGCGTAGCCTTGTGCTCTTGCGCTACTGCGCGCTTTTGGACAGGGAGAATTGCAACTCAATAGACTTGGCTCGAAAACAGAGAGCGTTGATTCTATCGTAAATGTCAACCTCGACGTGGTTGACAGACTCCAGCCCGGCATCTCCCCGTTGTCTCGTATATTTCTTGCATTGAGTGCGAGATATAAGGACGACCGGGGGCGACTCATGCGAAGACATTCGCCCGTGCAACATGCAAGTTGGACTCGAGTCATTTTCGTTCCAAGAGCGGGCCACGACAGCCCACGTTCTCGAAATCTCTCACCACCAGTCGTCTATAGATCAAGAAAAGTACTCACTTCCGAGTGTCCCCGTGGTGCCATGCAGCAGTTGCCATAGGTTCTGGCTTTGACACAAGTACGAGTAGGCGATGTCGCGCGAAGACATGACGCCGCGTTCGCTGGCACGGTAAAGCACGGGGGAAAAGAAACGGCGTGATGTTCGTCCGACGGCCAATCGACCGCCCACATTGCCAACCTTCCAACCAATCAAGTTTGCTGTCTGGGCTCCCCTTCATTTCAGCCTCGTCGACGGGGTGCAGTGGTTCGAGAAGGGCTTCGCTGCACCGGGTAGACTCTTGCTTTTTGGGCCGATATTCAAGGCATCATGATTCACGGTGCCGTTCTGTCGCGATGTGAACGCTTTTGTAAGTATTCAAAGGTATATCATGAAACACTTTTGCTCGGCCTACTGTGTTCCTACTGCGTCCCGTTCAACAAAGAGAGCACACCTGCAAAGTCGACTTGGTGTGTTCTTTGTCGTTTACCACATCGCCGCTGTACTCGAGCCCCCGTCCACTACGAGTATTGAATAGAGTATCGTTCCATCTGTTCGGGAGACCGTACTCAAACTTGAACCCCCCACCCAGGGCGCCTTCGATGTCCGCTCCTACGACGGACGTTACGCCACTCGCGGCTGCCGTAACAAAAGAAGGACAATCCGGCATGGAGGCACAGCCATCGCAGTCGACCTCCTCATCCTCATCCATCACATCCCAAGATGCCAGAGTCGAGGAGAAAGATGACCCGTCTAAACCAGCCACGGAATTCACAATTTCAACACGCTTCATCATGGCCTTTGCCGCCCTCGCGGTCTTGACCCTCATGGTCGCATTAGACGGCACCTCAATCAGCGTGGCCCTGCCCATCATCGCGAGGAAGCTCCACGGCACAGCCATTGAGGCCTTCTGGGCCGGCACATCCTTCCTGCTGGCATCCACGGTCTTTCAACCCAACTTTGCGAGCTTCAGCCATATCTTCGGGCGCATGCCGGTAATCATGGTGAGCATTGCCTTGTTCTTCGCGGGCGTCATGATGGCAGCCCTGGCGAACGACTTTGGCGTCTTGTTGGCGGGGAGGAGTATCCAGGGGATCGGCGGTGGTGGTGAGTTGCCCAGTGTCCTCCAGACACACTGGCTTGGATCGCTGACACCAGGCAGGCATCATAGCCATGACCGAGATAGTGGTCACGGACCTTGTGCCTCTCAGATACCGAGGCCAATGGGCCGGCATCATCGGGGCGATGTGGTCTGTCGGCAGCGTCTCCGGCCCCGTCATCGGCGGCGCCTTTGCCGCAGTGCAATGGCGCTGGATCTTCTGGCTCAACTTGCCCTTCATCGGCATCGGCGCCGTCATGGTGCCCCTGTTCCTCCGCCTCAACGTCATCCCGCAGAGCATCGCCGCCAAGCTCCGGCGGGTCGATTGGATCGGCACCGTCATCTTCGTCGGGAGCATGACCAGCTTCCTGATCCCCTTGACCTGGGGCGGCGTCATGTACAGCTGGTCGTCGTGGCGGACGCTCGTCCCTTTGCTGGTAGGTGCTGTCGGGCTGATTGCATTCTGCTTCTACGAGGCCTACGTCGCGCCCGAGCCGTTACTTCGCCTCGCCGTGTTTGGCAACCGGACCGTCAACCTCGGGTACGCTACAACCACGATCCACGGCATGATCCTCTGGTGCCTGCTCTACTACCAGCCCTTGTACTTCGAGGCGGTCAAGGGGTACAAGCCGGTCGTGTCGGGCGTGGCGCTCTTCCCTGCGACATTCACCGTGGCGCCCATGGCCGTGGTCACGGGCATCACGATCACGAAATTCGCCTCGTACCGCTGGGCGATCTGGTCCGGGTGGGCCATCTCGACCCTCGGCCTGGGCCTTTTGGTGCTGCTGAAAGTCGACACGGCGATCCCCCAGTGGATCTTCATCGACCTGGTGTCGGGTATCGGGCTGGGCATCTTATTTCCCGGCCTGCAGTTCCAAGTCCAGGCCGCGAGCCAGAACAAGGACATGGCCTTTGCGGTCGCCATGTTTGTCTTCTTCCGCTCGTTCGGCCAGGCGTTGGGAGTGGCCATTGGGGGCGTCATCTTCCAGAACGAAATGGTCGCCAATCTCAAGGCCTACCCTGCCTACGCGGCGCAAGCCAGCGAGCTTGCCAAGGACGCGGCCGCCCTGGTCGAGATCATCAAGAACAACGAGTCCGGGCTCGGCAAGTTGCAGCTGAGGACAGCGTACACGGATAGCTTGCGGACTGTGTACATCGTCATGGCGGCGCTGGGCGGCGTTTGCCTCGCGGCCAGTCTGGTCATCAAGGGGTATGATTTGAATGTCGGCCTGGAGACGGAGCAGGGACTCATTGTAGAGGGGAAGAAACGGAAGGACAAGGAGGCAGGAGTAAAGGCAAATGTGTAGGTCGGTACAGTAGGCTACCTTGGGCTTTTTCTGTTCAGGGGACGGGCTTGCATAGCCAGGGGGTCGACTCTTCCCTCATCGCTAGCTTGATGTGTAGACGAGTTCTGTATAGACACGAACGGATGAAATGTATAGCTAGATCTTAGGTAGATGTACGACCAGTATAGATATGTACTTTTGGTAATTCAAAACCTCCTTCGGGTCGTCAAATATGCTGGATTCGGAAAATCAGTCTCACCTACCACTTACCATCCACAACGCAACAAAGAGATAGTTTCCGCGTGCTTGCCGTTCAAGGCCTTGTCCGGCGATAGGAGCAATGGATTACTTGTGGCGCAGCTGTCTCGCTGAGATATGGTTGAGTCAGCCGTCAAGTCGTAGCGAGTACCGATGTTGTAAGGTCAGAATCATGATATGTCGGAAATCGACCTTACCGTGGAGCCGGGATAATGTGGCTCTCTACGCCTTGCTCATCATTTTGAAGGCAGGGTTTTCGCCTCGGAGACCTTGCTCGTTGTGATCAGGCATGTTGACTCGGATTGTATCCCGTGTCTTGAAACAATATTCGGGATCTCCCGCCGCCGAATCCTTTGCTAAGCCGGTACACTCTGATAGGTGATCAGCTTGATAGACACGGGGAGCCTAGACTTTCCCTCATGCAGCAGTGGAGCAATGAAGTGTGGACCACAAGAACTTTCCTGCATATCCGACACGGTGACCGGAAAGCCCTTTTGGAGGTAACTTGATTTGGTAGATGCCACCCCAGGATGGAGGCCGAATTCCATAAGCGACATATGCAGCAACAGAGGAGTCTTCTCCTAAGCAGTGATCTCAGTGTCGGCCGACCATATAATATGCCATATATTTCTCCAAGCTAAGGCTACCCAAAGGCTGCTTAAAGATACCTTGGGGATACGTTAGAGATCGTCAGGGACATGCCGACTCCTCTCAATGTGCCTCGTCCTCGTGAGAGGTAGTCGTAGGGCTTGGACTGTCGGCTGAGCTCCCATTGATAGGGAGGTTGAGCTGTGCATTATCTTGGCCCCGGTATGTGACTGACCTATCCAGGGTACGGAATTGCAGCACCGTGCATCCGAAGGCAGCGGGTGTAAGCAAGTGTCTTCGGACGATTTGAAGCCGCTCGTGGGAATTCGTGCACGTGCCGCAAAAACACTCGAAGAGAGAAACATTCCAGTCGACTGAGTTCGTAATCGGTTGGAAAAGATCCCCACGGTTGACATCTCCGGCACTCGTCGTAAAGATTTCTACAACTCTTCTAGCGCTGTAATGGCGAGTAGGTTGTCTCGGCGTCTGGAAGACGGTCAGGGACAGCTACCTCAAAAGGTCTGGCATTGCGTTCGTTCGAAGACCGCAACGAGCACACGGAGTTGGCTGCATGAATGGACGCAAGCGACGTGTTACTCGTGCAGTAGGGCAGCCTTGGAGGAATGCGGTGATTGGCGCCCTCTTTGGACCTTGCCTACGGACCAGGCGGGGTCAACTGAGTGCCTGTTCACCTCATTCGTGAAGTCAGCGCTGCTTGCCGGACGGGTTGCAGTTTAGTCCGGACTGAAATGGCGATTGAGAAGAGCAAGCCGGAAATGAATGGGTGTAGCGGCAGAGGAGTGACTCGACGTTGACGTCGTTGCTTTTTCAATAAACCGGCCACGAGGCTGCTGGCGAGGCTCGGTAGCTGAAGAACACGAGTTCTCATCGTGCAACCCAGGGCTGCATTATTCGGGGCGGTCAGGAATGTTCCAAGGGAATCGTTGCCGGCAGCTCGTCGACTCGACAGGTGATTGGGCTGCATACCGACAGCTTGTTTCATCCGCACATGAGTAGCGTGTGCATGGGAAATCCTGGGTTGCACAGTGGTATCGGCGCTTCGACATACTGCAGCATACACCTGCTGACGGAGTGCGTTGGAAAAGGGAAACGTAAAGAATGCCAAAGGATGGCTGCAGTGGCTATGATCCCATCTAACTGTCGGAATCCTCAAGCAGAATCTCGAGACGTAATGTCATGCGCGACGACGCAATCGAGCCCCTCTCTACGACTTACCCGGCCGCGCTGTTTCTGAGAATCCATGTTGGATGTTGACTTCCCGCAGGCGGATCAGCAGCTGGTCAACAGGGAGAGGGAAGAAAGGGAATACGAGTTGTCAGCAGCAGAAGAAACGATCCAACCATACAAGAAATCCTGCGACAGAGACCGCCTTAAGGACGGGGTTATGGCTTCGGAATGTCGCAGGAATCTGTCGCAGCGCAAACTGGCCCGGAGGCCAAGTGCCTCGAGGTGAAAGGACGAGATGTTGGGTGACGGCGATGCTTGACTCATCTTTGTTTAGGAGTTGCTCAATGTGCCGACGAGAGGGGCCCGCCTGTCATTGGCCCCGGCGTGCATGCCGACGCGCTCCAGTAAAAGCAATCGTGCCTAGGAGCCTAAGGGAGGGAACTTTGCGTCGCTACAGAGGCCGCCCCACCCATAAACTTCCCTACACGCTCACTGGCAAGTGCAGCCGTGTCCGCCGTGAAGTGAAGTGAATCTCGTCTCTCGCAGCAGCGGCGCTCTCTCATCGCAGGAAGAGTAACGCCCTGGGCCTGTCGACCTCGAACTCTCAGACCACCAGTTTGCACCCAATACTGTACCGTTCTGTAGTTGACACTGTTTCCCCTGTGCAACTCTGTTTTGCTAGAGCCTTTCTGTCTCCGGCTGCGCAGCATACCCGCCAATCCGTGTACTGCAGCTTTCTAGTCGAGACACCGCAGACTTCACTTGTCACTCACTTCTCGACCACCCTCCAACACCGCTGTTGACGACGGAGCACTTGCAACTGCCATTTCCTGGCCTTTGCCCTGTCCTTACCCACCCCTGATGTAGTCGACTTCGCCTTTGTTCCCAGCAAGACAGACCACGCCGCTCTCATCCCTCCCTCCGGTCCTCCTCGCCACTACTCTCTTGCTCGCCCCGGACCACGCTTGTATACACCGAGATCCCTCATCGTCTTGACTGCCTCGAAGACGCCTGCAAAAGTTATTGTCGAGGCCAGAGATGTCAAGATAACGGGCTGATTTTTGGCTCCCATGGTGGGTCAAAAGTCATAGAGAACCCTGCCCTCCCCTGGTCCTCGGCTCCACGACGCATTTGTCATTCGAAGAGTCCTCCTCCTGCAATTGGAGTAATGGCAGAGGATGGTTCTGCACAACAGTATCTCGAGCCTCCGGCCATTACGGCCATCAAGAATGATGCCGGCTACGGAGGAGAGGCCACGCGGCACGCCATGGAGAGGTCTTTCAGTCAGGATATCCAGGAGGGAACCCAAGAACTAAAGGAGGCGGCTGAACAAACACGGAATATCATCCTCGACCTCAGTCTCGATGGCCAGATACGATGGGTTAGTCCCTCGTGGATCGACGTCGTCGGCACCGATCTGGCCCACGTTCAAGGACACAAGATCTCCGAGTTTATTAGCGATAACCCTGAGGTTTTCAGTGCGGCCATCGAGGCTTTGAAGGCCAACGACTCCAAGAGTCAGAATGTCAAGTTTGAGGTCAAGGTTGGGCCTCATTCCGACATGGCGACCATGTTACAGACCGACGATGGACAAGAACCGAGAGAAGACAACATTGAGACCGACAATACAGGCAAAGCAACTCTGGAGCTGGAAGGGCAGGGTATCATGGTGTACGACAGGTCCTCTGGAGGAGAGTCACATACCATGTGGATGTTGCAGCCAGCCCAAGAACCCATTCGAATCGAGATCGCCCTCCCCCGAGCTTTGGTCGAAACTTTGGGTGTGGGTGCAGAGATCCTGGCAAAGTACCTTACAGAGCTGGCAGAAGCCGGAGCTAATGACCCCGAGAACCATCCGCCACCGTTGCCTGTTCTATGTCGGGTATGTGAGCGATCTATTGTCCCCTGGTGGTTTGAAAAGCACTCGGATCTGTGCGTCCAAGAACACAAGGCAGAAATGGACGTGCAGATGGTGCAAGAAAATCTCTCTGAGCACAGGCACGCCATCGTCAAGGTACTGGACGCCTTCGAATCCCGTCAAGGTCGAACCTCAACTGCTGAAAACACACCTTCTGCTCCGCTGCCCGAGTACAAGGGGATGCCAATTGGCCCGTCTCCGACGCCATCCACCGCCGTCTCTTCCGCTTCAGGGTCCCATAACCCCAGCCCAGTCAGGTCGCAGAGCCCCTCAACAGCCGGCATGGGCCATGTTAGGGCTCGTTCCTTTGTGGTGCGACGGCCTTTGGTTCGAATCGTTGAGCTGATTCTCGACCTCTGTGACACGGCCATGGAGATCAATGTTCCTTCCATCAAGGACAGCAAAAGTGAGGGCGAGGATGATTTCAAATCACAGTCTCCGCAATCCGAATCGAGAATCTCCCAGATCACCCAGTGGCAGCCACCAAGCAGCTTAGACAACGAGCCCGGCTTGGCGGCGCTGAGCGCCGATACTGAAAAGCTCGCTCGTGCCAAAGTCGAGGCAGTACATCGGTATCAGGACGTCATCGAATATTCGGAACGTATTCGCCAAGAATACATGGCCGAAATCGATGCGTGCATCAACGAGGCTCTCATCAAAGCAGAGCGCGTTGCGGCTGGAGAGGAGTTATCTTCATGCGAAAGTGAATCTGAGGAGGAGGGCATTCTACAAGGTATCTTGGAAAGCCCCGGAGAAGACCTTGAGCCCACGACCATGCCACAGCCGACACTCGACCAATCTGAACCCGAAGCTTCGCGGAGTACGTCCTACGTCGGACTCAAATCCATGGCTTCCGCGCTCAGGAATCCGCGGGACATGCCTCATATCAGCATGGCAGGGGAACCCAGACGGTCCTCATCCCAGGCAGTCTCTACTGGTTCTAGCAGTCCAATCGAGTGCCCTACTCCAAAGTCGCACCGGAGTAATCTGATTTCTCAGCCGCAACCAGTGTCGAACCGACGTTCTATGTACGTCGAGGATGCTAATGATAGCGACAGTAGCTTGCCGTCCACCTCTGTCTTATCCCATTGGCGATCCGACTCCCCTGCCTCGGTATCTGATCAGGGGCGCCACGCCCATTCCCATTCAAGAGACAGGAAGAGACGCAGCATGCACCTTCATGGCCTCAACGCGGCCTCACCCAATCGTCAACATTCGCCTGGGAGGTACCCACCTCCGCCTCCTTCACCTCTTCGAATGACCAAATCTCGGATTTCCAGCGGCGAAATGGCCCACTCTCCTGTGGTGTCGCCATTGTTGACAGCAGGTGAATATGTGCAATCAGCCAATGCTCCCGTTCTGCATAGAAGGCAGTCGTCGATGCATTCATCTGATCTCAAGACACCCTCGTCGCCGAAACTCAATTCCATCAGTCATCCGCAGCAACCTCGAGCTCAGCCGCCCTCGATCAAAGACTTTGAGGTGATCAAGCCGATCAGCAGAGGAGCTTTCGGCAGCGTCTATCTTGCCAAGAAGAAGAGTACCGGTGAATACTTCGCAATCAAAGTGCTACGCAAGTCCGACATGGTTGCCAAAAACCAGGTTACCAACGTGAAAGCGGAACGCGCAATCATGATGTGGCAAGGCGAGAGTGACTTCGTTGCAAAGTTATACTGGACTTTTTCGAGCAAGGACTACCTCTACCTGGTCATGGAGTACCTGAATGGAGGAGATTGTGCGTCGCTGGTTAAGATTCTGGGTGGACTAAGCGAAGACTGGGCGAAGAAGTACATCGCGGAAGTCGTGCTTGGAGTAGAGCATTTGCACTCCCGAGGGATTGTTCACCGTGACTTGAAGCCGGACAATCTGCTAATCGATTCCAAAGGTCACTTGAAGCTCACTGACTTCGGTCTGTCTCGTATGGGTCTCGTCGGTCGCCAGAAACGTGCCCTAAAACAGCCCGAAGAAGCAGTTCCCGACCTTCTGAAGCACGGCCCTTTTACACAGCCAGGGTCCGGTTCCGGCCCTACATCTAGATCGACGTCTTTCGACTATCAAGGGCCTCACTCTCCGGCACCTACGCCACTTATGACGCCTGCCTTCACCGGTGGTTTGGACCAACCCTCCTACTTCAGTCTGAATCGTGAAGGCTCTCTCAGCCGAGAAACATCCCTGAGGAATTCAGGCTATCGCAGTGACAGTGGTAGCGGTTCGAGCTTCGATCTCCATCAGCTCTTCAAGAAACTTGGTGTGCAGGAAGACACTGAATCTCCACCCCAGCTTTTTCCGCGGAAAATCGAAGAAGAGGCTTACAGCCAAGGTAGTGCTTCACCCGACCTTTTCCCACTGTCACAATCCATGAGCAACATCTCCCAAATTCCCGCCGCTCCACCTTTGTCATCTCAGATCTTGGGACCGCCGCTCTTCGAGCCGGAAGAAAGCGATCGCCGCTTCGTGGGCACGCCAGATTACCTGGCTCCCGAAACAATTAATGGCGCCGTGCAAGACGAAATGTGTGATTGGTGGTCCCTGGGCTGCATCATGTTCGAGTTCCTTTACGGCTATCCGCCATTCAATGCAGAGACCCCGGAACAGGTCTTTGACAATATCGTCAACCGGAGAATTGCCTGGCCCGAGGACGACGAAGAGATTGAAGTCAGCCCAGAAGCCAAGGATCTCATCAACAAATTGATCCAGCTGGATCCGACGGAAAGGCTGGGCGCCAACAAGGACGAGAAATACCCAAGTGGCGGCTGTGAGATCCAGGCACACCCTTGGTTTGCGGACATCAACTGGGACACGCTCCTCGAAGATGAGGCTCAATTCATCCCGAATCCCGAGCACCCAGAAGATACAGAGTATTTCGACTCGCGCGGTGCCACCCTTTCATCCTTTCCTGAGGAGCTGGAGGACCAAATATCACCATCTGGAACCACGCCAAATGGTTCAGACATCTCCAGTCGTCCACATGATGCTCTTTTCCGTGTCCGGACGCAGGCCAGTTCTGCTAAGCGTGGCCTCATGCCACTCCATATTCCCCCTCATGTCATGCGTGATTCCCGCAGTAGGAGGTTGAGTGAGCCTGTCATTGCCGACGACTTTGGCAACTTCAATTTCAAGAATCTGCCAGTACTGGAGAAAGCCAACAAGGACATAGTAGAGAAAATGAGGAGGGAAGCGATGCAAGCACAAGCTAGAGGCTATGCTCAATCGCAGGCCGCACTGTCCGCCGCAAACAGCCCAGCGATCGGCTCGCCTGGACCGTCGCTAGAAGGCAGTCCGATGATGCCTATGCCTGTGAAGCGCGCGCTCTCTTTGAGCAAAGGTCATAGACCTGGCTCGCCCTCGAGCTTGGCGACCTCCACCTCATCACCCAGCCGGCCTTCGCAGCCATCGTCCCCGCTGTTGGTTCAATTCTCTACTGCGCAACATCATGACCGACGTAAGACGTCTGGGTCATCGCAAGGAAGCAGTTCTCTCGCCCCGAACAGCTTCTTTGATATCCCTCATGACGCTATCAAGCATGGGCAGCAGGGCACTTCTTCTCCCATCAAACCAGGCCGCCTGCAGTCAGTGTCACCGGCCAAAGCAATGCCTCCGCCACCACGATCTGCAACACTCAATGGGCGGAACAGGTCACAAACCGTTGGTTCGCAGGAGAGTGACGGACAGGGCATCCAGCGAGAGGCATTCGTTCCCGGTCATCACAAGCGCAAAAGCCAATTACTTGTGCGGGACGTCTCACCTTCATCGTCGGATAATGAGTCGGCCCAAGCTAAGGCGCTGCTGAAAGTGCAGCGCCGCCGGCAAAGCTCGAGAAGACTTTCCCAGATCAATTTTCTGGACGGGCCTACATACCGGCCTTTGGACGTGTTGATATGTGAGGACCATCCAGTGTCGAGACTGGTAATGGAACGGCTGTTTGAGAAACTGCGATGTCGCACCATCACCGCGACTAACGGACCAGATGCTTTACGCCTAGCTATCAGCCAGATTCAATTTGACATTATCTTCATGGAGTTCAAGTTGCCGCTTATTAGTGGCGTCGACGTTGCTCGCATGATCCGAGATACGAAGAGCGCCAATACTGCGACTCCGATCGTCTGCATCACCGGTTACCTGAAAGATCTGCCTGAAGTCCACCATTTTGATACGCTCATGCAGAAGCCTCCAACCACGCAGAAACTGACCGAAATGCTGGCTAAGTACTGTGCCTGGAAACCGGCTCCTAAGGATTTCAAATCCGCCATGCCTCTGACCATTCCCCATCCCAATACGCGCTTCGACCCGACGACGACCCAAGATAGCCCAATTTCTGTGGCGTCAAGCCTTGCGCCAACCATGCCTGATTCATCTTACCGAGGCTCAAGCCGAGGAGACTCCATTAGCAGTGGCGGGTTCTTCAGTGATTTGGATTCTTTGAAGAACGATGATATACCTGTCATCGTTTCTCGAGCCGCCACGGAAGAGTGGGCAAAGGCTGGCCTGGGCATTTCAGACGATATCGTCATCAACCAGCGGCCTTACGTCCAAAGCGGGTATCCCCACCTTGTCCACACAGAATCTGCACCTCTCTGCGCTTGCGTTGAGGATATTGGCGGATATGGCCTTCGGACTCCACGGCGTCAGAAGTCGTCCGAGGCTGTCCGTCAGCGACGCGAGCTGTTTGAGAGCAGGATAGACAGTCCTAGCGCCGCGGCGGAGGAGGGCGACGATGAAGACGAGGAACTTGGAGACGTTCAGGTTCGAGCTCGATCACCGATGGGGAAACCACCGAGACCATCGTCAAAGCTCGGCATTGAGATGATGCGCACCAACAGCCGTGGCAGTGTCATATCTATGAGTGAGGACCGGGCGACAGAATCTGAAAGCCTCAGGAAGTCGCTGGAAATCCTGGAAGAACGTATGGAGAACCTACGGATACCCGAGGAACCAAGTGCAGCAGCGTTGACCGAGATCCAACCACGGAAGAGGCTCGAGAGAACCGTCTCGCAGCACTCACATCCAGAACAAGGGAGTGTACGTTCTGCAAGTGGCCAGATTACACCTCCGGTCATCTTTCCTCAGGTGCCAGGAACAACTGTCGCGGATATCGAGATGCTGACGCCGGTGGCTACCAAGACGATCAATGCCGAAGAGGAGCAGACTCCAAAGCCTCAGGGAAGTCCATCAGGACCACAGACGACACAATCTCGGCGCCGAATGTGATTTTGGTCTTCGTATCTTTTTACGTGTATATGTGTTTATGAGCCAATTTATGGAATTTGCTTCAGATGAAACCGAGTTTTTCTTTTGTACACAATGAGCTGCATGGCGCTGGAGGGGAGAAGGGAAACCAATGCTAGGTTTATCGGGGCTTTGTGCTTTCGTGCTGGCGTCCTTTCGAGGACGGCCTGGTTCAATACTTTAAATAGTTTGACAATTGATGGTCGCTGACCACAGCGCCGGCCACTGACACGATACTGTGTGCCTGTCCAGCCGTCTGTCGGCCTACGCATGCTGCCCAGTGCAACAACAATGCCGACTGCGAGGTTAGTTAGGAGGGATTCTGCATGGGGCATGACGGTTAGAGATATACGGAGTAGGTTCTTGTAGGAGGTCGGCCTGAGTTTGGTAATGGTTTGAGTTCGACGTGCATGAGGAGCTGAGCAGTGGCTGGAAAGTTTCGTACCACAATGACTCGAGTAGCTGGGCTTGCGGTGACACTTCCAGCGCCACAGACCAACTGAACACAATGCTGTTTGCACTTGGGGTACTCCGTACTGTGTAGTCTGACCACATACTCGCATACTCCGTACTCTGCACTGTTGTCGCGACTCAAATTCTCCGCGGACGAGGGGACGAGGGCACGAACGATTACTTCTAGACCGACACTCGCACAATCTATTTCGCAGGTTGGTGGACCTCGTACGATTAGACGACATAAAAGCCTGGTGGTCAAGTGATCCCCCACGGACCCAGTTGACCTTCATTCTTGAGCAACTGCATCTGGAGAGGGGAGGCGAGAAACAAGCGGGCGGGCGGCCGTGGGTGGAAGCGGGCAAGCGTCATGAGCTGGAGGGAGGGGTCACCCTGTGATTCGTGAGGTGGGAGAGAGGTGGCTCAGAGTGGTGAAGACGGTGTTTCCCTTGAGGAGAAAGTCCGAGTCGAACTGCAGCTGCGGAGGAGCGATGGGTGATGCAGGGCTCGGGGGACAAGCACCTGAAGCACATAGTGGCAGATGCAGGTGCAGAAGCAGAACAAACAGCTATCACTGGACGTGAAGATCGGCGAAGAGCAGCTTGCAGCATGCGTATGGAGTAATTGTGTTGTAAACTGCTGGATTGTGCGGTCGTAACTGTGCTGTCGATCCGAGTGTGCCGTGAGGGCTGTCGGCTGAAGCCCGCCTGTGCGCCATGTCAGGCCTAGCTTGCCTTAACTAAACCTGATTTTGGGGAGAACCCTTCCGCTCCAAAAGCTGGCACCCTGCGCCCACGCCAGCCTCTCTCCTCCGCAGCCTCTGGGCCGTGCCTGTTGTGTGGTCCGCCCCAATCCATCGCATCGCTCTCTGAACCACGGCCACGGTCGACAGTATCCCAAGAGACCAACTGAACGGGACTGCGGTGCGGGAAGTCGTTGATCTTCACTTGCTCCGTCTTCGATCTGTTCGGACCTGAACTTATCTTTATCCCTCATCGTACTGTTTACGCCCTGGATCTTACCTGCGGGCGCCCTGTCACCAACTGCGCCCTCGTCCTCCTTGGAGCTGAGGTTGCTTTCCCCTTGAAACATCTCCTCCATCACCATATGCCTCGCTGCCTCCTCCGAGCGATCTAGACCACCAGACCCGTCGACGCTCCGACGGCCGACTGTGTGCCTGAAAACAAACCCTAATTTCACTCCTCTCAGGTCATCGTTTTGGTGCATCGAGCCGTCACTCCCGAGCCATCGACTGCGGTCGCCACTCCCGTCCTTCACCCTCAGCTTGTCATCATTCGTTTACTCTGGGCGTCCTTCATGTCACCAACCGTCAGCGAGTCCCTGGCATAAAGTCCCTCTCTGTTGATGGTGGCATCAGCATCTCTGCCGTTCCGATCTCTCCGCTGACCCTGACCGTCATATCTCATCTAATATGGCGACTTCAACAGCGACCGTCGCAACCGCGACTCCTACGGCAAGCAGCTCCAACAATGGAGGTTCAGGACCGAGTTCGCCACTACTCTTCTTCGTGGCGCTGGGATTTGGTGTGGTCTTCACTAACTTATGGTGAGCCTTGAATGATCGTTATGGCGTCCGCCAGCTAACCGTTTCTCGCTCAGGATCATTGTTGGCGTGAAATACTGCTTCAGATATAACCAACGTAATCGAGCCCGCATGAATGGCGAAGACCCCGATGCCGTGGATCTCACAGCCATGCCTCGACAGCATCGACGCAGACGGGAAAAGAAGCTGATGACGATTGAAGAGGTCAATGAAAAGTTTCCGCTGATCAAGTACAAGGCGTGGCGCTCCAACCGGGCCGACGAAGGGCTTCCTACCGCAGGAGGAATCAATACATCATCAAGACCGGCCAGTGTGCACAATGTCCAACGGGATTCCAAGGACGCGAAAGAAATGGAGGCTCGAGAGCTGGCTCCCATGCCGCCAAACACGACGGACGAAGAAAGGTCGGCTGGGCATGGGGCTCCAGAAGTTGTGGGCGGAGAGAAGAGTAGCTCAGACGACCCGCCAGCGACACCCGTTCGACCCAAATCCGCTCAGTCTACCGTCGCGCCCGAGACTCCTTTACAAAAAGTCGCCACTGAAGACGAGGACGAGGAAGAAGAAGAGCGTATCCAGACCGCCATACCTGCGGCACAACTCCCAGATCCTGGAGATGCTTGCGCGATATGTATCGACACCATTGATGACGACGATGATATCCGCGGACTGACCTGTGGCCACGCCTTCCATGCCTCTTGTGTTGATCCATGGTTGACCTCGCGGCGGGCTTGTTGTCCTCTGTGCAAGGCCGATTATTACGTCCCTAAACCCCGACCCGAAGGGGTCGAAATGAACACGGCGAACATTCAGCCCCCTCCCACGGCATTCTCAATAATTGGCAGTGGTCGACCAGGCCGGAGGCCAGCAATGATCATCCCAGGCAGGTTTATGAGCATTGTCTACCATGATCGCGACCGCCACGGATTCCCACTGGTGGTGCGTGCAGAACGACGAGGTCAACCGGACCAAGAACAAGCCCGCCGGCACCGTGGCGAAAGATTACCCAGCTCCCACGCGGCTACAAACCAAGACGGAGCGGAAATCCCACAATCGTCGTGGAGATCGAGGTTCGGACTGAGAATCTCCGGGCGTAGTCGACAGGCAGAGCCACCACAGCCGACGCCGGCAGCCCAACCCACACCTTCACAGCTAGAAGCTGGAAGATGACACCGAAATTCCCAGAAGCGATGATCTTACGAACTTTACGAGATTTGGTATACTTGGGAGCGGGATTGACCCTACTGCGTAGGCTTGGATAGGGAGGAGGTGCCCAACTCTCAATCTCCTGGTGCCTGGTGCCTGGGCTATCGACAATGCATGCTTTGTTAATACGAAGCAAAGCACTCCATTGGATCGTGGCTTGGAAAAGAATTATACCACGGTGGCTTTGGTATCTTGTACATCTATCTAGCCGAGACTGCTCTTGGACCCAAGGTCCGACAGAATTCAAGTACATTGGATGTTGTAGTTCTTGCTATCTGGACGAGTGCGAGAGCGTCTCCTCACCGGGAGGTATGTAGCCTGGCCAAAACGGCCGGGAACACATACCCAGGATGTGAGTACGCGTACTCGAATGTGGCGACGTTGAAGCCTGAGCTGCGGGATGATGATTCATCAACCGGCTGATCTCATCAATCTGGTGGATCAAGCTTATCCTTATCCGAAGACGAGTACGATATATGTACTCCGTACGTGCATGTGATATCTGCAAATACGTACCGGGTAGAAAATACCTGCTGGCACGAGTTATGTGCTGTGAGGCACAGTATGAGCCTCGAGGCCGTGGCGCGCAACGGATTGTACGGCCAGGGACCTGAATGTACTCGGTACTCACCTGACTCTTTACACTCGTGGCCTACGTGATGGGAACACACATATACTCATCCTTTGTCATCTACTGTCCCTCCTGGTACTCCGTACACGGCACATGTACAAGCCTGAAATGTGAGAGAATTCGTGTGTTTCACAGGGCTGTCTCGGATTATGTGCTTGATCGAATCGGCACGTTCTCTTTCGCAGTGTTATGGCCAGATATTTAAGCGCCATGCCTATCACATCTGCAGTTAATTATGTACGGAGTATTTCTTCGAACAAGTGGGCCATAAAGAGCACGGACAAGAATTGCCATGGATACATGGTGTTGTACATATGCATGACGTGAGGTGCCGGTATGCGAACAAACTGCTGGCTGCAAAGGTACGGAAGATCATCTCAACACAACATCTTGACCTTGTACAGTGATTCGAGTAAAGTGGTCTTTGCCATGAGGTTCCACGTTCACGCTCTGATTAGTGTCAGCTCATTATGAGTACATATTCCAGGATGTGCTGGTATTCCGCACGACGTTCTCTGCGAAAAACGTCCCTGACTCGTGATGGGTGCCTTAGGTATACGTGCCTACTGGATACCTCGTAACGTCGAAAGCGTTGGTGTGCATGCAGGTGGGTTCCGCCTTCGCGACTTCACAAAACCGGCGGACGTCATGGCGGGTCTTTATTGACGCTTGCCTGTATTAGGTCTAGCGTCCAGCCCTCGCAGCGTTGTCGTCGCGTCCTTCCCCTCCATTCTGTCTTCTTCCCTCCACAGCAGTATGGCGCCCAAAAAGTGAGTATAGCCCGCAGACATCGTTGTTGTATTGTGGTGGTACTGACATACTCTATATAGGACCATTAATCTGACGCAGGATCCCGCCCCTGCCACGCCAGACCCCAGCGGGTCGTCAACCGCGATAAAATTTATTGCGTGGAATGGCTTCTCGTTTAGGCTGGTCGGCCTCATAGTGGCGATTCTAGCCTTCATTGGGCGGGATGCCCTGCTGCGGTAGTTCCGTCGGCGAAAGGAGGCGTGGCGCCCGCGGTCAAGCCGCGATCACAGTCAGAACGAGGGGAATCCCCCTCTATTGTCGGCTCGTACGTCGACAGTAGAGGCGCGGGAGGACCTTGAGCTCGAGGAGGCTCCTCCTCCATCGCCGGTTGGTGGGCCGGAGGTGGAACTTGGGGGAGAACCCGGAGTGACTATGGTCGCTGGCGAGACCGGCGAGGAGATGGTCTGGGCGGACAGTGAGTCCAACATGTTTCATTTTGCAGTGTACGTTGAAGCTAACGGTTCTAGTGGCAGCGCAGCCCGCGGAGAGCCACTCCGCCTTTGGAGTCTATGACTCCAACCCAGATGTGCTGTACTTTTGAGCGCTGACTGCGACTATCATTAGATCGACTATCGTTATCGTATCCCTAATATTTTTTTAGCCAGGCACCGTCTCAGCCTCCACGTGGCGCTCGGTGGGAACTTGGGGCGTAATAACCCCATGCCAATGAGACATGGGATACGATGACGATAGCCGTCTAATGCTATGCGCGGGTCAAAGCCTCTGAAGGCCTCCTACATTCATCCTTTGCACGAGGTGTGCATCACACACAATGAACCACCGTCAGCTGCAACACAAATCCTCACCTCTTTGATGCCAACGAGGCTCCTCCATCTCTACCTGCCGAAACCATACCTACTGAAGATCAGTACGAATCTGAACAACTGGACGCCCTGCTATGCAAGCACCGTCCTTGAACACGGCCGACAAGCAAAGTCACCGCTATACCTGGCTTGCGGTACATCCTGCGTTGCCCCAAGCCTCGGCAGGTTCCCTACGCCTCAGCTATCCTGAATCCCAATACACTTTTAAAAGTACCCCACTACAGTCCTTCGAGGGAACAGTTTTAAGAAAAGCTGGGATACTCAAAGTCTGGTCAACCACTCCCACCTACTACACTCCTCCGCCAAGACACATAACCTTCTGAGCGAGCTTGTTTGGCCATGGCACAGCCCTCCCCGCTCGAGAAGAGACTGAGGACCTTGACCAGGCACCAACCTCATCCCCTACGGCTCGAGGTATAAAAACGGTCCGTCCGGCGCAATAGTTGACTCCTGCAAAGCACATTTCTCTGTACTCCGTCCACTCCTGCCGCCACAGATTTGAACAACCACTACTAGCTTGGGAAGAACCTTGGGCTGCGCTCGACCAAAACTCCCTGAATAAAGACCTTTCCGACTGTACCGTCGAACGATCGATACATACTTCCGATACTGCATATTCAGACATGATGAAGCTTCACATCTTCGCCCTCATTGCAATGAGTGCCTTTGCTCACTTTGGTGAAACGCTCTGCAGCGATCTTTCTCACCCAGACTGGGATTGCGACGAACCATTCGTCTGTGAGTCTGACTGGCCTTCGGAGACGGGCAATTACGGCGCAACAGACACGGCCGGAGCTTCCTCGAAAATAGCAGCTTCAGACGGTAGCAATGCAATCTTGCGGTCGTTTTTATTCAATGAAGGGCCCACCAACTCCACCCTGTTCGAGTCCGAGACGCCGAACCTTGTCAAACGTCAATACGAGGCGCTCTGCTGTCGTCCGATTTGGGAGTGTTTCAACTTCTTCTACGACGAACTTTTGCTCGAGGGCATCGACAATCGAGGCCGTCTCATCGACAAGGATATCTTACAGTGGCAAAAGGCCGAATGTTGCATGATGGAATTCGCGACTCCTAAGAGGTTGTGCCCCTCTCCTCCGCCACAGACTGCGTCGGTAGTATGGTCGGAACCGCTCGAGTGCGCAAGATGGCGTTGACGTCGACGTGTGCGCCATTACAGCACTCAAATGTTTGACGGATTGTCAACCCGAATTGCTATGTACCGCACAACTCACCACGCTTGGAGCTGGGAGGTTCTCAAGGAGGAGTAACACTCGGTGCTGGAAGGAGTTCGGGGAGGAGTTAAAGTCGCCGAGAGCTGCAAAGGCGCTCAGTAAGGAGGAAGCGACCACAACACACTTCATGCAAGGGGAATGCTCTACTGTAGCGGCCGTTTGAACAGCGCATTGCTAGGACGCGACAGAATGGCATTGACGAGCAAAGTAGGATGCATGCCATGTGGCATTCTGTTAGAAGTATCACTCAAAATCCCCTGAGGGAGAGTGCAAATTATGGTAACTGTGATTCCGATCCATGTTCCAAGTCCGACTCATCTGCTACGAAGGAATAATCATGTTGCCTCGCTAAGAGCGAGCTAAATCGGTGGACTTGCTCAACGAATTGTGCACCGGTAGGACAGCCAAAGAATGGCACAACCTCAGTGATAAGGCGCATCAGTATGCAGCGATACTCGAATTCTATTCTTCTCCTTCTCTTTAGCCATTTCACTTCACAATATCATCCTTGGCTGACTTGAACCGTGCTGTCGATGCGTCAATCCTGTACTGAGGCATTGTGCATCACTTGGGCAAGATGGCCACGACCTGCCTTGGTGACGACTGATATGAGTACGTATGCAGCGATATCCGAATTCTTCTCCTCTCTTTAGCCATTGACAATATCACCCTTTCTTGGCCGACTTGACTCGTGCCGTTGATGTCCTCACTCATCGTCTTCATTCCCACCCAAGCCGGCATTCTTCCGCATCATGGCGACGTCGTCCTCCAGGTCCTGGATCCTGCGCGCGAGCTTCTTCTTCAGAATCGCGTTGGTCGTCTTCTTGAGCAATTCTCTCTGCTCGGCAATCTTGTTGGTCATGTCCTCGATCCGCTCGAGAGCCTGGCGCTTGCTCTCGTCGCCTTCCTTTTCGGCGTCGTCGCGGTCTTCTTCGTCCTCTTCGCCCACATCATCCTCGTCTTCGTCCGACGACGCTTCGCCCGCGGGCGTGTGCTCGGCCGTGGCTGCGGACGGGGTGGCGGTGGCGCTCGTGCTGGTGACGGCAAAGGACGAATCTCCTGCAGCTTCTCCTGGAGGGTATAATGTTGATGTGTTTGTTGGAGCTTGTGCTTGCGCGGATGGTACTGGTTCTGCTACCGACGGGCCCTTATCCTCGTCGTAGAACATGCGCTCCAGCGCGGCGAAGTCTTCTTGGTCGATCACCTCTTCTTGCACGGGTGTCTCTGTGACCATGGGTGTTGACACGTTATACGCTCCGGGGTGAAAGCCGAAGTAGTTGTCCGGTTCGGCTTCGGCGTCCTCGTCCTCTTCATCTTCCGCCTCCTCCATGTCGGTGCTGTATCCGTGCTCGTCGAGGCGCGGGTCGTGGTCTAGAAGCTGGTACTTCGTATTGACTGCCGCCTTGTCGGCCTCGAGGAGGGCATGGACTCTTCGTTCGACGGCCTCGATATCGTCCACGCGCGCTCTTTTGGTCCGTGCAAAACGCCGCTTGCGGACCCACTTCATCGGGGCGGTGATGCCGTGGGCGTATTGGTACGTCTTGGGGTCGACGTCCTCGGGCAAAGGGTAGTTCCTTGCTTCTTGTTCGTCCTTGCATCGGCCCAGCACCAGCAGTATCTGGCAGATGTCGATGCTCTTGATCCATCCCTTTTTGTCCCAAGACTTCATGCCCTCAAGGATGCACGGCAGATCCACCAGGGACGTGGCGTACTTGTGGTCCTTGATCTGCAAGATACCTCTCCTGCCCAGCGTATCCAGCATCCTCAAGTTGATCGCCGCGCCTCCTTTGGAGAGAATCTCGCCTGCCTTGCCGTCCTCGATCGACTTGCGTAGGTAGTCGCAATCCTCGCCGGGCTGCATGCGCAGGATGAAGCCTTCGTGTATGACCGGATCCTTTTCTCGACCGACCGCCATCTGATTCTTGTCATTCTCATACTCGCTCTCGAGTTCCGAGTCGTAGCCCACGCCGGGCGTCCGCTTGGGGATTTTGCCCTTGACCTTGAAAAGCAGGTTTGCGGGGCCCGTTGCCTTGGGTGCCGGTGTCTGCGCCGTCTGAGACGGCGTCTTGAACTTGAGCGTCCGGATCGTGGGAGGTTTGCTCGGTTGTGCTGGAGCAGGTCGAGCGCCTTCGTCATCGTCTTCCTCTTTTATGGATTCGCGCTTTCGCTTCTTGTTCGACCCGGGAGCGACTCCAGGAGTTTCCGCCTCGTTCTTCTTCTTCTTGTTCTTCTTTGACTTGGCGCCATCGTCTGGCACAAGTGGAGTAGTTTTGCCTGGAAGTTTGAGCTTGATGCTAGGTGTCCTGGCGGTAGCGCTCTGAGGCGCAGGAGTCTGTACGGGTGCAGGTTGTATCCCCCCTGCTTGGGCCGAGGGTTTGCGGGAGAAGCTGAGTTTGAGGTTGGGGCGTTTCTCCTTTGCAGCAGAAGCAGAGGCGTCAGACATTTCCTCGTCTCCGTCGTCGTCAGAGCCGAGCGCAGAGTCTTTGTCAGAGGAGGCTACTGGGGACTCATTCTCTCCGTTGGAGTTGTGTGAGCCACGAGGAGTATTGTTGATGAAGTGGACATGCACTTCGGGGTCGACGGCGACGGATTTGCGCCTGCCTTTAGCGGTTGTCGACTTCCTGATGCCAGCAGATGGGTCAGGCTTGAGGATAGACTTTGCTTCGCGCTGTTGACGATGCGTCGGAGTGTGTAGGCGGCGAGATTTGGGGGTGGCCGCTGCTGCCGGAGTTCGTTTAGGCTTCCCCGCGACTTCATTCCTGCCAGTTCTGGGCGTCTGTTGGGGAGCGTCATCTTCATTGGGCGTCTCAGCCACGTCAGACGCCAGACGCCGCGTCAAGCTGTCGATAACCGCTGCGAGCCGCAGTCCAGGCGCAACAGCCGCTTGATGGTCCGGCTGTGGCACCGATTCGTCGGCTGGCACCGCGTCGTCGGCGCCATCAGGAATGTATCTCTTAGCAATTGGATCTTCCTCCACAACATCTTGTCGGTCTGAATCGGTCTTAGGTTCTTCCTCTGTGGTCGTTTTGGGGTATGGGATTGTTGCCCTAGACGTTGCCGGCCACCGAAGCAATCTCTCAGGACGCAGTTTGAGTGTCAGAAAGGATGTGCACGCCGTCGCCGGCACAGGACAAAACTCGTACTTCTTGCGATTCACTGTAAACGACCACTTCTCCCCAGGCACCAGCGTCTGCACCTGATTCAAGGGTATCGTCGATCGAGGCATCTCGGCTGCTTGCAGATTCTCCGAACTTTCTTCTTCTCTTGAGACTCGGGCAAAGGCAAACACAATGACTTCGGCCGATTTACACACCGCGCTCTTGCGTCCAGCAGTTCTTCAGATCCTGCGCGCCGCCGGCTTCAGCTACGCGAAACCCGCCGTGATAGACACGGTCACGGACCTTGCAGCGCGGTATCTGTTGCTCCTCGCCTCTTCGACAGCTCAAAACGCCTTCACGCTCCACAACACCTTCGTGCCGACGATTCAGGATGTGAGACTGGCGCTGAGCCAAGCGGGCGCGCTGTACCCGCAGATGAGTACCGATGAGGAGAGCCTGAGGGACGATGTGCAGATCTCGGAAGGGGTGTGGGTGCCGTTTGAGGATCTTCGCGGCGTGGAAGCGTTTGTGAACTGGGCGTATGGGCCGGTTAACAAGGAGATTCGACGGATCGCAGGATTTGGCGGCGAGGCGAATGTGGAGGAAATCGCAGCAGGTTTGGATGATCAGGAGGATTATCTCTCTGGTAAGTCTCTGAGAACTTTGGTGTTTTGTTTGGTCTTTGTGAGGCCGCGGTGAGAGAAAATGCAGTGACACGCGACTGACTGCCCGACTAACTGACCGCGTGTTTGCTGAGCAGCTCTCAAGAAACGCCACAGCAAGACAGGCGAGGAGTCTCGATACCAAGGCACGGTCCTAGGAAAGGATACAGAACCACAGTCAGTCACGATCGTGGGTGGTCCAGCTGCTTCGATCGCGGAGTGGACCATTCAATCTCTCGCCAGCGTGCGATCCTCAGGCCCACGCCCGGGAGAAGATGCTGCCACACCCGCAACATCAGGCATCAGCAGCGCTCCGCTCACGCCTATTGAGTCAGAATGAAGGTGGTTGGGGCTGTTGTTCTTCTCCTGAAAAGACATGATTCTACTATGGAAACGATGGAAGCGGTGCGGCAGAAGGTCTGCAGCGGCTGTGCGCTCTCTCCCTGCGCCCATCTTCCCCGTTCCAGGCCCCCTAGGCAGACTCGGGGCATCCACTTCCAAGTCGAGGAAGTCATGAGCTTCTGTGGTCGCACAGATTTCAGGAGCATTGCGAGAACATCGGACGCGATCGAAGACTACGGGCGAGACGTGGAAGGCGCCTCCTCATATCGCATGCCTTCGCAAAGGATGTCCGTTGCCTACGACCCTCAAACCGAAGCAACAACCATGAAGCTTGGAAATAGTTGAGCGACAAACCGCATGCCACTGCCACCGACCCTCGAAATGGGGAGACAAAACATGAAGATTGGACACCGTCGATTGACGAACCGAATGTCACTACCACCAACACTTCGCTCCACCAAGACTGCACGGCCGCGAACGGCGCTTACATACAAGCTAAATGAGCAAAACCGGACGCGAAGAACGAACGAACAGCTGTAGAGCTGTGATTGTACCAGTACGAGTTGAAAATGAGATCTTCTTCAGAACGTTCAATGACTCCCCGCTATTACCTACATAGTCATCTCTACACTTCCTACGCGCTCGACAAGAAGTACTCGTCACGGCATGCGTACAATAGTGAACCCAACTAAATGAGTCGATCCTTGGTATTACTGTAGCGTGTTCTCGCCATCCCTCTTCCCAAACGTGGGCAGTCCTTCGTCGTGTATGCTCGAGTACTTCTGTCCTGCCTGGCACATGCTACTCAAAGAGCATACGCCCATCTAGCTTGCCTTCTGGGCGGGATCACAACGTGGTGGGCCACTACGGAGTGGGGAGTACTTACGTCGGCACCACTACTAGCACTGGCCCCATTACCGCCATGACCTGGATCAGCCGGCCCCCCTTGGGAGGAAGCGGGCGCCGTGCCAAATTGCGTTGATAGAGTAGTCGCCACAATTCCGTTGCTTAGCGTCGTCATTGCAAACCACGTGCCGGTGGAGGGCGTCGCCGTGTTGCTGAGCGTCTCAGGAGAGGTGGCGTTGGTGATGTCAGAGGAAGACGGGGAGGGAAAGGGGGGGAAAGTGACGCTGGAGGTGTCCGTAGAGTCCAAAGGATTGGAAACGGGCGTGAATGGTCCGCCAGTTGGGATTGTCCAGTTCCAGTCTCGCCAGGGGTACGAAGGCGTCAGCGAACATGGTGTGGGGTGTGTACTGTTGGGCCAGAACAGCGACGTCGGCACACCAGTGGGAATGGGAATGGGTATGCCGCCTGGAATCCCACTTGCCGGTGGCGGTATCGTGGTGTTGCTTGCTGCTGTAGAAGTCGAGTCGTTAGGTAGAGCGCTGGTGCTAAGTGCTGTGGCGTTGGTCAACAATGAGGAAGCCGCTTCGGAAGGAGATGGCGTGGTTGACTCGCTGGCCGATGTGGCTGTGGGTGACGAGAAGGAGTCAGATGTCGTAGAATTGGTTGCTTGTGGGCTCGAGCTGTCCGTTGGGACGGCATTGGTGACCGCGGAGACGAGAGAAGAATTGGACCAGCCGGTCAATGATGCTGAAGTTTCGCCCGCCGAAAACACACTGGCCGTGTTACTCGCCACCACAATGGTCATGGTGAGTGACTGTGGGAGTGATGGTGTTGTGCCGGTTGCTGCGCCTGTACTGTTTGCAGGAGCTGTCTGAGTGTTAGAACCACCAAAAGACGTGTGGTTTCTTCTCTCAGAAACCGTGGCTGTTACAGTGAATTCCTCAGGCGATGGAGTTACAGGTGATGGGGTTATAGGCGCAGGGGTGTAATCGATCGTGACGGTGATGACAGCGTTCCCGGACTCAGGCGATGTGTCGGTTTCTGAGGGTGTGGTATAACCTGGAGACGGTGATGATGTGTTCGTCCATAATGGTCCGTCTGTAGATCTGCCAGTGCCCTGAGGGGTATTTGTGCCGTTGGAGGTGAGATTTGAACCGGGAATAGACCAGAGGGTGGTTGTAGATCTCATTGTCATGACAGTCATCGGCAAGACGCTGGGAGCACTTGACACTGTCGTGCCATTGGATGAAGCTGTATTCGATTCCGGAGAAGCGGCTGACCAAGTGCTTCCGGCCGAGTCGATTGTTGCATTGCTCGCTGACGAAGTGGATGGCGATGCCGCGCTGTTACCGTCGATCGAGGTCGAGTTGGCGAAGGGCAGTGCGGTTGTTAGAAGGCCTGAGCTTTGACCAGTACCTTGGGCGACAGTGATATTGGACCAAGACGGCGCTGTACCAAGTGAGGTCTGTTCTGGACTGAAAGTGGCTTGTGATGAACTGGGGTTACTCGCAGCAGTATTCGTCCCGCTCCCAGGCTCGCATGAGACACTCCCACAGGGGAAAAGAGGCGGGATCTCTGTTGGCCGCGGTTGTCCTGGGGTGAGATAACCAGTGCCCCAGCCCGGCTCGGGACTGGTTTCGTTCCCGTAGAACCAAGGGTGAGTCTCGTTGTCACAACGACGAACGAGTCGACTGTGCACACCTTGTTTTCGTCAGCGATAACCCAGCTTGCAACAGGCCAAGGACTAACCTTGATCATGTTGCTCTGCATATGTCAAGCCAAGGCCTGCAAGGCTGACGAAAAGAGTGACCAGAATGCTACCCATTGTATACAGAACCTTCGCTCGAAGCCCTTACCCTGAAGCTGTCTCGAGAGAAAGATCTGTCAAGCTCTCGGATTCCATCTTATACTCCCTTGCTTGCCGTAGTCATTGGAAGGTCGTTGAAACAATGCCACGGCGCGCCTCGGATGCAATAGCCCTCCGTTTCCGGCCGTTGTAGAATCCCGTAGTGTAGAAGATCCAGGCACGGTCTACCGCAATTTCGCACGGAAGCTGTTGCCCGCTCTCCTGGCGGGTGTATTTCAGAATGCCGCGCATGACTGCTGTCATATTCGAGAAGGCTACTTGCCTTATGCTGTAACCGAAAGTGAGGCGAAAATCAGTTGGAACACCGCATGGTCGAAGTAGGAGCGGCTGCGTGGGACCGCTCACAGCGTATGACCCTCAGTCGGCTGAGGTCCAGGTTGGTTTTGACCATCCATCAGTCCTGTTGGACGCCACATTGACACTGTGACGGTAGTGCCCGTGGAGGATACGTGTTGACAACGAGATGGCAAAGGTCCATGATCCCATTCGGCCTCGACTTTCGAGCGAAATTAGATTCTGATATCGTAGAAATGCATGTAGGCGCGGATGAGACGCGGGTGGTATCGGTCCCTAGCAGTGCATATCTGCGTCAAATCAGGGTTACACGTGCTGATACGAGACTTTCAAGCCAATAACTTTGCTTTAGGTTCCGCCCTGTGCAATTACTGCTGCTTCGGTCGGAGGAGGCTCTGATCTGGTAATGTCGCTTTTGGACGGCCGGAAGGCCAGAGAGACATGCAAGTATCCGAGGATCGGGCCTCGAGGAATGCAGGATTTGAGCAGTTTGTCAAAATCGTGCTTCGCGGTCTGTACCACACGAAGCGGAGGCTCATCCTGCAGGTACGCTGCAATGCAGCCGGCCATCTGCAGATTTGACGGATCATGGTATGACAGGGAGAATCGACTGCGTCCATGAATATTGCTGTGACTCACAGCATGTCTACCAGATGTCCGGCAGAGGAGAGTTGCCGCATTCAAACAAGCCTCATCGTTCACTGCCGTGTGCTCAATAAGCAATTAAGAGCTCGAGGCCGGTAACAAGTCTTTGCTGGTGCCCTTCAGCACATCCGTCCATGAAACGGGTCTTCTTGCATTCATTCGGGTTCTCACCAGGAAATCATCTTATGCGCGCAGGTCCTCGGACGTACACGAGATCTACTTGACCATTATCGCATTGTGCTAAGATCCCGTCAGGATGCTTTCCTGCATGGGAGCCTGTGAAGCTAGGATCAACAAGTTTTCAGGCTCCCACAAGACATCAGTGAAGGCAGTGGCCACCGTATCAGTGATGCGATCTGCACAAACCTCGTGGCAATTGCGTCCGGGTCAGTGCTCTTGCTACTCCGCTTTGCGCCTTCGTAGCAGTGTAATGCAAAGGAGGGTGTGCTTGTGCTGAAGAAACCACTGCTCAAGGGCCGTTTTCAGCGGAGATTAATCTCGGATCCGGCGATTGTTTGCTGCCCTGTCTGCAGACTTGTTGGCACGTATCTCTGACCGTTACCTCGATTCCTAGCATTGCATTTTTGGCCTGACGCCATTGCCGGCCCTGGATTGGAGAGCTTTGTAGTCGCATGAGACACAGCCCAGGCTCGGCCAGCCGGGCAAGATCGGAGTCCATCTCTTACTCATGTCTCTACTGCTGTTGTATCTCGGCGACCAGCTTTGGGGCCTCCTTGCCGCGGTTAATACGAGCGTAGAAATTGACCACGCCATCTGCTAGACTCGTATTCGGAAAGTGATGTCACCAAAGGTCTTCGACATGGTCTCGACAATACACTCGAACACGACTCCGAAGATTTCGGCGGTGCAGGAGTAACGAGGACCAGGAGGTGCTGTATTGACCTATCATCCGGTTGAAGGCACTGTACTCGATCTAAAACGTGGAGGCGGCCTGAGTGGAGATGACCGGGTTTGCATGAAGATGGATGGAGGACGCAGATTGTAAAATCCATTTGAAGAAACGACAACATCTTGGCACTGGTGATGACTTCGGCCAAAAGAGGATAATCACTGGCGAGAGATGCGAGCAGGGGCAACAGCCAGCCCTGGCGTCTTACCTAGGCCTATCTTGATGGTGTTGCTCGCTATGGCTATCTATCACTTGTTACTAATCGAGCTTGTAGGAGCCGTTCGTTCCACGTTGGCCAGCACAGAATATGAGAGCGCTCGCTAAAAGCAAGTAACCCTTGAGACGTCACGCACGCAGAAACAAGAGTCAGACAAAACGTGTCGATAGATTCACCCTCGTGGCTTTTGCATACAAGTGCTACTTCCCTGCCACCAACCCATTCCCATACTGGCCACATCCTATTATTCAGTAGATCCCGTGCCTTACAAACTCCTGGGCGCCGCCAGCAAGCCTCGTGAACGCTCATGCATCCTGGTCATATCAAGTCTAGCTACCAAGAGGAACGGGTAGGGGGCCGGCCAGCGTAGCCTTGGTGAGATCGTTGATGTTTGTTGCTGTGTTCTGGTTGGTCAGGGCGGCATATGCCACTCCAAACATGCCTGGTTGGACGTCGGCGTGCAGTTCGTTGCCCTGCACGGTCACAGGAGTATAGGCAGGGACGTTGTCCTGGTTGACCCAAGCCATGTACAGGGGCCCTGAGTTCCATCCCTGTGGCAGCATGTTGGGTTGCCCCACCTGGAAAATCAGTTTGCCGGGGCTGTTGGGGGTTGCGAAAGATGGGCCTCCATAGCCGATAATGCCCAAGTCGGGGAATATGGGTAGAGACGTGATGAAGGAGGGCAATCCCTGGCAGGAGCCTGGGATGATGAAGTCCAGAGCCAGGTTGAAGGCCCAGATGCCGCTGATTCTCGTCTCGAAGGCGGTGGGATTCGGCACCTCCTGGGCGAAGAGGCGGAAGAACGCATCATGTCTCGATTCCACGGGGAGGATGGATGCGACCGTGGCTTCAAGACCAGGATCAGTCGTGGAAAGACCATCCGCAAGATCTTGCAAGGCACCGATACCGACGTTGGTAATGATGCTGGCCAGCGCCAGGAAGCTCGTCTCATCCGTGATCGGGAAATCATATTGGCAAGGTGCGACCGCTGGGGCCCCGTTTCCTTCCAGGAGACCAACAATGGACGCCACATGGACCTCCTCCTGAGCAGCAATGCGAGACACCACTGCCATGTTGCTGACCCCATTCACTTGCTCGCCTGTTCCCCATCGCGTGTAATTCATCAACCCCTCCTGGAAGAAATAAGATTCCAGGTTCTCCAGAAAGTTGGCCAAGTGAAAGCTGTTAATGGCATTGGCGGAGATCTTGGGAGTGCCAGGTTGATTGGGAAGTCCACCACCGGCCTGCTGTGCGATATTAGGAGGCAAGGCCGTGCCAGTCACTATAGCAACTGGTGATGCAAGGACGGACCTGGCGAGGAAGGAAAGAGCGACAGGAAGGAAAAGGGGAGCCATGGCTGCGACATGCAGGAAAGGATACTTGGGCAAACGAGAAGAAGCAAGACGTGGCGCGGAGGGGGTGCGAACCAGAGACGGAAGAGGAGGGGATCTGTTATACAAAATCCATCAGCCTGCCCGCGAGAGGCTGTTCATTTGGCAATCTGTTGAAGCCGTAAGCACTACCCAGAACGAGATGGGGTGACCATGTCGAGGGTCTTTCTCAGCCACATGCGATCAATGAATACTAACCTGAGGTAGCGCCTCGCCAGTCTTTCAGCAGGCAAAGCAGCTTGTCCTACTGGTGCGCTTGATGGACGCACCAAATTCCCAAATCGCCAACAATTTGACCTTTTCATAGGTCTGAGACCTTGATGCGATGATACTTCACGTCAATACTTGACCTCGTAAGTGAGCAGACACCACAAGGGACAATCCAGGCACGGCCACCAGTGGTGGGGGCGCAGAAAGGTTAGATTCAGCTTCAGGCCACGAGCGTTAAGCGATTGAGTGGGCGGAGCCCTCAAAGACAAGCTTCGGTAAGCACTTGAGCGTGGAAGCTTCAGCTTCTGGACCAGAGACGCAAGGGCGCGATTCGGTCAGCAATCCATTTTTAGAGTAAGGACGAAAGGGGGACGTGAGACGGACTACGGAGTACGGAGCAGGTTTCGACAAACACTGCAAACTTGCCCAGTAGCTTACATAAACACTGAGACTCGCCGAGGCCGCACTAGAGCATAACCGATCTGCCTAGCCTAGCTAGTGCTAGCGCCAATGACGCGCCCGATTTCAATGACGCGAGGACGACATTTGACATGTTCAAGCTGGACGACGCAGGACGAAGCCGTCTCTGGACTCATCTCTGTTTCCTCCACCACTACGACCCAAGATGAGCTCCTTCAACCTCTGCTCCTATTGCCTTCGCGCGCTACGACAGACTGCCAAAAACGAAACAAACGTGAGTACCATAAACTGTGAATGCTGTAGGAAAACCGCTAAATCTAATGCTCAGGCGGTTCGAGCTCAAACCCAGAATCCAGTGGGGCAGCGATATCTGTCAACAGCACAAAGAAGATGGCAGCAGCAGGCTTCCCGCTCCGAGAGTCAGGCTCAAATGGAGCAGCCAGCTGTCCCTCCCACCACAGCTGCGACCGTCACCACCAACGTAACAGCTTCTCCTCCTACCCACAACGAGTTTGAGGACCCTCCTCCACAACCGACAGGGCAACAAGCTCTGCCCACCACGGTCTCGACCGTCACGTCCAATGTGACGGCTCCGCCTTCCCCACCAGAAACTGAAGCTCGGTCACCCGCAACAGAAGAAGGACGAGACAGATCTTCTGCGCAACCCTCGTCCAGCACGAGCGTCTCACAAATGCAACGTCAGATCCAATCTTCGCTGTCCTCCCAACCAAGCAAGTTGAACATCCCTGCCCGTCTAGCCCAGACACTTCAGCGCACCGTCCCTGCCGCAACCAAGACCTATACGATCTACGGCCAGACCGAGGCGTTATTCAAATCCTGCGCCGCACAAGCCGACTACACCATCCCGCAAGACCAACGCATGAACATTCTGACGGGCAGAGGGCCCGCGAAGGAAGCGTCGCAGGAAGGAGCAGAGCTGGGGCATCCGCTTCCCGAGAACAAGGACGCGTGGTGGTTCACGACCTTGAGCCTGCCACCCACCTTCTCGACGTGGTCGCAGATTACGTTTCTGCATCTCTACGTGATCGTGACGCAACTGCGCGCGGGGCTGGACTCGGAGTCCGAGTTCCAAAACTACCACCGCTACTTGATCGAGCATTTCTCCCGCGAGGCCGAGGACAAGATGGTCATGCTGCACAACCTCAACGCCCAAGGAATCCGCAGTCGATACCTGAAAGATCTACTCCTGCAGTGGCGCGGGATCCTGGTGTCGTACGACGAAGGCCTCGTCAAGAGCGATGCCGTGCTCGCGAGCGCCATCTGGAGGAATCTGTTCCGTGCGGACGAGGACGTCGACTGGGTCAAAGTCGCGCAGGTCGTGGCGTTTCTGCGCCTGGCCGTGCGCAAAGTCGGCTCGATGACCATGGATGACATGATCCGGCATTTGACTTCTCAGCAGGCCGGAACCAGTATCTGGCCTGCCGCTCAGGGGTCTATCGCGACGATCGTGGGCAAGCAGAGTCGCGGTATCAATGCTCCCTTTGAGCAGTAGGGCAGGATGCTACAGCCTGTTTCGTTCTTGTACACCAGATATAGAGATCGCGGTTTCGTACCATGGTAGAATACGTACCGCAAGAATACGAACGCGTTGGAACTTCCTCGATTGGGAACCTTTCTTCTATCTCGTTTCCATCCTGTTTGCGTATAATTGCTAGAACTAGGGCATTGGAGGGCTGGGGTTATGCAGTTAGTGGAAAGTCGATGACGTCTACTACGTACAGCATCTTTGATTTCTTTTTTTCTTCTTCTGGTGCCAACGTCTGGATGCAATTTATTATGACTCTGAGTTTGATTGTGGATGTGATTGTGAGCTCGCCGCCACCGAGCCAGCAGGCTCTTAGGAGCATACTCATAGTGAACATCAAGGTAGAGTACATTGGGCAGAGGGGAGTACAAGTACAAGTGCAGTTTTGCAGTGATGAAATGAAAGAAGGTCTCTCCTCGATTGTTGCGTCTCACCTCCTGCCAGTGCTGAAGGGATTCAGACCGATCAGGCCAACCGGGCAGTCTGTCGTCGATCTAGCAGCTCGTTCCTCTTTCACCTCCCATAGGTCAGTGCCTCGTGCTCCGTAACGTACAGGCGATGGAAACCGTTGCGCCAATATGGGTTCTCGCTGATGTGGTCCATACGCACGGCTGGTGATAGCGTGACCGGAAACAGGAGCGGGAAATCTGCACTGCGCCAACATCCAACCCGCTTGGTCCAACCCAGAGTTTTGAAAACACAACCGACCGAATTCACTACCCCGCCTTGGTGGTGGCATCGGGCTCGCGAAAGCATACGCAACTCGGTATCTCGTACGGGGTCCAGCCGGGTAAACACAGGGGCCCGAGGCCGCTGAAGCAGGGCCACAACCCTATCGGCCCGCGGTGGTCGCTATTGTGATCGCTTTTCGGGATGTCTTCAAGGGCGACGTCGCGGCGCTGGAGCTCCAGCCACAAGTCGGGAACAGCTGTGGTCGTGGTCGTGGAGTGCGGGACGTGTTGTACGCAGGGCGAGGTAGTGGCAAGAGCGTCAGTGACGGCAGTAGCGGTAGCAGCGGCGGCAGGAAGCGTTCGCGTATCAAGTGGATACGCAGCCGCAGGGTCCTTCACCGCCGGGACGAGCTGTTCGTGCGAGCCGATCAAGCGATTGGAGAGTCTGTTCAAACATGTTAGTTTCTGGTTGCCAGCAAGTCAGGAAAGGTATTGGAGCTTTACGCTGGCCAGAGGCAGTCCTTCTCGTTGTTCACGCAGTCCTCGACCGAAGCAAAGTAGCGCTCGGTATTGATTCTAGTCCACATGTAATCGGAGGCAGGGAGAGCGGCGACGAGCAGCTGGCAGCCCAGCAAGAGTGCCACAGCTCCAACGGTGGTGATTTTGTGAGCGTACATAGTGAAGTCGTGCACAGAGGAGCTTACGGGTTGACGTTGTAAGCAGAGGAGCTTGTGGGTGAGAAGAGGCGATAGATATTGCGTGAGGAAATGCGGTGGATACTGTGTGAGCAGAGTCGATGGTTCTTGTGCAAGAAGTTGAGGGTTTGTTGAGACGTTCTGTGTTGCCCGGAGCCGCGGAGTGGCCAGAAGGTAGTGCAGAGCGTCGAGTGCAGTTTGCCGTGGAGCAGGCTTGTCACATGCTTTGACAGCCCTTGTGATCCCTCTTGACTTGAGGTAGATGGTGCATCCGCGGTAAAAGGCATGGGTTAGTGTCCGTGGACGGTTGGTCACATCAGTGACGGATATAATCCCCAACTTGCGCCAATGGACCACGGCTCAAGAGGTGTCGGCTTTCTTGAGAACTTACAGGAACGGCAGCCCTGCATGCGTCTGCAATGTCACTGTCTTGGGCGCGACGTCTGGCAGAAGTCATATGCCTCGAAGCCGTCAAAGGCGACGTCACGTCAACAAGACAAAGGAAAGCTCGCTCAGTCGAAAGAACACCTCCAAACCTCACGAGTACTATTAGAGAAGCTCGGCCAACAGGACACATCTCTTTTATTGAAGACCAAGGGACGAAAAATCTAGGATGATCTGAAATGAACGTTTCCTTTTCCTCCTCGTTGATGCCACCGCAAATCATCTTGCCTCAAACACTCCGACGGCGGTGATCAGGGCAGACAACAGTCGTGGGTCCTTGGTAGGCTTGGCTAAGCCGCATTAATATGCTGATATCATACGTCTCGAAGTACTTACCCCTAGCGATCTCATCTTCTCGCCTTGCGCTGAATATAGCTTTCGTCTTCGCGGCATATAAAGGAGCGGTACCAATATTTATCCGCTGATGCATTGCGTATTCATCTGAGAGCATCCATCTTCTGTGCTTGACGTACAACCAAACGCGTCGGGGATGGGTTCGATGGATGAAATCCAGGACATTCATTTGCACTTTTCGTTGAAGACCAGTACCGAGATTCCTAGTTAAGGTGTGTACAAGTGCCTCGAGCTTGTAGAGTCTCCACGACTGGTCCAAGTCATTGGCGAACGTCCTGTAAGATCCACCTAGAGCAGTATTGTGGTTAGTGCTACCGTTAGCTGCTTCATCTCCTCAGTCTACGTACCTAGTCTGTAGTAGGCTTGCCAGAAGGGGGCAATTTCAGATTCTGAGAAGGATTCATCGCCGGAACCAAGCATTTTCTTCATCATTTCTACCCAGAGATCGTGAAAAGACTGAATGAAGGGCTCCCTGATCTCCTGGCCTTCGGTAGGCCAGACGGGTACAGCATGAGACCCAAGCATCTCGAGCACAGTCGATAACTTCTTGAGGCAAGCAAGACGGCTGACTCGAGCCCTATGCTCTCCGATGCCGATTGACTTGAAGCCATGTGCTGGCATGCTCATATAAGCCTCCAATGTTCGTTTGAAAGGTGCGGTTGAGCCAAAAACAACACTCCTGCATTGCAAAAGATTATCTAAAAAGATAGAATTGATGATATCCACATGCTTGGTAGAAATTGGCCAAAATCGAAAACAAAACTTGTCAGTGGACTGCGGTGTTCCTGAAGCTCCCGGTGCAAGTTCTAACCTGCCGTTAACGACTCTCGTATAAGAGTTAGTGGCTTTTGCTACTGGCAGATCGGAAAGAATAGACTTGACACTCTCTGGATCTGGAAATTGAGTCGCCACTGCATCCATCATCATCTGGCGTGATTTCTGTATCCTAGGGTCTGTGTCTTCTAACGCTTTGGGTAGTATCATACTTCGGAGAATAATGATCAGCCGGGGAGTTACAGGCCCGAATTCGTGGTAACGCAGGAATGTGTTCCCTAAATACTCGCCCGTTTTAGCACAGAAAGTTTCGTCAGTCGGGCCCTCGAAGACGTTGTAGCATTGATCGGTGAGCAGGAACTCGTCCTCATTTGCGGTCGGTGTGCAAAATGCCATATAGGAGAAATTGGCATGAACGATAAACATCTGGGCGTCTGCGGGGAACATGAGAGTCGGAAGTTGGGTCATCCACTTTCCCTCAGCATCCATATCGAGGTCCAGGATGGCGCGGAGATTGTGGAGCCACACATCCCTAGGTCTCGCCATGCTATTTTCGGCCATGTAGGCCCTGAGAAGATGTTGGTCTTCCGAATCATACGATTGCGGATCCTCAGACATATACTTGTTGTAGAAGCCCAGTCCTCGATACTTCATGACGAAGAGAAACTTTCGGAGCATGTTTCTCTGAACCCGAGTGAGCCATATTCCGGGCTCACTATTCTCATGGGCCTTCTTGATCTTTTGAAGTATTACCGCTATCCGGCACTCGAGCTTAGAGAGTCCTTCTTCCACCTCATTATTTTCTTTAATTGCAGCAGCAAAATCCTTGTACATGTCCGCTTGGCCAAACCAACGGGAGACCGGTGCTTCGAGCAATCGTGGTCCGTCCACGGTGAGGTCCACGACATTGAGCACTTTGTTGCCCGGGCGCTTGCCTTTTTCATAAGGGTATTCGCCCCTCTGCTCAGGACTACCTTGGGTCGGTACTTCATAGGGATGGGAAAAGTTACGCAGGAGGAACTGTGGAATGTAGTGCTGATACTGCTCCATTGGGGCCAGGATCGGAACTGTGAAGAATGCTGACTTCTATGAGACTAAAGCTCTTGTAAATTCTGTTCTTTGTCCAACCTACGGAGGATTTTGTATTGCTCAGTAGAGCCCTCTGACTTTCGTTGCCAGGAGAAATTGGGCCTATGATACCGTAATGGGATCAGGCAACAGCGGGGTCATAGCAGTACATCTGCCTTAAGTCATGGAAAGCTTACAACCAATGAAATGTTTAACAGTCAGGACACTTCCTACTACGGCGAGACATGACGCTAGCTACGGTGTACAATGCGGCCAAATGACGTTGTCGCAGTATTGACATGCTGGCTTGTAACTGCAGATACCATCGATCTCTGATACCCACCACAACGAGTCAACGATTCCGTGCAGGTCTTGTTGTCGTTGCCTCGGCTTCTCATCCACGTGGAACCATGTTCAAGCGCTCCTAATGTTCTACTGGAGAGAGTGACCGAATCCTCGCCGTCAGCCCCTAGAGGGGCGCTCATTGTCCAACATGCTCCTCCTCCAACTCCTCGCTCATCTCCTCCCTATTTTCGCCTTTCTTACATGCTGTCTGGCCGCCGAAGACCTTTACAAAGTGCTAGGCCTCGACAAATCAGCCTCAGATCGAGATCTCAAAACTGCGTACCGAAAACTTTCCAAGAGGTATCACCCCGACAAAGCCACCGGCGACGAGAAGAAATTCCTCGAAGTCACTGAAGCATACGAGGCCCTTTCTGATACGACGACGCGGAAGATCTACGACCAGTACGGACATGAAGGGCTGGAAAACCACAAACGTGGCAGTGGTGGGGGAGGCCACGCCCACGACCCTTTCGACCTGTTCTCTCGATTCTTCGGCGGCTCAGGCCACTTTGGCCGTGCCAACAGCGGCGTCCGCCGAGGTCCAGACATGGAAGTCCGGCTCCAAGTACCGCTTCGAGACTTCTACAACGGCCGGGAAACCGAGTTCACCATTGAGAAGCAGCAGATCTGTGAGGAGTGTGAAGGCTCGGGCTCGGCCGATGGACAAGTCGAGACGTGCCACAAGTGCCACGGCCATGGGATCATAATGCAAAGATTCCAGCTCGCGCCTGGCATCTTCCAGCAACAGCAGAGTCCGTGCGATCAATGCGGAGGCCAAGGCAAGATCATCAAACATAAGTGTAAGGTGTGTGGGGGAAACAAAGTCGTTCGCGGCCCCACGACCCTCACGGCTGTCATTGAGAAAGGCGTTCCCAAGAACCACAGATTGGTCTTCGAGAGCGAGGCGGACGAGCATCCTGACCACGTGGCAGGGAACCTCTACGCCTACATCGTGGAGCTGGAACCCGCGATAAGCGAGAACGAACAAGAACGGACGGATGGGATGTTCTTCCGCCGCAAGGACGACGACCTTTACTGGAAAGAAGTGCTCTCACTCCGGGAGGCCTGGATGGGCGAGTGGACGCGCAACCTCACCCATCTCGACGGTCATGTGGTGCAGCTCTCGCGCAAACACGGCGAGGTCGTTCAGCCAGGCCAAACCGAGACCATTAAAGGTGAAGGCATGCCAAGATACCATGGTGGACACGTACACGAACACGACCACGATGGGCCCGAGTTTGGAAATCTCTACGTGCAGTACGTGGTCGTCCTGCCTGACCAGATGGAGAGCGGTATGGAGAAGGACTTTCATGCTGTATGGGAGAAGTGGCGGAAGAAGAAAGGCGTCGGTCTATTTGCGGACAGTGGCAGGCCCGTGAAGCTTGATGTACCAACAAAGGATGAGTTATAGATTCGAGATCCTCGGGCATAGAAAGATCCTGAGGTCTACGCATTCCAATGCGTCATGGGAATGAAATCATAGAGCTGATTTACGCATATCATCGTCTGCGTTCCCACTGTCCTGCACCGTGTTAACTACCTGTATGTAGCTGCAACAGCAAGGACAGTACGGTTTGTGGGAGTGCGAGGCTGGACTGTCAGCCTTTCAATGACATCATTCAGGGCCCCCCTTTTTCTGGTCCAGTTTCCGAAACCTTTCACCTTCCACTCACCTGCCCTCACCTGCCACTGACTTCTCTCACCCGGGATGCCGAGAATGGACGAGCATTTTTCCATAAATCCCGCAGATGGCACGCTCGGGACCTATTCCATCACAATCCGCAGTCTGTATGTCTTCGTGGACCTCTTTGAGCGGCGGCTTGAGCGTAGCCTGGCAATACCACAATGAAGCACCCTTCAAGACCGGAGCGGAGCACAAACCTCACATCGTTACTCAGATCGACGTCTTTCTGTCTATGTCTCTGTCGAATTAGGTATGTCTCTGTGCCTGTGTCTGCGTATCGGTGTTGCGTTTCCACCCGCTCACCCGTCCGCACGGCTGCCTGCTCACACTGATACACTCCGGCCCATCTTCCCCGCAGAGTATGGATGACAGCTCGAGCATTGTGCACTGCCGCGGATACGAGTATGTGCATTTGTGTCCGATACTGGATGCTATGGTGGGGTGATTGGGAAGGGAGTATATGGGTACGGGTACGCAACGGGTACAGGTGCGGCAAATGTGGGTAGGGAAGTCGGCACAAACGCCAGTTCAACACAATCCAGTCCTATTCGCTCCCAACGTCGAAACATACACACACATACCTGCAGAGGTCATGAAAGAGGATGTGCCACCACTGCCAGCCAGGTTAGGACAGCAACTGCTCCCTTCCCCGTGTCTGCTATACTCGGCTCTGCGCTTGCCCGCGTAGGGGGCACTTTAGCTGACTGCTCGCTAGGGAGATGCTTAGCTACTTACACAAGTACAGACAAGGCTAATGTCGGTCCCGTCGTCTCTCATCCTCGCGATTGCGGCTACTCCCACCGCCCGAGTCATCGCGGTGATCGTCTCGAACGTTCCTCGCAGTCCTATAATCCCGGCGGAGGAGGTTGTTCGACGGGTAGCCAAAGTCCTCCGTCACAATACGATTCTCACGACGATCCCGGTCAGCGTGGCGGTTGTCCCAAGTCGCGTCTCTTCGTTGTTGATCTTCACGATCGCGGCGCGACGGGGGGTCGTAGAACCCGGTCCGCTCGGTTCGGAGGTAGTCCTTGAACTCCTTGGGGCGCCGGACTTCGGCCAGAGCTGCTCGTACTCCTTCTTGATGCCCTTCGTTGAGCCGCGCTCGAAGGTCTCGCTGCCCTCGTTGTATCTGGTCCGCTGGCGCTCACGGTCTTCGTGGTAGTCGTCGTCGTGGTACTTCTTCTCCTTGCGATAGTACTCTGGGTTGCCTCCGGAGACACGATCGCGGCTCTTGTAGCCGTACTCGTCGTCGTACCCGCGGAATCTGTCCGACATGGTGGATTTGAGTGTGCTTTGGTATTCAATGATCGACTTCTGCTGTCCGATTGGGGCTGCCGGACGTTCTGGGTATGGTATGGTATGGTATGGTATGGTGTGTCGTGATATGATATGATATTGTGGATGGCGATTTGGATCTCCTGTGAGATAGTAGTTCCTGGCAGGGGGAGGATACGTGGGACGAGATCGAAGCCGCACAGAACGAGCTTTATACTGCATTTCCTGGCTGTCACACCTTACGGCGTTTGTTCTCACTGCCCCTGCCATGGTGAGGTCGACGGAGTGTGTAAACGCGAAGAGGCTACAAAGTTTTTGAAGTCATGGATGGCCGTCACCACAGTCTCGTCGACAGCAGCATTGACAGTGAAACCGTTTACATTCTGTTTGAGCATAGCAGAATCGAAAGGGAGAGTGTATCGGTCAGTCACACGTACAGTCTTGCGGACGGACAATCATGGTCGCCTTCACAACTACACCGGTTAGTTGACGCCAGAACATCTCAACGAAGCATTCAAGCTGGTCAGCCGCCATGGTAGCGGTTTGCTCTGCAAGTGACGGAGGAGACCAAGGTGAGCAGGTAAAACCATTGAATGAGCCAAAGGCTGACTACCGTGAAGAGACCACCGACACCACGACCTGGGCCTCCACTAGACTGCATCACCAAAATGGACAAAATTACAGAAACCCAGGGTAAGCATTCAAGGACAGCAACTGCTTTGAAGCACAGAGCCAGCGCCTGAACAGAAACTCAGAGTAAGCATCCAATGACACCAACTGCTCCAGATACCATCTAAAGTACCTCGTCTCCAGGAACGACAGCCAAGAGGAGTTCTTGAATTTCAGCTCAGCCTGTATGGTATTTGCGCCCTGGGGTATCTCTGGTCTAGTTCTATGCTCTACTTCTAGCCCCAACTGAAGACACAGCTAATCCACATGCAGAAGACTCCAGTACAATGTAGAGTACAGCAGGCAGTTATCCGGCGATCTGTCATCCATCAGACTAAATATATCACAATTCACCAGCGATATAACACGCCGCCCATGCCTGCAACCTTGCAACCTCTGATCTGTTCCGTTTGAGTCTGCTCTGAGCCGCCTGTCCTCTTCGAATAGCCGTTCGATTTGCACTGTGGACAGCCACCCCCAAATATGGATCAACGAGATGATCTACATCCACGCCTCAGATAATGCTGTCTCGGAGTTCGAATGATCTACCTATAACGCTGAGGATGCCAGGCCGGGTAGGCAAAGTCGCGGGTCGCGATGCCGGCGGCGTGACGCTTCTGTGCGGCCACGCGATTGTCGAGAGTCGCGTTCGGGTTTGGCTGGGCAGCCGCAGTGTATGCAGAGTTTGTGGCGGGCGGATTCGTCGCACCACTGCCAGCACTGCTGGGAGCCTGGGAATAAAGGGTGCGGTAGAAGAAGGAGAGGTGCTGGTGGTTCGACATCGGGAGAGGGTTGTGGCCGGAGCTACAGTGAAGGATGCTGATTTTATTCCTTTTGTCCTGGTCGAGTCGTTGAATATCAAGGTGACTGGATCTTTTTGTTAGTGTTTTCGGGTTGGAGGTATTCAAGAAAGGGAGACGGGGATGGATATCAAGAGAGGAAATGGATATCAAGAGAGGAAATGGATATCAAGAGAGGAAATGGATATCAAGAGAGGAAATGGATATCAAGAGAGGAA